CGAGGAATTACCTAGTGGTAAAAAGAGGGGAAGAGGGAATAAAAAGCCCTTGATTGTGGATCAGATAGGAGTAGGAGGGGGGGAAGCTCACCTTATTGGCTGTAATGGACAGCATCAACCATCTCGGCCCCTTAAATTGATGACTGAAGGCTCTTCAACCCCTAGATGAAGTCAGAAATGGAATAGGTCCATAGCCACTGTGAAGGAGATAAGGAGGGTAGGTGGGCTCATGGGTGACCAAGGGCCGAAAAGCCTGGATATGGTAGCCCGAGGCTAGTGGGTCTGGGTAGAAGGGGGAGATTTGCCCAAACGAAGACTCCAAAGTGGCGATTCAATCTGAATCAGGGGGATCTGCTGAGGTGTGTTCGCCAATGAAAGGGAAAAGCCTGTCACAGAGAAGCCCCGTGACTAGAGACAGCACCATGAGCTTCTGGTGCAATGAGCCTGGAGATCATATCCATACTCCGAGTCAAAGCGCTCCAAGGTTATAACATAAAGTCAAAGATTAGAGTATTCAGCACACAGACGAAGTCTGATCACCGAGTTTCTGTACATATCAGCACCAAGTTCAATTTCTTTGGGAGACAGAGCCACAGACCACAGAAACGGATCAGCACTGTCCAAGTGGGTCACATCACTCATAAAATGCAGCTATTGGCCCTTCTCTCCACCATTCCAACACAATGATTCAGACATGGAGTCAGCGATTGATCAGTAGAGATCGGCGACCACCTGTCAACCACAGCGAAGAATGCTACGATCCTCCAATCGGTCATAAATATAAGACAAAAGGACGACAGACCCGCTGCCAAGAGACAAAAAGCAGACCAAAAAGGTGAAGTTGTGAAACCTGATGAATGTAGAGTACAGATTTCCATGAAGGAGCCAGTAGCCCTAGCGGGTCCTGGTTGGAGGGGCAACAGGAGTACCCAGCCACCGCACGAAGGCAGTGGGGATGATCGCCCCTTAGCGCCCGTTGTGGACAAGATGTCTTGCATGAGCTTGGAAGGTCATGCAGGGACGATTGGCAATCTGTGCTCGAGGTTTTTAGAATTCCTTGGCCAAGAGTATATTCTGTTGCCATTAGTAAACAAGCTCGTCTGCAAGAGCTAGATGTTGTGCGTCCCCGTGCCCGATGCTTTCGAGGTTAACCTTGTATGGGCCTATAAGGATCATGGGTCGAAGGGTAATCTTTTCACTCCTTGCATTAGATTGAAGCCACTTTCGGAGGGGCTGGAGTTAGGACTGACGGTGGGTAGCAGTGGGTAAGTGACTCTTCCTGCCCAGCCACACCTGTGATAGGGAATGAATCCCTTTGTTTGAGGCAACTGAAAGCGAGAAAGGAGCTCTCGGTCGAAGGGAAGTTCCCTGGTCAGTGCAGGGGAGAGAGGAGAAGTCTTTGTCTGGATGGGATAAGTGGATTATAAACGTAGGCTAAGGGTGTAGTCTTTATTTAGATTGGATATGAAAGCAGTGGGGTTTGAGTGCATGATGGAGTAGACACATTGAATTATCTGCACCCCGCAAGTAATAACCAAACTCGAAAATAGCGTTGCAGACGGCTCTGCAAGATTATGCGAACCTGAATTCAATCTTGCAAGCTGGATCCTGCCGGGGCACCTGAGTCTGCAGGAAGCAAGGATGATGCGGGGTATTGGAGTTTAATCCACAGTTGTACTGTCCTCGCCAGGCAGTACATTGTCATGATATTTTGAATGTAAGCATTGATTTTTCAGGCATCCGAATAGAATCCGGACCACAGCTCTACACTGTTAGACGAATGGGCTTCGGCAAACTGGAAAGTGTGGAGAGATCCATTATGCTCTCTTCTCCAAAGAACCAGTTGAGGGTTTCCGCTCGACCCTCTACCCTTCTCTTTGTCCGGGTGCACTGGTCGCTGGCATTGACCTGTCACCCTTTTATCTGAATTCGGCCCTTGAAGTGCCTTGAAGTTCTCTTAGAATCTATACTTAGTACCTCGTTGTGGAGATCGTCAGGTACTGTTGTAATCAACCAATCATAGTACTAATTCAGAGTGGAGCTCGTAATCTATGATTGGTCAATGCGTAACGCGCTTCGTCGCGTGGCTCAAGGTTTTCACGCGACTAACGCGTGCTGATACGGAACGGTTTTCTTACAATACAACTCGTCAATTTCATCTCTAGACAAGTGTAGAGAGCTCCTCTACAACCTTGAAAGGCAAAAAGGATAGAAGGATTAGAAGGATGAGAATGCTTCCAGTGGTACTCCAGGGAATGGTATGGTAGGGGAGTAACTCCTGGTCCACTGAAGGAGGAAACCCTACGGAGTATCTTAGAAGTAAGAAGTATTAAAACGCGTCGGCCCGCACCAATTGGGGCCAGTGGCAAAGCCCCCAACGGATTCGTTGCTCATTCGCTTTGCACCTGATGCACGGTCTCAACTGCACGTCATGACATATGATTTTTAATTGAGTCATGAGGTCGATGATCGCTCCAGACTGGGAGTCTTTGTCAATGATCTATGGAGACAGAGCGGGCCTGCGACCGTATTAGGAAATGTAATGAGGACGCTAGATCAATATGCACGGTGCAGGTCGTTTCAGGGGCAGCTCGTGCCTCTCTCAGATTCCCCTCTCGAGATAACGAGGGTGGTTAAACTCCTTGCATGGTGGCCGGTCTCCTTTGAGCCCTACCCTCCTTTGTTTCACTGGGAGTCCACGAGTAGAGTGGGATGAGTGCGAGGGGTAGTCATAAAGCAATTGTAGAGTATATTAGAAAAAGCAGAGCGCGCTCTCTCTCTGAGTAGTTCGTACAGTGTGTAATCAACACCGGCAATCATAATCGTCATCGGTTAAGTCATTCGTTGCTTGAACCGGATTCCTCTCGCTTTGGACCTTGAATTACTTCACTCTTTTACATTATCATTACTGTCTTTGAAACTTCTATCATTTTTATTTCACTATCTCTCTATATTGGGCATCAAGACACTCTTCGTTGAGGAAAGTGGATCCTTTGTTGACATTTTTCGGGAGATGTTCGCTTGACCGTTTGCGTCCGAATTTCTTTTATCCTTTTATCGCCCCCTTCGCCCCCGCCAACTCTTTCCCTAACAACCACACTGAAAACAACAACCGTTTCCCAACCACGTCGCCAGTTCTTCGGAACAGGTGGATCTTGAAGCGCATCTCGACAACACTATCTTGCATTCATTCTTTACTCTCCAACACCGTCGTCGCGCCTATCAACCACCTCCGGCGCAATCGCCTGTCGCAAATCGCGCACAAATCCACGCGCAAAACAGTCGCAACTCTCGATTCTACACCCACATCCCTATATACATCTCTCTACATTCACTCAATCCTCTCTTTTCGCACCCAAAAAATAAAATCTTGCGCAAAAATGCTGCTCCCATCCGCTATCCCTTGCGATGTGCGCCGGTCGTCTCGCTTCACTCCAAGCCGTCTCTTCTCGACGCCTCCTCCCTCAGACAGAGGATATTCATCCGGTAATGGCCTTCTCGGTACCTGCCGCGCACTCCAATCTTTGTTACATGGATCTCCAAGCCCGTCACCGTGCCGATCCAAGCCGCAACGTCTCCAAAGTCCTCTTCCCATCAACGCTCCGCGCCGCTCACCGCGGACGCGCAACAAGGTCGCACGACCTGCATCACCACGACAAACCCCTCCTCCAATCACACTCGCTTCCACACCACCACCGCCTCCATCTGCGCCCGCGCGCGGCGCCAACAAGCGCCGACGCTCTTGCGAGGATGACGACAGCGACTCAGACATGGGCAGACGCAACCGTCTCTCCACACCCAAACGCCGTCGGCAAGCCCCCTACAATTTGCCGCTCGGCCTCTCTTCAACGGACTTTTATTCCCTACACTCTCCTCCCGTCACACAATCCCCTCCTTCTCCTGCTCAGCGCCTGATTGATGCGCGCATTCAAGAACCCGCGCCCATCAACCCAGATGCGCCTCTTCCTTCAATCGAATTGGAAGAATTTGCCCCGGCATCTTCTGATTGGACTGCTGAAGAAGACCAACATCTCATGGACCTAGTCCTTGAGAAATTCCGACTCTCCCAACAAGAATGGGATGAGTGTGCGCGCCGAATGGGCCGCAGCAACCAGGCTGATCTGGGCAAACGATGGAACTCTCTCGTTGGAGAGGGTCGCGTTGGTCTCCGTCCGGCCCGCCGATAAACCTTTGCTTCGTTTCAACCTGTGACCTATGTACTATACGACTTCCTCCGATGCCCTGATTTTCCTACAATATCCTGTATCACCACCCCTGTACTATCATCGCTGTACCATCACCTTTTGAGAACCCGACTTTTTTTTGACTTCTTTATTCGGGCTTTTGTTATTGGGCATTATCTGTTTTTGAGTCGCATCTGGCTATGTGAATACTGACCATCCGCCCGCAACGGGCTGCACTGACATTCTGGTTTGGGTGGTTTCCTGCACATTGATTTCTGCTCCAACTTGAGCAATGTATTCCTACGAAACTGTATTTTACTTATCGAGATACCACTGGACTTCAATCGCACTGTTTCAAGACTACCTCTTCCCTTGATATGCTATCTGTATGAACTCATCTAGATCACAAAGTCACCCTGTAGTCACATGCATCTGCATACAATCACCATTTCCTTGTACAAATTGCCAAGTGTTGTTATGCATGCATTATATACTCGGTTCCATTCCCCACGTCTACTAACCCCCTCTCGGATGCCCCACGGATCCCTCTTATCCGATTAGACTGCAGCCCCATACGCTTCGTGTAACGCCACTACGGGGGGTGCCGCTTGTATAGAGTAATCCTGGGTGAAAAGTACTTGATCTCTGGGGTTTCGAGCCGGGCCGGAGAGGGGGGAGGCAAGTGAGATTTCCGAGGACTAATGATGTCCCGACCAAGTGCCAGTATAAAATTCAACCTGAGAGTGAACTTCTTACCGATAACCATGCTCCTAGCCTAACAAACCATCCACTCTTAATTCACCTTTTGTGATAAACATGGCACCCAAACTTATGAAAGCCGCTCTCTGCAAAGAGGTAAGCCACTTATAGAGTCACACAAAGCCCAAACATCAACATAAATACAACATAGCCTGGCAAACCAATCGTTATCGAACATATCCCAACCCCAACCCCAACAGGCCGTGACCTCCTCGTCCGCGTCGAAGTAGCAACCCTCTGCAACAGCGACATAGGCATAACCCAATCAGGCGGCTTCGGCCTCTCAACCTATCCCCTGGTAATAGGTCATGAAGCCGTCTGCATAGTCGAAGAACTTGGCCCCGATGCATTGGTCTACGATTTCAAACCCGGTGACCGAATCGGCTCACCTCTATGGCGCGACATGTGTCTAACATGCTACGAGTGCACCAACATCGGACCCCAATTCTGCCCCAGTAAGAAACTGATGGGCCTCACTGCCCCAGGCTACTTCTGTGAATACACGCTTGTCGATGCTGCTTGCGCAGTCAAGGTCCCCGAGAAAGAGGGAATCCAGGCTGCGCAACTGTCACCGCTTTTCTGTGCAGGCATTACTGTCTGGGATGCTCTTCGTCGTGCCGAGCTGAAAGATGGCGAGACGGTCGCTGTTGTTGGCGTCGGGGGTTTAGGTGAGATGGGGGTGAAGTATGCGCATGCGATGGGATGTAAGGTTCTCGGGCTGGATATTAACGAGGAGCAGCTGAGGGGCGTTCTGGAGTCTGGGGTTGTGGATGGGATCGTGAATACGCGCACCACGGAGCCGGGTGATGTTCTAGGAGTTGTTAGGGAGTTGAATGGGGGAAGAGGTGTTGATGTTGTGGTTGTTACTTCTGGGGCGTTGAAGGCGTATGAGACTGCTATTGGGATTCTTAGACCTGAGGGCCGATTGATTGCTGTTGGGGTTCCGTTGGAGAGTGTTCCCCTGTCGATGTCGTTGATGGCGAGTTATGCTTTCAAGTGAGTTTGACCCTTTCTGTGGGAACCTCGGATGGGTGCTAATGCTTGGTAGGATCATTGGGGCGAAGGTTCATGGGCAGATTGGGTGTTCTGAGTGTGTGGCATTTTCGCATGAGAAGGGAATTTATCCTAGGATTAACCCGAGGGAATTTCAGTTGGAAGATATCAATGAGATGATAGCCTTGTTGAAGGCTGGCAATGTGCAAGATGGAAGGATGGCTATTCGGTTCTGAGACTTATATCATATGGACACATATTCTTTCGACATCCATTGACACAACTTTTCTTTATGGCCTGTCTTCTTCGTATTTACGAATATCTGTCAGCTTGAGTCTCTCGATGAAAAGCAATTCGAGTCAAAGTTGTACCTGTTATCAATATTCATAAAAGAGTATGGTCTCCGCCAGGTCAATCAGCCTGGACTTAAACAACCGCCAAGGCAAAGAATAAGTTTTTCTACACACGACGTAGGCATGTATAGAAAACCACACTAAACTGTAACATCATAAGCTATAAACAACCGAGTCTGAAATCTGCTTGACTGTTTTCATTAAACGACTAGGTGACGTTAAACGCTGCTGTACGAACAGAGAAAAGGGGCAACAAGAGAGATAAAATAGTACATAAGCAAAATAAGGGGAGCGAAGAAGAGGATCTACATGGTATGAGGCTGAAATGGTCTGAGTACCGGTCAGAGGATGGCGCTAGTCCTAATATAAACTCAAACAGCTGCCTGTTGCCAGAAACGCAGATCCCTACACGCTTGCCTCTCCCGAAGCCCCTCATGGCTGTCAACTTCCACTCTTCAACATCAAGCCCACAGAAATAATGGCAAGTCGTGACAGAAAGTACCTGCATTATGGAACCGCAATAAAAAAATGCCGAGATACTCCGGAAATCTTGGAGATGATCCTGGCTCAGATGGATATGCGCACGCTTCTCACCTCAGCTCAGCGAGTCTCTCGGAGCTGGTTCAACTTGATCAGCACGTCACCATCAATCCAAAAAGCACTTTTCTTCACTCCGATCAAAGACTCCGAATGGGGAATAGGAGCAAAGATACTCAATCCCCTATTGACTGAGACTTTTGTGTCTCTCTTTCCCGCTAAAGGCAAATCATATAGCTGTTGTTTCGATATTTGTGACTTGCCTATGGCCAAAGACGCCTTAATAATGACTCGATTCGCACGAAAAGACGCAAGCTGGCGCAAGATGCTAGTCCAACAGCCTCCCGTCTCGGGTATTGGGCTTTTCCCACTTCTCAGCTCACGCGGCCACCACGGCGTCAACTGCTATAGTATCCCGGTCGGTTTCGAACTTGCACAATGATCGGGCTTCAAAGCATCGAGTAGCTGATACATGAATTTTAGGCAGATCAAAAGATGCAGGAATCCGGACACAATGGTCTTCGGATGGAACGGCTCTTTGAGGTTTTGCTCTTGACTCGCTTCACCTCCCCGCACGTATATTGGTCTCCTGGAAAATCAATCGAGTTTGACAGGAGTAACTCCCAGGTAATCAAAGACGCATTTGATCTGCAGTTGAGCAAGTCTGGCTTAGTTCTTTGTACTGAAACGGCAATGCCGTGCGATGTGGTGCCAAGCCCCAGACGTCCTCCAAGCGCTGCGCAAATCATCAGGGAGAAGATTATCGCAGCGTTTAGAGAACAGGGCTTGGATGCTGATCTTAAGAGAAAGTGTATAAGGGAATCACAGGTGGGGGGCGATTTTGTCGGGTCCATCGACGTGTTAGTCGAATATGGCGCTTGTACGCCACCCCCACCGCGGAGGACAGTCAGGTAGCTTATCTTCTCTTTTGGTCATCTGCGATTATTACAGGAAGTTCCGGAACCTGCGTCATAATTGAGGCTCTTTGATTGTTCCGCAAACCCCAGATGCTATAATACTATGCCCTCTGCTAGGAGTTTTCCCGGGGTATTCCCAATTGAGCCAGATTATTTCTCGGGCTGATCCGCCACGTTGTATGTAGTACATATCTGACTACTTCCAAATGACCTAAAGAATTATTAGTCGGGCCCGCGCTAGCTTCATTGGTACTAGCTTTGTAATTGTAATTCAGAGGAATTCTACCTGGTAATTTACATATCAGCAATTACACTAGCATACGTTACGTTCGGAACCACCTGCTCGATTACATAATATTTTGCCAAAAGTTTACATCTACTTGAACTTCGCATAGTCTTATAAATGTTTGGTAAAAAGGCACTAGTCTATGATTCATGATAGTAGCATATTACCTATCTCTTTATTCTAGAATTTAATAAGACTTATGTTAATTATAAGCGTATTCAAAAGCGGTTACCTAAGATAAGTAGGCGTACCAAATGGCGGTCCATATAATGCTTTTAACCTATAACGTACCCTATTACGTACGGCATTACATTCAATTTAGTACTATGAGCGACTTCTCTATTAAGATAACTTCTATAAGTCCTTAGTGCCTACGCCTATGGGACATAATTAGAGCCTAGGTATTTCTTTCATATCATTTGTTGAGTTAAAACAACCTAGAAGAGAGATACATGTTCTTCAATACCGAAGAAAGCGGATAAGTTTCGTCTGAATTACATTTACTACGCTAGGACTAATGCGACTAGCCCGGGTCCAACTAGTAATTCTTTGGGTGCTTTTAACAATCTCCGTCTTATTGTGTATCAAACTGCATTGAGTAAAAGGTAGTCTATCTGGGGCTTGACCTCAATTGACCCTGTACAAATATTTGCAGCCCTTGTAAATTATCTCAGGATTACAAAGTACGCACTTGATTAATGAAAAGACTGAGGAAACAAAAAAAAAAAAAAAAAAAAAAACAACAGTTATTCTATGCCGGTGGTCACCTAGCGCCCACGATGCGTTGCGTGGGCGACTCGTCGCTTTATTCAGTCCTCTTCAGGGCAATCCGGGCACCTCTTTACCCACCTGAATATTCTTCACCTGAACATTTAGCCCGTGCAGGAAAAGGCGCCGTTGCAAAATTTGAGAGGATTTACTGTAGGTGTCTTTTTTTCTCTCTCCTTTCTTCACTAACGCTTAGCTTATACCGTGAATATAGAATGCGTACCTAGCATGATCTAATGTCGAATTACTCTAGAAGTATTATGGACTTCTCAAGTCACTAGAATATCGAAATTCTACGATAGGTCTCACTAAAAATATAATTAAATTATACTGATATCTGAGTTCTATTTAATAAGTAGGTAATAGGTAAAACTTACTGGCCTGGATCGACCCGCACATCTTTGAGTGTGCTGCCTTCGAGCGTTTCCCTCTTCAGTACTTGTTTTTTGGCCTATAGTTAAGGAACTCTAGTAACACCAAGTGATGGTCACTCAGCCGCCTCCCATCTGTCAGGCCCAGCGCTATAGTCTGTGAAGAACCGACCACGACAGGCATTGCATCTAGAATAATGGTCATAGCCAAATCAACACCGAATCGGATTTCAGGCCGCGTGCTCACTCTTCTACTATCTCGAGAGGGCCCCCATCATTGATCAATAGCCTTTGCAAATCATAACCCACTGCCAGGCCATTGCCTTCCTGCTCCGCTTCCCGATATCCGGGCGCATACCGATCGAGTTGTTTGCACACCCACTCTCGGCTGCGTACAGTATGTTCAACATACACCTCCGCGAATGGACGGTTAAAGTCAACACTTTACATGGAAGATCAGCACCTAGAGCATCATACTCGGGTAATATGTAGAGAGAGGATTACTCACGGCTCATTTTCCAATATTCCCTCCGGGGCCTGACATTTCTCGTCGTCTTCCATGTATAGCATAACGTCATATAATGGATCCGAATTCCTTCGAATCTGCCGGAAATGCTCGGGAAACTCCTCCATAACCATTTGAGCACGGTAAACTCGCTCTGGGGCGCCATTATTAGCAAACTCGACCCAGAGGGCTAATCCGGTCGTAAGTGTACGGTCGTCAATAATTAGCTTTGGAAAAGAATCCTCAAATAGCACAGTCCCATCTTGTGCCATATGCATATCGAAGAAGTTGGGTCGGGCGACACTTGCACGGAGTTTAAAGTTCTCTAAGACCCCGGAACCGGACGTGGTATCATCACGATCAGTAGGCATTAGAGCCGTTATAGATTCGGTCAGATATTCGTGGGATCCCTCCCAGTTAAATATTGAAAGAAGGCATTTGGAAAGGAGAGCATGAGTCATGGGGGTCCATTCGGAGATGCAAATACAGACATCTCCAATCATATGACCAGAAAATATCTATGATAAAGACAAAAATCAAAATGAAGGTTCTATTGAATACACTGGTATATTTCTTACACTCGGATTTTTATCAGGCGGTGGCTCATTCTCTGGCGCTCGGGATTGATAGCTCTGTCGTCATGTTAGGAATCATTCAAAAGCATAGCTTAGAGGAACGTACGTCGCGAAAATCCTGATTGGCAGTTGCCCACCTCCCAACAAGAGTTCGTCTTCTTTAATCTTCATCGTCACCGGTAGTCCATTGTTTCGTACAAAGTGCCGCCAGCCGCGAGTAGCGAGTTCAAAATCATCCACTGGCTCTTCGCTACGGCGAATGTAAGAGGGAAGGCCTCCTGGCTAGTGATTGTGAAGTTTTACCAATAACATGATGGATTCTTCATATAAGAAAATACGTGGAATTAAGACTTACGAGGGGTTGCAGGATATTCAGGTGCAAAATAGTGATGCCCAGGGCATTCAGGTGAAGAGGCTGAAAGAGCTGAGAGTAAGGCGGCAAGAGAGATTTCCCCGAACCAATAAAAAACATACAACAGTTAGGATTCGCATGTGGTCACCCACCATACTACTAACTAACCGGCGTGTGGCTTAAGTACGGCTGAGCGGACGGGAAGCCCTGTTCTCCACACCCTATGGTCGTATGTATTTGGGATTCCAGTAAAGGGGAATATAGAGTATAATTTTTAATATTGGTGAAAGAGCGGGCAGGAGTGAGAAGGGTGAGCGTGCAATAGATAGGGTGAGAACCAGGGTGAGAGCGGGTGAGAATCCTACGGGCCGGCTTGATTACCGCACAGGCCGCCCCGCCAGGGATCTGGAGACATTATCGGGAAAGAGCGTAGGCTTTTGAATCACTGGTCACTTTGTATCTGCACACAGCCACGCCTAAGCTTTGTTTATTGGTTACTAAGGATACGAAAAAGTACAAGGTGTGGCATAAATATGTTGTTACCTTGATTTTGGGTTGAGACGGAATGGCTGATCACCAAAGGGTAAATAAAGGGGGGTGTTTCGGCGCAGCACGCACGGAAAATTCTCGAGCAGGAAGCTCGAAAAATGACCATACTTATGGACAAGACTGCTCGAAATGATCTAACATCGCAAGCCTGTGCAAAAGCTCCATGCCTTTCTCAACGGGATGTTAGCGAGTGTAGGAATGTCTATATTAAATCATCAGTTGATCGTTTGTTCTGACTGCGCTAGGCGCCAAATATATATCGAAAGTCATCCGCCTAGAGCCTGTCCTAGACCATCCTAGAATTATGGATATTCAATCCGTGTGGCTTTGCCCCATATATTTGCCCCATATAGTTGCCCCTGTAAGTCCGTGGACATCCGTCACAGACAGTGATGACCCAGTCTCGCATCTAGTGTCATTATACCTCACTTGGGGTTATCCTTTCTACGCTTTTTTTTTTTGCCGTGAAACCTTTATTGAACATATGCGATCTAGTCAGCTGAACTCGGACTTCTGTAGTCCCTTCTTAGTGAATATTCTTCTCGCCAATGCGTGTGTAGGAGTCTGTATCTGAACTTTCAGCGATAAGAAGCTAAGACCCTGCTAACTTTATATAGTTCTACTCAGATTATTCGGAGGCTTATATTTTATGCGGAGATGTGAAAAGCAAAGATAGCCATTTTCTGGCTGAGGCAGAAAGACATTTAAAATCGCATCAATTTGAGAGCAGAAGCGATATACGTGTTTCTTCCTTGAAGGCGAAAAATTTTGTATGAGAAGTAATATACCCTAGATGCTGTGGCGCGCTATTGGATTATTTACTCTGGATTTGTCGTTCCGCAGGTACTCTATGGATGGTCCCGATAATGCACCATCTCAGCCTTGGACATGCGGGCGTCTCCGAGTCTCTATGCGCCATACTCGCAACACATACGAGCACGATATCGCACCGCATCCTTGTTGGCCCGTGGATACTACAATCTCCCAGGGTCTCCGATCAAACTGACTATGTCGCCTCCATGGCCCACTGCGCTCAACCCGCCCGAACAACATGCTATCCCCTTCATCGTTGCGAGCCATCAACGACGCTCACAAAGGCCCCTTGCTACGTGCCGTTACCTCAAAAGATCGACCGAAATGCTGCTCGCTGCGGTATACTCCCTCGCCGTTGCCCACTGCGGATGTATGAGCGATCCTCTGAACCCAGCGCCCAATCTCTGCATAGCCCACCGCTCGCCGCTACAAATATTTTTCTATACAAGAGTGCTCCAACACTCTTATAATTGGAGTCTTCTTGCGAAAAAATGCATGACGTCTAGACATGCTGCAATCAGCGTCCTGGAGGCACCCCGGTGGTCTCCAGGAACGGTGAATAGCTTCTGGGACAAAAGCCTTTCTAAATTTAGACCCTTGTCTGCATTTGCGGGTCAAAATTCCAGCAGCGCTGTACATAGGTGGATATGTGATAGGGTCTTCCACTGATTGGTCTCCCATCCACTGAATATACTCACGGTGTGAAAATGGAAATTCCGGAAATAACATCTGAGGTGGTGATCTAGTTGAACTTTTCACCCTGGGTCATACTGCACTCTCTGAGCTTTGGTATGATCTACATTGGCCGAACACTATTACATTCCCCTAGAGACACGCGCTTTGCCAGATTTCCGTGCGTTTCTGAAGGAGAAACACGCCGATTCAACCTTGAAATTTCTTTGTGGGCCGATGAGAATAGAGATGTCTGTGTCAATTGGTGAAATATTTCTAAATGCTACTGTGGTACGATTTCTGACCACAAGGCTAAATGGCAGACTGTATCTTCATGCATGACTGACATACCAAAACCTACTTACTGGTATCAGAAACTATACTGGTATTGTATGGTTCATTGCGCGTATTACAGCATGTGTAATATGCGTAATATTTCCTCACCTCCCTTGGGGTATCTGACGTAACAAGGCGTATGCATCGTTAAGCGAGAGATCTTTGTCCACCATTTTCTTTTCCAATGACGCCCATAAAGTTACTGTGTTACTTCCAACCTTTAGATCAACCGCCTGGTTCTCCCACTCTTCTTCGAATAGAATCAAGTTTATCATCATCTACTCAATTGAACGATATCGTCTTTTGACTGCTTGTTCTTCACTATGTTATCAATGACTTCGAAGGTAATTGCCATCACAGGCGGGGCGTCTGGTATTGGTGCTGCCACAGCTCGCCTCATTGCCGAGCGTGGAGCTTCAGCAATTTGTGTGGGTGATCTCTCATCGCACCTCTTTGACGACTTGAAAGAATCTATTCAAGAAATCAATCCGTCGACTCGAGTGCACTGCACCGTTTTGGATGTGACACAATCCGTCGAGGTTGAAAAATGGATTCAAGAAATTGTGGATTTGTTCGGAGATATCCATGGTGCAGCCAACATCGCCGGTATTGCCCAAGGAGAGGGTATCCGGAAATCGCAACCCAATATTCTCCATGAGACAGATGAGGAATGGGCAAAAATCTTTCGAACAAATCTTGACGGGGTATTTTATTCGACAAGGGCCCAAGTGAGAGCCATGAAAACTCTGGAAAAGGCCGATCGAAGTATCGTCAATGTTGGAAGCATCGCCGGCATGTTTCATGTCCCCGACGTCTATGCCTACGGGACATCAAAAGGTGCATGTGCTTATTTCACCAAATGTGTCGCGAAAGACGTGATTGACTTTGGAGTGCGCGTGAACAATGTCTCTCCAGGTAATTACTTCCATCTTTTTCTTCCTCGGCGTAGCTTAGATAGTAGGTGTGAAGGGACGAGAACTAACTTGACCCAGGAATTACGAGAACTCCACTGCTGCCTCAATTTAACCCCTCCGCAAAATCCATAGATGAGATTGAAAGGATGTATAAAAAGGACGGATTCATGCTTTTGCAGCCGGAAGATATTGCCCGGACTATTGCCTGGCTACTGAGTGACGACTCTAAACCGGTGTATGGTGCAGACCTCAATGTTGGAGCTCCCCCACCATGAGGTCAACTTCATGCTCAACACTTGGCTCTGGCAATAGATACACGTACGAGAGGACAGAACAACCCACATGAATGGAACCTTACTTTTTCCCCCCAAATTTGTCCATAACGATGCATCTACAAGGTAGATAGCAATTGAAACTCCCTCTGGAAATCTCTTTCATACGGGTGGAGTTTCATGTGCTCCGCATCATCGGAATTTCAAGCACAAATAGACTGAGATACCTCCAAGGAAGACTAGGGTATGTAGGGAGTAGGTAGCCTTAAAATTTCGATGTGTTATCGTTTCCAGCGTAGGCTCCGACAGTTAGGTATTTGCTAAACCCATATCGACATGCCAAGACTAGAGTATTGAAACTCATGAAAAGTTACTAGCTGTAATTAGCTGTAATTTCTTTTTTTTTCGTTTCGTGCTTCGGTCTTTGCTAAACCGATCATCTCGGGCTAGTTGAAATACATAAGCTAGCGCTGCCTTCCCAGAATTAGGTTCTCACTTTTTTTTCCCCCTAGATCTGTCCTTGAGTTCACTCTCACCTAGGCATTTTCCCAACGAATATGGACTTTGTCAGAGTATCTCCGCAAAACAGGCCATGGCTTGTCCAATTCAGATCCTCGGAATCATTTACGGTTTTTGTTGTGACGATTGCAATTTTAACGGTGAGGCCCGCATATTTGGTTCTTATTCTATAAGCGAAGTTTAAGACTAATGAATCACATGCACAGGATAGTTTGATGTATAACTTGGTAAGTGAAAACCCACTATTATACAATTGTGAATCTGGCGGAAGCAGTCCTGAAAGAGCATCGCTTAATGGAAACTTAGATTGTGCCCGTGATGCCGAAAGCCTTGGTTGTTGACATTGGAGTGAAAGAGCAACATGTACAGAAATGGGTGTCGCTCATGCAGGGAGCGTATGGTGGCGCCCTACTCTCAGCCGCTCGTGAGGTTTCACGGATTCTCGAGTCTGAGGAGAGATGATTAGCTAACTAATCATCTCAGTTCCTTTGGGATTTTTTGCCGACAGATACCACTCTCGAAAGCTTCCATTCATCCTCGGACTGCTCGGCCTGGCTCTTTCGACTGGTCTTTTCATGATTGCGAAGTCACCAATCGTGCTGGTAGTTGCCAGAGGACTCCAAGGCCTGTCAGCTGCAACGCCGTTCGTTGTAGGTCTTGCTCTCATTGCGAACACGGTAGGACCCAACCGTCTTGGGGAGGCCATGGGCCATGCTACAGCTGGTATGACATTGGGATCTCTGATTGGACCAATCATTGGTGGTCTTTCGTAAGTCCAATAACTAGTCATTATTTGGAGCGGACCTCCCAGAATACTGATCTTCTGCCAGATATGACAATTTTGGCTACAAGGGCACATTTTATATTCCAATTGGACTTATTTGTCTGGACATGCTGCTCCGACTCGCTATCTTAGAACATTCCGGTATGAAGTTTCTAATGCCCGCTATAATGTTGTCTTTACCGTGGTCTGATAAAAGACTGGCTGATTAGATGCCACTCACTCAAGCCCGGAACCAACCTCCAGCTCCCTAGACCCCGAAAGCCAGGCCTATAATACCTTTCCGGCCTCTTCATCACATGCAAACCCAGAAGAAAACACGAGGGCTCCTTTGCTTGCCCAATCTTTGCCTCATAAAAGTCTGAACGACGTGTCCAACTTGAGTCCACTGCTGTTTCTCCTCGGTTTGCCTCGTCTCCAGTGTGGAATATTTGGATGCATTGTTATTTGCTCAATCCTGTCAGCTTTGGAAGCGGTATGATCCCCGTGTTTTCTCACAGAAAGCAAGCCACATTCTGACATTGACTACAGACTCTTCCTTTGTATGTGATGGAGATATTCCACTGGACAGCCACTCGAAGCGGCCTCATTTTTCTGCCCATGACATTGCCGAGTCTCGGAGGATCTCTTGTCGGAAAGATAATGGACAAGTTCGGTGCCCGGATTCCTACTGCGATTGCTTTCTTGACCTCAGCAGTGGCTCTGGGTTGCCTCCGCTTCGTCACGGTGGATAATTCTTCGAACCATTGGTTACTTGTTGGGCTTCTGATCGTGTTCGGATTCACTTGCTTGGGTGTCCAAATAGGTTTGATGACCGAAATCTTCCGAGTAATTTCAGAAACAGAAGAGAGCCATCCTCAAGTTTTCGGGGGCTCGAGTGCTATATCTCAAGGATACGGTCTCTATACCATGGCTAGTGCCGCGGGATTGCTCATCGGGCCGCTCCTTGGAGGATCCCTGAAGAACGCTATCGGCTGGGGCGGATTGACCTTGTCTCTAACAAGTGTTTGCACTCTGGCTGCAGTTCTGATCCTTCGCCTTAACGGTCAGACCAGCCACCGTGAATGAGTTTATATAAGAGATTGAAGGCCTTTCGAGCAACCCGATTCAAGTTTAATTCTCTAGTGTTGGTTCAAATGGTGCCTTGCACGCTCTGATTTATGTTTGGCAATCGAGTCATGCCCATGGTTAAAAATACATTCGTTTACCCAGAAATCAGAACTGCTTAATATCTCAGCCAGTCAAGAGGCAAAAGCGAATTCACGCGATGAATCGATCCACGGTTCAGCTTGCACATCCCCTCAACATCCCAATTCTCACTTCCCACACCCAAACGCGTGATAAAAATCTCTTCTGGATCCCAGATTTGCTTCAATTTTAGTAAATAATCGTAGCTTTTGCCCCAAAATATTCTTGGTGCACCTGGCTGGTTGGGATCCGGCAGATTCACGTAAGAAACATTGAAGTTAGGTTCAAGAGAGTAAAGATGTGGCATTTGCACATTGGTTAACTCAAACAACGCGGATTCCTTCCTTTCCACGGATAGACCACCGACATATCGAACGTAAGTGAGCAGCTGAGAAGATGACCTCCAACCAGGATGCATTGAAGTCTCACTATCGGCTCTTTCTGGAATCTCTGATACACGCCCTCCAAGATTGCTGGTAAAAAGTAAATCACCCGGATGCAAGGAGAAGCGGGAAAAATTCTCTGAAATTTCTCGCGGGCCTTTGGAAGAGTTGAACATGGAGGTGGAGATCAAGATGGATCCAAAAAGGACTCCGTAGTCCGGTGGATAAATATCTGGTGCGTGTCGGAGAGCAGAGTTCAAATTGGGAAGACATCTTGACTGAACAGAATGGTGGATTGAATTTCCACCCTCACTTGAGCTCAGTTTGTCTTTTAATTGGCGAATGTCATCGTCGGGGACATAGTCCTTTTTCCTTTCCAGAAAGAACACCTCAAGGCTAGTCTGGGCCAATTCTTCACTCGGTCGCGTCAATTCAAACTGACCTACAATCCCCTTTCTATTAAGAGACTGCAGAGTTTCCAGTAGAGGCTGTACTCCATGTTTCCAGAAAGTTGGTTCATGATACGGGCCCTGCAGAACGAATTTCTCGGTGCATATGGGAACATCGGGAAATGCTCTTACAGTGACTCGTGTGGTAATGCCAAATGTGGCACCGCCGCCGCCGCGTAGAGCCCAGAAAAGATCCTTGTTCTGGTGTGCATTTGCAATGACAAGGTCGCCCTGAGCAAAGAAAGAATCAACGTGTGTAAACAAAAAGAAAATGAACATTTCTTCAAGAAGCCACTTACACTTGCAGTCACAATTTCGTATTCCAGTACATTGTCAACTGCCAATCCTCTTGTATGGCTGAGAATGCTCGACACTCCTCCTCCAAGAACAAACCCGCCTGTGGCTCCAACTGTTGGACACTCTCCTCCAACAACGGTGTAGCCGTGATGAGCACCCTGTGCATAAAGATCTCCCAGCATGACACCTGCTCCAACTGTCACAGCGGGCCCTTCACCTGATACGACAGATCCGATGGGCGTGAAATCATGATGATAGGTGATTTCTTTCATACGGTGAGTATCGATCTGGAGTGAGTCAGGGCCACTTGATCGTCCTGCTCCGTCGTGACCAGTGTTTCGAATAACAAGACGCAGATTGTGCTTCCGAGTAAAGGAAATAGAGCTTTTTATGTGGGCGACAGACTCGACTGCTACTGAATATAAAGGAATTCTACCCTGGTGACATAACGCTCCTTGGACCTTAGGACCAAGTACGTCGCATGTCTCGTTGGTACTGGAGCCGCTTTCCCAAAGCCAATCTTGTAGAGCTCCTGAATGAGAATAGTGAGCACGATTCGACCCCAGCACAATGACAGAAACATGAGCTTCATGGCGCGGCTATTTACCTGGCTGCGACGCTCTCCAACCACTGTTTCGGTTCGAGTGTAAGAATTCACGACAGGACTCTTCATCAAATGTAGACTCATGGCAGACGTTTCCAACCGGCGCCAGCTTGATTAGGTTCCCGTCAACGGTGTTATTCAAGGCTTGCCATTGTTCCTCTGATGGCCAACATGGTTGTTCTGGTCCACATCTACAGGCTTCAAATGGGGTTGACCAAGCTAGAAACAACCAGCCTAATAACAGCCCGATGAGAATTTTCATTAGATCACGATTTTTCTTTCGGATGACGGCTCGCTACCCGAATGAAACTAATGGAAGGATTGGTGGTGGGTAGGTCAAATTAATGGCGTGTCCAAAAATTCTATTCCGATAACGTAGTTATATTACGTTCTGGTAATGGTAACTGATATTCGATCTGCTCAGCAGATCCTGTACAAGGGGGACACCAAAGTCTCCGTAATGGCCCAACTTTCAAACAGATACAATACAAGTCGCAATGTACACGTATCCGTAATTGTATTTGGTTATGTAAAATACATGTCATGATACACAGCGGTAATGATCGCTCTAAGCTTGACGAGCAGCGATGAATTCTGAACTGAACGGGTAATCCAAATAACCTTCCTTTGACAACGACGTGTAAAACGCAGCGCGGTCGTATGGAGCAAGTTCAATGCCTTTCTTTACACGGAACGGCAGATCAGGAGTGGAAATGAAAAAGCGGCCGAAGGCAACAGCCACATTGTCATAGGATCCGTAAACAACATCCACCAGATACTTGGCAGAATCAGCATTGTATCCACCTGCCAGCAAGATGGGTTTGTCAGATCCCCATGCATGCATGAACGCCTCATGGTGTGGGTCAGGGTGAGTGGTGTCCTCGTCCAGCCACCGCGAGTTAGCAAGGTGGAGATAGGCAATGTCCAGATCCCGCAATCGCCGAATCAGGTAATGGAACTGGTCCACCAGGCCCGACATGGTGCCCATTCCCTGATACTGACTCCAAGGCGACAGCTTGACACCCACGCGGTTAGCCCCGACAGCTTGCACCACTGCTTTCGTGACTTCGAGGGCAAAGCGGGCGCGATTTTCTATAGTACCTCCCCATTGGTCTTTGCGCTGGTTGCTCGACTCCTGCAAAAACTGGTCGATCAGGTACCCATTGGCTCCGTGGATTTCCACACCATCGAAACCAACTTCGATGGCACGCCGGGCCGCGTTCGCGTACTCCTGGATATACCATTTTGTCTCGGTCTCAGTAAGGGCCCGTGGCTTCGGGCCCCCCTCTAGCGGAATCTCACTGCAGGAGACATATTCACGATCATTGGCGGCCAGGATCTCAGGCTCCGCACCGCGACCGGTCGCCCAAATTTGCAAAAATGCGATCGAGTCGCGTGAGTGGATCCGCTCCACAATTTCTCGCCACGCTTGCATCTGGGCATCTGTCCAAATGCCCGGGATATTGGCAAAGCCGCCTGCCTCGGGGGAGATATCAGTTGCCTCGGTTATGATCAGAGTTCCTGGAACAGAAGCTCGCTGCTCATAGTAGTCCTTAACAAATGGCAGCGGGACGCCAGCTGCATTAGCACGGAATCTCGTCGTCGGAGCCATAGCCATGCGATGTTGGAGGTGATTGGTGCCAATTGTAAGAGGCGTAAAGAGCTTAGAGTTTTGCATCTTTCTGGAATGACGAATTTTCGATCAGATGGTTTTCAGCGTAATCTCGGCAAGAATATTTCTTTCGAGCTGAGTTATACCAAGACAGAGTGCACAAGAATAACGAAGCAAGGGAAATTAGGAAAGGAAGGTGAAGTGAAAGTGACAGGTAGATCGGAAGATAGGCCGGGCCTTTTCCTTTCTAGCAGTACTCGTATCAGATACGTGATCCTTCAAACCAGTCGTTTATTTTCTAGATCTCCCGATTCTATTGGAGTTATTCTGCAAGATAGACTCGCTGTCATCATCTCAGTCTCCTCCTGTACTTCCCACCACTCCTCAAATGAATTAAAACTAAAACAAAATCATTCGTTACAAAGCCTATATATTCGTAGGGCTAGTGAAGACAGTCAATGCCCTTGATAACTAGTGAAGAGGGGAACGCTCGATGGCAGTGCACTCTAGGTACACGGGTCGATCCAGCAATGCAAACAAACCCCACAGCAAAGCCCAATCCGCGTACGTCCAGGACGAGATCCCACTAATAGGGGCCTGATGAGAGAGGTGTAGGAGTGTAAATTTCTGTAACTAATACTAGTCTATAGTTTTTGTACAGGAGATCCTTTCTCAGCCAAAATTCTCTCAGTTGCCTCCCGAACACGATCTCCAAGCTCTGGAAGCACTAAGTGGAAGGTAGCATATACTCGTTCACGGATCTCCTTCTTAGTTTGCGAGACTGAGACTCCCAGACTCTCTACCAATCGATCCTGGAACTCCTGACCACGGAGCTCGGGAATGATGTTGAAAAATTCCCGGGGGAACTTGTAGTCATCATCATTTGTCTGGGCCCATTCCCGCGATGAAATCTTTCCAAGCCATTGATTATATTTGGGATCTGGCTCTGACGACTCTTGGAAAGCCATAGACGGCTCGCCTGTCATATATCCGGGTAGCGAACCATGGTTTTTGTCAAATGTCCCCGCCCCGTCTCGCAACAGAGGGTTATGAGTGTTATGGGATCGATTGACTGGAATGTTTTGATGATTCACGCCTAGTCGATAGCGCTGAGCATCCGGATAGGCGAACATCCGAGCCTGCAGAAGTGGGTCTTCCGAAGGTTCGACTCCGGGAACGAGGTTTGATGGAGAGAATGCTAGTTGCTCAATCTCGGCAAAATAGTTGTCAGGGTTTCGGAACAGAGTAAGCTTTCCAAACGGCTTTGCAGGGATGGTAGGGAGATCTTTTGGATATGTTCCCAAGTTCCAATGCTTTGTCGGATCAAGAATGTTGAACCCAACGTCCGCGGCGTCCTTGGGATCGATGACCTGAATATTGGCCGTCCAGCTTGGGTTTTCGCCTCGCTCGATTGCCTCGTAGAGATCTTGTGTCGCGGCGTCCGGGTCAAGGTCGCGTGGATTAGGAGCTCTATTTCCTTCGAAAAAGGTTGGGCCTGTGTCGGATGAAAGGAACATGTGAACGTATTTGAAGCTTCCATCTGGCATGACCCACTTGTATGCGTGGTTTACATATCCACTCATGCCTCGCCAATTGAACATGGTCCCAAAATCACTAAATTGGACGAGGATCATGTGAAGAGACTCATGATTACAAGTCACCCAGTCCCAGAACATGTCCGGATTCATTCGATTTGTTCGCGGGTCTCGTCTCTGAGCATGCATCAAGCTAGGGAACTTGATAGGATCTCGGATGAAGAATAGAGGGAAATTCAGGCACACCCAGTCCCAGTTTCCCTGTTCCGTATAAAATTTGGTAGCCATGCCTTTGAAATCCCTCACCATATCTGCCGATCCCTTTTCAAGAGCGGTCGTGGAAAAACGGGTCACACAGGGTGTTTTCTTGCCAACGCCGAGGAGCATATCGATATTGCAAATGTCGGAAACATCTTCAGTTACCTGAACCACCAGACGACATTCCTCGTTAGATAATGCTATAGTATGGTATGCTGACCGTGGCACCTACCTCGAATTCTCCGTATGCACCGGCCCCGTTAGCATGGACGATGCGCTCCGGAATTTTCTCTCTGTTGAAATGTGACAACATCTCAATCATATGGCGATCTGTCATCAAAACATCCTGTCCGATGGCGGCATTGCTTTGAGGCGGTCTCATAGGACATCCATTCGCAGCTGTGTAGGTAGGTGCCTTTGCTGACTCCACTTGGGGTTTATTGAAGTCATTTCCAGGCATTCTGGCGATCGGATTTTGAGGGATACTGTTTCAATGTGGGAAGTCGAAGGATAGTAAAGAGGGACATACATGACGAGCTCCAATAGTGCGTATTCACACCGCCAAATCTAATCCTGCCCACTCCCACCAGTACGTAATGCCTGATTACTACTCACTTCGATCTTTTACGCAATTTGCTGTGTAACCGTGCGTTTGTCTGGACTTTGGAACGTCCTCCAACAAAGCTCAGGCTTCATAATCTCTAGGTAAAATAACATAACGCGAACGTCCATGGTCATGCTCTCCACACATACTCGGTACTGCCACTCCATATGATAGAACAGATTTTCGTATTGCTCCACTTCGTCAATATGGCTATCTACCGGATCACGGAATGCCACGAATCTCCCCCCTCGAATTTGCTGGCGCGTTGAGCCTTTTCTATGGCATCAAGGGTGTGGGTCATCGTTACCGGAGGTGCAGTACTTAACAAGGCTATTTTTCTATGATATCGCTCATGTGGTTGGTGCCAAGCGTCCCGCATAGGTCCACTCGGGTAACAGGCTACATTGTCCGCCCGATCGGAGAATGATCGAACTCCGACAAAGCGGATATTGTTGCATTTCAACTGGACGCGCTAGTTTCAGGGGACCAAACCCGATCGTTTCCCGATTGTCGAATTGGATCGAGCGGGATCGCCATGTCGATCGGGAAAACACGTTCTCAGCTGGCAAGCCACAAAAGTATGTAAAACACTGCTGTCTTGGAACCGCGCGGGAAGAGTGGATACTGTAAGATAGACTAATGTGGAGTGTACGTACAGTACCACTTGTCACATCAAAAGGGTGCTCGTTTCACAACCGCTTTGTGTATTTTCTCATCAGTGGTAATCTGCCCTCGATGAACACCAGATCCCCGGTATCATTGAGACCAAACATGGTTCTTAGGTATATGCTCTCGAAGCTTATAGGGGGTTTGAGACAGATGTATGCAATTTGTATACGATCGTGGACAGACAGAAATGAACGAAATTAGGAAGCGGAAAGCTCTAACTCAATACGCAAATTATTCAACGCATTCAAAGGTTTGATGCCAGTAGGTGTCGAAAAGACATCCAGGGGATCGACTGATGTTTTTATCAGCTGTAACCTTGCGTGGTTTTCCTCCCCGTAATATTGTCGAGGGTGAATTCCAAATACAGGAGTGCCCGCGTATGAGAGATACTTGTCTGGCCCCCCATCTCCCCCTTGTAAGAGCCGAGTGGCGTTCCGGCTGAACTCATAGGCAGCCTTGGGTGTTGGGGAAGGAGTTTGAATGAATGTTGAGAAAAAGTACAAGGTGTCCCGATGTGGGTACGCTGTCGCACCTACAGGCACAGAGTTGGCGACTCCACCTTGCACATCAACGAGGGCCATCCACCGATCCGTTCCAGCATCGGCAGTCGAGAGGTGATCGAAAAGAGCATTCAGGTCAACCGCTGACGGAATCTTGCAGTATGGAATGACGACATCTTCGGAGTGAAAATAGGAGGGCTGGTCATTGAATCCACCCTCGCCAAAGGAGTCGAATACCTCCGACATGTATTCTATCCACGTCTTTGATGGACCCACAGTGTGAGAATCAAGGTTCGGGATCCAGTCCTGGATTTGAAGAGCTGAAAACTCAGCTTCTGGACCCATGAAGATTCCTCCGATCATCAAGTTGCTCTTGGCGATCATTGCACGGATGCTGAGTTTCGGGTGGAGATGTGGATCCTGAATGAAGCTATGAAATGCTTTGAAAGTTTCGAGCTGATATGTATTCCCAGATTTGGTCATGTAAGAGAACGGAAGGATTGACTGTGGCTCAGGTATTGTCTGGAACCTGAATTCAGTGACGATACCAAAACTCGCTGCAGCACCCCGTACGGCCCAGAACAGGTCCAAATGAGCATTTTGGGACGCAGAAACGATTTCACCGCTAGCGAGAACAACCTGTGCTTGGACCATGGCATCGAGCATGACTCCGTGGACACGTCCCAGAGCACCCAGTCCGCCAACGGTGGCATGACCACCAACCCCTACACTGGGACAAGAACCATGAGGCAGACATCGTCTTCCATTATCGTGAAGACCCTGCACCAGGACACGAAGTTGTAGTCCTGGTCCGACTGTCGCTATTCCGGCCTCATCAACGGATAGCTGTTGAAATGCTGTCATATCTACCACGATCGCACCATCCGCAGCCCCGATCCCTATGCGTAATGTTGTTACTACAAGCACCCAGAAATGGTCGAGGTGGTATACCTTTGTTTATATAGTCATGGCCGCCACTCCTGGCCTGTAGAGCGACTCCGTGTTTAGAGGCCCATCTCACAATCGCAGATACGCCCTCGGCTTCTTCGGGGTAGATAACTGCAAATGGCCGATAAGGATAGTTAAGATTCCGCGGACGAACACTCTCATGAAAGTCATGATCATCATTGAAGATGATTCGAGTTGAAACTGGGAGAACACCCCTGAGAGATGATCTCAGTGTTCCCTCCGCTTGTTGACTCGGAATTTGCATAGTGTAATTGTTCGAAGATGTTGTTGGTGACGGGTACTGAGAACAGGTAGGAGAAAGTGGTGGCTTATGCGAGAACTCATAAAATACTCCAGGTTGAAAAGATGTATTGGGAATTGGGATGAAAGGTCACTAAGACAATACATGGTCAAAAAGAAGATTTCCCTATTGGAATTTCTGTTACGCAACTATTATAACTTTATCTTCGTACAGTACGGCGTTTCAGATTGGAAGCTACCATGGTAACTCAGCCGTAAAAATGAAGCAATAAAATGCTTCTCAGCTAGATAAATCTCGCGCATGTTTGACGGTCGCTAGGAGCAAATGGTAAACAATTGTGCTTGGAGGAGGCAGTATCAGCCCTCCCTTGTAGTCAGGGCCGGGCTGTTCACCCAGGTCACTTATCCCAATCTGAAGACCTTCCTCAACCTCAACAATATCAAACCACCGAGCATCTTCAAGCTCAGGATCATGGTCAAGAGAAATAGTCTCTGACTCTTTGTCTCGCGCGTACCCAATAGCGCCGATCATCAGGCTAGCAGGGTATGGCCATGGTTGACTGGAATGAATTACAACTTGCGAAATGACGACTCCCGCCTCCTCCCATATCTCTCTGCGAACTGCGTCCTCCACTGATTCGGCTGGCTCAACGAATCCTGCGAGTGGTGAATACCATTTGGGCGGTAATCTTTTAGACCTGCCCATCAGGATTCGCTTGAAGTCGGCGGACAGGACCGCCGCAATAATGGTTGGGTCGGTGCGAGGAAATGATAAATTGGAGATTGTCGTACGCGTAGCACATCCCAGGCGTTCAACAAAGCCGGATATACCTCTGTCAATTTCAGGACAGACTCGCTTTGCTCCTGCATGGACAGACATAGTTTGGCTTCCACAGCTGCCACAGAAAGCATTTCTAGTGTTCCAGTCTACCAGAGTACGAGCCTGAGCGTATATTGCAGCTTCAAAAAAACTCAGCCTTCAAAACATACGAAGTTTTCCAGAAAACGTACCTTCATCTGGTGTGAAAGACATGATGATCTTCCCTTGGAGAAAGCTTAATCCCTGGCTCTCGAAAGCCTCAATAGTCTTCTTCCGCACACTCTGTAGCTCTTTGCCTTCTACTGGTGTCAAATCAAGCGCAAAGACCGGGGTTCCCTGGTACTTGCCCCAGAAAAACCCATCCGAGCGACTCTCATCTATACCTAGAAAGATCAAAAGTGGAGGCACATTGCTGGAGTCAAAGCATTTGATCGCGTCTTTCTCGCACATGGAGAAATCAGTGCTGGGAATAAGACTTTTTATGTCCTGATAACTTGCGTAGTGCAACTTGGAGGGTATCTTCACTAGAGGTGCCAGATTCAGAAGAAGCACGAATTGGCTAGACGGGTGTGTCAAAGCTGCAGAAATGAACGAGGGATCATCTCGTAGAAATGAAAGCCGATTAAGAGGTGATCCTGTTGAAGTCAGCTCTATTCGGAGGTAGCAAGTGATGGGTGTTGACTACGGGAGAAATAGTTCACTGTCTCCATAGTCGGGGGTCTGTGATTGATCTCTCCTCAGAGAGAACTGCAGAAAGATGGATGGCTAAGTTGAGTTTGCAAAAACAAAACAGAGCACAGAAATATGGACCGAGATTATACTTGATTAAACTATTCTTCCTGGTCTCCCGATGCCTGTATACATTACCACGAACCGCCTTTCCTTCCAATTTTGAAATACTATCGTATCGTATTTGGACGCGATTTTAAAAATACTGCGAGTGCAATACGCACGGTCAGCTCGTAAGTGTACACGTACATCCATTCAACTGTATTCACAAAGAAAGGGGTGGAGGAAGAAAGGAGAAAAGGTGGAGAACGCTGAATAAGACTGGAAACTCAGTAGCGAGAACCTGGTATGGAAAGGTGGGAGGGTCTGCAGTGGGTATAGAATACGTCATGTACTGTGTGTATTTTGTCAATGCATGTACCTCATTGATGGGAGTCTCAACCCAGAATTTGCAACCTCCAAAAGTGGAAGATGTGAAAGTGGGGCTATGGTAGTTTCCACAGCTGAAAACTTGCCGATCCTTCTCTTGAAATCATGTTGGGATTGTTCTATAAGATGTCATCGGGGAGTTCGTGGAATATGCGATTCCCCACCCATAAGTTCGATTCAGGGCCAATTAAAAGCGGGTCTGACCGTAGAAGCATTCGATGCTCAAATCGTAAATTTCCTGGTCTTCGTAAAGCCAAAACAAGTGTATTATCGCATGTAATTTATTACTGAAGCAGTCTTGATTCGGAGATCACAGTTTGAACCATCAATCTTTCCAAGCTGTCGCACTAGACGCTTTATATTTTCACACTTCACCCTGGTAAGTCAGAATATAAACCGAGCTTAAATAAATCGACTTATTGCTAAAAAGAACTTCAGCCGAACCTCCAGCACTATGAAGCCTTTCCTCGAGACACAAACCCCTACGGTATCGAATGCCTCCGATGCCGAAGTCTATCGGATTCTCAGTGCCATTTTTGATTTCCCAAACGAAGACCAGAAGCTGTGGTGGCATAGCACGGCCCCAATGTTTGCGCAGATGCTGAAGCTTTCCGGCCTTTACGACCTTCACACCCAATACAAATTCTTGGGTCTATACAAGAAATCAATCGTGCCATTTCTTGGTGTTTATCCACTCGACAATGATCGGGACCGATGGATGAGCATCCTCACAAGATATGGAACACCTTTTGAGTTGAGTCTCAACTGTTCTGACTCCATTGTGAGATTCACCTACGAGCCCATCAACAATCTCACCGGAACCTCGCAAGACCCATTTAACACACATGCTATCTGGGATGCTCTTTCGCAATTGCTGCGCCTTCAGAATATTGACCTCCAATGGTTAAAGCATTTGAAGGAGCGGTTGACTGTAAATGATGAAGAGTCGCAGATGCTCAAGGAAAGGCTGGCAGGAGACCCGATCCGAACACAGAATAAGCTGGCATTGGACCTCAAGCCAGACGGCACCTTTGTTCCCAAGACCTATATTTATCCAAGTTTGAAGTCACTCGCTACAGGAAAATCAATTCACGATCTGATCTTTGACTCTGTTCGCGAGTTAGCAGCATCCTATCCATCTATCGGGCGTCCATTATCTGTGCTTGAGGAATATATTCAGTCACGAGGATTGGAAAGTACAGCGTCACCACGTTTGATATCATGCGACCTGGCAAAGCCAACAAAATCTCGCATTAAGATTTATTTGCTCGAGCAAGTGGTATCGTTTGATGCTGTGCTGGATCTCTGGACTCTTGGAGGACGTCGTCAAGATTCCTCTTCTCTAGCAGGGCTAGAGCTGCTACGTGAGCTTTGGGATCTCATCCAGTTGCCAACTGGCCATATTCCTTACCCTGCTGGGTTCTTGCCATTAGGAGCTGAGGTAAACGAGCAGCTGCCGTTGATGGTGAACTATACTCTTCACCACAATGACCCGATTCCAGAACCCCAGGTATATTTGACCACCTTTGGCATGAATGATATGGCCGTGATGAGTGCACTCTGCACCTTCTTTGCCAACAAGGGCTGGAACCAGATGGCCCAGTCATACAGAGAAGAGGTTTGCTCATACTAGTAAGTTATCTGAGACGAACACCCAACCTTCAGAGTGCCAAGGTCATTGATCACTTCGTGTTTTCTCAAACAGCCCACATGCCGACCACAACTCTATGAACTACATACACGCCTACATATCGTTCTCCTACCGCAAAGAAAAGCCTTACTTGAGCGTCTATCTCCAATCTCTTGAGACGGGCAATTGGTCAATTTGTAAGTACATCATCTCTCGAAATACTACTTCTATTACTCAAAAGTTCCTCTAGCAAGCTTCACCGATCAAGGAAAAGCCCAGAGCGACGACATTCCCGAACAAATTCTTCCAAGTCTCTCGACTCACTCAAAAGGAGCTATGGGCTACAGCGAATTCGTGGCTCCCGGGGTATATTGCTAATCAAATCCGAGTGGAAGAATCTCAGCCGGTGTTGGTAAACGTGAGATAGAATGCTTTCAAAGAGAACCACATAAATTGCATATTGCATACAAAAATGACGTGAAGAAGATTGGTTTGGACCCCTTTTCTTCTTCCTTCTTATCTATGTTATGTCACTACATCAATGTAATCACATCGATCTCCTTCTCTGTAACTATGAGAATGAACACATTCAGAACAACATCATACCCGAGTCTACAGGAACAGTAGCTCCAGTGACATAAGAGGAAGAGTCTGAAGCCAGCCACAAAACAGCGTGCGCAATCTCCACGGGCTGGGCGAGACGGCCAAGGAAGCTGACCTTCTTAGCCTCGGCCTCTTCGGTGGTCCCCATGGCCTTCAAAGTCGCAACAGTCAAGTCGGTGGCAGTCGGCCCGGCGGCTAAGGCGTTGACACGAATATTGTGCTTGCCATTTTCGCGAGCGGCTGTGTGAGTAAGGCCCACAATACCATGTTTGGCGGCGATATGCGCAGACATATCCTCCTGGGGCTTGGAGATAGTGGCGGATGAAAGGTTGATGATAGAGCCACCAGCTCCTTGCTCGATCATCTGACGCACCTCCCACTTCAGCGACCAGGCAACACCACATAGGTTGGTAGAAATCAGCCGTTGCCAGTAGGCTTCATCCATCTCCGCAATAGGTGCTGAATCTGGCAGGAGACCTGCATTGTTGACAGCAACATCCAGACGTCCAAATATTGTCACGGCTGTCTGTACGGCAGACTGGAGAGATGTTGACTGGCTGACATCTGTCTTGACGAAGATGGCTTCTCCCTTGAGCTCATCACGAATCTCCCGCGCAGTCTGCTCGCCAGTCTCTGGGTTAATCTCTGCAATAACCAACTTGGCTCCAGCTTGAGCAAGGAGCAAGGCCGTTGCCTTTCCAATACCCTGACCCGCACCAGTCACCAGAGCGACCTTGCCAGTGATGTAGGGACCGGAGAAATTTTCGAAGGCCATGATGTTGGAAATGGATATAGAATCGCGGAATAAAATTTTGAATAGGTAGTTGTTGCTTGACAGAATCCAGGATGCTGCTTTGCCAAAAGTTGGAACTACTTGTACCTCTCTACATATTTATTGCACTTTCTGGGATTTATTTCGACCCATAAATTTTCTGGCCAGCTTACTGGATCTGAGCTCCTCGATCCTCGCGTGGGACCGTTCGTACAGCAGACCGACATGAACCGAGCGATCAACAATGGTGGAGGCGCAGAACTTGACGTAAACTTCGGCCTGCATAATGTCGATTTCAGGGATCGGCAGCTCTCTGCCCTGAGCGATACGTATGAATAAATTCAGGCTCCACATTACCCCTCTGAGCTAGAATGTTTACATAGTGTGTGGATACTTTTCCTGACGAGTGTTTCAAAATTACGGTACTTTATTTCATGAACGTTACTGTATTATTTTTTGAAGCTCATTCTTCGTTTTTGTGTATCACAGTGACCAATATCGACGGCACGATGGATACAGACCCTGTTACCTATGGTTGACTATGTAACCTCCATCCTAGTGAAATTTTACTTACGTACCACTGCTGACCATTATATATATATTTGTGAAGCACCTCTAGCCGTAAAAAGATCATATATGGTTCTACCAATAAATGATGGCTGACCTGTCAACACTTGATGATAAGTTTAAATTGTAACGACATCCCCAAATTTCTGACAAGACTATACATCATATCTAAACCTTAGAAGACTTATGAGCTCTAAGCCGCCTTCCATTTTTAGCGAGAGTTTATTTTATACCCCAGAGGTGACGACTTGAAGTGATAACCCACAATTCCAGACTATGGCTGCTTGTCAGCCATCCGTGGATTTACAAAACGATGCGCATAACTGCTTTTATAAAGCATTCATGACACTATGGCTTTCTGTTGGGAGCGGGTGGTAGGTCAATAGCTAAATGTGGGAAAACGTCAAATATTTCGACGATGCCTTTGGCTCAATATAAGAAAAGCGTACGGATAATTGGCGGAGCCTCTTCTAAGAGAAGATAGACACCTTGGAACTTGTTAATTTTGTATGGTGCAGGTCTTGAACATTGTATCGGCAGAGGTCCATAAAGTGCTTGATTATTCGCCTGATTGGTCTACGACCTGGAGCCAGATGGTCGGGTTTTGCTCAATAATCAGACTTTGCATCCATACAATCTCGGATTCCTTCCCAATATAGCCCGTTGGTCTCATTTCTTTGTTACGGTTGGGGTCCTCTATTGACTTATCAACCTCGTTAAGAGATCTAACGAACACAGAGGATGTGGACGAGTCAACAGAGTGCAATCGCCTAGAACGATTTCGGGAAAAGTTTTCGAGGGTGTTGATGTGTTCAAACAGATGTTGGAATTGCTTTTCAGAAATTTCTGGTCAATAAGGATAGGGGGCAATGGGGTTTAGCCAATTTGTATAACTTGGAGTCGCCTGAAAGACACTGTTTGAGACCTCCTTCGCAATCAACGCTTCTATGGCCGCCATACGAAGATATTTCGATGTCGTGCTGCATGAAATAGGTATTGGTTTCTTACAATCCATGAAACCCGAGCTGACAAGTCGCTGGAAATGGTTGTACTGTTCCAATATGAACATGACACCTCTTCATTACTCAAAAGGTCTCACCTATCTGGTTTACCGCGAGGGTAAAATTCTCGGAGTCATTCACGACTGTTGACTCTGCGAAAGCATGTATTCCGAGAGCAAGCTGTTCAAACCTGGCTGGGCTTTCGGAAAGGTAAGTGAATTGGCCTCAGGTACGTCGCTGCAGACTCACAATGAATTATCTAACTCGGCTAGACCAAGGACCGTGAGAAGCTTGTCATGTTTTTTTGCTCTTACTGAGAGCTGGCTATTCCGCGATGCAAGCTCGCCCTCCAAGTCAAGACATTTCTGGCTTAATTCCTCAAGCTTTTTGCGATTGACGCGCGACATATCTTCAGCTCCCTCGAGCTTTGTTTTGACCTCACGCAGACGCAATTCGTGGTCTTTCTGAAGAGCAACAATTTGCTGCCCAAATTTCCCAGTCATTTCCGCGACGACACAATTGAGCCTTTCAACCTCCTTATCGGACCGTTCTACCCCAGCTTTCGAGTAAGTATCTTGCTCCAAGATGTCCTCATCCTGACTTATCATTCTTGCGCAAGATCCCATTTCCATGACCGCGACACGGAGCTTCTTCTGGATGCGCTGCAGCTGTAATCATCCCGGCGATGTAGAAAGCCATCAGTATGAGTTTCTAGAAGAGATAGTTCTGGGATAGCTGCTTGGTGAGAATGTCCCCTGTGATGACCATGTGCGAAACGAGCATGAGTGCAGGGAGATAAAGACAGAAGCCATACGATATGGTTGAACAGCTTCATTTCAAACCCCTATTAAGGTTCAGTCCCATGTAGTGGATGATTCGCTTTTGATAAAGGAGAATCTTGGGATTGAGCAAAACCAAGAGGAGACCGGATTCCCTTAGACGCAGTGTATCGTGCTTCTCTTGCACGGGAGATCCGTATGCATGGTGGAAATTTGCAGTTCCGTGTACGTGATTGCATGTTGAAAACACACTATATTTTCACGCTAGAGTGCATCCTGGTAAAGCACCGACGCCGCTGCCGATAGGCATCTGGAAGAATCATGTATGTGGAGCGAACTAGGGTAGGAAGCGAGTGATCTTGAATCTAGTGGTTCGTGATATGGCGCAGCGATTGGCTCAACGATAGTGTCGGGAGATTGATGTGGCAACTTGGGATAAACGAACGAACCTCGAGGGCTTTCTGCATATCTTTCTCTGTTGATATAGCTTGTATAGGTAGGAAGAATTATAGTGGACCAATTGGGAGGCCCTAGGCTACTGATTTATATTATTTTTATTTGGAAAAAAACGAAGGGGTAGGCTAGAAAGCCCTACGCTAGGCCCCATCACCCGCCTAGGTGAGAAATCTCACCCCGTTCTCACCTATATCACCCACACTCACCTAGTATCAGTTTCATCGCCGCTATAGAGTGCTAAGGATATGTAAAGAACTGGCCGTGCGGATGTATGTGGCTTAAGTACGGCTGAGCGGACGGGAAGCCCTGTTCTCCACACCCTATGGTCGTATGTGCTTGACTTCACGTTGAAGTAAACTAAATAGTACAAGCGCACGAGGGATGAACCTATGTGTGGCCGCAATGCGGCCAGTAGTCCCGTGGGTGTCGCCAGGGCGAGGAATGGGTGAGAGCCACTTGAGCGTCACGAGGCCGGGGGTGGTCAGGGTGAGTGCGCAATAGACAGGGTGAGAACTGGGTGGGAATCTTGTGGGCCGGCGTGATCGGCCATCTGGTCGGGGATTGCCGACAGTTTTTGGCTATGAGCGTAGGCTTCGAAATACGCACTGGAGTAGAATGGCCCTTTTCCCCCTCCAGGGTGGGAATTCTAGGATTTCGGGACTTGGTCAACCTGACTTTCTTGTCTGTCAATGGTAGTCCACTGTGCCAACAAGTCTTCCAGATTGTCTGGCAGCGAGATTTCTTCAGAAATTGTTTGTTTCTGATCATCGTCACCACGTGGCTGAGGCATCGCGCTCTCCTGCTGGGCAGGCTCACGGGGTAGGAAGGGCTCGACGGGTGTGAATTCGCGTGGCGGGCCTCTCCGCAGATGAGTCCTCGCGAGTACACGCTCTAAGCGCTCAATCTCCATTTGTTGCTTCCAGACTTCCGGGTCCTTGAAAGAGTCACTCCTCTCGAGCATTCGCTGGTCCATGGAAAGCTCGTAGTCGTGGTGGGAAGGGGAGGCCGCACGGGAGATTCTGCTGGTGGTATGACGCTCTGAAAACCGCATTTCCTGCTCATCCGAGCTATCTAACACTATATGGTGCGCCTTTCGTGGTGCAATAGGTGTGGGGAAGCGCGGTTGGGAGCTCTTCCGATGGGCCTTCGCAAGCTCACGCTCTAGATGATCAATTTCCTGTTGATGCCTCCAAACATCTTTGTCCTTGTGGAAACCCTTTCTCTCGTACTCACGCTCCAGACGCTCAATCTCCTGTTGATGCCTCCAAACATCTTTGTCTTTGTGAAACTCATTTCTCTCATACTCACGCTCTAGACGTTCAATATCCTGTCGATGCTGCCAGATCTCCATGTCCCTGCGCAAATCACCCTTTCCGAGCATTCCCCGGCTCCTAAAGGGCTCGCGATCGCGGTGGTGAAGAAAGGTCTCACGCGAGACACCGCTAGTGAAGCTCTGCTGTGAAGGCCGCTTTTCTCCCGCAATGGATTTATCGTACACATTCGGCCGTACCTGTCGTGGCTTTTGGCCTCTGCCTTTGTTGTTGGTCTCTTTGGTTTCTGGACGACGGTGAGAGGAGGTACGGTCTTTCCTGTTGCGGATGAATATGTCGGTTTCGGAAAGCTCTGAATCATCCGAGCCAATCCAGCTGTCCACATGCATTTCCGTGGATTGCGATGACTGGTGTAGACCTTTTTGGGGTAGAGGAGGACTAGTACTTTCCCCATTGGATTTGTTTTCGGGCCGTTTCTCGCTACTAATGTTAATAAAATATAATGATGGAGAAGAAATAACATGCACATACTCAAAAAGCGAGTGATCAATGCGGATCGAGCGTCCGTATTCCATTTGGAATTGCATGATTTCTCTGGAGTGTATATTCAAGACACCACTCTTGATTCGTGACTGTCTGTTACTCTCAAGCTTGTTTTTGCACAATTCAATCTCATTTAGCATCCTTTGGATTAGTCTATTGTATTCCTCAAGCTCAATGGACTCATTGTTTTCGGAGGCTATATGGGCTTCGGTTCGTGCTTCACTGCTGCTTGAGTATTCAATTGAACCCTGAGACGATTTGTCCTTCAATGTCGACAAGTCGGCTTTTGAATCGGACTTCTGACCAGCGGTTTCATGAATCTTAGTGTGAGCTGGTCTGTTGCTTGTTGTCTCTGCCAAATCTCGAGAAGATTCCGCGGCCATATCTGACTGCTGGGGCCTTTGGATGTCATTGCGTGTGTCCTCTAGCAGACTTTGTAGGAAGTCACGCTGCTCTTGGACTAACGTTGGGACATTGTTGCTAATCGAACCCATACACATGTCAATGCTGAAGGCAGCAAGAGATATAGTGCCATAAATACCTTCGAATTTGGCCCGCGTATGTAATCACATTTAGCAGAAGTAGCATCGTCGACTTCAGCCTTTCTAGGTTAAGTTGAAGCTGATTAAGGCTTGGCTCAAGTATTACTATGCGAAACTTTCCAGTAATCTGCTGAAAGCGACCCTTTCCAGACCGGTCGTTGTCATCAACCACTTTCTGGATCTGTCCAAGTACGTCCCGACACTGATTTAGAACCAGGCCTAGAGTGCGAAATGCCTCATCTGAACAGAGTTTAGATGACTCCTCTTCTTTCAAGTTTTCACCTAGCTCACGCAAAATAGCACTGACAAGTGCTACCTCATTAGATAAGAGCTGGATGGAGTCGTTGGCGCTCTTAACCCGCCGGTAGAGGGAGAAAAGCTGGACCGATAGCTTTGTGCCTAGGTCTGCGACCTGTATGATACTGGCAGCGACACCGAGGGCCTCGAGGCCAGACATTATGGTCAAATGCTAGCAGAGCGACAATTTATGGGCGTGAAGTCCGTATATTGCAAAGGGGCTGAGTGAGCATTTCGCTGCACCGGGCGGGGTTGGAGCTTTGACATGTAGATCCCCACATCGGCAACCTACTTATCAACATGCTTAGTCTGTCAGCCAGAATTCTCATATTTGACGCTTGGATCTCAACGAAGTGCCCTTGTCGCTCTTCAATCGCAGTCTATTCGCATTTTTCGGTTTAGTAGCTTAGTCTTGTGCTCTTGTACTCGATCAGCCCAGCCTATGCTAGCTCCAAGGGTTTTAATACTTTGACTTTCGGCAGCCTGAAAGTAGAGGATCATTAGTACAATATGCGTACAGGCAGGCCCCCGAAATTGGTTGTCTATGCTGTCTGGCACCGAATATCTTTTTAGATTGTCACTTGCGGCATGTCTGCTTGGCATGTGTCTTGTAAGCAAGTCTCCACATGAATGTTATGGCGTAATTGGACAACTATACGACTTGCAGAATATCTATTAACTATTGTAGTGGGGAACAGCTGTCCGTCGCACAGTGTCTGCTGTCAAGCTATTCAGGGAATATCATACGTGCATGTGCACAGTGCACCTCACCACCGAGCTGGAAAGAACCCAGGTGCCTCAGAAGGCTTTGCGTGATTGTTGCCGTTTAAAATATTCTTCACTTTGACTATACTTGATATGCTGAAGGCATATATTGCCTTCAAGATTGTGTCGCTGAGCGAAGTCATTTGACCAAAATTCGTGTTCTTTGATATCTGAGAATCTCATTAGCTATCCTAGATTTTGTCCGAATTAAGTTTGCTATACAACACCAAATAGGGGTTTCAACGAGCTTGAGAATGAGTGCTTTTTGTCACACGCCAATCTGCTGACTTCAAACAGCGGTGAAGCCCATTCTCGTAACCACTACTGCAGAGAGATGTATCACGAAAGTCAAATTTGACCAGCGCGTCGAGCAGCCAATCCAAAAGCACAGATAATTATAATGGAAGATACCAGCGCATACTCCTAAGAGTATCATCCCTTGCTAAAGATTGACACAGACTTAAATTAAGCTCCATCTTCCTGAGGTCTACACTGAGAGTTACGTTTATCTTTTACTCGCAGAAGAAGTATGGAAACCCCACGGGAAAGCCTGGTCCGAAGATTGAGAGGCTAGGAATATATCATTCTAGATTTTACTTTGGTGTTCCCTGCTTGGTCTCCCCGGGGGAATCCAAATTACGAGGCCGCGAAGTACTATTGTGACAAATGGGTCTTGCAGTGCGTCTGTCAGATCTTCTCAATTATAACCATACTGATTATAGAACATAGATCTATAACCGATCAAAAACTAGCACGACAGGTTATTGCTGGAAATTATTCCTTCATGGCTGCGGCGTTTTATCCAGATGCGGACAGTGAGAGGATACTGACAGCAGCTGAGTTCATCGCATGGGTAATACTACAGTAGCCGAGATAGATAATATCCAGCTAACAGGTTTGAAGGTCATTGCTTATGACGATGGTATGTTCCATCTGTTTTGAATGTATATCCACTAGAAATTAATATGCTTCTAACAAAATCATAGAACTTGATCAAGGCTCGCTTCTGAACGACTACTCTGGAAGTACTAAGTATGTGGATAACATGATTGCTTACGTAGAAGCTTGTCTGGGGAGAAGTTCTCCCGCATCTCTTCCCGCTCCTGATTTTGGATGGAGCACTATCTACTGCTTCTACAGTACGGGAAAAAAGGTCAATGAATGCTCTAGCAAAGGTAAGTCGCAGCCTCTGTCAAATTGTCTTGGGAACAATTGATAGTCAACGTCTGCCTACCTAGACTCTACGGCACGATTTCAAAAGGCGCTTGTAAGTGATCTGAAGTGCCTCTTGCCTATGCGGGAATATCATGAGCGAGGTGAGATCCCAAGCCAAGAGATGTATTGTAAATATCGTCAAGGGACATCAGGGGCTCGATTGTCCATTGCATTCATAGAGTAGGTATCCAGTCTAGGTTGGAGCCCAGGCAAGACTAGAATCGACAGATATGCAAATGATTTTGAACTTCCTTTAACGATTGCGAAGCACAAGGATTTAGGTTCCTTGGTCCAGTGCACAAATCTGATGCTTTACCTGTGAGTCTCATGGGCTCACTTTCGGGACCGGTCTGCTGAGGAAATTTAAATGCCAGCATTAACGATGTCTTTTCTCTCCGCAACGAGTTGGTACTGCTACCAACGCACACCTGATATTCTCTGAGGAATTGCCTCACATTGCTAGCGTAACGAATACATTGACAATATCGTGGCCCTTGCTGTTCACAGTCAAGATCTGAGTCTACAAGATGCTGTGGACTATACTATCGAACTTGCGAAGGACCAGTACGCAGCCTTTCAGGAACATGAGAAATCACCTTTTGCTCTCTCAAGCAACTCACAAGAAAGGGGCGCCATCGAGAAGTTTGTACAGGGCTGCAAAGATATTTGCGCAGGGAATGTACACTAAAGGTTGGCTTTGATCCCATTTAGCAAAGAATCCTGACGTTTGGCTGATATCGACATAGCTACGCACTGAGAAGATATACCAGCCCAAAGGAGAGGCTTGAAGGAAACGTGCACAAGTTTATATTGTGAACGTCCAATGTCAGGAATCTCTCGGGTATATACTGGGGCAGACATACTACATTCTTGTTCCATTCGGATTCGGAGCCAGGGTAGCGAAAGTCAAGTGGCATTGTTAGGCTCTACCGACATCAGCCAGTTTCTATCAACTAGTTACTGAGTTAAGATGGAAGGTAGGTGTGGCTGTTGCAGATTTTTATATCCATTTTTCTTTCTTTCACTCCGATCCTTATGTTTATTTTGGTCACATTCGCATGTTGCTAGCTGATTACCCCATAGAAAGGACCGTCGGTCATTTGATACTCGTCGTTCATATTTCAAAATTGATTAGCGTAAGCCTTAGATTGGCTAGTAGAGATTAAATTTACTCTCAGAGAAACTGGTAGTATACCAATCACAGGTAAGAATAAGAAAGCAGGCCGGATATGTCCCGTATGAGCCGAAAGCATAGAATTGAATTAATGGAGTTGGTTATAGAGTACGCCCTCGGTCATGTGATCTCAAACAGCCAAGAGTCCACTGTGGGGTATCGATTCCCCAATGACAGCTTCCCATACAAGATCGAGGTATGGGTCGAGGCTGAGCTTCAAGTGTGGGTCGCGGCCATTAATGACACTTTCAATAGCAGCAAACATGGGATAAGTATTCTCCCACTAGTTTTTCTTCAATATTACCAAGCTGGCCCAGATCCTACAGCTTCATTCCAATCCAACGTAACCGCCCGTGAGCACCAACACCGACATCAGATCGACAAGATCTGCGTGCATCTACCCATTTACCAAGCATGACCGGCCAGCTCGTCTGGTTCGTCACCGGCTGCTCCTCAGGCCTTGGCGAGAGCCTGGTGCGAGCTATTCTAGCGAAAGTATTTATACTCACACTCCAATGGTCTATCCCTAGATAGCTAACTAACAAAAAACAGGGTGACAAAGTCATAGCTACCGCCCGAGCAAGCAAAGGCATTAGCGGAGTAAACCGTCTCTCTGCACTCCAGCAAGCAGGCGCCTCAGTCCTCGAACTCGACATCAACTCCTCCGAACACAGGCTCGCCGAAATAGCAACCGAGGCATGGCAGATATACGGGCATATAGACGTACTTGTCAATAATGCAGGCTACATGGATGTCGGAATCACAGAACAATATGAGTACGCAAGCACATGCTTTCCAACTGTTGAAATCCTCTCGTCACCCAATGAATACTGATATCTGACAGCACACAACACTTGACAAATATCCTCCGCACAAACGTCTTCGGGCCTTTAAGTCTATCCCGTGCCTTTCTTCCTCTGATGCGCGCCCGCAAAACAGGCACGCTCCTCTTCGTGGGCTCAGCCTCGCTCTACACGGCCGTACCTGGTGCATCAAGCTATACGGGCTCGAAGGGACTATTAGAAGGCATAGTCAAAAAGATGGCGGGTGAAATTGCACCATTTGGAATCCGAACCTCTACGTTGATATTTGGACATTTCCGGACAGAGATCTTCTCGCCGGAGAATCTCAAATACAGTATGCCGCATCAGTTACCTGACTATACGGAATTGGAAGGACTTATTGGGGATATCTGTAATGCGTCGCACGGGACGCAGGCGGGCGATCCAAAGAGGGCGTGTGAGCTAGTTGTTGAGGCTGTTAGGGGGAGGGGAGGTGTGCTGGGATGGAGTTGCCGTTGGTATTGCCTATTGGTCGGGATGCATTTGAGGTTTTGAGGGAGGACTGTTTGGCTAGGTTGAAGATTTGTGAGGAGTGGGAGGGAATTACTACTGAGACTAATATTATTGAGTAATTGCCGATGAATAGGCTCGTGCGATATTAGATTTGATTCTCATGTAGTATGGAATCGCATTGAAATGCGATTTAGAATGCATTGGAGCATAAATATGAATGTACAAAACACCTTCCGACGCCAGACACCTAGACTGATGGTCATAGCCTACTGCGACAACAGACTATTCGAAGCACACACTCGCTTCAATAGTTTCAATCGACTAGAATCTGAGAGGTGCGTTAGCGTGGTACCAAAACAGATTAGAACAGTAGACATACCGGATTTCGTAGCTACCAGCGCGGGTCATGTAGCGCACCCACTTGACAGAGCTGTAATTGCTCTTCTCGAACACCTTCAGATAGCGCACCAGCAGACCAGACGAGGTAAACATGAGAAGACTAAAGGAAAGGCTAAGCGGCGGCCGACTCCAGGCCTTTTGGTGTGTCATGGAAGTAAGCGTAGCTTCCGCATTGAGCACGAACTCAGCCTGACCTGAGAACCGAGGAATCTTCCAAACAATATTGTTGTGTTCAGGCTCATACTTCGCACGTCCCTGACTAGTACGTTCCGTAGTCTTTGCTGTGTTAAGCGGAGTGGGAATACGAATGATGACATTCGTGGCGAACAGCTTCGCGCTATAATTCGCCTTAATAGCCACACTGTACTCAACCTTAGTCGTACCGATTTCCCGCACAATAGGATGAACCTTAAACGGAAGGTTCACGTTTTCTGTAGCCCGGTACCGCATCAACTCGAACTCGCCGTCCGGCGGCACGAACGAGATGATCCGATCTGCGTCGAATCGGCCCAGCTTAACGCATTGATGAAATTGACAGTCCTCCAGTGTGACAGAGCCCGCCGCAGCTCGGGTCGCCTTTCCAGCACCTGATGTTCCGCCGCCACCGCGGCTCTTTGCCGCACCCGTGGAGTCGCCGGTGTCGAGGAGCAATCGGTCATTGAGTCCGAATTTGCACTCCGGCGTGCCGGTGAGGTATGCTCGCATGACGATTTGGCCGTTTACGTCGGCGCGCAGGACGGTGCCGGTCGCTGACATCAGAAGATTGACGTCTTCGATCACGTCCACGAAGGCTTCGTTCTTGCGGTACTTGATATCTGCACGACGCCATGATTGCGCACCCGTTGCTTGCATAGTGATTCGGCTAGAGTCTGTTGGATTGTTCGCGATGGCTGACTTGACACCTTCGGTGGTGATGTACATTTTCAACGTATCGGGGTCGGTGTTTTGTGGGTATCCAAAGTCGAGGATTTCTGGTAATCCAGTTCATTATTAGACGTCTAGATTTATGGCCAAAGAATCCTACAGAAGAATAACTCACCATCAAGCAATTCATAGATCAACACAAAATTGTTCTTCACGGCCTCCTCGTCCAGCTTGCCAAAATAGCTCTTACCCAGCATGATGAGCCGGTAGAGGAACTCAAATACCAGAGCGGCATTGGCATTGCTCTTGGTCACAGCGACCAGGTAGATATTCTCGTGCTTGACATGGCTGAAGGTGGTCGATCCCAGTGTCAGGATCGGGGAGCGGACCTGCGGGTTGGAGATGACTTGGATGCGGAAGATATCAGCCAGGCGCGGGCGACAGTCGCTGCGGAAAGAGCGGAAGATAAGGTTCTCGCCCTTCTGATTAAAGATCAGGATCCCCGAGAGCATGGTGGATATCCAGGGCTCATCCCGTTGAAGTTCGGAGTGAAGGAGCTCTCGGGGGGAAGGTGTGGGGGTCTGGATCAACGTTATCGACACCGCCTGAGTTCAGGGTTCAACGAACCACAATGAAAGAGGGCAAAATTTATGGATAAGCAAGAATGAAATTCTAAGAAATTATCAAGAGGTGAGTTGGTGCAATTGTGTTTCGCGTTTGTCGCCGCTCTAGGCTGTCATGAGAGAAATACCCCTGAGAAGCTCACTGGGGCTCAACCATCTGCATTGTCAAAAAATTATATTTATAGGATAAGAACATGTTATGTGCTAAATGTAGACCATACGGTCTTGGTATTTGCTTTGCAGGTTCTTGGGAGGTTAACAAGTAGAACCATGTAGAGAGTATGAACAAATAGGACAAAAGCGATGGTAGAAGCTGAAGTAACAAGAGATCCCCAACGTCATGCAGGATTGAAATCAAGCTTTTGGGGGAGAAAGAGATTAGGGAAGTAGAAGAGAAGAAAAAAATCGCCGCTGGGGAAGGGATATCATGCAAAAGCCGAAAGATCACAAGATTACAAGGGAATATACAGCCAAAAAGAAGCACCGCATGCAATGTCCATCAGTTGGCCGGACCAACGCCCGTACTCGGCCTAGTATTTGGCAAAGAAGGTGCCTCGCTGGGAACGATGCCAACCTTTGGATCGGGGATCTGGATGTCAAGGGACATATACGCCGTGCGTCGCAAACTCCAGATGTGAACACCGTCCTTGGAACCGACTTCACGGTTCCATTTCTCCAACCACGACTCCACGTATTGCAACGAGCCCTTGACGGCTGGTGCGTTCAAGTCATCCCAGACCCAGCCAGTCAACAAGCCAAGCGCGCCATCAACCCAATTGCGCAGACTGAACGGGTCAAATGCCTTGATTAGACCATTATTCACAGTAGCGATGACTTTGCGGAACTCCTGCTCCGACAGTAACGGGTCCAAAATTTCAGGGTAGAGGTTGGAAAATGTAGGCGCCAAATCTGCCTTGATCATCCAATCGCGTCGAACCCGGATGACTCGCGTAGTAAGGTATTCCGGTGAATTGATAGGGACGTGTGGGTTGAGGTGAGGGTAGCAGGGGTGCGCGGGGCCCCATGCCAGCTCTTCGGCGACATCGGGGGCCTGGCCTGTGTTTGAAGGGACGGAAGCAATCTGCGATTGAGAACGGAGAGATGTTTGGGATTGTGCGTGACGCGGTCGGCCGTCTTCTCGGAATCGAGTGCCATCCTGGGCGAAATGGACTTCCTCGGGTGGTCGCAGATTCTCGACTTCCCGCGCCGCACTTCCGGCAAAAGCTGCGGCCATTTCTGCTGTGGGAGACAACGGTTCGCTGCGCCGGTGACCTAGAGGTAGAGCGATACTGGTGCGCCCGCTTTCTGATTCCCCCTGACTATGTTCGACGATAAGGCTGGTCGGGGAGGGGGTTAAGCGACTGCGACGACGTTCGGGGACACTGAGGAGAGGATGGGCGTCGCGCTGATGACTGAGGGGGAGACTTTCGTCTGATCTCGTAGGTGGAATAGTAATAGGAGTAATGCGGGGGACGTGGTTGACGGGGTTAGCGAGTCGCACCGCTGGAGGACGGAGAATTGCAGGGAACGACGACGGGCCCGAGATGGGGACGCACTGTCGCCGCTGTGCTCGAGCGAATGGCGGCGCCTCCACGGGTGCTGTCCGAAAGCCAAATGAATGTTGGCCACGCGCAGGTAGATCGGAATTCGGTTCAGTCTCCCTCGATCGAGGGGTAGCTGTGAAGGACGCCGTTTTGACAAATTGAAGAAAAGGAAAAAAAGAGCTTAAGGGAGAGGTCGAGATCGAGATCGGCAAAGTCTCATGGGTGGACCATGCATCAAATGAGGGACGAGAACATGAGAAACGAAAGCAAAAGATACAGAGAGAAGAGAATGAAATGATCAAGCCAACACTTTGTAGATCCGATCTGGATCCTCAGGCTAGAAAATGAGGCAACGGAGCCTTCTAGGCCGCGTATTTAGTAAACTTCGTACTATAGATAGATCGCGTATCCCGCTGTGGAGTGGTATGATGCAATCAATGGCCCAACAAAGAAATGAAATCAATAATTTCAATTCAGTGGTCATCTGGGGGCAATTGGTGTGCCTTATATGGGGAAACTCTCATGGCTCCTTTATTGGATGAGTCGTTTGTATTTGTTTCACTTGTATTGATTCCCCTCCTCCCTTGTTTCATCCCATAAACTATTGGGCATACACTTTGTAGATGCATTGAATGCAGATCTGAATACGCACAGTCCACCTGGGCACCGTGACTCACAGATAAGATTGACATCTCAATCGACTGGTCCTCTCCGATCTATCCAGATCCATGGACAAACCGCAATCCTCCATACCCCACAAGCGTAAACGGGGCCCAGTAGAACGGACTTGACCAGTCCAGCTGGCTGAGAATCATCTTCAACGTGAGCAAAAGAAATTCTGCGTTGGGAACAAAGTCTGTGGGACGTTGACCTGTTACATTGGAGGAGGTCCAATTATCCAACATTTGGTCAAGGAGTATATCGGCCTTCTCCGTGTCTAGCTGTAGGACATCCAACTGCGCCGCTCGCATGGCTTGCGCCACAGCCCACTGCGGATGTTCTTTCAAATGTCGGTAGAAGAGTGTCATAATTAGCATCGAGCCGAAATCACTGACTTTCCAAAGAGATCCAATATAGGCCTGGCATCCAGTGCTCAGAACCACATGAGAAAATCCCAGGACTTCGCTACCGATCGTAGCCTTTCCAAACCCACTCAGACAAGCCGCAAAAACCAGAAGATTCACATTGCTTTGGATAGCCGACATGTCGACCACGCGGAATTCCTGGCCCTGACCAATGGAAATGGATGAGAGGAGGGGGTTGCGAGGATTGATGTCACCGTGCGTTCCAATATGCATGATCAATGACCCCCCTTCGACGTAATGCTGAAATTCCTTCCGAGACAATTGGGATGCCTCGATGGGCCATGTTGCAAACATGCGGGCGATGTTGACAGCTTCCATGCCTGCCATGTGTAGATTGACTTCTTCGCCACCTCGGGTAGTATTATATGGCTCTTCTGTGGGCGCCTTTGCCAGGACTGATACTGTCGGCGAGGCAGACGCTGACTTGCGTTGGGAGAGATAGTAAAGTATTGCCAGGCTCGGGACTTGAGACACAATGGCTTGCATGACCAAAGGCTTGTTGTCAAATGGAAGGACAGAGAAGGGGAACGCCGTCAACGGGTCAGACACAGAGAATATGACATGCGACTTGGTCCTGATGATGTCTGCGAATGGTACTAGCAGCGCCTCGGAAACCTCGTTACAAAGTTGATTCAGAGTTTTCTTGTGGTTTTCTTCCTGATCGCCGACGTAGCCATTCATCTCTCTCATTATTTGCATAGCCCTCATCACGGGCTTTCGAATGTCCACGTGCCGTGTCGATGATTGATAGATATTCTGGATACCGTCGCTGGTTACTGCAAACGCAACGAGCCCCCGATTTGCGAATGTCGCCTCAATGACCACAGCATCATGATCAATGCTCTGGTATAAAAGCTTCGGGTCAATGGTGGAATTTACGGTTTCAATGAAAGTGGTCGCAGAGGAGAGTGTCCCATCTTCCTCTAACACCTTGATTTCGTCCTGTAATTGAGAAATTTCTTTCTCTTGATGTGGAGTTAACGTCTTGAGAGACCGTAATGATCTTAAAAGACGACGTTTATGAACAGCCTCAGAAAGATTTGCGGCTTTGGGGGCACCAGCTAGGTCTGAAGCTTGGGTCGAATGTGTCTGCAAAGACTCCAGTACCGCACGTGCTCTGCTCATCTCAACAAACAGCAGTGCATGATCCTTCCAGGACATTCCCTCAAAGTGGTCGAGCTCATACCCTGACAGCACGCTCACTGGAAGGGGTGAGCTCTCGGCAGTCAGACAGATGCGTGCAAGATCAAGATAAACCTCGGTACTATAGCTAGAAATCGAACTCCACACGCGCGCATCCAAATCTGAGGTCTGTCTTCTCTGGGCTTCGATATTTTCTCGAGCACGAAGAAGCATGGTGAAAGATACCTCGGGTTGCAAATCCTTCATCAATGCTGCGTAGTGACCAATACGAATCGAATAATCCTGGGCATTGTCCAGCACCGAATCAAAGAACGTTGGATTCATCTCAATGATCATTTGAATAACTCTCCGGCCTCTGTCCATGTCACATCCAAATATGGAAAATGTTAGTGCATTCTGCGCTCTTAGTGGAAGAGATGACCGAATAGCTATTCCTTGCCGATAGGCCTCCAGATGACCTTCAAACAACTCTTCATCCGTGACAGAGTCTAATACCTCTTTTGCTTTGACTCGGTCTCCGATATTATGACAAGCCAAAATCCGATAAAGGTCTCTCATGTGATATTTCCCAAGGTGCTCCGTCTCATCCAAGTATCGACGGAACAGTGCTTCTGCTCCCAGAATATCGCCCTCGTCCAACAATCGTCGAAAGTCAATTTCTGCCGACCGGTATCGCTTATTTGCTTCATTGTCCATCAATGCCTTTTGCCATATATTCTTGAAATTGCCTTTCACAAGTGCGAGCTCAGCCTTAACCTCGTGGTGCCTATCCTCGGCACTCTCAATGCTTTCTCTCCAAGCCCGGAGGTCATCGTCGGTCTCAAGCCATTCATTGTATCTAGCTTGCCACTCCTGGTAAGGATTCAAATCTTCGTCCCGGAAATACACCCTACCGACATATTGTGTGAATGTCCAAAAGAGTGTTCCTTTGATCGTGACCAAGAATCTCCAATCCAGCTTGCCCTGTTGGGTCTCTGGGACAGAAGAGATCTTCACGCGGAAATATTCGCGAACGTCCTCGACCATGGATAAAGCTTCCTCGATGAGCAATCGAGCTGCAGCGGTATTGAACCAGCTTTGCTGAATAGATGTGCGAGATACCACGGATTGGAATAGGGGAAGAGTGTCGTTTATTGTCTTAGAGATCTCGTAAGCACATTCCCATGCTTGCATCGCCGTGTCCATGTTAGAATATTTGAACCATTCTTGGTTGCCGAATCGAAGAAGGAATCTTCCAATAAAATGGGCGAGAAACTCGTTCTTTGCGCCGGCGCACCAAGTTCCAATCTCACGAGCAGCCAACTTCATACGTTGGGTGCTTCCTTTGGAAATGCTAAGCATGATCTGATGCACTTTCACCAGTTGTGCATTAGCTTCGTCTCTACCAAAGAGCTCGAGCGCTTTTTGAATTTTGATCTCCGCTTCTTCCAAGATATCAAGATATTGCTTGTTAATGGATCGGTTGAACCGCGCAAGATAATGCAGACAACATCCCTGTCGAAGCAAGACCATCGCCTGTCCCCTCGGGCAGCTGCCTTGGCCAAACAGCTTGAGCGCGGACTCATAGCATTGCTTGACTTCAGCAGAGTAATCATACTCAAGGTCATGCTCAATAGTATCCCATAGCTCGTCGTCTCCAATGGCTGTGGAAGTATCGACGACAACCAAGTTCATGACAAGAGGGCTTGTGAACGGAGCACAGAGGATACTATCTCCCTCCATCAACTTCGCATTCGCCATGCCCGCATAATCATCAATCTTCTCACACCGCTGATATAAATCATCCAGCATAATCCCCGTCTCCTCACTCTGACACGCAATGTGCATCTCAACCACCAGCCGAGTCAAATACACCGCAATACTCGCGGCGCCGTTCGCCTCCGCCACAGCACGAAACTTCAACAAAGCATCCACTCTCTGAGCAATATTAGAGGCAGGATTGGATCCCGGTTTATGTCGCTGATGGCTAGGCGATAGCGGGTGGAATTGAGCTGTCAGGTCACGGATATGAACTGACACCCACTGCGTCGCATTCAATATTTGACTGAGACCTTGATCGCGAGGGACACCAGTCGGCATGTACTTTTGGATATTTGTCATGAAATTCACGGATATATTACTCGGTCCGATGATATCGCTGACCATCACGGCATTCAGCGGCCACCCTCGCTCATGATAGAAGCGGAGCGCCGGCGGAAAGCGGCGCGTGTAGTCGGCAAGGACTTTGTAATTTGTATATCGCAGACCCCATTCCTGCGGTAATTGGGGGAGTAGCTCATGGAGTGATTCGAGATGCTCGTATGCATTGGTGAAATTACCGACTAGGATCGCGTATATAGAAGAGGATCGCAAATATTCTGCGTGATCGTTCACCTCCAGTGTTTCATATTGTATCGACTCTAGATAGTCCCCGGCAGCATCAAGATCACCTTTGTGTTCCTCGGCGAAAAGCGATCGTCCACATAAATCAATGAAATGCTCAAAGTCCATCTTGGCAGTGCGCATGGGTATGAAGCAATATCCAACAGGTAGTCATGCGAAATGCCCAAATAAATGGTCCCATTTGAGCCCTCGGGGTCTAGTAAAATGGAGATCAGTACCCCGCCCTATCGATTGGTTCACAACACTCAAATCAGATCGAATGGGTCTCGCCAAAAATTGCCCGTTTGGCGTCAGAATAGGCCGTCAGCACGGGCTGGAACCCCACGGAGACTCAGAAAGAACAGTAAATAGTGGCTGAAATGCCGCCTTGACTCTCACTTTCTTCAACCCTGGACATTGAGTTCACAGGCCTTGGCGACCCAATAGATCCGATCAAAGCAAAGCAAAGCTAATCCGATATACAGTCAGACAAGCATTATGGCCGATGACTCGTTCTTCCTTTATGGGATGGGGGAACGGCCCGAGGCCTTAACGTTGGGTTCGTTGGTTCTAGAGAAGTATTGGCAGCCAATGAGTGCTCGGCATTACACTCACGAGTTATTAAGGTATTATTTGGTAGATTTGGCTTTGACTGCTATTGTCAGCCCCGAGCAGCCGATTGGAATCTGACAGTTTTCCCAGCGATGACGCTCTACGTGAACATGCTTACATTACCGAGATCACCAACGCCGTCTTCCACGGCTCTTCCCGTCTTACGCCTGGTATCGGCCTCGAAGCTGGCGATATCGTGAACCTTCATCTCGCTTATAACAAGGACCTTGAACGAATCGTTACAGCCGAGAGGGGTACTCGAGTCCTACTCAAAGAGCACGTGCCACTTCGATCCTTCTCGGTTTCAACTCCATGTGACTAACAGATTCCAGTCCGGAAACCTTTCTCATCAATCATGTCTTGAGCAATCAAACGGCCCAGCAAAAACTCAAAATTTGGCTGTCGGCCGCCTACAGCGACTTTGTTATGAAATTCAAATTCGCCCGGAGGCCAAAAGTTTGGATGTTGTCCGGTTTGTATCTCCTAGAGGATACGCGCACCGTCGTATCGCGGGGCCAATCGTCCAAGATATCCGCAGGCGTTTCCTCCGCGATTATCGGTGCTGTCTCTGGTGTTCCGGTCGGCGGATCTGTGAGCTTGGGCGTTGGGTCGGAATGGGAAATGGCGATGCAGGTTGCCGAGCCGCATGTCTGGGCTGCTCAGTTTCGTTTGTTGGATGCAAAATTCATTAAAATTAGGAAAGGGGGGATGGGGGAGGTTAGCCTTCCGGCGTCGATGGGGCTTTATCGGGATATCATGTCTGTGAATACGGCTAGGGATGGGACGGGAAGGGGTGTGGAGTTGGGACTCGAGGACGGCCTTGAGCAGGAATTGGAGGGGGAGCTGCATGATGGGGACGTGGAAGAGAAGGATGAACAGGAGGGCCTGGAGATTGAGGAGTATGAGAAGCAGTTGGAGGCTGCGATTAAGCATTTTGAGAAAGCCCCGAAACACTTTTTGCAGTGAGCTTTGCGACTGGGAAGCATAATAGGAAGTGGTATTATTCGATCAAGTGATTATGGTATACTAGGGTATTCTTTTTCGTGTATTAATTATGTGCAGTGGTAGCAAGATGTCAGATCAAGCTATATCAGTATCTATTCAACGCCGATATCATGCCCGAGAGAGATGTATAACATCGAGCATATAACATTAAACAATAAGAATCATCGTATAAATGAACAGTAACGAAAAGGACAGGGCAATGGGGTATCAATCAAATCAAAGCATCGAAACCTAAAGTTGTTTTGCAGAAGCTTGCATCCGCCGCATAGCCTGACGGTGGAGCTCTGTCATGTTTCCCTTTTGCATCCCTTCGGCAATGGTATTGCCAATATGGGTTGCTGAGGCATCGCGCATCTGCTGCACAGATCCCCAGGTATTCCGGGGTCGGTCAGGGCTAGCAGGGCTAGTAGTTCCAAGAGGTGTGTATTTCATAGCCAGAGGATCACGTCGCTGTGAGAGATCCTCTCGTACAGATTGTCGCCATGCCGACATCATAGCTTCTGATCTGCCTGGATCAACAGGGGCAGCAGGAGATACAGGTGATCGAATCTGTTCAAGGCTTTGTGAGCTAGCCCCAGATGGTGATCGCATGGTTTGGCGCTGCAGCAAGGCGCGTCGTTTGGAAAGAGGGATATCGTCTTCAATGTGGGGTGAGGTCTCGGCAATTTCCTCTGCTTCGGGGATAATTGTTGGCGATACAATTCGGGTGGGCTCAGCCAGAGACTGGCGAGATTGGCTTCGGGGTCCCCATGGGTCGTAACGGAGAGATGTGGATGACATTCGATTTTTCATCATGTTTTCTCGCACAGCTAAAAGGGGTGCAGGCCCACTCCATCGAGGTGAGTCTGCTACCTCTTCGGAGGCGTTTGCAGTGGTGACAGTCAGATATGGAGTTGAAGCGCTATTACGCATCACAGGAATGTCATTGTGATCTTGCGGATTCGAAGAGCTCGAAGATACGTTTCGAGAGAGTGGGGGAGATCTTGCATTGGCAAGATTCTGCGTGTTTTCCCTTGTCTTGGGTTGAGAAATATCTGGAGATGCTAGCGATGTTTGAGATTGATAGTAAATCTGCTCTGGACTTGAAGAAGCCGGGCTCATGACAGCTGGTGGTAGCTGGGCAGTATGGGGGGTCTGTAGCAGGCCGTGAACGTCGACCGGAGCTGCTGTTTCTTCAGATGCAGCAGGATCTTCTTGCTCCTCACTCTCAAACTGAATAGGCTCACAATCCGGAGCATCTGCATTTGCAAGGTGCTTTGCCCATTCTCTGGTGCGGAATGAATTCACGACTCTTGAAGTCTGCTCGGGAATATTCTGCACAGTTGACACATCCAATTTAGGCTTCTTAGCTGGCTTTCGTTGTACGACCAATGGTTGAGCAAGAACAGTCTCATCAGGTCGCTTTGCAGTTTCCTTCTCTGCCTTCTCTTCATTTTGAGTTTCAGTGACCGACTTGCTTTCTGCGATAGTACCTTCAGCCTTAGTGTCCTCATTCTTCACCGAATCGGCCTGTCGTTCAGGTTTCGCCTCAGCTGGTGCTGAAAATTCAGGGCTCGGTTGCTGATCTTCAATAGCTTCTGACCTGCCGGTCTCGACTTCGGTGCCACTCTTGGCTTTAGTAGTTGCCGTTTGCTCGGGAGCTCCCGTTACATCGATCTCACGAGGAGCGTCATCCGTTGATATGGCTTGGTGTTGAGTTCCAATATCCGAAGCATTCGTATCATGAACAGCTGTTATGACGGAAGCGGCGCTAGCATCTAGGGCCTTGCTTTCACCAGGATTGGAGTTGTGTATAGTCTCATAAGCAACAGTATTGGGGCGGACTTCTTCACCAGGTTTATTTTCTGGCATCTCGTTGGCCGCAACGTCAATTTCCGCCAGACTTGGCTTATCAGAAGTAATGCTTTCAATATCATCGACCATTCCTGCGACGGAAGAAGATGCATCCGCATCTATCAAGGCCTCTTCTGACTGATTATATGGGAGTGGCTTCATGGTATGTCCGCTTCGCCATGACATCCGGTTGATTAAAGATCGGCTTGAGAAGCGTTTCGAGCGTGGTGTGCCAATTTCCGATCCCAGAACGGCACCATGCTCAGAGCTATTGTCGGGATCTATATTGGTCTCAATGCGCAGATCCTTTGGAGCAGGGGTTGTCGGTCTTAATTTTTCTTGATCTCCATGTTCACCTTGGTGCTGGGATGGCTCATGTCCGTCTGTCGTATGACCATCCGTTTCGTCGGCTCCAGTCTCCGCCACAACCTCTTCCACTGCCTCAAGGTGATTGCCACTGTCAGATACTCGTGCTGAGTGAGGATCTGGACTAGCCATCTCTGTCATTTCGATTGAGTTTCCCTTCTCACGGACTGAAGATCCATAAGCATCCGAGCTGCGTCGCGAGTCGTCGGCAACGGCCGTTTCAGACAGAGATGGCTCTTTGGCCCCCTCACTGCCATTGCCGTACATCTGTTCCCACTCCGCTCGCTCTCTTAGGTTCTTCTCTTTGAGTCGGCGACCATTTTCTGCTTCAGCCTCCTCCTTGGCTCTCTCGGCTTCCTGGCGAGCGCTCTCTTCTCTCGCGCGACGCTCTTTGATCACTTTCCACAATCTTAGCTGGAATATCACACCAAAAACGGTGACTATGATTATGATAGCCAGCTCAACGCGGATATTGCGTGTTATGGGATAGGTATAGGTGTTCAACGGGAACAAGTCGTCATTCAGCCCTAAATCGATAGTTAAACCTTTTTTTTTGCTTTTTTTTCTCCCGCTATGCATGATGCGCAACTTACCCCAGAGATAAAGCCAGAACTCCTTCAGCCCGGCTCGGCTGTAGCAATCGATACCGAGAACGAGCGCAGTTGCACCGCTAAAAGCAGTGCACAGCATCGACCCATACGAACGGGTATAGTGGCTGAATGAGAGACAGTAAAAGCCTCCAGTGAACGCAAGGATGAATCCCACTTTGGCTCCGTCGCCTGTGACCAGACCGCCAGCCTTCACGGTCAAGAACCACATGCCGATACAGAAACCACCAAGCAAACAACACAGACCTTCAGTGATTTCTTTGAAAACGAGAGACAGACCACCGAATATAGCCCCCGTGAAGAATATTGCGACTAGATATCCTCCTTGGACTCCATTGCTTACTGGAGGGTTCATCACATATTCAATTAGAACCTGGAAGACACTGTTAGATGATTCATTTGCGTGGGACAGATTCAGCTTACGGTAACACCAAGGGCGGCCAGCAGTCCCGTAGATAAAAAGATGGAAATTCTATCCAAGAATTAGTATCAATAGACGCGAGTATAGTAGTCGACCGATTTACCGTGGCTTTCGGATACCGACGAAAGTTAACACTGCGCCAGCTGCGAGAAGTATAAATCCTCCCACACCCAGCGCTGGGGTAATTGACGGCTGAATCGGCAATCCCCCGGTATACGTCTGTCCCGTTGAATTCGTGCTCGATTGGTCACTTGAGCCTGAAGTCGATGTAACTAGCGACGGAACAGATGTGGTAAGAATCGATTGACTCGTTTGGCTAGAGGGGGAATGTGATGTTGAGTGCGTTGTGGAGGTTATTGAAGTAGTTGTGGATGCTGTATCAGTAGTGGTCATGGCCGTGGTCGCAGTCGTTTGACTGGATGTATTATCGGACGCGGTCGTTGTCGCGTCTGTCTCATCTCTGGCGGCAAGAAGTGCAACATCTTGTGCCTCCTGATGCCTATAGTCTGCTGGAGCTGCGAATGTCTGCCTCCAGTGAAGGCAGAGGAGCAATAGTCCCAACAGGTACCACCGCATCTTGACTGGCGCGAGGCAATGGAACTGCAATTTATGGCCGTAGTTGACGCGCCTGATCCGGGGAAATGAGAGCTAGAGTCCACAGTTGGTTTTGGATTCGTCTTCGATCACTGGACCATGCACATGACTTGCATATAATACTCGCAAGATACCGTATAGGATGATCAATGGGGACAATGACAGACTAATAAAAGGCAACCCCGTCTATGAAAAAGAAATTCGGCGTCGAAGGCCTTAGGCGGATGCACAGTCAGATCGCAAGGATGGCTCCAGCCTCGAACGCCCCTACATATAACGCAAAGGCCGAAAAAAAAATTACATTAGAATTGAGAACGCGGGGCTTGAAATTGTACCATCTGAGTTTTTTAGGGGGTTAGACCTACCGACATACATTAGACACCACGCGAGTTGGATGGGTCAATCCTATAGCATCTCAGTGGTGCGTTATCAGGTATGACCCACCGATCGAGGACGATCGAACGAGACCCAGCAGGGTTCAGCTCCCTAACCGTGCATTGACTGGCTAGAATCCTTCCACGGGTTATAATTAGCGGCGTTTGTCTGAATATTCATTTAATTTCCCCCTTAACACCTCACTAGCGTCCTGGCTCTGCTCGTCGCCTTACAAGCCTTTTCCGATTCGGATCTGGCGGCCAGCCACTGACTAGGGCGGGACGGCGTTATAATCACCGCTAAGACGAACTAGTCAAGAGAAGAATCAAATGAAAAATGACGCTGATCAGCTTTCAGCAAAACCGGATTCCAAGATTTCCCCTGATCTGTCACATCCGCCATCATCCAGCCTCTTTCATAGCGTCGCTTCGTATGCGAGCCTCACCGTACTTCAATGTACGCCTCCAAAGTCTTTTTGTCGCTGCATCCGAAAAACCAAACAAAAGCTGGGCTCGATAGCTCGCCAGGAGTTCGGAGGTATCAACGCCATCCGCGAACTAGGGGTTTAGTCAAGTGGGGCTGGAGACCCGATCTGTCAACTATCGCCGTACATGTGTGGTCCCTTGTTCTGCGATGCACGCTCATTGGCCTATCACAACGTTATCCGGGGACCACTGCGCCGTACGTGCATTGTTCCTGGCCAAGTGGTTGGGCACGAAATTGACTTTCGGCGGGCCGGGTTTTTTCGTGTTTAGCAGGTAAGGAGACTCGGTACATCTGAGACAATGCCCGCTCTTCATTTAAGAGTTTGTGGCCGAGCACGTAACAATCCTGCATTGTTTAATTGGTGGGGCTTCGCGAGATGCAGCTTTTACATTAGCCAACACGGTCGCGTCGTGGTCTATGTGTTGTTCGGTAATTAGGTACGTACACGTGTTTACCTGCGCAGCGTTATAACTCCAGGCAGAGTTTGGGTGCACTCCGTGTGAAGTTCCAGGGGTCAGAGTCAATTATTGTGGATTCATTGAATTCCAATTTGGAATAGAAATTGAACCAAAAAAAAAAACAATTGTGCAAGAGTGGGCCTAGTCGATGTTCTTAGAGCTTTGCGCGACGGGAAATTGACTCCAATCCCTGCAAGCCTAAAACACCGAGTCACATTTCGTGCGCCAATGATCCTTTCTCACAATGCTTTGTGAGTGCATAGTCATCTCAGCGAAGACGTTTTCCATGGCCAGGTCTCCATTATTTGAGTTTGGACTGGGTTGCATGAGCTGCCATTCTCGGGATTCTGGAGTATCGAGGCAGCGAGATTTGGAAATTTGGACCTTGTCTGACTGGACTTAGTAAACCATAGCATGACCCAGTTCACCTAGCTTTCAATGGATGATCTTCTGCAGCGACCTTGATTGGTGAAACTTCCATCGTGACAGGCGGGTGAAAAGTAAGTACGATGTTATGATCTGGGAGAACTTTCTTGTCAAAGCATTCCCTCAGGATTCCCCTGGACGTTACAGCATCCCATCATCTCCACCTGTACATGTAGCGGGCAACATCCGAAATTGAGGTCCCTAAGAGCGGAAAAACATCTTCTAATGCATCTTCTCTTGGGTACGCTGACGTGTGCATTGGCTGCCCTTCTGGAGGGAGATGCATATCCGCTAGGCATAGCCGAGCTGGGATCGAGTATGGTTTGTACAAAATTTTGTTTTGGTTCATGGAATGGTTCATGAGAGTTGGCTGTCCCTAATCTCAAAGTGACGAATGGAAGAAAAAACAGACTAAAAGTTTGGAATGATCAAGTCTTGAGCAGGCTGTCAAACTCTCGGAAATTTTATCGTTTCTCCCAAAAATTTAATTGATCAAAGATGGAACGGGATATGGGGATGGTGAAGATCATAGATCAATCTAAATTGAGGATATGGAAAGCTAGAAAGAAAAGTTTAGCGAAGTATAAGTAAGGGAACTTATTTGTTTACTTTCAAGAAAAGCCAACCTAGATGCTTGAGAGGAATCCAGATATGAAAGTAAATTGTTGACGGCGTGTTAAATGATATACATTTGTGGCAACGTCACTTAGAGAGATTCAGTTGCAGCCCCGACAGGTTCGTCGACCAAAATGTGATACAGCATGTTTATAATGGAGTATGACGGAGTAGGAGTGGGGAACTAGACAATAGACAATGCTAACTTCAGATGTGACGCTTTGGTATAGAGAAGAATAAGATGTTTGAACAGAAAGCAAGAGGTCTAAACAGAAGTGAGAAGGTGGGCTAAGACGTAATCGAGGAGTAAGGACTTACTATGAGGTGAGTCAAGGAAAGAGTTCTATCCCTTATCCTATTCATCTAAGTAACCTTGGAACGCTTGGTATATTGTCCACCGCTAAGGCCTGGCTCGTAGGATCCTACAATAACTAGCAAGACTTGAATGTTCAGTGGTATGCGGATATATAAGTTGACTCTGTTCCAACAATGTTGAGCAGTGTGCTAGTTGGGAAGCCATCTGGGCAGTGGATACTTGAGGGAATTAGACTGGGAAAATACTTCAGGTAGGCATAGTTGCGGAGGATAGGTAGCCACCCCCAGCGAGATATATTGAAGTGCAGATCAACCTTGAAATAAGATGAGGCTCTGCTTCTAACCAATCTTATATATACATGTATTTCGTCTGGACGTAGTGTATGATGGGGGTGGTACTGCATCATTGGGTCGGAATAACCTTCATCTCTCAGGGTCGATCCCCTTAACGGTGTGTCAATGGTGCCCAACGGCTGCTATTTACTACTCGGATGATCCATTACGTCAAATATGGTTGTCGGAAAGTACACAGTATAATATTCTAAATGGGGGTGCTCTCCAAAAGAGGATAGCTTCGATGTCGATCTCGGCAGGATATAGCATGTACAAAAGTAAAACGTTCACCATGGCCGCAGCCCTTGGTAATTGAATCTTACATATAAAATAAGGCAAAGGAAATCAAACATATCCTTCAATTGAGGATTTGCGACATAAGTAAGTCAAAATTGAAGAGAGAGAGAGAGCGAGATAGGCACCAATGATGAAACATCACGTGCCGTCACTCCCCACATGTACAGGGGGGCTGTGGTCGACGATGCAATGAAGCTTGTCTAGACCAAACATTCAATTCTCTGTGGTATGCCAAGTCCTTTCTTCATACGCCTCCCACCAAAATTATTAACCTCAAAAATTTCATAGACCTTTTTACATCCCTTATCTCCGGCCCCGGGCAATAACTTGCCCGCCATGGATGACCTCAACGGGCTGAGCTGGACCTCCAACTCAAATGCCCCGGCCAACAAACCCCCTCCGATGTCCTCAGGGATAATGTTTCCTAATGTACGACAGACCAGCGCTTCCGGCAGGTCAACCCCCCTGTCCGCAGCATCAAATCATTCCAATTCGTCATCGAAACCCGCCCCCTCCACCGGAGACAGCTTCGCGAACTTGGTGTCGTTCGGTTCCTCCGCCGCAAACAAGAACCTCTCCCTATTGGAGCAGCAGAAGCGACTAGAAGCAGAGAAGGCAAAGAAGGAGGCTGAAAAGAGAAGCCATTTTGAGTCGCAATATGGGGGTCAGAACTCGCAGTTTTGGGATAGCCTCGAGCAAGGACGTACCCAGAGCCCTGCAGGTGTAAGCCTGTCACAACCCGTCGCGTCGCCCGCTGACGAGGACGACTTACTGGCTGCTTTCAATGCGAAAGCGCCGGTCGATGCTTCGACGAATTTCCCTGTGCCCAGCGCCTCTCCATCACCTCGAATCGGCACGAACACTCCACAAGGATCGAATGGTGGGGGTATTACGATGCAGGACAACACGAGTGGTATGGATGCCTTCGATGAGGATGATGATCCATTTGGTCTGCGCGAATTGAAAGCCAAGTCAGCCTCTCGTCCTGCGGTGCCAGCGCAAGATGACGACGATGATTTTCTTGGACTATTAGGAAAGCCAGTGTCGGAAATACCACGTCAACAGGTGACACGGGAAACAAGAGCATCCCCCAGCCATGACCGAGAGGAGAGTGATGCATCACCTATGCCATCAAACGAGGTGGACCGCGCAATTGCAGAGTTGGTTGATATGGGATTCCCAGCAGACAAGGCTCGCCAGGCCCTCAAAACAACCCCGTCGGGTACTGATGTACAAGCTGCAGTTGGTTGGCTTTTGACCACGGCGCACGCCGAGGCTCGACAGAAGTCGCAGGGACAATCCCCGGCCAACGGTCCTCGCAATGACCGGTCGGAACGAAGCCAGAGCCGTAATCGGGACGCACCATCCTGGATGAGCGAAGGAAGATCACAGACGCCCCAGTCACGTAATGACAGTCGGAGTCCCGCCGCCGGCGAGAGAGACCCGGCCCAAATGGCACAACAATTCGGCACTAACTTTTTGAAAACTGCAAACTCTTTGTGGAAAACAGGAAGCAAGAAATTCCAACAAGCTGTGAATGAATTCAACGCCGATAATGACCCCAGCCAACCCAAGTGGATGAGGGATGCGTCTGTTCCTCGTGAGGAGTCATTTCCTCAGCCACAACCTACCCGACGAAGTGATGGAACAGGTCAAACGCAAGGGCAAAACGCCCCAGGGTTTACCGATGAAGCGCTCCTGCTTGATTCAGGAGAATCGCGTCCTCGTAAACCGCCGCGGCCATCTCAACCCGCCCAAGGAGGTCGTGATATCCACGCCCAGCCATCTCCCCCGGCTGGTCAGCCTATGCAGCCACCCAATTTTCTTCAACGACCATCACGACCCAGTTCCCAAGAACCCAAATCTCGGCTTTCCCGGTTTGCTGCCGAAGAGCAATCTGCTCAAAACTATGTTAGCCCGGCGAGACGCAAGCGGCCCCAGCCACCGGCGCCAGCGGTGCCAGAGCCTGATGTTGATCTTTTTAATTCTCCTGTACCGTCATCAAAACCAACACCCCAACCTAAAGCTGTACCCCCTGCACGGTCTGCATCTATTCCTGTACGACCTAAGGCCCCAACGCGCGCTGTTCCTCCTGTCTCCCCGGAGGCTCTGCAGTCTACTCACCGCCACCGTGAGAAAGCAGCAGAGGCATACAAGCGGGGCGACTATGCAGCTGCTCACCAAAGCTTCTCTACCGCTCTTGACATGCTCCCTGAGAAGCATCCAATCACCATCATGATTCGCAGCAACCGTGCAATGACGGCTCTGAAGACCGGTGAGCCCAAGACCGCGATCGACGACGCAGACATTATCTTGAATGTGATCGGTCCATCGAAGGGCGAAGAAGAAGTGATTGAACTAGGAAACGGAGAGCCTGCCAAGCCAATGAAAGATTTCTTTGGCAAAGCTTTGATGCGCAAGGCCGAGGCCCTGGAACAGCTTGAACGCTGGGCTGATGCCGCACAGGCGTGGAAGCTAGCGGTAGAGTCTGGCCACGGTGGAAGCACCAGCATACAGGGTCGAAATAGGTGCGAGAAAGCTGCTGGGATCAGCAAGCCGCCTTCGAAAGCGCCAGCCCCCGCCAAGAAAAGAGTACCACCGGCACCTAAGAAGGCCTCTGCGTTGTCTGACCTATCTGGTGGTTCGAGCTCTGGGCAGGACTCGGAAGCTGTTAGCCGTCTGCGCGAGGCTAATCAAGCTGCCGAGCGCGCTGATCAGGAAAAGTTTGCTCTCACAGATAGTGTCGAAGCAAGAATCACTGTCTGGAAGAGTGGGAAGCAGGACAATCTGCGTGCGCTTCTGGGCAGCTTGGATTCAGTGCTATGGTCCGAGGCTGGCTGGAAGAAGGTCGGCTTGTCAGAACTGGTCTTGCCGAACAAGGTGAAGATCCAATATATGAAGGGCATTGCCAAGGTGCACCCTGATAAGGTATGTTGCTCCAACTTTATAATCATTGAACGTCGAATGAAATGCTCACTTTTGTTCTCTAGATCTCTACCACCGCCACTACGGAGCAGCGCATGATTGCCGGCGCAGTATTTGGAACCTTGAATGAAGCTTGGGATAAGTTCAGGGTGGAGAACAATCTTTGAGTTTTATACTGCCTGTTGATGCTTTGTTTACTAGCATTGTGTTTCGTTGTCCGTTACATACCACCATCACCACCCGATTCCCCTCATATTTGCTTTGAAAATACTTAGAACATTTTCCATAACAGCATGCATTGGCTGCAAATGTGACCCATGAGACTATGATCGCAAAATCACATATATTACACTCCACTTCCATATCTGCTGTAGAAGAATGACGGTGAGGCTATATCAGAAACATGCTTATCATCACTTCACGTCGTATAATTTGTCTTGACAATTAGGTGGACCTTTGAATTCAAGGGAAAGTACAGAAATCTGATCATGTTCAAGACAACCCGCTTAATAGTACATGCATTATTTTGGTATAACCGTCCTCATCACGCCTCAGTCTTCTCTTCCGATGCTGGTTGTTCGGTCGCCTTCTTTTCCTCCTCCTCCTTAATCCGCTGTGCCTTGAATTCCTTCTTCATTTGCTTCCTGCTCTTCTCATTCGGCTTGTTTTGCGCTGCATCCACCTTAGATGAAGGCCACTGCTGGCGACACTTCTGCTCCTCCTCCTCTGACCAATCTCTGGGAAGGATGGCAAACACCAAGTATGAAGTGTGAGTCTTCAGCTCTGGCTCGGGGCGGTGCACCAGGCGACCCAACTTGTATGCTGGTCCTGTTGATTTCTCGACTAAGTACTTTGCCGGGGCCTTGAGATCCTCTTTCTGGGCTTCCGCATCTTCTGGATCGACAGTCTTGTCGGGTATGTTGAGGCGAATGCGCTTAGCCCGCTCCTCATCCGCCCAGAGCTTGTGAGCTGCCTCTTCCACAGTTGTGGGGTAAACGGTTGCTCCGCGCACGCCCTCGGCATCAAGTCCGACACGATCGCGCTTCACGTCAATGCGGTTGTGCTGCACCTCGACCATGGAGATATTCAACCAGGATAACTTGCGCATCATACGGATGGTGCGCTCCGCTTGCTCGAGACACGGCGAAAATGTGCAGATGAATGCGGTCGAAGAGGGGTCGAGTGGAGACTCAGCGCCAGAAGCTGGCTTGCGCACAAGATGGGGAAGTGCGAGCCATGGGGCTGGTAAGTCAAGGAAGATAGCATTGGCCTTGGGCGATTTCCCTGTCTTCGGATCTCCCAATAGGAATCCATCTTCGTAAACGTCGCGGTGGGTCACCTCGACCAGCCCGTCCAGTCCATGCTCCGTGATCTCCTCTCGTACCTTTCCAGCGCGCTGCTCGTGGAACTCGAAGCTGCACACCTTTCCGAGCCTCCGCTTCTTAGTCGTGGGTTGCTGCTCTTCGCTGGGATACCCATTGAACACGGCACGGACTGACGCGTGGGTGAATGAGCCACTACCAGCGCCAGCCTCGATGATTGTACTTCCTGGGCGCACGCGGAGCCGGTGCAGGATATAGCTGTAGTCGGGGGTATATACGACCTGTGTACGGTGGGGAAGAGAATATGTCCAGGATTCGGGCGTTGGGTACATCATGTGCAAGAAACCACTTGATGCGGTAACCGGTGTCTTGACGGGGGGAGCGTCGTCGTCGCCGGTGGTTGTCCCCGAAGCATCCAGCTCCTCGGCCTTGCGCTTGGCTGGGTTCTGAGGTTTGCGGCCGCGTGAACCGGTGTCGACTTTCGAAGCTGCAATTTGAGAGCCCCAGGGTTGGCCGAGCAAAGTGGTATGCGGGAATGACCCGAAGCGAGTATTGGCCACTTTTCCTTCCTTGTAACCTAGGTTCTCGTCATCGTGGGTGCGGAGGATTGTCGGGATAGTCTGGTCGCGACGGATATGGAGCATCGCAAGACTATCGGGCGCCGAGCAGGCGCCAGGAGTGAGAAATGGAGACGGCATGCTGATAAGGGAGCTCGAGTCAGCTCGAGGTACTCAGCGGCTGCAACACGAACAGTCCCTGTAGGCGTGAAGGGTATATCTTGAAGAGCTAAAGAAGCTTTGATTTACTTGGAGAAAAAGCAGATTGACATTTCCTATCTTGGTTGTTAGGGCTCAGGGCTTGCGGGACAACGTTGAGCATGGACCAATCACAGAGCATACCAACTGTTGCGATGACTCGATCTGCGTGTTTCCATGCTAAGTTGCCCCTCTTGTCTTGTCTTGGTCTGCCTTTTCTCATTCCTTTATGCCCCTCTTTCCCCGGTCCCCTCTCCTTCCCAAGCAGCAGTTTCGCTTCCTGTCTGTATCGATTTCTGGCGCGTCTAGATCCATGTCGTCTCGACAACAGCCGCCATGGCGGCAACCTGCCTCCCACCCCGAAGCGCAGCAACTCCCAGCTTTAAAAGTTTGGAACTCCTTGACTAAGTCTAAGACGCCCTTTGTTCCAATCGACCCTGCCGGCAAGAAGGTCTCCTGGTACGCGTGTGGACCGACCGTGTATGACGATTCGCATTTGGGGCACGCCCGGAACTATGTGACCACCGATATCATCCGGCGCATTATGCGCGACTACTTCAAGTTCGACGTTCACTTCGTGATGAACATTACAGATGTTGATGACAAGGTACGACCACCGGAGTTGGTGATTTGGACCCCAGGTTGCGCGCAATGACGACTTACATAGCCCCCACCTATAGATCATCCTGCGCGCGAGACAGCAACACCTCTTCAACGAATTCGTCGCAATCAACCCCACAGTCACACCGGAGGTGCTCGACACTGCCAAGAAGGCCTATTCTGCATACATTAAGAAGAATCTTCCTCTCTTGAGCCCCGACCTCACCCCCTCAGAATACCAAAATGCAGTGGAGAAGGCTTACGCAACGGTGCTGAGCGGTGGAGCTCTGGCTGGCAACGAGAAGGCGGGCGATGACGAAGCCAAGGTCAAAATGCACATCAAGACAGTGGCATCGGCTGCAAATGTTCTTGCGCAAGCAGAGGCCAGCAAGCCTGCCGATCCGGCGCTGTTTGCCGAGTCCTTCTACTCCAGTGCTCAGGATGTTCTCCTCCCCTACCTGGATGCTTTGAAGGGCGCATCAATTGACGCCAATGACCATGGAATCTTCACAAAGCTTACTCGCAAGTATGAGGATCGGTTTATGACAGACATGCGGGATCTTAACGTCCTCGACCCCGACGAGTTGACTCGTGTCACTGAATACGGCCCTGAGATCGCGGATTTCGTCGAGCGCATTGTGAAAAACAACTTTGGATATGTCACTGAGGATGGATCGGTGTATTTCGATATCAACGCTTTCGAAGGTGCCGGGCACAAATATGCCCGCCTTGAACCCTGGAGTCGCTCTGATAACAAGTTGGCCGCCGAGGGCGAGGGAGCTCTTACTAGCAAGACCACTGAGAAGCGCGGTGCTTCCGATTTTGCTCTCTGGAAATCTTCCAAGCCCGGAGAGCCAAGCTGGGACAGCTCTTGGGGTAAGGGTCGCCCTGGCTGGCACATTGAGTGCTCGGCCATGGCGTCTGCCCGACTTGGCAAGCAGATGGACATCCACTCGGGCGGTATCGATCTTGCTTTCCCCCACCACGATAATGAGTTGGCTCAGAGTGAGGCATACTTCCACAACCACGAACAGTGGGTCAACTACTTCTTGCACATGGGTCACTTGTCTATCCAAGGATCCAAGATGTCCAAGTCCTTGAAGAATTTCACCACCATTCGGGAAGCACTAGAGAGGGAGCAGTGGACATCAAGAAGTCTGCGCATTACATTCCTTCTTGGTGGTTGGAAGGATGGCGTGGAGATTACTGATGAGCTTGTCTCTGCTTGCAGCTCCTGGGAGGACAAGGTCAATAACTTCTTCATCAAGGTGAAGGACCCTGCCGCTCTCCAGGGCTCTGCCTCCCCTGATAACACTTTCGGTGCCGATCTTGAAGCGGCCAAGACTGCCGTAGACGGTTACCTTTGTGATTCTTTCAATACCGTGGGGGCTATGAACGCCATCTCAGAGCTCATCACCAAATACAACACTGCCGACAAGGCCACTATCAACCCTAATGATGTCAAGGCTGCCGCTCAATTCGTTACTCGATTGGTCAACATTTTTGGTCTCAATGGATCCGCTCCCGCCGACACCACAGAGATCGGTTGGTCGGGTATCGATATCCCCGAGGAGGCCAAGCCTTTCATCTTGCCCCTTTCTACCATGCGCGATACTCTCCGCCAAGCGGCCCGCTCAAAAGAGGGAATTTCCGCCCAGGTGATCGAACAGGCTACCAAGGAGTCTACATCCCAGGACGTTTCTGACACTGCCAAGCCTTACGCTGAGGTCCTTTCCAACTTCCGTGCCTCGGCCTCTGCTTTGCAGTCATCTGAGACTGCCGGAAAGGAGATTCTGGCTCTCTGTGATCGCGTCCGAGACATCGACCTCTTCGATCTCGGCCTCTACCTTGAGGACCGCGATAACCTCCCTGCTCTCATCCGCCCTGTGACCCGTGAAATGATCCAGGCTCGCGAGGAGAAGGCCGAGCGCGCCCGTCAAAAGGTCCAAGCCCAGAAGGCAAAGGAAGAAGAGGCTCTCAAGAAACTCGAGAAGGGCAAGCTCAGCCATCTGGAGATGTTCCGCACTAGCGAGTACAGCGCCTGGGATGACGACGGTCTTCCCACCCGTGACACCGCTGGAGAGGAGATCACCAAGAGTCGGGCAAAGAAGCTTCGCAAGGACTGGGAGCGCCAGAAGAAGGCCCACGAGGCCTGGTTGGCTAGTCAGGCCAAATAGATGCACCTACCTTCAGTGGAAGAAAAAAAACTCAAGCATTTTCATATTTCTATCTATGTTTCGGGGGTATTTTAGGTGGTTTTACATGTATGCATCGCAGGGCGTTTTCTGGACAAAATCATCTTGAGTGGAATATCTCAACTATCCTACGTATACAGTTACAACCATAGCACGAAGGCCCTATTAATATGCCGGCTATTTCTTATCTAGTCTCCTAACGTTTTTCAACACTCATCTCATTCCAGAGCTGTTATCATATAATAATGGACCTAAGCCACCTAGGCATGGTTTCCTGATCACTTCTGTACAATGTGCATATGCACAGGAAACTCATAATGCCTCTTGCACCGAGCCTGCAACAAAATTCTGGGTAAAGATTATAAAAGGTTTGAGCTCATACCCCACTCAATGAGGCTGCATGAGCCCAAGTTTCATATCCACGACATGGACGGAGTAACACGTGACTCGACGTCATCCACATTAGTCCCGCGGATTTCTCTAGCTTTTTCCTTTTCACGTCAATTGACTTGGTAAACGTGTGCAAGGGTGCGATTTTCGATTGAATCAACTTGCAAATTGTGATCGCCGTGCCCTGCAACTCCAGATATACCTCTGCAGCGTCCTTCGTTGCCCGGCAGAGATTGAAATCAGCATTCTACGCACGCGATGTTCCCCCCACAGTTGGGCAACCTAAACATTGAGGCACTGAGTGGCATTTGTGGGTAAGTTAAATTCATCACAATATCCGAATCAATTGTTCCATGGTTTGCGGTACTTCCAGTATGCGGATATCTGTACCACCTGCATTGATTTCACGTTGATCGACTTGATCTGTCACGACTCCACACCTGAAAAGTGCCTCCATACTTTACTGATATTTCCTAGCTCAATCTCTCTTGTCTGCTGGGTGGTAGTTTTCTCTCCACAGATCATTGAAAACTTCCGACGTGGCTCTGCAGATGGCCTCTCACTTCTTTTCCTCATAGTTTGGCTGGCTGGCGATGTCTTCAACATTCTTGGAGCTGTCATGCAGGGCGTCCTGCCAACTATGATTATCTTGGCAGTCTACTACACATTGGCAGATATTGTTCTGCTTGGGCAGTGCTTCTACTACCGAGGATTTAACCTCAAAGAAGAGTTCTCGCCTTCGCCCACCCCAGATGCTCCCGCTGGGGCCTCAGGCGAAAGTGCTGATTTCGGACCGGCACCAACCGAGCAATCAGCTCTGCTTCCAAAGTCCAACGGACATGCCCATATCCACGGCCCGCACACAACTAGCAATGGCGCTCAGCACCATGGGGAAGTACCGTCATTAGCTCAGGGACGTCGTCATTCTGCAACCTCATTTCGGGAAATCTTGCATTCCGTCGATGGAACCCATCTATCTCCCGCGACACCTCTCATTGATGCAAATGTGACTGCCGCTGCTCTTGCGCGTCGTCGTCAGCGTAGAATCTCTAGCATCCAAGCTTTCCTGTTCAATACCACTGCCATTGCCCTCGTCTGCACTGCAGGTGTCCTCGGCTGGTACTTCAGCCCCGCTTCGAAGAAGAGCTCAGAGCCCGAGCCTCTCACTATGGATACAATGGGTCAGGTCTTCGGGTATCTATGCGCGGCTTTGTACCTCGGCTCTCGGCTTCCACAGATTCTTTTGAACTTCCGGCGGAAATCTACCGATGGTGTCTCTTTCTTGTTCTTCCTGTTTGCTTGCATTGGCAATCTGACTTATGTGCTGTCTATTCTGGCATACTCTCCCGTTTGCCGGGGTGTGAAAAGCGTGGATATCACTTCCCACCACCATCAACCGAAATGCGCCCCGGGCGAGGCCACGGCTATTTATGGACGGTATATCCTGGTCAATCTGTCGTGGCTGATTGGCAGTTTTGGAACACTCTTGCTCGACGGAGCGATTTTCGTGCAGTTTTTCTTGTACCGCGATGCCAAAGATATTGATGAGCACGATGGGTAGATTACTGAATGTACATTTGTATATATGATTGATCAGACGAAATTAAAAGCTTCATTTATATTTATATAAGGACTCGCGAACATCCTAGCGTTCGTGATGTCAGATCGTGCCGTTCTCCAGGTGATACATCAAGTCTTCACGAATAAACCGTTTCATATCATCGAAGTTCTCTCCCAACCATTCAAGGTAACCGTATGCTCGAGTATGATCCCCCGCAAAGGCAGAAAGACCCGTCTTGCCTTCTGGTCCAAAGCGCATAAACTGACCACCTGTCGAGTAGGCCTCCCACGGCTGCTGACCATGAGCGAAAGCCGCCCAAAGGCGAGCAGCTTCCAATGAGACATCACGGGTGGCCTGAGGACAAGAGTCTAGCTCGTTCAGATGCATGAGAAGGGCACAGAGTCCATGATAAGACATTCCTTGCGTAGCACCAGGGAAAGGGGACGGTTCCTCCCAGTGGTACAAGAAGACATTATTCTTCCATGAGTCGGATTTGCGAGATGCCTCAGCAATGCCGATGTTGGGGTACTGGAACAAAACAGAGCCCAGAAGAAGGCGGAAGGCATCACGGAATGCCTCGGCAGACTGTCCTTGCGAAAAGCCAAAGTGATGACACAATTCTTTCGCCTTGTTATCAGGGAAGTTTCGTGAGATGGCCTCATGCAATTTCTCTTGAGTCAATCTTCTAAGCATACCATCGAAGATGAGTGCTTCGACATTAGTATCGCCAAGGATAATAGACTTGCAGCGAGCATTGGACACATTATCATCGAACGACCAGGTCTTGGGAATCAGTTTCCCATCACCAGCCGGTCCCATCACGGCCTGGCCTGCATATTTGAGAATGTCATTGACATCTAGACTGCGAAGGTGCTCTAGTCGAGCACTAGGAGTGGAGCCAACAGCGCCCGCCCGTTCACACAGGCCATTCCACTGCTCCTCAAATAGCTCTGAGCGAACTGGGAACAAGGTTGGGGCTGCACCGGACATCATGATCGCACGATCAAACAGCTCATGACCCGCGAGCAGATGAGCATGAATACTAGCGCTACCAGCACTAACACCAAAGACAGTGATGTTATTTGGGTCACCGCCGAAGTCGGCAATGTGTTGGTTAACCCACTCCAAGGCATTCCGCTGGTCAACGATACCGTAATTTCCGACCGGCTCTATGCTGCCATCGACTTCTGTCGCCAAATCTGTGGAAGCAGAAAAGCCGAGAGCGCCAAGTCGGTAGTTCATTTGAACTAAGATGACAGGGGTATTTGAATTCCGGGCGTGAGCCAAGAAGCTCTGAGGACGGTAACGGGCGACAGAGTTAGCGCCATAGGCGAAGCCTCCACTGCAGACGATTAGTGAGGATAATGTATAAGTGTGTGTTCACATACCCATGAATCCAAACCATGACAGGCAAAGACCCGGCTTTTCCGAGGGCTTCATTGGGAACAGCAATATTGAGGTTCAGACATTTGAACTCGTCGTCGCCTGGAGTGGGATCATTGGTTCCTCCTGTAACTAGAACCATGCCATTTCCCTGATTACAACGAGGACCGAACTGCGTCGCATTGTATGTCCCCTTCAATGAGTGTCGAGTCACACTGTGAGTCCAGCGCTTGGAGACATTTGCATATGGGATTCCGCGGAAAAGCGCAATATTACTGTCATTGTCGAGGGCACCGAGAACCTCGGCACCCAGTGAAGGGGCGTTGATACAGATTGTAGGAGTTTCGACCATTTTGATAACAATTGTCGAAAAGAGACAGAATCGTTAGGTGGACATGAGGGGCATCTTTATAACCGGCAAAACGTAAAACAATCACTCGGAATATCCTCGGAAGGATATTAGCTTAGCCCGAGCTAACAGAACTAAAACCTCAGCGTTCAGAGTCAAACGAGTCAAAAGACTACTCAACTCACATGAACTTGTCTGGATGAAGCTTAGAGCCAAGCCACACGGTAGTTAAGCGAAGCTAGGGAGATTCGTCGGCAATGCAGTCCTAGTGTCTGGGCATTTCCCCGCAGGATCAATACTTCCCCGGTTCAAAGGTCGGTGCTTCCCCACAACTGATCGCTTATCCGGGGAAGTTGTGGAGACGAAAGGACGTGGTCAGAAATTTGGAAAATGTGCTATAAAATCCCCCACATTCGGGGGTTGGGAAAGGGCACTTTTCTTTCAAATTATCTTTCATCATGAAGGCAGATGGCAGGGACGCTCCTTCCGTTGATCAGCTCGAGAATGCTCAGCCTGCTCCTATAATTATACCGGCAGAAGTCGTGGACAAAATTCATAATGGTGATGATGCACTGCAATTCCTTCAGCAGGGTCATGAACCCTACTCAAAGGAGGAAGAGAGACGCGTTCTACGCAAGGTTGACATTCGAATGCTCACTCTGATGCTCATTGTTAACGGATTTCAATTCGTGGATAAGAATGCGAGTTATCTTTGTCTCCCCACCCTTGGGTCCTATAGCTAATAAGAAACAACACAGACCATGTCATATGCTGGAACCTATGGTTTGACCACCGAAGCTCATTTGGTGGGACAGCAATACAGCTTGCTCACCACAATCTTCTATATTGGATATTTGGCTGCCCAATGGCCGGCCAACTGGCTGATGCAGAGACTACCAATTGCGAAGGTTTTGACCGTCACATTTGTGCTTTGGGGTACGTAGCAGTATGTCAAGCATCGCATAGCTAGTCACTAACGTTTGTTACTTTATTCTAGGTGCTACTTTGACAGCCACGGGAGCATGTACAACATTTCGCTCCCTAGCAGCCCTCCGACTTCTCCTCGGCATATTTGAGTCGGCCCTGAATCCTGGCTTTGTCCTAATCACATCCTCTTGGTGGAAGCGTGAGGAACAGCCCTTCCGTGTTGGATTATGGTACAGTGCCAATGGCTTCATCGGGGCGCCTTCAGGCGCAATTTTCTATGCCATTGCACATCTCCATGTGAGTCATACTAATAACCGTACCTACCTCAAGTCTCGCTAATCATATATCCAACAGGCGCGTAACCTCTTTGCGTATCAATGGATGTTCATAATCTTCGGAGCTGTGACATTCTGCTTTGGCATCTCCCTCTGGTGGTTCCTACCCGACTCCCCAATGACAGCGCGCTTCCTGACGGAGCGGGAACGATTCATTGTAGTGGACCGTCTTAAGAGCAACAAGACTGGTGTGAAAAACAGCAATGTAAAGACGGCGCAGTTCAAAGAGACCTTATTCGATATCCGTATCTGGATGCTCATCATTGCAATCTTCTGCCACAACATGACCAACAGTCTTCAGACCACGTTCATGGGAATCATCATTAAAGGCTTCGGATACAGTACCTATGAGGCTGTGCTGTTGAACATTCCTCCTGGTATTATTATGGCCGTCAGCATGGTTATCGTCAGTTCATTCCTATCCACAAGATGGGGCAAGGATAAGAGAATCTTCTGCATTATTCTCTGCTACATGCCTGGTATCATCTCCTCGGTCATTCTCTACGTCAGTCCAATTAAGGATTCGACAAAGCACTTGCATCTCTTTGCTATCTTCATTGTGCCCATTGTCGCCGTTGCATCGGGTATCATGTACTCGCTGCTTGCGAGTAACGTGGCTGGTTATTCGAAGAAGGTTCTGGCTGGTGCCATGTTCTTCTCTTCTAACTGTATTGCCAATATTATCTCACCACAGACGTTTATCACTGCCGAGGCGCCCAAATATACCACTGGAATAGTCACTTCACTGTGCATGTTCGCAATAAATATTGTGCTTTTCTCCATTCTATACCTCATCTACACTCGTGAAAATAAAAAGCGAGAATCTCAAGATGAGGGCGAGATGACTGAAGAGATGGAGCTGGCCAATGCTTTTGCGGATTTGACGGACCGACAGAACATCTCGTTCAGGTATACTCTTTAGCGAGTTTAAAACTGATGAATGAAGCAACGCATGTTCGGATCCTATGTTCAGCTACATTATAATAGTTCATATGTAAGAATTGGAAATACACTTTTATATATTTAATAAATGTTGCCACATACTCAAGTCATTCAAGATCAGCCAAGAAGCAAACAACAGCGGACGCAAAAGCCTTAGCATCGTCCTGACGATCCACCAAATCAGGTCCAACCTGCTCCAGAAACAGCGCCAACTTCGACTCCTTCCACCCCATCACCGGAGCAGCCTCAATGCACATCTTCGTCAATCCAAATGCATCCATCTCATAATGTCCCTGGACAGAAAGAACTCGCCCAGGGTTGTAAAGTCCCTGAATGGGGCAAATAGGTGTACTTCCAATATTAATCCACGGCGCCGGAAGAGACACAGGCGGTGACTCGCTCAGCGAAACAGCAACACCCTTCTCAACAGCCATGACACGATCGCCATGGAACATCTGAATCCGCAACTGACCCTCGGGCAAGTGACCAAGCGCAGTCGGGAACGAGCGCACGAAATTCTCGTTCAACTGGACAGTATAGATACCAACTTCCCTTCCGAGAGGGCACTTCTCAACATACACATCGCGAACCGAGTCATCCGGCACACGGACAAGAGCATGAGAAATAAGCTGGTGGCCGAAACAGGTACCCATAATGCGTACTTCGGGGTAGTCGTCGTAGACCTTTTTGACGAATTTCTCCAGAACCTGCATCCAGGGTGAATGGGCCATTTCATACACGCCAGGTGAGCCGCCCGTGATCAAAATCGCGTCGACAGGGTTGAGGACGGGCCATTGTTGCTGGCTTTGGGCGGGACTTCCGCGCAACCATTCAAATTCAGGATAATGGCCTCCGCGGATATCGAATGCCGTAACGGTGATGTTGATGGGGTTTGTGTTGTCCGGGTGTGTTTTATTAAGGTGGGCTGCTGTTTCGCGTAGGATGTCGCGGAAGTGGGCGCTGCAGAGGCCTCTTGCTTCGTATAGAGGACGAGCCGGGATGTCGACGTCCAAGACAGCGATGTGGATGTTGCGGACCATGGCTGCTTGCGATGGTAATTTCTGATTTGAATATGTGTGTTTGTGCTTTTGATGAATTTTTCTCTAACTGTGTTGTTGGTTTACTTGACTACTTCCTGCCACTGGAGGACGAGCTCGAAATAAGACAGCAAGCGACCCCAAGACGCCATCGGGAATGTTGGCCAAAAAAGTTAGACTGTATATTGCCTTTGAATAACTCATGTGTAATAAAAACATCGCCGCGTAAGAGATGGTGCCAAGTTTACTCCAACGGACTCCAATTTGATCGGGAGAATTAGGTAAAAGTTAGGTTTCGCGGAGCATGAGCTTAATTTTAAGCCCCACTCCCGGTGAGAACCTTGGTTTACACGGCTACATTCTGACCCAGCTCAAGAGTTTTATTGGAGATTTCGTCTTTGATGATGCGGGTGGTCTTGTTACTGCATGCAACTATGGAGCATTTGACGTTTAGTATTCAGGAAACCCCCGCTCTGTAGAACCTTAGTGAGTGATCGTCGACCTAACATTCTCCTTTATATGGACGGTAATTTTCTTTGCAGCCAATCAATATGACCGCGATTTCGGATGTCAATGCTAAATTTTAGTCTATATCCACAGTGAACCACCTCGGATAAATAAGCCTTAGGAATAAATCGGAACCAAGAAAGTAGCTCCGGAAGTAGAGCTTCCAATATCCGTGGCAATGTTAGTCATGAATACATTCAGCTTCACCAGTTGAGGGACCATCAGAGCCTTTAAAGTTTAGAAGGATGGTATTATCAAATAGTATTGAATATCTATGCTTCTTTGGCATGTCCATATTACACATAATTATGCACTCGGCGTTAGGTGAACTTTATTACTGATGAGAAACAAGGTAAGCCTTGGGTGCTTTTTTTTTGATTCGGTTCTTCATCCATTTCAAGTTATTCGTAAACTCCATTAAGATATTTAGCAATGCACCGTTCGCTTAATGCGATAGAAAACAAAACAACAACAAACAAACAAAAGATAGGTAGAAATCAGTCAAGCAAGCGTGAACCATGTTCCTTTACCTAGGAGGGTGGGTGGGGTTCCATCGTCTTGGTTCCGACCTCGCTCCAATTTGTGCTCAGCGAAGTGCCCTTACTCTCGATGTAGCTCTTCATCATAGCACGTTGAGTGTCAGGGTCAGCACCGGCATAAAGCTTCTTGAAGAATCCGTCCACGGCATCACCACCAAAGTCCGAGTCTACGGATTCAGCGTCGGAATCGTCCCCATCGTCCTTGGACTTGGTGTTCTTGGACTTTTTGGCCGTAAGGGTAGACGCAACTTTGTCCCAGTCCTTCGCGCCATGGCGGGATGAGGTCGGGTATGCAGGCCCGGCGGTAGCGGAGGCCGGTGCAGCTGGCGCGGACGGTCGGTCTGCGAGCTTCGTGGTACCGGCGGACGCCTCAAGAGCATTCCACTTCTGGCCCGGTGTCTGCTTCTGCAAGACGATTTCAATTTTCGTGCCCATGACGGTGACCTTGGAGGTCGAGGCATTGATGGGAGCATAGAGGGGGTCAAGGGTGAAATCATATTCGGAACCAGATGGTAGAGGGAACTGAAGAGATATCTGCAACGTAATGATTAGCTCCTCTGGTCCACCATTTGTACAAAGATGAAATCAACTTACCGAGTCGTCCTTCAGCTCCGTTTCAACTTTGTCCTTTGGGACATTCTTCACATACAGTGTCACAACAACTGAATCCTGAGATTGGTACCATTCATGACGGACCTTCTCCGGAACAGCTGCAGCGGAAACATTGCTAGCAGGCTTTTGCTCAGCGGCGTCCACATTTGACTCCGCAGACGGAGCCGCAGCCCTGGAAGTAGGTTGGGCAGCTGGTGAATCCTCAGCGCCTGACTTTCCAGACTTGAGTCTCTCCCATTCAGCCTTCAACTCCTTCTCAGTAGGCACACGGACATCGGTAGGGTACTCGGAAACAGTAACGATGGTTTTCTCGTCACCTTCAAGCTCACTCAGCTTCCGACGGACCTTCGCCATCCAGATCGGCAACTCTGCACTGTATCCGTCCTTTTTCGTCCACCCGCCAGCCAAGGCGTTCTTGAATCCCTCAGACTTGTCAACAGGTTGGCTCGGTCCACCTGCCTTGACCTCAATCTTCTCAAAAATATAATGGGCATCGCCATATCGCTCTAGCTGGAATAGGACGATACCGCGCCGCATCTGGGCGGAAAGGATAAGCTCTCGCTTGCCACGCTCGCGGGCAAGGTAAACTGCAATTTCGGCATCGCGTAGCGCAGCAGTCCGGTTCGGACCACCATCGGCAGGCTTCAGGCGTGAATAGGCAGTTGAGCGGTTTATATAGTATGCTGGGGCGCGGGGCAACTCGCATAGGGCACGGGTGAAGTGTTGAATGGCGAGGGGGGCGTTTGACTCGGCAAGAGCCTTCTCGCCCTGCGATGCGGAGTTCATGCTGACGACAGTGTAATGTTGACCGGTAGGGTAGCTTCCGGAGAAGAGAAAGAGGTGGTGGACGGAGTTGATTGTGGTGGGCAGAGAGGGCGTGTTATGCTTGGTGAAAGCCGGTGCTGCTCGCAGGTGTCAAAGCAACAAAAAATCTCGTCGCGTTTTTGGGCGTAGGGCAATCAAATTACTTGGGAAGATCAGATGTATGGTAAACCTGTGCCCAAAATAATCGGAGATGCGAGCGATTCTACAGCTTTCTCCGCTAGAGCTTCTATTACGTAATGTGGGGATGCGGCTCCCCAGCCAGCTACCTCACACGATAAGGATAAGTAATGCCCGAGTGTATGTTCATGGTATGTACTGAGCTTAAGGCTCTAATTATTAGTTAATCGAATGGTACAGGATAGACCACTTTGGTGCTGTTCACTGTAATGGCTCGTTGCCGAACTTCTTGGCGTACAGGCCAAGAGCACGGATTGGCCAGTAGAACTTATAGTTGGGGTAGGAGATCATGCTAATTAGGTCAGTTTCATACAACTTCCAAAGTAAGAATTTCAAACATACCATGACTGGTTGAAGACACCTTCAATAGACTCTTGTAACCACTCGCCATTGGCTTGTTGCCGGGACATCAGCAGCTTCATCGCCTTTTCAAGAGGCTCCTTGTGGGGATATTGGGCTTCTAGCAGCGCCAGACAGGCCCATGCAGTTTGACACACTTGTGACTTCTCATGCTGGACGTAGACATGCTTCTCACTGCTGAGATAGGATTCACCCCAGCCACCGTCCTCCTTCTGCTTGGACAGCAGGAACTCGCAGCCGCGGCGAGAGTTCTCACTGGTCTCAAATGTCTCACCAATACTAGCCAAACTTTCGAGGGCAAACATCGCGGCGTAAGTGAAACAGATTCCCCAAGATCCGTACCAGCTTCCATCGGTCCGCTGGACTCGCTTGATGTAGGTGACAGCCTTGTCCTTGGCAGCCTTGATCTCGGCCGCGCGGTAGTCAGGGTAGAACTTGCTAAAGAGAGATAGCGCTGTCACCGATGCTGTAGTGCACTCTGGGTAGTCGTACCCAATCATGATTCCACCAAAAACCTCGGCAGCGTTCAGCCACTCAACCTTGGCAGATGCACGTGTAGTCTCATATTCAGTGAAGCCACCAGTGGGGTTCTGCATCAACAACAGACAGTCGACGCTATCCTTCAAGCGGTCCAGAGAAATAAGCTTGGGGAAGTCGTACATTTCCTGGAGTTGGATTGTCGATCGAAGACCCTCAGCGGTGCAATCACTGACGGTGTATCCCTGTGTCTTGGTACTGAAAGGCCAAGCACCTTTGCGATGCTGGCGGTAGCACTTCTCTTGATCAGGCACGTTCTCCCTCAGCTGGTGATCTTCGATGAACTCGAGAGCCTTCGTCAGCATGGGCCGCCACTTGGGGTCATCAGCAAGTCCAGCGACCACGACCGCTTGAGTGACGAATGTTGTATCCCACACCTGGACACCGTTGGTACCGTTTGCCAACATGCCCTCGCCCTTGAGCCACATATAGTCGTTGAGTCGCTCCCGGTGTCGACGCACGGAGTAGCTATCAGGACCATCATGGATATAGCAGGCAACCATGTTCATAGGGTTGTTGACAGGTCCTAGACCTGCGTAGTCAGTGTTTTCGTCTTCCATGCGGATCAGCTCCCAGGTCCAGTCTTCGGCTCGTTTGGTGATAGCTTTGACTCGGAGGAACGGATTCCACACCCGGACTAGAAGTTCATTGATACCGTTTAAGAGCCAAGTCTTCGGGTAATAATTATCAGCGGCATGGATAGAGTTGCGGTGGTTGGCAAAGTTGATAGATTCGTAGGGCTGAGGGTAAAGTTCCTGTCGGAGCTGCCTGGTAAAATCATTAAGCGGGAGAGACCACTTCTTGGACCAGATGTAAGACATAGGCAAGAACACCTGGCGCATATGGATCCACCAGCGCCAAGGGGCAAATGGAACCCAGTCGGGAAGAAGCCTGAAATATCAATCAGCAAAGTCTCAACGACTCGATCAATGCACGACATACCAAATCTCAGGGGGAACGGGATTGACACCCTCCCAATCCATCACACCCAGGACACTCAGCCAAAACTTCGCCCAGTGGGGCCCGTAGATAGCGCCGCCAAACTGGTGAAGCAGGCCACGAGCTTTGATCATGCGAGGATCATCCTCGTGAGCACCGACCAGGCGCAGAGCAACGTAGTTCATAGAAGTACCAAAGCAAGAACTGTGAGCTTCGATGTGCAAACCCCAACCACCATCATCGGGATTTTGGCGGGCGAACAGATAACGCTTGATCTCTGCAGCGTACTCCGGGGGGATGGGAGTGTTGGTCACATAATAGGTGATCAAAATGCCTGGCAAAAGAAACATTGGACCTCCATACTCACAAGCCCAGTTTCCAGGCTCTAGCTGGAGCTTTGAGAAGAAAGACAGGCCGTTCTCAGCTGATTGAAGAGGTGTCTTAGCCTCTGGCAAAATAGGAAGGCCCTGGCAAGCGACATGTTAGAGATGAGGGATTGGATGTAAATTTTGACTACATACCGTTGGAAGTCCCATATGGTACTTCTCGGCGACTGTTTGCAGCCAGGCAGAGTTCTCTGTGTCGGATTCAAGATAGCGCCAAGTCTGGCGGCCTTCTTCGTTGACCAGGCGCCAGCGAGTGTAGTCGGTCTTTGGGTCGCCATTCTCATCTGGTTTAAGGTGACCCTGAGCATCTGTCCTCCAAGGACCAATTGGAGAAGTCATTATTGTGGTTTGGTCAACTTCTCCGAGTACAATTGGAGAAGTTCAGCTGTAGTCTGGGAGCAGTTAGAATTGATAACCTTGGATCACCTTCAAAGCGGGTCGAGGCCCCTGGGGAAGCTGAGTCAGCAGTCTCAGAGTTTCACGGTACAATGAAGTACACGGATTCCTATGTGATGCAGCGCATTTGAAGATCTATTGATTTTGCTTTGTTCGGAAAATGAAAGATCCACTGAATACATGAAGTTGTGAGGACATTGGCCGGTGTGGTGGTTGGTAGGATCCCACAGTCAAAAGGGGCTATCCGGAACACAGGCATTCTCGAAGCACAAGTCACGGAAGTAAACAATCAACAATTATTTCCAAATTTTTTCTATCAATTGATACTAAACGATTCAGACGCTCAATCTATTTTGAAAACGCTTACTCAATGAAAATCAATTGATATGAAAATGGACCTTGTAATTCAAGTTGAAAACGTAAGCGGTCACGTTAGTCTCATCCGCATGGACATGTGTAGCATTACGGTATCAGAACTACCGTCCTCTCAATCCATAAGTTCATCCAATGGCACAGCCATCAATAGCTCCGAGCTTCTCTGTGCCCGAGAACACTGAAGAAACCTTGGTCCGCGCCTATATCGACAATACCCTCGCGGCTTTACTCCACGAACTTTCGCTACCACGGTCAGAAGGACAACCATCGGTCACGCTGCGACGGAGAACAAGCTCAGCAAGATACACAATTAACCAGCAAAATGGAGCACTGGAAGTAGTGCAGCCGGTGGTGTCATACCGGACCTATTCCTGGCCAGGGAACTCAGCGTTTGAAGCGTGGAGGTTCAGTATGAGCTTCTATTCTTGACATGCTTTTCTTCATTCTATCGTATGGCATGCTAAATTGAACAACTACGAGTAGCGGTTACCATTCGAATCCTTTCAGTGATTGACGAGGCCATACGGGTGGGACGATTAATTTCGAAGAGGTTGGTTCTTCTAGTCGATGGCAACCGATTGGTTCATGCTGAGTGTTTTTGTCCAGAGATATATACTATATCGATCCCGCATACTTTAGGTCGCAGCATGTCGTGGATAGCATAGTAGATGACCTTGCATACACAATTGGAGTGGATCGAACGGCTTTGAATGTTGTGAGTTCCTTCAGGCCCTCAAAACGCAGGAAAATACTCACAATCAGTAGGAGGCAGCAGGGAAAGGACTAGTCACTGGGTCATTTATTTTGAGGCGGGATTCACAGATCGTGCTAGACGCAAGGTCTTCCTCTCAGGTGAGATGAGCTCCGGCACTATGGGCATTGAGCTGTGAATGTGACGGTGGCTGGACCAGGATACTTTGATTCCCCGAATCCAGGAAAACGACGAACTTGATATCTCTGGCACTCGCTGGGTGCTCATTATTGAGAAAGAAGTATGCTTCCCCTCAGAAAGGCTCCATCCAGTTGCCCGAATGACAAGTTTCAGGCAGTGTTCCACCGACTTGCAAGAGATAATTATCACATCACAGCTCTTGCTGGTCAAGGCATTCTCATCACTGTAGGCCTGTATTTTCTATATAATGCAGACAATCGCAACTAATTGATCGAAACCAGGGAAAAGGATACCCGGATATTTGCACGCGTGCATTCATTCGACAGATCTTCGATTTCGCATCCAACGGCAATAGGCGACCCCTACCCATTTATGCACTTGTTGATGGAGATCCAGATGGTATAGCGATCATGTCGACGTACAAGTACGGGTCCATGGCGCACCTTCATGAGAATGCACGACTTACTGTGCCCGGATTGAAGTATCTTGGAATTCGGCTATCAGACGCAGTCCTTGACTCAGATGTTTCAGACAGCGTCCTTCTTTCTTTGACGGCCAGGGACCGCAGGAAGATCAACTCCATGCTTCGCAATAGTCCAGTCTGGGCTGATGACGGGCCAGAACCGGAATGGCGGCTTGAGTTGCAGCGAATGTTGATGTTGAATGTGAAAGTGGAGATCGAGACGATCTATGAGCATGACGGTGGTCTAGAAGGATGGATTAATCGAAAGATGTTCCGGCAGGCATAGTTGATAGGTATTCGAGGGACTGCTGCTGCTGGAATGCTGTAGCAAGTATATCATGAATTGTATAACCTACGCAGATCAATGGTTATAATGGAAATGCCCCACGCTCTCATTTTCAATGGTTAGATATACAAACTGTGCATCGAGAAGCCATTCCCAAGCCATGCAAGAAATTCAAAAACCACCAACTGACGCCAAATCATCAACGCATGTCCATTTCGTTATCAAATTGTCCAAAATCACTTAAAGTCCCAGTCCCTTCCGCACCTCATCCCGGACCTTTTCTTCATATTCGGGTCTTCTCTCACGCCACATCTTGGCCGCCTCAACATTGGCGGGACTCTCATCATTGGGCTCAGCAAGCATGCTCATGACAGAGATGAGAATCTTCTCCACACTCTGGATAGGCGACCAGCGCTCCGAGGCGTGTTCGTAGTGGTTCGGGTCGTCGCCGGGTGGGTGAAGGATGGAAATGCAGACTGTGCCATTGGGGTAGACTGAGAGATTGCAAATCAAATTAACATTTGCTCATGATTAAGGTATCTAGTAGAGGGCGGGACAAAACAAAAGGTTCTATTGCCTGGGAAGAATTTACCGTTTGGATGCCACACTCCACCGCCGACAAACTTCATTGTTGGTGGGCTGAGAGGGTAGTCTTTCGGGAACTTGAGCTCGGCTGCGAATACTCCACCCTCAAAGGGGGTGCCTCCAGGGCCCTCGATCAAGGCTTCCCAGTAGAACATGTCATCTTCCGACACGGGGCCCGCGGTGATGCCCTCTGGTGGGTTGGTGGAGAGGTTCTTGTATTCGTGAAACAGGCGCTTCTGGGCAACCGTGGAAGCCATGTTGTGGAGTTGGGAGGTGAGAGTCCAAGAATTGAGTGATTAAGGAATTGGGAAGAAGTGGGTTGGGGTTGGGTTCCGAGGGGTGGCAAAAGGTGGAGTCCCGTTGAGAGTGCGGAGACAGATCAAGAGGTCCAGTTGAACGAAGTGTGAAGTTGGTGGAGTAGGCTTTGAAAAGCAGTTATTAGTAAATAATAGAGGGTCCTGACTCTCGGAGGAGAAGAAGAAGTGAAAGTGTGTAACACTGAAACCTAAATGATTGGAATGTTGAGTTTCGCGGGGACACCGTCATTGGTCTGCCCCACGTCGATCCTCATGTGCAAATGTTCAGGTTCAGGCTTCGAAGATCAAAACACACAATATAGTAGAGATAATTTGTCTATAGCCGACCTCAGGATATATTCTAATATACAAAATCACAGTCTTTAACTGTCGAACCAATCAAAGATGCTCCCTCCGTCTCCAGAGCCTCCAGAGTCTCCGGAATCATCCCAAGGGTCATCTTTCCAGACGTCTTCTTGGTGGTTTTCAGCCCATGGATCTTGAGAACCATCGGGCGGTTGTTGTGCCTGCTGTTCATATGGAGGAAAATCGGATTGTTCATTCGGTGACGCCTGGCTGCTTTGTTCGCCCGACATGCCACGTTGCATGGCTTCATATCCAGCCATTGCACCAGCGCCGGTTGCGCCTGTGGCCATACCTTCAGCTAATCCACCTGCAGCACCGACTCGGCCCACAGCGCCTGTTGCGGCCTCGCCAATGGCTCCAGCTGCTCCAGCTGCTCCGGCTTCACCGGCCGCGGCGCCACCAACTGCACCACCAGCGGCAGCTTCCCCTCCCATGCCAGGGAACCACAAGGGCATGAAACCGAAGCCGCCACTATGGCTGTGACGGCTGAAATAATCGAAATCGATCGTCACGGCAGTGGCTAGCACAACCGCACGCTGGTCAAGTGTCATGCCTGTGGGGTTTGCCACATCAATAGGCGATCCTCCGGTAGGTAACGCCTCAGTTCCAGCCCCAGCAGAATCCATGCGCAAGGCATAGACACCCGTATCTGTAAAAATCTCTCGGGCAAAACCACCAAAGTTACGGTTCACAGACCCAACTAATCGATTTTCCGCAGACAGTAGATCGAAGTCCAAAGATAGGAATGGCGCATCGACATATGCAAACTGGTTGAATTCGCCCTGTCCTAACCCAGGCTTTTGTGCTAGTTGCATTTGTTGGGATTTTGACAGATCTGACCCAGAAAGCGAAAATTTCTGGGCACCCATGTCTACCGCTGGATTCGGAGACTGGTGATAAGTGAAGAGATTATATTTCCGGCGTAGCGGCGCCCACTCTTGTTGAGATTCACCAATGATCCGCATCTCATCCAAGCTGAGTGGTGAGATGCGCGGGTTCAAGGTCTCGTTGGCTGAGACAAGAGATCCTGGTGTGGTGTTCTGAAGGGCAGTGGAGGAGGTATTGGCGCTTGTGGTGACATCAAGAGGATCATAGATTTTAATTCGAGAGTTAATCCAGGAGAACGGACGATGGAACTGCGCTGATTAGTGGATATCCTTCAATCAAAACGTGGTCTAATGACTTACTCGCAAGACTTCATTCTCATGTCGGTCGAAAACATGCGTCACAAAGCTTCGGTGGGTGCGAAACATTTGACGTGAAATCGTATTGGTCATGCCCTTCTCTTGTTCTGCCATGTATCCCACATGGTTGCCTTGTGCATCCATTATAACGTATTTATTTGCTTGTTCGAAACCACTACCAAGACATGAGTGTTAGCAATTTAGCCATGCACTGGGTTCTATCCTGCACTCACACCATCAGGTTCATCATCTCCAGTTGACGCTGAACTACTAATCCAGAGTTTGCCAATATGCGTGCCGCGGGGTGATTTTCTTTGAGCACCCCATTTGGATCCTCTGGCATATGCACAGGGGAGAGAAGAGTGTTTTTTGACGGATCATAATTGGGATTGGGACCATCCTGAGGTTGGGGACTTGTTTGTTCGCTTTCATCTGGTACTTCAGGCCTTTTGGGTGTTTCGGGGATGTTTTTGGCGGGTTGAATTCGCTGTGATTTGAGCATGCGAGAACTCCTAGGGGAAGTTCTGCTTCTTAAGGATGATAAAGCGCGTTGAGAGGGAGCATTTCGTAGCGATGCTAGACGGAGTCTGCTGCCCCACATTTCGATGGGAGCTGCCAGTCTGTAGGCTGTAAGTAGGGGTTGAGTGGTGGGGGGAGGGTACAGAGGAAGGCGAGCTGGGCGGCAAGAAGTTCTCAAATGACGGAAGCTCACTGCGGCGTTAAGCGGAGATAGCGCCAGGTGTAGATCGCTTTCTACATGAATGCCTCGATAAGATTCTGGCTTTGAACGGCACGACATTTGGGATTTCCAGGTCTTTCTACAGTAATTTGATAGCCTTAAAACCCCAGAAACATCCCCCCCCCTCCTTTAATGTTTGCTGACACCCAGTACTAGGGCGTATTTACGTTGCCCAGCGTCAGAATGAACAAACACCCAATGCTCCAGATTACAAGTCCCGAGACCCGAGTTGAGATCTAATGGCGAACCCCGAAGGCGAGTAAGATTCTGACCAAAGACTTATTGTACTTATATATCCTTAAAATCAATTGACTCCTCTAATATCCCAAAGAGAAGTAATGAAAAAGGTGAAGATGCTAAATGTGTAGTATTTGCGGACGATGATCCGGACCTGCGGCGAACAGTCCATTGCAAGATAAACCTTTCCGATCCTATGTGGAGGTAACATGAGCCAATAAATTCCTAGACCGATTCGACATGCTCCAATAGACTGTCAATTGCTCACAGCAGTCCCTTGCGAGCCAGTTCAATCTTCCGTGCAGCCTCCCCCGCTTTGAATCCTCCTTTGGAAACGCAAATCGCACTGCCTTCTCCGAGCTCAACCTTTTCTTCGACATCGGGGTGTGGGCATGGACAATGATGCGGGACGCTAACGCAGGCGAGGGTACCAGGGCAAAGATATTTGCTGCATTGAGCTGTAGGAGAGTTTTTTGTCAGTAAAACTGGAACATGAGTAGGTTTAATCATGGCATCACGAGTGCTTTTATCATACCTTGGCTCCATGAGTTCTGGTACCGACCGCTGTCACTGGGGACGTCCTGAGCGCCCTGGTGGTGGCCTTGCTGTTGTTGGTTGCCCCCAAACATCTGTTCGAAGAAGTTGAACTGGGCCTGAGCAACGGCGACCAGCATAAGAATAGCCCACACAGACTGAAAAATAGAACGCATCATGGCGAATCGGGCAACAACTGAATGAGTCCAAGATGAGTGTGACCTGACCGATTAAACGGAAAGTCAAGTATAGATGAAGCCAGCTCACGGCCCGCACACGTGACGCCAAGCCTCCAAGAAAAAGTTCCCCTTTGGAGCTTCAACTTCCGCAACCCCAGACTATCCTCGAATTGTCCAACAATGCTGCAACCTAGGTTCCTGACGCCCCTCCGGGCGCTGGAGCGAGCCTTCACTCCATCTGTTCGATCGGCTTCAAGCCTCTACCAGCCGCAATCGCTCATTACACGAACCCTTTCCGCCAACCTCACCATCCCGAAAACCACACCCACACCCTCTCTCCTCTCATTCTCCCAAGTGCGTTACGCCTCTCACGCCTCTCAAGGAACAGCCAACCGACACTCGCGCGACCCCGCTGGAAAGCGTCTGGGTGCGAAGCGTTCCGGCGGCGAGTACGTCGTTCCCGGTTGCATTATCTTCAAACAGCGCGGCTCTAAATGGTTCCCCGGCGACAACTGCGCCATGGGTCGCGACCACACCATTTACGCTACTCAAGCCGGTTATGTCCGGTACTACTTGGATCCTCTCCAGCACCCCGACCGCAAGTACATTGGAGTTGTCTTCGACAAGGAGGATAAGCTTCCTTACCCGCGTAATGCGCCGAGCCGGCGCAGGCTGAACATGGTGTCTGTTCCGCGATTGGAACCCGTCGCTGAGCAGTCTGATCTGGTGGCTGAGATTAACGAGAACGGCACTCAGGTTGGATCCGTGGCGGCTGCCGATGCCGCTACCGGCCCGCAACTTCGTCCTGGATACATGTACCGTGAGGCCAATTGGGTTATTGGTCGTGCTGCTGAGATGGCCGGTGTCTTCGCTAAGCCCTATGATAGCCGGAACCGGTGGCTTGCGTGGAGGAAGCGCCAGGCTCGTGCTGAGCGGGCTGCTGAGATGAAGAGTTTGAGGGGCAATAAGAAGGCCGCCAAGAAGGCCGCCAAATAAGTGTGCATGATGTGATCCAGTTTGGATTTCTGTAGCGATATGAGGCTTTGTCTCCGGTGTTTCTCTGTATTATAGAAAGAATTTCCTTCAATGATATCTCCGCCTGTATCATGACAAGTTCCACAGCCCTAGAGTTCAACAGGTGGGTTTGAAGATCACATGTGTTTTTCGTATATCTGAAGTTGCCTGGGAACCTTGAAACACAAGGTTTGGACCAGAGGTTTCAGCAATGCGAACCCGAATAAGAGCCCGCAATAAGCGTGACTTCTAAGGTTTGCCTCGGGTTCTTATTCGGGTTCGGGTTTACTCCACTGATCGCCATCTGCATTTCACAGCATGTGTTCCATGAGTTTGTTAACGGTCTCCCATACAAGGCAACAATGGATCATGCTTAATTTTAAACGTGCGCAGCCAAAAGCTCTCCACGGTTCCGAAACGTGGGACCCTCACCCCCAACCAGATATCCAATGATCGTACGAAGCATAGCCAAAATTTAGGCATCCTGGATTCATATTGATGCTGCGATCGTCGCGGGTCCGAGACCTTCGCATTGATAGACGATCAGCAGAAGCACCCAAAGTTATACCATGGTTTGTCCAGTTAATAGAAAAATCATTATAAAACGCTCCAATGCCACCCTGATATCACCTGCTCCAAGTCTCATTGACATTGGCGGACGGGCGACATAACATGAAAGCCTTTGAACTATCACTCTTTGCATTGGCCTCTACTGGCGTTAGTGCCGCGGTTTCAGTTGGATCCTCAGTTACAACTGACCTCGGCACTTTCACCCTTACCAAAGGTGTAGCTTGCGCTTGTGCAAAACTTTCCCACTCATTCGGGGGAGTTATCTCTCCTCATGGCGCCAATTATACCACCCAAGCAGCAGACCGCTACTGGGATGTCCGAGCTGACTTGTCTCCGGCATGCATTTTCCTTCCTTCGACTCCGAAACAGGTTGCTGAAGCAGTCTCGATCTTCGAATCTTGCAATGCACAGTTCGCTGTTCGCGGCGGAGGGCATATGAACGTAAGAGAGAGCTTTCGAATCCATGTAGATCAAAGTCCAAACTAATGTAACCAGTACCCCGGTTCAAACAACATCAACGGCGGCGTCCTAATGCCTCTCGAGAAACTCAACAAAGTCAAAGTCAACGCCGACACCGTCGAAGTCGGCCCAGGCCTTACATGGTGGGACGTCGTGGAAGCCCTCGATCCACATGGCCGTGTCGCAATCGGCGGCCGAATGAAAACAATTGGTGTCCCGGGCCTAACCCTAATCGGCGGCTTCCACTACTTCAACAATAAATACGGATACGCAATGGACAATGCAGTCAGCTACGATGTTGTCCTTGGTAACGGGACGCAAGTCACCGCTAACCAAACTTCTCACCCAGATCTCTTCTGGGCGTTGAAGGGTGGTGCAAACAATTATGGTATCGTAACAAAGTTTACCTTGAAGACATACGATATGCCCAAGATTAGCACAACCATTCAGGTATTTAATGAGAGTGGCATTCCCAAGTTCCTCGACGCTGTCTGTGAGGCTGCCAAGCTCGATGACGAGAATTCTATTGCGGCTGGGATGGTTGCTACCGTTCAATATAACGCTACTACAAAGGTTGTGGATGCTTCCCTGCTGGGTGCTCAAGAGGGTGTTAGCAACCCTCCTTCGCAATTTGCGAACTTCTCAGCTATTCCGGCTACTACTCGGATCAATGAGGTTACTACTATGAAGAAATGGGAATCTGTTTTAGATACCCCCAAGCAGATGTTTCGGTAAGATCCACTGTGTTTATCTGTTCCATAAAAGACTGTTCCATTGAGCTGACATATTTTAGGGTAATGTTTTCCATGAAAGCAGTGAAGCCAGATGCAGAGGTGCTATACTCGATTTATAAGGCGTGGAAAGACGGCGTGGATACAATTGCCGATGTTCAGGGACTGTACCCAACATTTGTGACTAATGTCGCATCTGCACCTGCTGCGCGGGTCGCGAAGACCAATGGCATTGGCAATGTCTGGGGTCTTGAAGATGAGCCTCTTATCTGTTCGTATGCCTCTGAATATTTTGAGTGGATCTTAGCTAATAAGCAAATAGTATGGCAGTTCAGTACTGGATGGGACCTTGCCCAGGATGATCTCCGCGTTGAAGCTTGGTCTCGACAGCTTACGGAGCATTTGCATAGTATCAACGTTGAGAAGGGAATTGCGTCGGAATTCGTCTACATGGGCGATGCGGGTGAGTGGCAGGATCCTTTCGCGGGATTCCCCACTGAGAATGTTGCTCGGATGCGTAGTATTCGGGCGGATTATGACCCGTTGGGAGTTTTCTCGCGTTTAAACTGGGGAGGATTCAAGCTGGGACTGTGAGATTAAAACTATCTTGGTTATTTGCTGAGTCTGTGCCAAAACAGTGAGGTTGAATATGAAGATTAGTTTGACTACACATGTCTACACATTTATTTCAGCCTTTCCCAGCAATCAAATTAATTGTGTGCCAAGTGATTAATCTCGAGGAACTATGCCAGCAGCTCAGGTAACACATACTCGCTGGTGTAATTCCAAAGCATGGATGAATCGTGCGTATGGAAAGCAGCCCCAGTATACCACGTGCTGCGATAACCCTGCAAAGAGTACAGGTCTCCATAGAACCCATTTTTAATCTCATCTGCAGAAACAGTCAACTCAAACGGAGCATGACTATTATACGCCACGAATTGCGGGTCATCTGGTAATTTTTCGGCAATTCCGTTCGCCTGGAGTTTTCTGACGTATGAGAGAATCTCGCGTTTGACATCATTGTCTGATAGAGGTGACGGACTTCCATATTTGATATCGAAGACTCCCTCGATTGCCGTTCCGGTGACGACGTAGACGCCGGGTAACTTGGGGATATTTTGCTGTGTATCTGGGCTGGCGGAATAGGAGGTGTAGTTTGGTGGTAAGCCAGTGTTGTTCACTAAGCTGGTGTAGTAGCCCGTGTTGACGAATTTACCAAAGATGTTTGATTCGTGGTGGTCCAGGCTGAAGGCATGCAGATTATCAACCTTAGGAGGGATGGTAATCAGGAGCTTTTTTGCTGTCACTTTTTGATATCCTCCTGGTGTTTGGACGATCAATTCCACTCCTTTGTTATCTCTTTGCGTTGTGTTGACCACGGAACTACTTAGAAGAACATCACGTCCCAGGAGCTGCGTCACATGGTCGTAAATCTCATAATTATTCCGATTTGTCGTAATCAAGAATCCAGTGGCAATGTCACGAATAATATCCGTCCCAAAATTCTTGAAGACATATAATGTCGGCTGCTTGAGTTCATCGCCGAGGCCTTCACCGAAACTGCATATCGTAAATGTGGCATTTGCGATATCGGGGTATTTCTGAATGAATTCTCCAAATGGCAGTAACAAGTCTTCGGGCACAGGATCCGGAAGGAAGAAGCCCAGTTCCACGTCCGGATATTGAGCAAGTTGCTGCGCATACGCCTGTAGACCGGCCGTGGGATCCGGGCTGGTATAATTGACAGGCTTGGCAGTCTCTGGATCCAGGAACTGCGGCGTAACAGATGAAACGAAGCTTGGGTCCGCGATCTCCCAGGATACGTTCAGACGGTCGAAGAAATCTTTGACGAGTTGTTGGTTGTGGTATACTTGGACACCGTAGTCCACAGTCTGTTTAGTGTCTGGATCCTGATATGTATTGGTGTGGCCACCCAGGATGGCTTCCTTTTCGATCAAAACAATGGATTTGCCTTGATCACGGAGTTTCACTGCGGCGAATGCCCCAGAGGCTCCGCCGCCTATAATGGCGACATCGCGGACGATATTGTCATCCTCACATAAGCCCAATGAGGCAAGGAAGGCAAGCCCCCAGGCAAGAGCGCGTGCTTGTCGAACCATGGATGTTTGGATATCCGGTTACTGGAGTTGAAGGGTTGAAGTACGGATCGTGTGAGACTCGCATTCTCTTCAGCTTTATATCTTGCACGAATCCTGTAAACACAAGCAGCCATTCCTGTGTCACGGAACGAGTAGTCAGGCGGGTTTTCGATTCGTTATCTGATCAGGCAGGATCCACCACCTTAAAATTGTAGGCCCCTGCCCAGCATTCTTGTGCAGGGCTGATTGGAATATTTGGGTTGTGTTGAACCCATGATTTTTTTCTCTTAAATCATTGCAAGGATTTAGGTCAATATTCGACGCGTCGCTGGTCAATTTCATGTGGAATATGTCGGCCCTTTCTTTCTCGGTGAGTGGCGATTTTCATCGAAATCTACGAGGTTGGCAATCCCGAGATACACAAAATAAGCCACACTTTGGCATTTGCAACATCATGAGGGATTTGACAGCGCAAGATTCAAGCCGTTACCTGATGATAGATATCTACCTGAGTAGAGGGTTGCAAAGGTTGCATGATCTTAAGAATTACCTTTGCCGAGAGAATCTTGTTCTTATACCTTCCGTCGTTGCGAATGGCGACATATGCAAACTCGCCGAACAACGGAATGTTGCGAGAAATTAGAGCTTTGAATGTAACAAAGTACACTTTCACTTGATGCACCATTGGAATGTTCATCGGACCATATTCCCTTCCTTCCGGTGGTCATATTCCCGTCATTTTTGACATCCAAACGGCGATATCCGTCCCGTTGATTCCAAGGTTCATGTCAAAGCCCACTGAAAGCCATAGATGATAACCCGTGGAGACCTTTGGAACGAGTCACCTGAGGCGTAGCTGAAGTGGGTACTAGAATTAAATCTGCCATGGCTGCAGACGCCATAGATCTGAAACTCGGACCCATTGTTCGGTCCTTTATCTTCTAGAAGGGGGATTGCCGAGGTTCGTGCCGGTAAATGTCAACAGTGGGGATAGATACGAGTCAGAGCCATCTAGGAAGAAGAAAGATCGTCATGGCAATGATTCAGTGCCGCAAAAATGAGATCAACTCCCGAAGTCCAGATCAATCGACTGGTATTTGCTACTTTCATCCTTTATCTTACCGATCGACCTCATTACCTTTCCACCGCCATGAGTTTTGATTTCTCAACAAGACCCGGAGTACCCGAGCCCAGTGACGGAAAGCTGGAAATTCCATGAATTGACGTAGATTTCAGGGCCCAGATCGGGTTAGTGCCTCGGGCCAAATTGCTGGACCAGACAAAGTGGAGCCCGAAAACGTACGTACCTGAACGGCCCGTGAGTGTCAGGTGGCCTGTTCCTGACAGGAATCAGAGCCTCACTGGATTGCAGTCGGCTTGATCATACCTCAGCTGACCTGCATCCCGAACAACTTCATTGTTGTACTCACAAAGAGCCGAGAAGAAGCGGAGACGCAATCGAGCCTCGTGTGCTCGTGCAGCAGGACCGAGCCGGTGACCATAGCGCCCTAATGTGGCTTGCAACTTAGGGGGAACATTCATCCCGTCCCCAGCTGATTGGCGCAGCGTCCCACTCTTGGCTTCGAAAGGTTTGCTCTGACAGAGTCATCGCGATACGCCTCCTATTCAGTTCCACCTCTCTTAGCGACGAATTCCGCGTATCTTACGCTGTTTTCGACCTAGCGCAACTCAGTGCGTGGGCTGGGTCTAATTTCCGACATGAATGGATTGGATCACGCTCGGCAATGGAACTTAATCAATCGATCTGGTTCCAATAGATCTCGGTAAGATTCGACTAGAAACCCTTTGTTCCCCACATGGGAGATTCGAGACATGGAGGGTTCTTGGCTAGTACCGAACTTTCGTAGATTGCATACATTAGTCTAGCTACGCGATAGGTCTGACCGCGTGGAAAAACCCTGGCGATGGAGCTTGTCTCCTGACTTGCGAGGCCCCATTTATATCCATGGATGTTCGCTTCGTCTGGGGCTGGATTTTTTTGTCGACTTTTGTTGACCTCATGGCACCGTGCCGACTGGTCCTTGGTTAAGGGCACGCTTTTTTTCGCTGACGCGAAACTGAGACCGCAGCGATGAATACACCAATGCCCTTGGTCGGGCGTAGTCTCGCGATGTTTACGCTGTCGGTCGTAATGATGGGTCTGGCTGTTATCGCGGTTTCTGTAAGATGTTTTGTTCGTTGGTATCTTGTCCGGGCATTTGGATGGGATGATACACTGATGGTCGGGGCACTGGTATGACTTTTATCTCTTGGCATCTGTCCTTTTAAATTCAAAGGCTGACATTATTTCTTTTGTTTTAGGCCATTTTCATAGCTCTAACCGTCTGCTGCATCAACGGCGCCTCGGATGGCGTCGGCCACCAAATGGTAGACTTCGGGACGAACCTCGCCCTTTACGAGGCTGCTCTTCGTGTAAGTCATACAATCCAACATGTCATAACCACACCTGGGTCTCATTCTAATTCACTATATAGTGGTGGTGGCTCAGCCAAATCCTCTACATCTGGGCCTCGGCCGTAACCAAAATCTCCATCGCCGTCGCGCTCCTCCGCTTAACAGTACGGAAACAACACAGAATTATCCTCTACTGTCTGATCGGACTTACAATCGCCAATGCGCTCTATTTCTTTTTTATTCTCCTTCTCGACTGTCATCCCGTTTCTTATTTCTGGCACCAAGCAAATCCCATGGCAAAGGGATCTTGTTTGTCCACTACGCTTCTACTGGATATCGCATACCTATATAGCGCGCTCACCATTGTGGTCGACTTTTCACTGGGGCTTTTGCCGATCGTGCTTGTTTGGAATCTTCAAATGAATCGTCGGACAAAGTTTGCGGTTGGCGGTATTCTAAGTCTAGGTGCCATGTATGTGGATTCACGCAACACTGTTGATGCGAATGCTAACGATTGCCAGTGCGAGTGTTGCAGTGGTTATTCGACTTCCGTTCCTTCACTACTATACCGATCGAGATTTCCTCTGTAAGTTATTTCTGTTCATCTCCGTGCATATGGAGTATGCTAATCTGGATGATCTAGACTCAACTTACCAAATCGCCATATGGTCCATTCTCGAAACGGGCCTCGGCATTATCGCTGGTAGTCTTGTCACCCTCCGCCCGTTATTCCGCTGGTTCTTGGATGGAAGTCTTTATGGCAAACATAAGCGTTATGAAAGAAGTACTTCCGTACCATATCCATTGGCCAGTTTGAAGGGCGATGGGAATGGGACAGGGACGAAACTTTCCAGTGACCCCCGATACTGGCGTCCAGATATCGATGACACCAAGGTTGTTACGAGTGTTTCTTCGCCTAGGGACCTGGGTTTTCCTCCTTCCAATAGTAGTGAAGAGCATTTGTATCCGAGTCTCGGGGGAACTCGAAATCCGTATCATGTCAGTGTTCATGAAACTATCACGGTTGAGGAGGTGACGCGCACCACTTCTTCAACTAGCTAAATTACAAGCGAAAAATAATTAAATATATAGAAAAAAAAAACGTTATAATGAAATTGGTATCAAGATATGTAAATCACAAGCCACAAATAAATGATTCATTCCTCAAACAACCTGCCCAAGATTAAACTCTGACAAACAAACTCATTTCCAACCACTTGAACAGTGGGCAATGAATCGTCAGCGGGATTCGTCAAGGTGAATACAGCCGAGTGCTTGCGCTTCTTCCCATGGACCAGAGAGATTTTCTGTGTCTTCGGTCTCGGAGTTAACATAGACTTCGCGGAAGATTGGTCTGCGTCATCGACATAGACCAAGTCCCAGCTACAAGGTAGTGAGGCCTCGGACTGGGATTGCATCAATGCGCGTGCAGTTTCGAGATCGGGTACGCGCTCTACACGGGAAGCACCAAGCGCAAATGTGAGGAAGATATAGGCTCGGCGCTTTTTCTCTGCTTTGCCTCGACCAGTCACAATAAGCACAGACTTCCCGCCAAGTAATTTCGGTCTTGCAGCAATGGTATCGGATAGCCGGGTGTCACAAGGTGGCGTCGGTACCATCATTCGAGATTTTGTGGCCCCATTTAGATAAGTGGAGTCACCGGCTGGTAAAAGATACACATCCCAGTCGATAACGCGGCCCTTTGCAACACAGTCCTCTACCCAGCGGCCCGAGAGACAGGGTAGACCCAGTGCCAGGGCTTGCATGTACTTTTCACGGCGGGAATGTGTGTCTGCAATGAGGCATGCAAAGCCCACATTTTCAGCCAGAGATGTTAAGCGTAGACCTAGGCTACCAGACTGGGTCTTGTCACCTTTCATTGGTGAATCAAATGGAACGATTGACGAGGTTTCAAACAGTTCTGTAAATCCATCAAGCAAGATCGAGCCACCATTATCCGTGATGAGTTTGGAAACACGATCTTTAGATCCGTCGTCTTCCGTAAAAGACACCGCAAAGGCCATATTCGCAAAGATGCCGCTGGCAGATTGGATAGAGCGAGAGAAACGAGTGCTGGGGGTTGCTGGTAGGGATGACTTTTCCGGTGTATGAGAGACAGTTGCCCGAGGCACGGGCTCGGGCTGATGATAGGTAAAGGCTCGATCTTTGAATTGATTCCACAGAGTCATATCAAGGTAAATTCGACCAATGGGTACCTTGATCACATTCTCACTGTTGTTGAGGCCGCTATTAGGGAGACTTTTGCGTTGCTTGGGTCCGAGGATAACCGAAGTATGGCCGTAGATGTCGGTTTGGGGGTAGAACCCTTTATCAGCATGCTGAAAAAGCTCTTCCTTTGTGATTTTATCCTCCAGGCTGCGAACAATGTGTGTGACCTTTGGGACACCATGCATGTCGACCTTGACAGCATCACCGACACGGAGCTCCAACCTCTTGACAAGGCCTTTTATCACGTCAACGGGGAGACTGTCTTCGAATTTCACAGAGTATTTTGTTTGCGGGACCCCAAGTGGTGTTCCGTAGCAGGTCGCGGGGTAGTATGCTTGTTTTTGGCCCATCCACACAGCGATTACTTGATGAGGAGCAATTATGGTATTATCAGAAGATTCCCGGGCAGGTCGAGGTGTAGTAGGAGGGCTGTTGGCGGCGTTGCTGTCTGATGGAGGCCGGTCGGAGTCGATATCAGCATCAGTAAGCTCAGTGAGTTCAGAAGATGCAACTGATTCAGGCTTCTGGGCGACAACGGGTTGATCAGGCTCTTGAACCTCTGGCTTCTGTGCTTGCATAGGCCGCTTTCTCATATCCCGAGGAGCAGTCACTCTACTGTGCCTTGATCTTCGTCGCACGATCGGTTGCTGAGGAGAGTCTCCGATTTCCCATACATTTTCGTCTCTAGCAGCGGGTCTGGACTGTCTGCGGGCAGGCGCAGGTTCATGAACTACTGTGGAAGTAATCTGTTGAGCGGGGCTCTCGCGGATGGGCGCTGTAGTCTTGGGGGGCTGTGCGCGAGGTGTTGCAGGAGCTGCAGTGTCAGATGTATTGAGGCTCTGGCCAAAGCTCTGGCCGAGGTTGCCTCGCCTTCTTTTTTTAGGGCGAGTCGGAGATCCATCAATGACCAAGGAGTTGTACTGATCATCGTCGGCAGTGAAGAAATCCAGACCAATGTCCCCGATCTTGAAATCAACTTGAGGAGAACAGTCCGAGGCAATCTCAGTCAATGCACGGCGTTGTCTTCCACTGGGGCTGGACAGAATCTGGGAATGTGCCTGGGACACAAGGGTCTTGATTGGGGAAGAAAGGGCACGGGATTGCGAGTGCCGCAACTGACCAACACGATGAACACTTTCAGTAGGGTGCATAGGAGGAAGGTCATCATCTTCATTGTTCATTTGATCATCATTTGACTCGGCTTCCCATTCATGAGCTTGATTGTGGCTAGGACTTGTCTCTGGGATACTTGTTAACCTAGCCATATCGCCAAGATCTGGGCGTAGGTGAACAGGTGTTTCGGTAACACGCGAGGGCATCGACGAAGATTTATTCCCGGAGCCACCTTGGGAACTGTTAGAAAACGGCCCGGGCCTTGGCAATGCATGTGGATTGCTAGAGCTAAGGCGTGAATTCTCGTTTGACGACGTATTCTGGACCATTTCGACCTGATGGCTCTGCGTTGGAGAGTTGGCATCCGAGCAGCGCCGATCTTCGGGTCGGGAAGGAGGGGGCGAAGACTGAATGCGTCGTCGGATAGATGAGACATTGACATTATCAATGTTGTTAAGTTTTGAATCAAGCTGCAGTGGAAATGGTTGCTGCTCGGCTTGGGCCTCATGGTTGTTAGGCCTGGGTGTTGGTTGCGGTGATTGTTGAGAGTCTTTTACCATAATTTGGGAAGACCGATTAGAATGCGGATCCCTATCATTGGGGTCAAGCTGAGCAATTCCAATATCATGCTCCGGTCTTGCATCGGCTAGAGCTAATGGTCCATGTTCTATTCCAAGGACTTGTGAGAGCCGATCGTGTGCACTGTCAATCTCAATTACCATACTGGGGTAGTTTTCTTTGTCCTCTTCTGAAGAATGAGGAAGTTCCTGTGACTGGGGGACTTGAGGACCCATGTCATCCTCTTGTTCCGTTTCTTCTTCACTTCCAGCAGCTCCCGTTTCAACAACATGCATATCTGGATACTCTGGGGAAGTAGCACGGTCCTCAGACTGGGCAGGGGCATTTAGAGCCGCAAATTGAGCGGCAGTTTCTTCATCAAAAACTCGCTTTCGCCTTGCATTTTCGACGAAGCTTGATTCCTTGTTGAACTCCTGGTCGAGCGGGTCATCCGAATGCATATCATCCGCGGACCGAGTCAACCGCTCTCCTAGAGATTTGTCACGCCTTGATTGCGATTCCTTCATAGATATGTAGTTGAGATTCGGTTCCGATGACTCTCTCGCAAAATGAACCAGCGGCGAGGAAATATTGTTGGCGATCTGGGGACGCTGAATAGGTATATTTGGAGATGGACGGTCTGACACAAATTCCGGTTGTTGGCCATGAACCAGAGGAGATGATGGCGCCTGGGTTGCCTTGAAGAGCTGGCTCAAGCCCATGAGTCCCCCGCTCGATTCTATGTCTCCGGCAAGAGGATTCCTTGAGAGTGTGGGCGTCTCCATCGATGTGCCTGGCGTATGGGGTTTTTTAATCGTAGTGCCAGGGGTCGTTGCCATAAAACGCTGGGATTCGGGAAAAAGCTCGGGCTGGTATGCCATGGGCGAAGATTCGGTCGGGTCATAGTTACTTTCTTCATCTGGAATTGGAGAAAGGTCGGCTTCGTGGCGGGCAGTATCAAATTCAGCGAGAAGATCGATATGGCCACTGTCGCCCTCATGCAGCGTCATAAGAGTAGCGTTATCTGCACCGGTTTGAGAAACTCCTCCATACATAGACTCTCCATTTCGTTGAATGATGCTATCGTAAATTGATTGTGAGACAACTTGGGTGTCGCTCGGGGTGACATCCGTGGGGTCCATTGCTGGAGGTTGTGACCCAGAAACTGGTCTGGACTGATTCGGCTGACTAGGAGGCTTCATGAGGTTTGTTTCATAGTGTCGGTGGAGCGAAGGAGGGTTTCGCTTCTGAGAGGAGCTCGTAGGGTCCGAAGGCGTTGGGGATAATTGCCGGGGGGCCGTCGGGGAACCTTCGAGATTGGAGCGATTTATAATTTTATTTGAATGGATCAACTGAGTTTGCGAGGGGCTACCAATTTTCGTTTGTCCGGCGATATCTGGCTGAAGTTGTTCGTGCTCCTGAAGACGTCGGGATTAGCCCAATAAGAATCTGGAACGCTGCAGGTCATTACACATACAAGTCCCAACGCGACGCGTTGCAGATGGGCAATATCGATACTGTCCTGGGTCTCCATCCCTTATACCGTAGCTCCAATAAACTAGACAGAAGTTGTCATACTCTATGCGCCATTGTACGATATAGTTAATAGATATGGACAATTATTACGTCGTGAACTCTGCTTCGACCGAGAATTGAGGCGGACGCGAAACGCGTGACCCACGTGACTTAAAACCTCAGTAATATTACCTAGCTTGGTCTAGCGTAACTTTTGATACGACAAACCGCGGCTGAAGAGCATTTCTATACATCAAAGAGACTATGCAATGCCATTATGTAGATATGTACTTAATTGTACATGAATATCGAGTTTATTGGGTATCTGAAGCCCTCATAATTATATACAAGAAATGGAAGCCGACTATTCCTAATCTCGGCTCCGATTGGGAATCCATCGTCGGAGCAGGAACTCTCGTACTCGGTAGCGACCAAGAACAGCCCCGATATCGTCAAAGGAAGCTGTGGGTGGCGGCACTTGAACATAAACAATTACCAAGCTCTTTTTCACTTGGGCCTGGACCCGGTTCACACAATGTAACCACCACCAACTTCGATCTTGCTTCCGCGCCACATAGTCCCTGCGTTCTTGTGTCTCCGTCCAGTAGGGATCCTCATATGAAGGGACGATAATGACGGCAAATTCGGCGTGAGAGAAGACGGGTCCTCGGTTGTAGAGCAGATAGTCCGTACCAAACTTAACACCAGAGCGAACAACCCATCCGAGGGATCGGAAGTGGTGGTATACAACATATGAAATCAAGAAGGGATCGTCGGGCTGCAAATTTTCGGAGGAGAGGCGCGGCGGATAGTGGGAGTGGTGACACAAGAGGGAGAAGAGGGAGGAGGTCGGTATAACGGCATTGGTCTCGCGGTCGACGACCCGCAACGCACCTAGGCAATACACCAGGAAGAATGTCTCTTCATTCGAAATCTGGAGATGCTCCTCATTTGCGAACTCCATGTCGAGATCAGCATCATCATCAAGCAGGGGAGACGCTTCCTTTTCCTGAACGACCGGTGAAAACCGCACGGATTTTCCATTGGGTGAGTTGGTCACATCAGTAGTTGGCACAGCATTGCCGTTTTGCATCGCTTGCTGCCGGTTTCTTTGGTATTTAGCTTCCATGGCTTTCTTCACGGAGAATTTTTCTATCGATATGGGGGTAGCAGGTGAGCCGTCGGTGGGCACTGGAGACGAAATGCCGGACTGTCTGGCTGCAGCTTCAGCCTTGAGTCTTTCTTCAACCATCAGCCTTTCCACCCTCGCACGCTCGAGCTTCAATTCACGGCGTTCTGTTCTTCGTTTCCGTGTAGCCTCCTCACTAGTGTTCCCACCCAATAGACCTCTTCTCTTCTTTTCACGCTCCAGCCAGCTGGGCTCACTTCGACTCAGATTACCCTTGCCGAAAAATCCCATCTGCCACAAGGCTTTGATTGTTCGCTCATCGGTAACATGTACGGAAGAGGTGGCCAGGTCAAAGTATGCAGTGTAAACTTCTTGGCGAGGAGGGGAGATCAAGAAAGATAGATACGAGAGGGCAACACTAATGAGAGAAAGAGGATTATGAGGAATTACAGGAGGAACAGGGTGGATAGTGACGGGAAGAGGGAAGCGATGAATCTCCCTGTAGTTGGGCCTAGAGGACCGAGTCCGTGTGCGGCCTTTCCCTTTGGCAGGGCTAGCTGGGGCTGCTGGGCTTGGAACTTCGGCCATGTTGAAGAATTACTGGAGAAATTGAAGACTGAAAAATTCCTTTGAAGAGGTAGGGTTAGCTTGACTCTTCCAATACGTATGCGAAAGTGAAGGTTGCATAGTGGTGATCTTCTCAGATACCGTTGTAGTCAAAAATAACATCATCGGCAACGGCTGAAATCAAAGTAGTGCCGATGCCTGAGTTTAAATTTTTGGTCATCATAAAAGAGGGGTATTGGTGCAGAAAAAAAAAAAGTAGCTCATAGAGCTATTGTAAGACTCACCTGCAATCTCTGCGGCCCAAAGAATGTCGAGATTGGGCCAAGTAAAGGATAATGGTAGATGTTGAGGAGAAATGGTTCAGCTGCCTTCCAAGGCTAATAGCTGAGCGATTGCATTAGTGCATCATAAACACTGTTGAGGATCCAAAGCAAATTCCTCTAGAGATCAGAAGTGGGAAGAAGTCAAAATTGGAGAGCTTCGGGTTTTTAAGCGTATGGCATGACTAAGCGGACCGGTCCGAGTGCGTCGGCGTCAAAAAAAATTCCTCCGACTCCAGCATCCACGACTCCAGCAATTCTTATCGTCAAACCGCACGACAATACCGCCAAGTAAGTATTTGAGCCTTGAGCGCAAAATTCTGTGCTTGTGATTATAGGAATTTACTGACTTTTTACCCATTAGCATGCATCTTATGGTATGTTCGAACCTCTTACGACCACTGAAACGAACCCTACAATCAATTCGGACTTCGCCAGGAACAACCTCGCTAATCAATGAATCAGTACACTCTCGGTCCCGATGGAAAGCGTGTCTACACCTTGAAGAAGGTAAGCCACTTTTCAAGATCTACCATTGAAATCATCGTGCTAACTGTTTTATCTTAGGTCGTTGACGGCAAGGTCTCCAAGTCCGCGTATGATTCCAAAGCCCCAATCAATCATCATTTGCAGTTACTTACATATAGAAGTCACCCCGCCCGCTTCTCCCCCGATGACAAGTACTCTCGGTATGTGGATATGACACCAAGACAGGTAGAAGACCTCGACTGACATTTCATTCCTAGTCACCGTGTTACCCTGAAGAAGCGCTATGGCCTCCTGCTCACCCAGCAGACCGGTACGAATCAACCTCGCTATTCTAAATTCACGATAGAAGACTGACTTCCAGCTTCAGAGGACGCTCCTGCTGTTTAAACAAGAAACTCGGATGGAAAAATTGGGTTTGAGGGATCACAAGGTGCTTTGACCTGTGTTTCGGCGCATGGTGTTAGTTTGTACAGTCGATGGACGGCTGCTGTTTGCATGGCTTCGGATATTCGCCGAGTGTTAGGGGCGTGTAATATTCAGGGAACCTTGGTTCCTGATGTTGGCTACCAATAACATGTCTTTTATAAACGTTCAAGGTATTTGATTCCGTACTATCTATGTGCAAAGGTTTTGTAGCCATTAGACAAAGACTTGGTCATTGCTCATCAACAGGCGGGCCATCTCCTTTGGATGGAGATAACCTAAGGACTTTTTGTGCGTATAACCCAAACTCCAGCCCATGTAATCCATAATGCAAAGGTCGTTTAGGCTCAACGCTTCTTAGAGTTGACGTTACGACCGGCGCCAACCTTCACACGGCCGCCCATCTTGTTCCGCTCACCGGTCAAGATACCGGGGAGGTAATCCTCGTCCATGAGGTCACGCTCCCGTCGCTGCCGGCGCTCCTCCTCGGCAGTGGATCGAGTGTATTCCTTCTGGTCTTCGGCCAGAATGAGTTCTCTGCCCCAGCCGTTCTTGCCACCGCCTCCCTTCCACTTTCCGTTGGAACTACCGTGTGTGGGCTTGGGGACGCTGAAGACGTTACCCCGGTTATTCCATTGCATGTTCTTCTTCAAATGCATGGTGAACTGGCCATTGGCAGTAGTAGTGCACGAAACACGGGTGAGTGTGTCTTTACCGCAACGAGGGCAGAACTGCTTGTTCATCTCCTTGGTGGTGGAGAAGCAAGCGTGACAGCGCTTGATGAAGGTCTTCAGGTGCTGGACTCTTTGCAAGGTTGTCGTTGACAACAGGTTGAGGTTCATCTGCAGAAGAACGTTTTGGCACTGCGGAGCAGATTAGCATTTATTCGTTTATATTTTGGGGATCTGATTTACTAACCGCAAAATCAGTGGTCATAGTAGCGATCTGCATTGTCTTCGTCTCTGGTGCAGAGTCGGCACCAGCGTCGTCGCGGGCCAGCCGCTTCTTATAGTTGGAGGGTGTGATCCATTCTCCGCCGTCCGAATCAGCAGCGTCATCTTCATTCTGGTCCTCCTCTGGTGTATCCTCTTCAGCTGCGGGCTCAGCGACATCCTCACTTGTGGGCACATCCTCTTGCGGAGGGGCGGACTCCTCGTTCTTGGGTTCCTCCACATTTTCTGTAGCGGGAGCCTCCGGGGCACTCTCGGTAGCGGCATCGACGCCGTTAGCCTCAGCACCCTCCACCTTCTCTTCCTCCTTCACAGGTGGCTTTCCGTTGACACGCTTCTGTCCAGGAACACTGCGCAATCTCCAATCGCCTCCATTGCGCTCACACTCAATTTCATAGGCAAGCGCCAGCACCTCGATATCGGTTCGACTCAGGACACTGCGATCACCAGTCTTCCGGGCGAATTCACTGACCACATTGAAGCTTTTGGGGGTGGGCGATCGCTGCTTCAAGAACGGAAGATACAGGGTCTCGACACGGAGACGGGCATCGGGGTCGCGAATCTCAGCAACCACAGAGGGTGTGGTGATAAGTTCTTCACATTGGCCGAGTAGGGTAGAAAGCGGCGGGGTATTTTTGAGGATAGGACCGGCGTCCAACACAATTGTGTGGACGGACTTGGGCGGTGATGACACTGAGTCCGTCATTTTCGTATCGTATTTTCCCAGATCCTATAAAAACAAGGAAAGAGAAACTCGATCTAGTTGTGGAGGGGAAGTAGTGGGCGCTTGTAATGTGGAAAAGGAAATTTCTCGGCCAGTTGGTCTGTGCGCGCTTATCGGCCTATCTTATCGCTTCCAAGGTTCTTTCCCAGATGTAGCCTACCAAACACTTTGCTTTAAGAGGTCCAGGAATTGATTCAAATTGTCAATCTTGAGGGAATTACTTCCAAGGTTTCAAGTGTTTTTCTAATTGTACCTATACCTACCTAACAAATAATTTTCTCAAGTCCAACATTGCATAAGACTTCAGGACTGAGGTCTATGCCGCAAAAGAGAACAAGTACTTCATACTGTACCTACCTAGCAGTGAAATATATATCCTGTTGAACATTTGAATTGACATCTAGGTCATGCTATTTGAGTTTTCCATCACTCGAAACATGAAAGATTCCTCTAGTTGTCCTCAGGGATAGTACCCACCTGATGAAGCTTTCCAGATTCCAAAAGTATTCTTGACCCCGGAAGTGTCATACATAGTACTGGAGGGCGTCTCAGACAATTAGTTTACAACTATGAAAGTTGACAAGTGAAAAGTACAGAAGTTACAGTTCATGCAAGCAAAGGTCCTAATCATCTACATTGGGCTCGGAAATTTTCTAGCTCAGTAGGTAGTTCGAAATAGAGAACTGCATTTGTATGCATTTGAGCCGTAAGACTGATGAGCCTTGTGGGCAGTCCCCCTCGCCAAGAAGAATGCAATCATATTATTTACGTACTATTCTCATTACCATTTTTACTTCAGTCAAACATTTGTGCATAGAACTACTTGCCGAACTTCGCATCTACCACCTGCAGGTACAAAGGGAAAAATACCAAAATGGCGGTCAAGCACGTGGAAGACACCGAAGCCTGCAACTTATACGTCGTGATAGATTTGGTCTCCTTCCTCTCGGGGTAAGGCATGAGTTGGATCTTTAGAATTCGAAATTTTGGAAATAGCGGTAAAATGTGCCCAAGTCTCACAGTTGCAGATTGAACCGTGAAGGGTCTACACAGGATCAACCTCCTGAAGTATTGAAAATTGTGCATTTAAAGCTGTGCGTCTGGGCATGGGATTCTACTCTTGACTAGGTACTTACCCGTCACAGCGGCTATCTCAACGGATTATACGGCAGGCGAGTTCGTTCGCCTCTAGGCAGGAAACTAAACAAGTAGGATTAGAATACTAAGATTCGTCGATGAGTCTGTGACCCAATGTTGAAGGCTTGGTGCCGGGTCATTCATTTACAAGGAAAATGCTCGTTGCCTCTCGTGTACAAAATTTCAACTTGGGCCATGCTTAATCAACCCTGTCCCACGAGGTCAAGTCACATTGTGACAGGGCTAACAAGAACACAAAGGAGTTACACAGCTTATTACAGAAACGTGGAAAGATCCGGGCACAGCCATATTACTGGTTCCCAACAAGACGGCGTGTACGAGGATTTGATAGTTGAGAAATTTCAAGTATGATAGATCATCTGACCGCAGTGGGGTGCCGCCAAACCCTAGCGGAGATTTCTTTGAAAGGGAGATAGACACACCGCAATTGGCCAACTCAAAGATTTTCCTTTCCTTTGTTTTTCTCTTTCTCTTAATCTCCACCATGTAGCTCTTGTGTGAGGTCGAGTTCGCGTTATTGGATGTTACGCAGGATGTGTGACGTGAGTTTACGATCCAAGACCGTGCTTCGTGCTCGAGCTCAAGATGCAAGTCCTACTATGTGGAAAGAATCCGATGATGACAAAAGCAAAACCATTTTTTTCTGGGCGACAAACTCTGAATGCGAGTCTGGAGCACACAATTTCCTCCTTGCTAAATTTCGAATAGCCGAGGCGCCCCTCGGAAAATGAACCTAAATAATGATGATCTCTGAGATCTATTTGACAGCGAAAATACCCCAGATCAAGAGAGAAATAGCAATAATATTACGCCTTGAAAGGATCATTATTGGTAGAAAGCCCTTGCACTTTGGCGATCCGAGCGATAAGCTTAACGAAGCCATGACGTAAAGTCCAATGAAACTTGGTCTGTATAGTAGCCACCAAGAGCATGGAATTGACCGTTCACGTAATTTTCCAAATCTTCCCCGTGGTCTATGCATCAGTGGCTTCGACCGTACTCAGAAACTGGGAGACGAGGCAAGCTGAAAAGCGTCAATCATTGATCCCTACTGTGATCTGCAGGTCCTGCTGTTGATAGATCGCACGCCTCCTGCATCTTGAATTTCGCCCCAGTCTAGTGTCCGCTGTCTGCCCTGCTGCAGATGTATCATGTGCATTACCTCACACTAATCACAGAATCAACCAATCACACCGCACAAAATATTTCCTTCATCTCTTGTGGCCAATAGAATCCGGGGTTACAGCTATTCCACGCATTTGCGGGCCAACCCAGGAGATCGTTCGACCTTGAAAAATGGAAATGCGGAAGAAGAAAGAAAGGAAAGAATCAAGGAACGGACCGCTTCAAATTCCAAATGATAAGCATGAGTACTTCGGTGCTTCTTCTGGTACCACTTCACCATCAAATGATATTGGGTAGCCTGAAGCCACAGATGTGATCATATTAAATTTCCGCACTGAAGCCTTGACCTAGTAGATCATTACCACCATAAGATGATGCCGACCTTGATCTCAGATGTAGTACTACGAAATACGCATGCGAAGATCCGAATGAAAGCGAGATCTGATTTACAGGTAACCCCTCCACAATGCGTAATCGACTCGATGATCTAGAACCCACTCAGGAAGTATAGTTTCATGACTAAGAGACCAATACAGGGGACGACAATCGCTGAACCTCTATGGGCAAGAAAATCCTGATATGAATACCAAAAAGTGTTCAAATTATCCACAACCTTAGTAAACCCCTGTTTCATCCATCACCAGACATAGAAAAGTTAAGGGTTCGCTAAGTGCCAATGGAAGACGAGTAGTCTGTAGAGTTTAACAATAGGGATGTATTTATTGCGCATATCAAGGTCCCGATTCGTCGATTTAACCCCTTGCGCGGCACACTGCACCTTATGCTCTCCTAGACCGGGATCGTGTCTTGCACTGCCAATCCGGGGAGCGAGGAGCCCTCACGCAGGGAGATCCGCTCTCACCTAGGGTGACCGGACTAGTGGATTTCCGCTCCAACCGTTTGCCATTGAAGCCCGGACGTGTTGTTTTTTTTAGACTAAGCCCTAGGGCTTTTCTAGGCATTAAAGTCAGCGCATGGTAGTGTTATATTCCTCTTGTCCTTCCCCTCTCGTGTCGATCTGGGGGAGTAATTAATTTCCTATCGCTCGTTTGATTCCCTGGTTTGCTTGACAGTTGGTGGTCTGACTATCGCTGCGATTGATTCGTCTTTCATTTGTCTGATTCTATCTTCTATCTTCTATACTTCTTTCCATTTTCTGGCTTTCGTGTCTTGGCTCTTCCCAATCATTCATGGCCAAGAAGTGACTCAGAGAGGGATAATTTTGCTATACTAGGCTCACCACTGCCAAGTGATTACCAGTTCGCATCATTGGTCAAGATGGATTTATTCAAACGGGACGATGGCGACATTTACCTCTCCCCTCGCGGCGTACAGGGCTTGACTTGCAGTGTTGTCTTCACAGCACTGGCAACAATCTTTGTAAGTCTGCGTCTGTACACACGCGTCAAGATCATGAGGAAGATGGAGTCGAATGACTGGATGGTTGTCATCGCACTAGTAAGTCACTTTGAAATGAGTTATTCTACATTCAATGGAAACCAAAACCTTACTTAACTTTAATAGGTCAACTCGTATATTTTCATGGCCCTGGATATGGTTGAGGCTACCAGTGGAATGGGAATGCATCTCAAAGACATCCCACCAGCGATCCTCGAAAGACAGATGAAGGTATGATCTAGATCCGTCTTAAGAGGTATGTGCACTCTAATTATGGCTTTCCATCAGGCCTTCTGGCTCACAATCCCCTTCTACAATGCCGCCGTCCTGTGCGCAAAGGCATCCATCCTCATGCAATACTTTCGTGTCTTCCCTACACAACGCATGCGACTCGTCTGTTGGATTATGATCACAATCCTCGCGATATACGGTACATGGGCAGTACTCAGCGCATTCTTGAACTGCATCCCCGTCGCTAAATTCTGGGACGACTCGATTCCCGGATTCTGTCTAAGTAAACCTGGACTCTGGTTCTCAAATGCCAGTATGCATATTACCACCGACCTAGTGATCCTCGTTATCCCCATTCCGGCTTTAATCGCCATCGAGATACCCCGCAGGCAGAAAGTGGCACTGATGATCCTGTTTGCATTGGGTGGATTCGTTTGTGTAACCAGTATTGTCCGCCTGGTCAGTCTGAAGACGATTTCCGACTCGACAGATCCAACATGGGATAATGTGGGTGCCGCGTCGTGGTCCGCCATAGAGTGCAATACGGGCATCATTTGTGCTTGTCTCCCCACTCTCAAACCACTTATTTCCAAGCTAGTACCCGGTCTTTTGTCTACACTGAATGGAAGTCGCCGACAAGGGAGTGGAATTGCGTCTATGACTCGGCGAACTACAACATGGAATGATGAGTCTACACTTGGTGCACCATCTGAAGACCCTGAGTTTGGAGCTGGAGATCCTGAGCGGATCCTGGAGCTTGTTCCTAGTGGTGCTGCCAAATATGGAAGACGTTGGTCTAAAGATGACAAGTTTAAGAGGCTGGGTGTACCTGATATCTCGGAGATTACTGGTCTTTGGGACCCGGAGTACACTGGTCATCATCAGCATACCGTCTCTGAGACGTCTGTCTATTCGCGGAATTGATTGATCGCAACTGATCCATGCCGTCATGTCAGGTGTATCGATACAGGATATCTTCTTGGGAGTCAATTGGGGTGTCATTTATTTAGTCAGTGATGATTTGAGGTTTATATGATACCTACGAAGGTTGCACGCTCGTTTTGGGGGTGGAATTGGGCTCCCTTATTCTGGCAGCAGAGGGTCTTCTTTCTTTATAATTTTTCTTTCCTGGTCATAATTTTCACTGTTAATGAGCTTGAAGTCGGATATGTAATTACGAATATGGACCAAAATATTAATGATTCTTTCATGTTCTAGCAAAAGATTACCGAAAATATGAATCACCCGCCATGAGGCTGGCACAAATCAAATCTGCGCCGGAAACATTCCAGCGAATGCTTTAAAAGTCGGCAAATTCCTTATCAACTTCTTCAAAGTAATCAAAGACGCCCTTGAAAAGCTTCACACCAAGTCCAGGATCTTGTCTACCGGTCGTGGCCCGAATGCTGTGCATGCTAAGCTGTACAATACCACAGTCGATGGCTCGCATTCCAATCTGAGCACTAGTCATAGGACCAATGGTACCACCGCTGCGAGAGTCGTTCCTGATCTGGAAAAGTTGCAGCTTTGAGCCACATCGAGATGCGATTTCCTTCATCATACCAGAGCTGACGCTATCGGTGGTCATATGGCCATTGCTATCAGTGGAGACTGCCACACCGACGTTGAGACGCGGCGAGTGGTTCTCCAAGTAGGCGTTGAGGAAGTTGGGGTTAACGGCATGGCTCACGTCTGAGGAGACCAGATAACTATTCGCAACAGTCTGAGAAAGGATGTTGGGACCGTAGGTCTGCCCCGCAAAGGCCTCGACGATTCTTTCCATAACGCTGCCCATGAAATTTGACTTTGCACCTTGGCGCAGAAGACTGCCAATTTCTTCATCGTCGAACATGCCGACCATCTTCACGATGCCGGGCGACTTGTTGTCATCGGAAGCCAAGAGACCCTCCTGGGCAGCATAGCAGCAGAGCTTATCGTCGATCCGACCAGCAAAGATCATGTCTTTCTCCAATCCACCAAATTGAGCGGGTTGGATATCAAACAGTTCCAGCTCCCACTCAAGAATTGAGCTGTAATCAGTCACGCCAATCTCATTGCAGATAACCTTTACCAATTTCTCGGGCTGGGTTGCAGCGAAGGTTCCCGCTTTGATGTTGATCGACGGGGTGGAAGTTGTCTCAAACAGATCCGAGTTGTCAACGCCGATAATTGGCACCATCTGTGTCTCTTGGTTGAATGGGCCATTGGCAGGCGTTCCGAAATGGGGAGCCAGAGTGGGAATACGGGCGATGGGCCAGTCAAGCTTCACCAGCTTAGTCTCGATCTTTCCGGTATCTGGATTCTTGACCAAAACTCGACCGCCGATACCGAGGTCACGATCCCACCAGGTGTTCCCCAGTGCACCGGCATACGGAGCAACAGCAAGCTGCTCGTAGCCCGCCTTGACTGGGAGCTTCGAGACAGGCTTCAGCTTGGCCGCGAGGGCATCCACGTGACCGGCAACAATTGCCATTCCATTGCCACTCTCATATTCCTTGCCAATGTTGAAAGCAAGCAGTGAGCTGCTGTTCCGTGTAACGTAGAACTTGCCGCCCCGCTTTAGGTCCGAGGTCCACACCGCACGTTCGGAGAGCTTCTTGTAGCCATGCTGCTCGAGCTGCTTGGAGAAGGTATCAACGGCGTGGAAAATAGTGGGGTTGGTAGACATGAACTCGAGGTAGGGCTTTGAGTAGTCATCGGGGTTGATGGTTGCTGTAGTCGTAGCTGGCTTGGATAGTGGAGCTGAAGCTGGAGCTGGCAGGCCGTAAGAGTAGTCAGGCAGCTGGGCGGAGATCTGGGAAGCCCAAGGCTTGTCCAGACCGAATGTGTGTTTCCGGGTCATGGCTGATGTTTCGGTCTGTGTAATATGGGGTAAAGGGTGAGAGGTTGGAGTTGGAGAATGAAGTTGTGACTCGTGAGGGGAGTTGGGGAAGAGGCTGGGGCCCCTTGCTTATCGCCGAGGTTCCGGCTTCGATTGGGCCGATAAGGTCAGGAACGCCGCTGCTTTCGGTAATTGCATTAGGTGTTAACATCACTTCTAGCTTACATGTCGTAAACTTGAATTGAATTCAGCTTCCCTTAAATTCAAGTACTTTACAATGTGGAAAAAACTTCGTATAATTCACACCGTTTTGTTGTGTCCACGTACGTGCACATACCCTGGCCAGGATGATGCGATACCGGATTCAGTATTCCAGGCAACTAATCTAGTATGAGAAATTCTCTCTGTTCAAGATAAGTCCGGAATTTTATCATGATAATAAACAGTACTTAAACATGCATTTATAATTGGAATAGGGCTTGTGGCATTACTAGCGTTTTTGATTTGAATAGAACCAAGCTTCCGAGATTGCAGATAACGATGACAAGAATGCTTTGCTAGGTTTTCAATACTGAAGAAGGTCTTAAGAAGAGCTGGTTAAAGCTACCTTAGGAAATATTACAATAAATTTGGGCCCGAAAGAAGCTAAACGGGCTGATCTTTGTCAAGGTCCGACCTCGGGGCGACTCTGGCAAGCTATCTGATGCTCATGTATTGGTCCAAAAGCCTCTCACATGATTTATACCATTTCAAGCTCCTGATTCTTACCCTACTCGCTTTGAATCAGTTACAGTTAAGTGAAAAAATGTGAGACCTTCTCTAATTTAATAACTATTGGAACTGTAGTATTGTTGAAGTGTACAATTTCTTTTCAGAGGTTACTGATGTTACTTTGCTAAGAACATACACTACCTAGGTATCTAGTCAAAAGTATCCCCCAGATTGGGCAGTTTTCGGGCCTACCCCATCAATTATACATATTCACTAAACAGTTCCAACACCACACCACCATATCTTACGCAAATTCTATATGATTACGCATAGTTATTAATACCCATGTAACGCACAGAACTATTTCTTAATATCTCATAGAAATCTACCCTAAGCTTTCTAACCACTAGTAATTGTCTCGTCATCCTTTATACTAACACATCAATTTTTACGTATAGTATTACTCACCATAATTCTGCTACATATCTCTTCAGGTACTATTAAATACTGTTATAACTTCCTCTATAAATAAGCTTTAGATATAGTTCAAAAAGTCCTTGTTTTCACAGCATGTGAGTAATGTTGAAGGGGTTTAAAAGCTCAGTAAATGCTTCGGCGGCTCCTCTGTATTTACACATAAATTTTCAAACCGCTCTATCGCCACCAAAGCTATATGGTTCTTGAATTATCTTCTCAACATACTTCTCTTTAGCCATGGATTACAGTAAGGCTTTTTTTGAAACGAGCCCTCTTGATACTGAATGGTACATGCCTTCCCAAAGGTTGGTGGTTGGGTTGCCCTACCGGACCCGCACTTCGGAAAATACTTACGGTCCCCATTGTACTTTGGCGCCAATCGCGGGATTATAATTTCATTGGCAAGCGGTAGGATTCTGAGGACGGGATCGGCCATGATCTGTGAATTCATGTCAAAATCCCATGGGCTGCAGGCAAAGTGCAGATCAATCAAAATACTGGTTCGACGGCAATGGCTACATAATACAGGGGAAATGTGCCTCGCTTCTGGCGGAGCGATGGAAATAATCACCCAAAAAGGATAATTAATCCACTTGAACTCGTGACTCATTGACGGACATACGTTGACAAGGAACACTAAGACGAACAGGTGCTCTCGGAGATTTTGGTACCGACCATATGTGCTCCGCATGCAAAGAAACGCTCCTTGGAGAAGTCTCATCTTCCGACAAGTCTCAACGTAATAAACTCATGTTAATTCGATCCGGCTGTCTATGTAAACTGGCTGTGAAAGGCTCCGCGAACCGGCCGATACCTCCCGATCAAAATAAATTCTGACGTGCTAGAATTCAGCAGAAGGTAATGGGCCACACCGGAATAGATCACCGATGGCCCCTCTTTTTCATTTGCCACTCTCCCGTAAACATGCCGCTAGAGGCGGAAAATGGCGGAATACAACGTCCATAGTGGGTTCAATGGTGCTGGGGACTACTGTAGGGGTCTTGAGTCTTCCAGTATGGCACTAAATCTATAGTATGGCACTAAATCCAACGGAACCTCAGAGTAGGATTCAAACTTCCCAAAGGGAGTCGCACTTGCGAAAAAAATCCGTTTTTCGGCCCTTGTTCGGTACGAAGACCTCGAGATGACCACTGATTGATAAGAATTTGCTGTGGGGTGCAACCGCCAAGAATGACCCAAAGACGGGTTGAACGATCAACCAATGATACAAAGGAATTTAGCTGGCAAAGCTCAGTTGGTCCGAGTGCTCCGAAGGAACTCAGAAATCAATTGCGTCGCCGCATCATCGATGGTTTAAACACGTGGATCGAGGGGCGCTCGGATTGCCCAAGGGGGCAGGCGAGCGTGGCTAGCGCCATCAGATAAGATCACCGAGTTGGGGGAGTTAGGGCTCGACCAAAGAATGGAAAGGACGCGGCAGGAGTTCTCGTCGATCCATGCCTCCTCACCGCTGAACAAGAACTAATAGAGACTAGTTTTGTCCCGGGAAAAGGAATTTCGCGCACCATGACACTTGCTATTGGTTGAATCGCCGTTTCTGCTAGGTAATGGCCGGGTTTACACCGAAGGTGGTGGGGGACATGGCCATCCACGTTCCACGGATTTGATACTCCATCGCCTCTTTTATGGGAGAATTTCGTTATCTGATTTCCTCTGCTGTCAAGCTGCTTTTCTTTTCTATTGCTTATTTTTCTTGCTGTTCAATGGTAAGCAGTCGTTTCGTATCCGATTGTCTACCGAATAGCTCAGTGTTGTTCAAGTCTCGGTGGACATTGTAGACGCGGCTAGCGATGAAATCCCTGAACCATAAAATGTAGATAAATACAGTCAGCCCACTCGGTCAAGCTTACCTCCACACGGATCTGATAAAAACTAAATAATATGCAAGGAAACACACGGCGAAAACTCTGTAATAATGGATCCCCCCGCTACAGCCGACTTGGACCATCCGAAACCGGCATCATGTGAGCACAATCTAATCTGATCATCGCCCTTTTCTTCTCCCTCCTTTCCCACTTTCCCCCCGAACTTCTTTTTAGCTTCTTTTTAGCTATCTCCGACTTATCCACCTGCAGGACTCTCAAATTTATTTTCACCTGTCCCTTTGGTCATTAATTTTGATCAAGGGTGGTCCTAGCTCGCTTATCGGGTCGCATGAGCGCACATCCGGTTTTCCGACCGACAGACGGCTAGTGCGTATGCCCCGAACATACCCGACCGCGATCCCCTCCATGTTCCCGCTGACCCCAATCCAGCACTTGAACTGATTAAAGCCACCACAATGGCCACGACAGGCGTGTCTCTCACGCCTGCACCGGCCACGGTCCCTTCACTGGCCATGGCACCCGCATTAGCTGCCAGGCCCTCCGTGGCCCCGTCGCCGGGTCCCGGCACGCCCGGTTCCATCACATCGAAAGAATGGGTGATTCCACCCCGTCCGAAGCCTGGACGCAAGCCAGCCACCGATACGCCCCCTACTAAGCGCAAGGCTCAGAACCGAGCTGCTCAGCGGGCATTCCGGGAGCGGCGGGCCGCCCGAGTCCAGGAGCTGGAGGAGTTGATGAAAGACATGGAAGATAACCATGACAACCGATCTGCAACTTTCGCCGAGCAGATCAGTAACCTTTCGCGGGAGGTCGAGCAGTGCCGCGAGGAGATGGCTTGGTGGCGCGACCGATGCCACACCCTGGAGAAGGAAGTTTCGATCGAACGCAGTGCAAAGGAAGCCCTAGTCAAGGAATTCCGAGCGTCAATGTCCAGCTCGAACACCAAGTCCCCCATGCCGGACTCCGTTCCCTTGCCGCCTCGTACTCGTCCTTCCACCCGCAGCACCCGGATGGAAGGCGTGGTTCCTACCAATGCCGAGCGCAACCGCGAGCCGGAACAGGAGAATATTCCCCTGGGCTGCACCGACTGCTCTTCTGCGCACTGCCAGTGCATTGAGGATGCCTTCGGTATGCCAATTGACACTCATGAGTCTCGTCACAGACATCCTCCTCATGGTGTCGGGAGCCCGGAGCGCGATTTATCTGAGCCCGAGATCAAGCCTGACCCCGAGGAGATGGAGATTGATTTCACTGCTCGCTTTGCTGGTGTACCTGCCCAGTCGAGTTCTCACCATAATAACGACGTTTCTTCGCCTCCAGTTGACCCCTGTGGCTTCTGTCAGGACGGCACTCCGTGCATCTGTGCCGAGATGGCTGCCCAGGAGGAGCAGCGCGGCCGCCGCAACTCCTTCGACAACCCTCGTCTCGCCCCTATCCAATCTATTTCACAGTTCACTCCACCCCCTTCCGAAGGTGATGTGACTCTCCCACCTATCAGTCAAGCCACCAACCCATGTGCGAACGGGCCCGGTACTTGCGCCCAGTGTCTTGCCGATCCCCGAAGCACCCTTTTTTGCAAGACGCTGGCAGCCTCCCGGTCAGCGAGCGGAACTCCAGCGGGAGGAGGCTGCTGCGGCGGCAAGGGAACCGACGGAGGATGCTGCATGTCAAGAAATGCCCCCGCCACCCCGACCACGCGTAAGAACCCCTCCATGCCTCCGCAATCTGCCCCAGCCAAGCCCTCTACGCCCAATGCGCTCACCTTGAGCTGTGCCGATGCTTTCACCACCCTCTCCCGCCACCCCAACTTCTCTCGAGCCAGCGATGAGATCTCTACCTGGTTGCCTAAGCTCCACACCCTCCCGAACCCTCGCGACCAGGCCGCTGCCGTTGCAGCACAAGCCGGTGATCGCGGCGCCTTGGAAGTCGAAGCCGCAAGCGTGATGGGCGTGCTCCGCTACTTTGACAGGCGCTTTGCCTCCAAATAAAGATAAACCGAAGACCATACCCCTTCCCCCTTTCGATTCTGCATCGGGCTTTTTATTTGACCTCAACGAGTCAATTTGATACCCATACCCCGATTGCTCTATGTACCACCATATACGGTCTACATTGTCTTTTGTCTTTCTTCAGTATGCGGCAAAACAACCCGCACTTGTCATGTTCTCTAAAAGCAACGATTCCTATGATTCTTCTCTTCCGTGGCCAGGCTCTGCACAAGTAGTGGTAGCGTCCTAAGGAAGCTATGTTAACGAATACAACACGCTAGTCTTATTACGTGCAGCCTTATTCTTTCTATACTACTTCTGTGTAATTTTCAAAGGTTTAGTATTATTCCAAGGTTGATAAAGCTATTCTTTTATAGAATAAATCCCAGCTATGTGTGTATGTAGTATTACCTTGGCACTACATGAATATGCTTCAATATAAATCCCATCCCTTTGGAGCGTTTCTAGCGTCAAGGTCTACGAGCTAGCCCACGAGTCTTGAGGAGGCCTAATATTACTCATGCTATATCTAAGACGCAGCCTCCTTCTCGCGCGATGTGTTGTTTGCTGATTATCTTAATGGAACCCGTTGAATCTAACAATGGAAGCAGAGTTTGCGGCCTTGCATATCTAAAGAGTAAAGCGAGCGATATTCTGGAAACGTCTCCCTTGGCCGTAACCCCTGGATGACAGTAATATCGTAGGATATAATATAATGAGTTAAACCGGTTGACCTTTCGTAAAAGAGACTCTTTGGTTTGTACGAAGCTCTGCCATGTCGATATCCATGAAGACTGGCCTCGCTTGGAGGATGAGAAGGCGTTGCCGGTCCCAAACAAGCTTTTGCCAAGTCAGAACTATGCAAGCATCATCAAAGTCCATCTTAGGACAGCGTACATACGCTGGTGTATCGAAATGAAAGTTACTAGCGCCATTTACTTCATTCAATCATTTGTTTGAAATAGAGAGACTCAGGTTGAATAAAGCCCAGTATTCCAGAGACTGAGACCAAGGTTGAAAAGTTCTCTGGACTCGACTTGGGGAACGCAAGAGTATTAGGGAAACACGTGGTTCACAGGGAGTACATGATCATAACCGATTTTAGTAAGCTAGTTAAGCCCGACAAAGCGCACTAATCAGGTAACGCCGTTATATGCATTGCTATGACCGCTTATCTATACCCATGCCTGGCTCAGAAATTATCTCCGACATCGTCCATTCTAGGCTCCAGTCAAGCTTTAAACTCTCTACTCAACCCCACGATAAGCCGCCATCAGTCAACAAAAGCACAATTTTGCTTTCGCCATTGTGATCGATTGCCCCGAAACGCTGCATATGGGAAGAAACCAGACGAAATGAACTCTAGGCCTGCTTCTATTTTGATGAGAGAGACAAATGTCTCGAGAAAAGCGAGGAACTTATAGCCCAAAGACAGCAGCAGTCAGAGTAACCCTGCCGTGGATGATGAAGATGAAGTTGAAGTCCAATATATCACCGGAGTCAAATTGGCCCTGATTATACTTGCAGTTATTGGGGCTGCTTTGCTGGTCATGCTTGATATGTCCATCATCGCTACGGTGAGTGAATAAGTATCTCTGTTTAGATCACCTAAGCACTTTATGTGAACTTACTTTTTGAAACAAGGCAATCCCTAAAATCACGAGTGACTTTCACTCTACTACGGGTGTTGGTTGGTATGGAAGTGCATATCTATTAACAAGGTGCGTGATTATCCTCCTACGCCTCCTGCACCAAGCGTGGAAGTTTTCTCACTATCTCCAAGCTGTACTCTCCAGCCTATAACCGGCAAGTTGTATGCTCGATTCAATGTCAAGGTTAGTTGCTATAAGCCTGCTCACTACCTCGGGAACTGATATCATCACAGTATACATACATAGCCTTCATCGTCCTTTTCGAGCTTGGCTCGTTAGTTTGTGGCGTTTCAACCTCTTCCAATATGTTTATAGTAGGGAGGGCAATTGCTGGGATGGGGAGTTCTGGCATTCAAAACGGTGCAATGACAATATTGTCTGCTTCTATACCTCTCGAAAAGAGAGCTCGTACGTGACCGGACCGGAAACACGTGGAATCTTACTAACCATCCTGAAACTTAGTTTACTTTGGCATTGTGGGATCATGTATGTTCTACGCCAGTTTTGAGGTCCTCGTTTGAGCTAATTCTAATCCTCGTAGGTGGTCAGATAGGCGTTGTGATCTCGCCATTGATTGGAGGTGTATTGACGGAATATGCGACCTGGAGATGGTGTGCGTGAGCCTTGAATCCCCGAAGACAGTACATTCCATTGCTAAACCCAGAATAGGCTTCTACATCAATCTTCCCATCGGTGGGCTGGCAGTGCTTGCTCTTCTTTTCATATCAATTCCCGAGCACAGCCTTAGCAGACCTGAGCAGCAACCGGAAACGAAGTTCGCCTCTCTCTTTTCTGATCTCGACATCATAGGTTTTCTCCTCCTTGGTCCGACCCTCGTCATGTTTCTTCTCGCTCTTGAATGGGGCGGAACAACATATCCTTGGAATGATACGATGGTGATCAGTCTCTTCTGCGGATCGGCCGGCAATCTGGCATTATTCTTTGGATGGGAATATAACAAGGGGGACGCAGCGATATTTCCCTGGAAAATCATTAAGCAGCGCGTTATCTCTTCTTCTTCGTTAACTATGTTCTTCCTCTATGCGAATAGCTTGATTAGTTCTTACTACCTGGCTATTTACTTCCAGGGAGTGCGAGGCGAATTCCCGATGTTTAGTGGCGTGTATACGCTACCAGGTGTCATCGCTCAAATGGCCTCAGGTCTTACATCTGGCTTGGCAGGTATGTACAGACGTCCTGTTCTACCTCATGATTGGGTAACTAATGCGTACAAAGTCACCCGGCTTGGTTATTACCTGCCCTCGGCAGTTACGGGCACAGTTTTATCAGCAATCGGATCCGGGCTGATGAGCCTATTCACGCCACATACAAGCACTGCTACGTGGATTGGGTATCAAATAATCGCGGGTGTGGGACGCGGTTGTGCTGTCCAAATGGTATAGTTACTCTGTGACAACACCGATTATTTGACCAATATTACTAACACGTCTGACTCAACCAGCCCCTTATAGCAGTCCAAAACAATATTCCTCCATCCAAAATTGCGGTGAGTATGACCTTTCTCTATTTTTGCCAGACCTTCGGTGGAGCGCTATGGCTTTCATTTACCAGCACAGTCTTCAATACCGGTCTTGCAAACCTTCTCCCCATCTATGCACCAGACGTTCCTGTTGCGGAAGTTACGTCGGCTGGTGTATCCAGAATGAGATCTGTGATCCCGCATTCTAGTTTAGAAGGCGTGGTTCTAGCGTATAACGATGCTGTTCAGCATGTTTTCTACATGGTCGCTGGGACTGCGACGGCGGCTTTTATATTTAGTTGGGGGCTAGGATGGAAGAGCGTTAAAAAGGGGAGAGCCTAGCCTGAGGGCTAAAACTTGGTGATGGTTTTGACAGATGAGATTACTTCGCTCGGCTACTACATGATCCGCAGATTTTATTGAGCCAGGTCATACACAACCTTAGCCATGGTATCGTCTTACTGTGTCATATATCTTGAAGTATGTGGCAAGCAAGGTCAGAGCTTGTACCAAGATTAAGAATTTGCAGTAAAAAAAATTATTTGAAAATCACAGGCGCTCTATTTGCTCCCTCTTACCTAAAGTTGTGCGAGCCCAGCCCTGGAGGTACACAACGATTTAGAGAATCCGCCTGAAATTGACTAATGCAATGCCTTTTCAATAGTTAAACTTCTTGCCATCCATGCAGCTCCCAGTCCAAAATCGCCTCCTACAGCAAGTACATATCTAGCCTGGTTCTCTCCACCTTCAGAAACCCAAAAAACCAACGCAGCAATCAAAGCAGCCATTTCACTTAGTGAAGAACCCACGTCCCAAATCCACTAGCCAGAACAAGTATTTGAAAGATACTTGACGACGGACGAGTGTTTGGTAGTTCTTCCTGCCTCCCATTAATGGAAAGAAGAGGTAAATAATCTTCCTGGCCCTCATCGATGTGGTCAAATATCGACGGGTTTGGGCTAGCAGAAGCCATGGAGCCAATGTGCGAATTGAGCTGTAATTTGAAGCAATATGGGCTTTATGCTTTGGAGATACATGTAGATGTGAAAGAACAAGCTACGAGAAAGATATGAGACAGACTTGAGATATTCGGAGTGTCTCTACGTAAGCCCCAGTGCCTAATTGCAGCATTCATGTGGCCTGACTGCTGCGGGGAAACTTCAGCGCTAAAATAAGAAAGTTGACATTGGTCCTTCTGATTGACTGTCAAGTGCTTTCTTGTCGTCACAGGTTTCTTTGACGCGTCCGAAGAGACTATATACGCTGTAGCTGCTCTTAATTTCTATCGTGGTACTTGAAGAGATCCATCCACCGTTTCATATTTCATTACCGCAACAAACAAGCATTGACTTGTTAGAGTCACAATTTTGTTATCTCATAAGCTTCCTAAAAAGGTGCTTCCAAAAACGTACATATGCCAGTGACCAGTGAAAACTCACTGAGACAAGTTTAACAAGAATCGAAACGCGCACCTTTGAGACTCCGGTGCAGCATCCGCAACGATGGCATAGATAGAGTTCTAGGAAACGGCACTCCCGCCTCCAATCAGAAGAAAAAAATTCCCGGCCCAAATCCACCGGACGTCGATCGTGTCGTTAAGATAAATTTTTGAGTATACGAGTTAGTATGCCCGGTTTTTCTCAGGAAATAATACACTTACAAACAGATTGCACCCAAATCTGTGACAGGGTATATCAAACACGGCCAAAACAGTATCTTTCTCCCATATCGATCTCCTACATACCCATACGGTATAGCAAGAAATATGGCAGGTATACAAGAGAAAGCACTATCCCCACCCTTTATCATTGCTACCTCCGCTTGCACAGGGGCGACCTTGCATTCATTTTCGGGGACAGATCGAGTGACGTGGGGGTCGAATGGAGTGGTGGATTCGTAAAATTTCCAACAAATGATGTCTTCCAGAACCCGCATGGATGGTGCCCCCATCATGTAGTCACCCAATTCGAGCAGAAGATGCCGACAATGATAGTCACTACCACACAGGTCAAATGCGGGTGTGGGGGTAGCACCATTGGCTCTTCGTCTTCACATTATGATGTTCGTTGTAGCAAGGGCATTGCGGCTGTCGCTTGGTGATTCCGAAATTCGGGAACAGTACTATGGCTAGAAGTGGTCCTGGTGACCTTGAAGGTAATTAGTTGCAACGGGTGTCCGAGTCTCGATGCGCGTACAAAGAGCAGAAAATCAAGTAAGGAAGCTTAAGCTGTACGCCATAAGATTACAGATTGGTAACTGTGGTAGTGATACGTTAATTCTCATTCAAACTCCGCACATTATATTAGGCAGTATAATAACAGACGGCAATGGAAAGTCCAGATCAGTTTGACTAGGCTTGATTATGTCATACGCCTCCAGCATCTTCAAGGCCTAACAGCTTCATCGTTCGATTGATCTCTGTTGATAAGCCCTTCCCCACCCAAACAGGCCCGTGCATTTCCCAATACCACCATGATACCCTGGGTCTTCGACCACTGGAAGAAGTAGACAATGAACGCTTTATCACTAATGCCTTTTCTCCACATTTTCTTACACTGTTCGACAAGCTCTGGAGAAGTATCATCTGGAAAACTCTTGTGATCCGCACTCGAGACCCACTCTTTGCCATGAACTATCAAAGAAAGCTTAGCCAGCTACTTCGCATTGTTTCCAGGTTTCGCTGAGTAACATACTAGACAAAAGTAAGCAGCTATTTTGTATCCTTGTGTCCCGTCACTATTCGGCTCTGAATTTCCAAGGTTGTCGCAAAGAAGTTATTGTCTCCTTTATCTGATCTTTGTAGAACGATATTCTACTTTTATTTCATGGAGCCACGGAAAGAGCTTGACATTAAGCTAGTCCCGAATTAGGCAGATATACATATGATTGACGTCTGTTATTAGGCTGTTTTCCAAAGAGTGAATATTATTGGGAGTGCTATGTAGTGTGGAGTTTTATACAAGGCGTAGAATCAAAAGCGCCGTTCGCCTGCCCCCTGGATCCATTCCCTGGGGTATAAGATGCGAACAGAGGGAGGAGGGGAGAGTCGAGATAGAAGACATGAGGAGCGTGAATCGAGATCCATATCTGTAGGTAGGCCAACTCAAGTGCTATCCATTTCGCGGGACACCGGAACCTTTCCAAAAGCTTCTCTCGCTGGAAAAAGCTCGAGAACATGGCGCTTGAGCGAATACCGAATATCCAATTTATCAGTGAAGTAAATTCCTTTGGGAGAACCGGGTTCAACTAGAATCGACCGCCGCTGGAGCGTCCATGACCGCCTCGCATGGTGACTTCATCTTCGTAACCGCCCGCTAATCCACCGAGGACGTTGGCGCCCCACATACCAGCGATGCCCCACATCCCCATCCGCCAGCCACGGTACAGGCCCTGGATACCCTGGCCCTGCTGTCGCTTCTGGACCTCCTTCTGGGACACAGGCTTACCGAGAACAGTACGAGCACGCTCGGCATCAGAAGGAGAGGTGCTGACACCCTCTTCGTGGACGATGTGCCACATCGTACCAATGATACCGCGGTAAGTGCGGGGAGTGGGGACAATAGTCTCGACATCAGCAGCATCGATGGATGCCGCATCGATGCTACCACCGGAGGACTTTTGGCGGAGGCTGATGGAGGTGTAGGTGGCGATCTGAGCGCGGCGGAGAACAGTCTCAAGAGGGAATTTCACCGCAAGCTCAAGGCCGGAACCCAGGAAAGTGAAAAGGCTCCACATAGACGGGTTGAGAAGAGGATCGATGGACAAGTATGATTTGAGAATAAGAGGGGTGGAGGTGGTGATGAAGTTGGGAAGACTGGAGTGGAGAACGGTGATCGGGACGAGGTGAGGTGGGATAGTGGAGTTGGGAGTAGGAAGCTGACGGATGGCCCGGATGAGGGACCGTGGACCATGTGTTGCAGGAGTCAGCATCAAAAGGGTGCGAGCAGTGTCGATGGGAGAAAGGATGAGCGCCGAGAGCGATGAGGAAACGAATGACAGGACGAGGGTAGCAAGAGGCGAGGGTGCCGTTAGGATATCAGCAGTCATGGACGAGGCAATGTCTTCCTCTGGAAAGCCAATGATCGCAGAGAGGAGGCTGCGGATGAAGGTATTCAAAGTGGGAAGGAGCAATGAATAGATGAATGTGGCGTTGGACGACTTCCAGGGGGAGCTCGGTCCATTCGTAGTCCAAAGTTGGGAAAGCACATCCATTAAGGATGTCGGGTTCTTGATAGTCAAGGCATGTTTGGACGTTGGTGATGAACCGTCGGCACGAATATAGCCACTGCGGTCTGTGATGCGGTGCCGGGCCTTTCGGGATCGCGGTGTGCTCGGGCTTGGTGTGGCAGGGGCGGCAGAAGTGAAAAAGGTACTCTCATCGTCCGATGATTCTGACTCCTGTTAACAGTTTTGTTAGCTGTACGTCTCTCTTTGTTTGATGGGCATGGTCTTCATACCGAGTCGTATGTGCTGCTCCCGGGTCCCGGAGTCGACCTCCGGTTCTCCTCTATGTTATCAGATACGACGTACACCTGCAGGATCGTTTTGGCGACATCGAATGGTTGTGCAATCAAGACCTGAGCATAGCGGACAAGAGAACTGTTAATGGCTTCTCGGCACCAATCTGACACTGATGGCGAGGAGTCGAGATAATCTGAGTAGTCGATGTCCGGGATGAGGTTGCGCGCGGAGCTCCCAAACACCTGAGCGGACGAGGGCGGCGGCGCCGGCATCTCTTGAGTCGCATTTGTAGAGGGCGACAGCCCCGACTGGGGGATATAGTACGGCCGCAAGGGATTGATCCCTTCGCGAGAGGCCATGATTGGATGTGGAGGGGTGATCGGGGATAAAAGGGTCGGAGAAAGTAGCAGCGAGAGATGTCCGAGACGCCGCCTTTAGGCTTTGTCAGTCTTTTTTTTCCCTCCGCGGCCATTGGATGATCGTCTCCTCCGCCCCAGTTCTGTTTTCCCTCGCGATTCTTAATTCCCACTTCTTCCTTTCATTTCTATTTTGTCTTAATCTTTCTTATATCACAATGGCCCTCTGGCAAGGATTCAATCAACAATTGCGCCGAGTAGTGCCTAAGGCTACCGGCGAGGCGTGCCTGACTCAATCACGGAGATACGCCAGTTCAACAATCCCGCGGAGAATCGGAAGAAACGTCAACGTGAACCAGTGGGGTTTGGGCGCGAAGAAGGGCCTTCAGTTGCCTTCGCAAGGGTGGAAATCAGCTCAGCGCTCTTTCTCTGCCTCGGCGCAAGCCGCCCACGGTCACGTCACAACTCCGAAGCCCGGCGAGGAGTAAGCTGCCCACGGATTGCGCACGGCCATATATCAGCAGTATTGACCATATTCTAGAATCAACATAACTTTCGTTGAAAAAGATGGCGCCCGGGTTGATCTGCAGGTCGCCGAGGGTGACAACCTGCTGGACATCGCGCAGGCAAATGACCTTGAGATGGAGGGTATGTCAAACCTCTTCAAATATTAATACATTGGCGATCCAAGGTTACTAATCTCTCAACGCTCTTTAGGTGCTTGCGGTGGCTCGTGCGCTTGCTCTACTTGCCATGTAATTGTGGAAGACCCGGACATGTTCGACAAGATGGAGGAGCCCTCAGACGACGAGAACGACATGCTGGACCTGGCATTTGGTCTTACCGAGACCTCTCGGTTAGGTTGCCAGGTATTGGTAACCAAGGATATGGAAGGAATGGTGGTGAAGTTGCCGACGATGACACGGAATCTACAGGCTAGCGATTTCGAATCGAAATAAGGCCGTTAGAAAACAATAATTGGGACGGGTTTAACCTTGAAGTAGATCTTCAAGATTTGGCGAACAAATTAGGGACAGTCCATACCCATATCATGGACCCTGTATTGTATTATTTGCATTTGTGTCGCGTCAAGCTGGACAAGATACTGAATGAAAAATCTCCTGTACTATTTCTAAAACAAGACCATAAGAGGATGGATTTACAATGTCAAGCATAAAATAAAATACAAATCGCCCAACGCCAGAAACATGCCATGGGGAATCATAGGACTTTTCGCGTTCTAAGCCTCCTCGATGTTCAAAGGCTTTCCCTTCTTTCCATTGATGAGCTCAAGGAATCCTTGCTTGCTAACCTCGTTTGTTGCCTTCTCACGCTCTCCCATACCGACTGTTCCCTTCTTGCGTTCCTCCTTAGCGGCATCCTCACCCCGGACTTGTGCAGCTCGGACGGCATTGAAGAGTTTCACGACACCACGTTGCGCCATCTTGCGCAATCGCTTCTCATCCTCGGCTACAGGGCCAGCAAGACCTCTTTCAATGCCCATCACATCACGAACACGGCCACGGTCCAGCTCTTCCTTCTTCTCCGCGCGCATCTTAGCTCGCGCAGCATTGTCGAGCTTCTCGTTGGCGAAATCGTTAGACTTATCGGCGGCAGCCCGGCTTCGAGACAGGACTGGGTCGGCTCGGGCAGCGGAAGTGAGTTTGGTAGCCAGAATTTTGGAGATCGAGGTTGAGAAGGCGGTAGGATCATTGCGCTTGGGGACGGCTCGGCGTCTTCCACCCGCATTTTCACCAGCGTCCGCGGAGGCGTCAGAAAGGTACTCGTCATCTTCAAGTTCAGAGCCGGAGGCATCGTTTTCATCATCGTCGTGTTCCTCGTTGTCTTCGTCGTCACTGGAATCTTTCTTGGAAACTTTCTTGGCGGTGGGTTTGGGCTCCGATGCGGGTGTGGTTTCGGTCTTTGTCTTCTTCATTGCACGTTCAAAAGCCGTGTTGGCCACAGGAACGCCTCCATCGTACTCTTCATCGGAATCGGCAAGGTTGACAGCTGCGAAGTTGGTATCTTCATCCTCGTCGTCTGAGCTGTGATACGAGACTTGCTTGCGGAATTTCTTGGGGCGGGCAGTCTTGCCCTTCATGCCATCCGCAACCTTGCGCTTCTTTGAATAAGAGCCAACCATTTTGATTGGAGAAATAATCACAATTGAAAGTGAAGAGAAGATCAAAAGAGCAGAGTGAGTTTCTCTACCGAGCAACTTTTTTTTGGGCGGTGAAACCCTCCCGAGCCCCGATTGGCTCTCCGCAATGCCTCCTTGGCCTTTCCGCTTCTCGCCCCTCCACAACTTGCTCTTGTGTCCTGTGCTTGTACTTCTCCTTCAAGTTTATTCTGAACATAACCATCCATCATGGTCCTTCAGGATCTAGGACGGCGCATTAACGCCGCTGTCAATGACCTAGCCAGGTCCAACAACCTCGATGAGAAGGTGTGTCTTAGGTTTCACCCACCGCGGACAACCTTATATGCTAATTTACCTAGGCGTTTGATGACATGCTCAAGGAGATTTGCGCAGCCCTCCTATCTGCCGATGTGAATGTGAAACTTGTACAAAACCTCCGCAAGTCGATCAAAAAGACTGTCGACTTCGCTTCCATCCCCGCCGCCACCAACAAGAAGCGCCTAATTCAAAAGACCGTATTCGACGAGCTGGTGGCATTGGTTGACCCTCACTCGGACTCCTTTCGTCCCAAGAAAGGCCGCTCCAATGTTATCATGTTTGTTGGTCTACAGGGTGCGGGTAAAACAACTACCTGTACCAAGCTTGCTCGTCACTACCAGATGCGTGGATTCAAGACCGCGTTGGTTTGCGCGGATACCTTCCGTGCGGGTGCTTTCGACCAGCTGAAGCAGAACGCAACCAAGGCCAAGATTCCATACTATGGTAGCTTGACTCAGACAGACCCGGCTGTTGTGGCGGCAGAGGGTGTAGCTCAATTCAAGAAGGAGAAATTCGATATCATCATTGTTGATACCAGTGGTCGTCACCGACAGGAGGAGGAACTTTTTAACGAAATGATTCAAATCCAGGAGGCCGTCACTCCTGACCAGACTATCATGGTTCTTGACAGCACCATCGGTCAGGCCGCGGAGGCTCAATCATCGGCGTTCAAGGCTTCTGCTAATTTTGGTGCCATCATTATCACCAAGACCGATGGCCACGCAGCGGGTGGTGGTGCCATCTCTGCTGTTGCAGCCACAAACACCCCTATTATTTTCCTTGGAACGGGTGAACACATGATGGATTTGGAGCGATTCGAGCCTCGTTCATTTGTCTCAAAGCTTTTGGGTATGGGTGATATGGCCGGTCTATTTGACCACGTGCAAGCGATCACCAACGATTCCGCTGCTTCCAAAGAGACCTACAAGCATATCGCTGAGGGTATCTACACTATTCGCGATTTCCGTGAGAACATCACGTCTATCATGAAGATGGGACCTCTCTCCAAGTTATCTGGCATGATTCCCGGTCTTTCCAACTTGACCCAGGGACTGGATGATGAGGATGGTTCCCTGAAGCTGCGCCGCATGGTTTACATTTTTGACAGCATGACAGCGGCTGAGATGGACAGCGATGGCAAGATGTTCGTTGAGAAGCCTAGCCGTATGGTCCGAATTGCTCATGGCAGTGGTACCTCCGTCCGTGAAGTCGAGGATCTTCTCTCTCAGCACCGCATGATGGCTGGTATGGCCAAGCGTGTCGGTGGTCAGAAGAAGCAGATGCAGCGTGCACAGAACATGCTCAAGGGTGGAAACAAGGACCAGCAAATGGCTGCTATGCAAAAGCGTATGCAGGCTATGGGTGGTGCCGGTGGCATGGGTGGTATGGGTGGAATGCCCGGTATGGGTGACATTGGAAAGATGATGCAGATGATGGGTGGCGGCCAAGGAGGCGGCGGTATGCCCAATCTTGGAGGCATGGACATGCAAAGTATGATGAGCCAGATGAGTGGGTTGATGGGTGGAATGGGCGGTATGGGCGGTATGGGTGGAATGGGCGGCGGCGGTGGTGGAGGTCGCGGACGTGGAAGAGGTGGACGGTAGTCGGCAAGACTGTTTGGCTCATCTTGCATGTTTTTTATTCACTGTTTCCCCCATTTTCTTAGCATCTGGGCTGGTGTTCGGCGTTCGAATATCCTTAGTACATTCTATATCACCTGCACAATATGACAACTCATGGATATGATTGGAAAATTTCCCGACTAGCTCGATATTTTGCAGTATCTAATTCGATCCTTCTGCCTTTTGCAGCCTTTCCAGGAGTTCTTCATACGCCACACGGGCCTTCTTCAGCACCACACCTCCTATCTCTTCTATTGTTCCAATTGCTGTCTTGAAAACAACATCCCAGCCCTCTCGAGTCAAGTTATCCTCAAGCACACGGCCAGGAAGAAGATTTCGAGTCCCATCACCATGTCGAACAGGAACACTAAGCTGATACTTCCATACAACTTCACCATCCACATAGAGCGAGTAAGTAAGAACCGAGCTGCGCCCCGGGAAATCCACTCCGTCCACCTCTTCAGCAATATCAATAAGCCCAAACTTGCTATTTCCATCCGGTGCGTATTTCACAGCTACATCCTCCGTATCGGTCTGACGATAGGTCCGAATAGGAAGATAGAACATGCTAAGGGGTCCTACGCTAAACTCATGGAGACCCAGTCCAGCAGTATTGGGCTGAAGCTCATCAGATGATAAAGCAAGCTCCGGATCCGGGAATCGAGTAGCACCGAACTCGTGACGATCACCACTTAGAAGAACAATTCTTATACCGAAAGTTCGTTCAGCGCGCCACATCGCTTCGAAAACTATGCGTCGCTCGTCCAGGAAACCACCCCATGTATCTGTGTTGCCGACGTGCCAGTTCTTAGTGAATGGGACGCTGGATGAGATAATCTTCCAATGGACGCCCGCTGGTTCGGGTGTAGAGATATAGTGCAGAAGAGATTGAAGTTGTGCATATCCGAGTATAGTTGAGTTCGGCTGCGATGGCTCGGAACGATACGTGCGAGTATCGAGCATAAAGAATGAGGCAGGACCATTCACGAATGAGAAATAGGTTACATCGTCCGGGTGTGCGAACGATTTTGCAGGGACGGGTGGATTTCCGCTGACATGGTAATGGATGAATGGGTCGGCTGCTGCTGGGTATGGAGCGGTCTTGTTACCCTTTGACCAGTCGTTTTCAATTTCATGGTCGTCCAGAGTGTGGATCCAGGGGAGATCGATTGCAAGAGTCTCTCCTGACTTGTAATCCCACGAGGGAGACGAGTAGATACGTCGGTATTCACTGCGGTAGTGGTCCATTGAGGAGCCGAATCGGAAGGGTACGTCAATGTAGATGAAGTCGCCGAGGAAGAGCATGAAAGCTGGTTTAAGGAGTGATGGTAAATTTGCGATGACATCGGTCATTTGTTCAATTCCTGGGACTCGCAGTGGATGGGACAAAATGTTGTATGGAAAGTTTGGCTTCAGACAGCTTGATGTGATAAAGGACATTCTGTTTGCCTCAAGGGATCCTGGACGGGGGGATGTCACAAAACTGCCCGTCTTGTTGTTCGACAATGAGTATCGATAGTGGGTTCCGGGCTTCAGATTTTTCAATTTCACCATGGATGTGAAATCTGTAGTATTGTCCAACTTATAGACGGTGCCTTCTTGGGTCCATTTTTGAGCATTTTGGGAGGCTTCTTGGTAGGAAATCACCACAGGTAATTGAGCCGTGTCGGGCTCCCGGAAGACCAAATTAGCGGTGGTCGGCGATACATATCCAATGCGTGAAAATGACACATCTTGGGTAGGATACACCAGGAAGCCTCGAACCAAGAAATCAAGTGCTAGCAGGGCCACACCAACGTTGATAAGTGCTGTAGCCCACGTCCAAACGGGCGACCCCTTAGAAGGGAGACCCGTAAGAAGAGTCTTCAGCGCGGAATCGCCGGAACCAGTTGCACCTGATTTATGAACACGCTCTTCTGAGATTCTATTTAGTTCTTCAATCATAACAGAGTTCCAGGGGTGGACTCACTGGTGGAGTTCTTCCCGCCCTTCTCGGGGCGATCCCCAGAGGGTTGATCATCCTTAGCTAATGAGAAGAGCGATGATAAATAAATGACCAAAGATGTGAAAATAATAGGTGCAAAAGGGTATCCGGGGATCTAATGAGATGAGTTAATAGACTGAACATAAATCAAGTGGCGATTGCCCATACCCATCTCAGAAAAACAAAAGCCGTCAGCCGGATCGTAGCTGAGCTGGTGGCTGTAACGACTCGCCTTAGGGAGACCATTGTCACAGTTCAACTGATAGCAGGATCAAAACATGCGATCATAGCACGTTGGAGTTGACGCCGTTCAAAGGGAGAGCTCAAGGGCGTTGCAAGGAGGGTCATGTTTTTATGCATGTTGATTGGTGTTCGTGTTTGGAATGACGTTATACCCAGCCACGGGCCCACCGTGATTTGTATACATCCGAGCAGGAAATACAAACAGCTTCACCTCCTTATTGCTTATATGTATACGTATGTAAGGAGAGGTATACAAAGTATACCGGTATATCATTTTATTCTGAGTATTTGCTAGACCTTTATATTTCTTGGAGGTGGATTTTCCGTGAGATTCCCGCTTGGTTTCCCTAGAGCCATATGTTAATTTCCTTTCGAAAAACAGGAACTTGGAAAACGAGACCATCCTATTTTCCGGACCACAACTCCATGCTCATGATAGCAGATAACGAACAAAGAGCGTCTTTAAGCAAGAATGGCCGAAACGCCGACGAGAATAGCTCAAGGTGCAAGTCGATTCCTGCCTAGGGCATCCCTGCATCAGCCACCACATCTCTCCATTTTACATCCTCAACATCAAATTGCATTAAATCAACCCTAAGAACTGAGTTCCTCAAACTAACTGGACAAATACGGATGCTCTAGCAAAATACCAAATTGATCGTTTCTTCGAAAAGTTCAGTCCATTTTCCCAAGAGGTCTGCAATAACGAAGCTGCTGCCATCGCTGCTGGGGAGGAAGGAGTCTCATCAACACTCGTTCAAGGTACAAAAGAGACTTATTGTCCAGTTCCTCGATTCCAACTTCCCTACCGACCTCGACCATATGACAGCTACGCAAGAGACATACGGACGGCCAATATTAAACTGCTAGCACCTCAAGGGTCAGTCAGGTCTGCTGTTAGTATATGCAATGAATGATGCATCCGGCGAATATTTGCTTCTTACTCGCACCTCTCTTCATAATGTTTGAAACCTTAGTCTTCTGACTCAGACAGTACAAAGCCTTGTCGTGTTTATTCTTCCACCTAGGGTTCTAACAAAGTAAGTTCTTCACAGGGGACAAATTACATTCTCTGCTTCTGTGTGGCACAATTGGCCAGCTTCAATACTCTCTTTAAACGGCTCCTCAATCCAGAGCGACTATTTGGCCCGCTTGGAACATATCTCAAACGAACTACCCGTCAGCTTTCAGCCTCTACTAGACAGGCGAAAGAGCCAATACCCGTTCCTGTTCACAGATTACTATCCCATGGTAATCAATCACTCGGATTCCCTTGAGAATCACCCATGTGGATGTATAGACAAGGCCATCTGACCGGCATCGTTGACTGGCGTGGTGCTGAGATAGGTCCTTTCGCCATTCAGCTTTAGGGGCTGGATAAAATTGTAGGTACATAGACAAAAAGCGGCTCACGATTCCATCCTGAGCACGTCCAGCTTCGTCAGTTGCTCTGACAGAAGCTCTACGAGGAAATTAGGGATGTGTCCGAGGACGTCAAATAAGGGATCAAGACAGCAGGGATGTTAGGTACATTTTGGCCAGCGGCGACTTCGCCAGTCTATGGGCAGATGCTAGAGTGATTGAAGAAGCTGTTCTGGAATCGACTACGTTGAAATTATCTGACGTCAGGTGGAAGTTGCCGGTGATGGCAACATTGCTATTTAGTTCCCATCGCGGGGCGATCTTCGCTTAGTCATGGTGTAGCGGGCAGGTGGACTGGAGGTGTGATGTTGATGTGTGGCATCATTCACCAACCTGAACTTTCAAAGCTGTATCATATGGTGCTTATCTTTGCTTGTTGCTGCATATATCAAAGCGCCCTTGGCTCTTTTATTCTTCCAGTTTGGTTCAGCAAACCAAGCCCCTGAATATTACAAAAGAGCTCTCACTTAACTTTCGGCTCACTTCCAAGGTTCTTATCCAAGAATTGCCGGATAAGAAATTTAGTGTTGTCTCTCCAGTCTCTGACTCTCTGCATTGGAAAACAAGGTTCAAGCCAGTTTCCCACAAAATGCCACCTCTTCCAGACCGATCGCTGGAGCGCCAGCGAGTGGTTTTATATCATCAAACCCTGATACCAGGCGCGGGCCCATATGTCCCCATGATGCCACTTGTGGAACACAACACTGGCATCACGCATATTATCTTGGCAGCCATTCACATAAATGATCAACCGGGTAATATCACACTCAACGATGACCCGCCTGACAACCCCAAGTTCGATCCTCTATGGGCGGAAGTGCCCCAAGTCCAGCAGGCCGGCGTGCAGGTCATGGGTATGTTGGGTGGTGCGGCGCCAGGCTCATTTACACGCCTTGATGGCGACCAAGCTCAATTTGAAAGATTTTATGGTCCTCTTCTGGAAATTCTCCGCCGATACCATCTCAATGGACTCGATCTCGACGTGGAAGAAAACATGTCTCTCCAAGGCGTGATACGCTTGATCGACCGACTCAAGGCCGACATGGGGGACGACTTCATTATCACGCTCGCTCCAGTTGCTGCCGCACTCCTTGGCGTTGGCAATCTCTCTGGCTTCGACTATCGAGAGCTCGAGCAAGCCCGGGCTTCTAAGATCGGCTGGTACAATACACAGTTCTACAACGGATGGGGTCCTGCTGAAGACCCTCGAATGTATGCCGCGATTATTGCGCAGGGCTGGTCTCCGCGCCGAGTTGTGTACGGCCTTTTGACTAACCCAGGCAATGGGTCACAGGGCTATGTGTCTCGCGAGAAGATCGGCCCTGTTCTCGCAGCCTTGGTCGAGCAATTCCCAAATTTCGGTGGTGTTATGGGCTGGGAGTATTTTAATGCATTGCCTGGTGGTGAGGCTGAGCCATGGCAGTGGGCGGCCGAGATGACAGTTAGTATGGGTATGAAGGATATGTTGGCAGCTGCTAAACAGCTTTTGGCGCCTGGAGCTATGGCAACCAGTCTGAATAACTTGCTGCAAGACATGATGAATCAGGGGCGGAGATTTTGATATGAGTTCTGTGAATGAAGCGATCAGCGTACCTAAAGGAGCGTTGGGCAACAAGCATATTAGACCTTGGAAACAACAAGAAATCATATTACTCGCAGAGCTTAGTCATAATTAGGTCAAAGTAGATACATGTGATAATAGAGTTGTCACGTCAGTTTCTTCGGACTGTCTATCCCAAATACCTATACTTGGGAGATAGTTGACCATTGGAATGTGCAGCGATAATCATATTTGTTCAACAGCCTTTCTATATACTGTATCACCTATTTCCATTAACATGGGGTCGCCTAGTCATTAAAGGGAATGACATCAAGTTGGGAAGACCAACGGAGTCAATCCCGAGCAAATTATAATCGTATCCAGATTTGAATTAGTTTGGATACTCATGTTGAAATCTAAATCTTGGTAGAGCTCTGGAGGTGGTGGCGAGGGTGGCTAGGAACTATATAAAGGGGAAAGTAGGCTGCCAAAATTGAATTCCACCTAGATAATGGAGGTCGGTTATTGCTCCAAAGCCTGGAGCTCCTCTTTTTCCATTTTACCCAATGTCGTGGCTCTTACCTCACTGTGCGCTCGCCCGAATTCGACAAGGTGCCGTCAGATTTAGGAGTCAGCGCGCTGTTGCCACCGCATCGCATGGATACCAACCTCATCCTGGGAATACTGCAGAGAGACTTCGAGAGGAACTGGAAAAAATAGCACATGACAGGGTAAAAAGGAGTAAGAAAGGGAAAGGTCTTGGTGGGCTTCACAGTATGGACCCCGAGAAGCAGGTATGGCGGCATAGAAACTTGTTTTTAATCCTGGATCGAGTTAATTGAGAAGCAGCGTTATGTCTCGAAAGGTGGACAAGCTAAAATAAAAGCGATCCAAGAGTACAAAGACGCATTGAGGGAATTTGGACGAGACGGTTCCGCACATGCATGTCATACATGGAAATCACATGAGCCGCCCATAGTGCCGCCAGGGTACGGGGAGTGGAAAACTTAAGATGAAGGTATAACTCATAGGAAACAGCCTTACCTTTGAAACAATTGCAAAAGCATAGAATTAATTGGTTAAGATACCTCACGGGTTATAGTCATTGATGTGAAGTTGATTAAACACAAAAATTACAATCCTAGGTAAGGATAAAAAGGAGGCTCATTTTCTTTCAGGGCCGTGAGTGAATATGTAGTTGTCTGGGTATGTACTCGATAATATCACTATGGATCTTAAGGACGTTGAGATGTTCTCATGATGGATGAGTTTAAACCCAAAACGGCATGAAGTAAATAGACCGCCTGAGGCGACAAGGATCATTTTGTCGCGACCCGCATTTTTTGTTGTTTCAACCTCATCGTTCGCTTCCCCCGCGATTGTTTATTGTTATTTACGATTTATTTCCCGCGGCTTTTGTTTCCAGGGAATGCGATTCTTCAATCATCGTCAGATCGAGATTTGAAGTTCCATTGTTGATCGCGCGCATCGATCGCCGCAAATCCCGGACGCGTCATGGCCAACTCTGGCTACACGTCGCCGTTTCCAACGTCTCACGACACCATCGGACAGTCCACGCTAGCAACACCCCTTTTCATGCCTTCCTCCCCACCTCGCAACCAGTCCAGCCCATCGCCCCCGAGCCCCATCTCCGAGCGCTTCGAGCCGGAACATGAATCTGACGACCACAACGATGATCACGAGCACGACTTAGATAATGAGGATGAGTTACAGCATTACTCGCATCATTCAACTCTACGAAGTCCTACTGCATCCGACTTAGATGCGCGCCTCAATCAATATACTTTGGACTTCAGCCAGTTCGGAGATGGCGAAGACATGCCGCTCCCTGATCTAAACGACGAAGATGAAAGGCTCTCTGATGTGGGTGGCCCGGAAGACTTCACTGCAAACATGGAGAAATATTTGATGGGCGAAGGCATGTCGAGTGCGCGGAAAGCTCGTATCAACGAGGCTAGTGCAGACGGATCTGCATTGCGATCTTCTGTGAGATCAAAACAGCCAGCCGTCGAAGAAGAGCCGGAATTAGCGGAAGATAGCGAATTCGGGCCACCGGTGGATATGTCTACTCCGTCGCATATGTTGCACAGGACAAGCACTCTCGCCAAAGAATCGACTCACCTTGACGGTATTGACGAGGTAGACTCTGACGATGGACTCCCAAGCCCAAGGCCCCCATCATCTCGCAAGATGTCGAATGCCTCAAGAGACGAGGCGTTGGAACGAGAAGAGCGCCTGCAGGAACGCATCGCACAACTTGAAGAAGAGGCACAGGACCGAGATGACCAGCTTCTTAAGAATCGGGGCCGTTTGTTGGAAGCAGCCTCGGCTGGAGAGCAAATTCAGCATCTGCAAGCAGAGCTCCAGCTCAAAAATGATCAGATCCAAGAGCTGGGGGCTAAAGAAGCCGAGTCCGCATTGCTTCGAGAGCGGGTTCTGTCACTCCAAAAACAGGCCGCTGAGCATGAAAAGCTTCAGAAAGCGATCCCGGGATCCCCAGACTTTGGCTCGCTTCAACAAGAAATCAGGGAAATGCACAAACAACTTCAGAACAAAGATTCGCAAAATTCCTTGGATACGGAGCGACTGGAGACAATCGCCCATCTACGGCAGCAACTCAGTCTCACCCAAGAGCAATTGAAGCAACGCGACGCGACTTTGGATGAGACACTTGCAAAACTGAGGGAGGTTACCCACGCCAAGGAAGTACAGCTTCGTGAGAAAAATGCCGAGATCGACCGCTTCAAGGCAGATCTTGACGACCAGGCTCTTGAAAATGAGAGGCTTGAAACCGAATTAGATCGCGCGAACGTCGATTATGAAGCTCTTGAGGATCGCCTAACCAGCCTTGAGATTAAGAACCAGCCTCTGGAAGAAAGAAATCAATCTCTTGAGGCTGATCTCACTCGCGTCCAATCTCAGGTGGAAGCACAAGAAACTGCTTTGAAAGCTGTGGCTGCGGACTTGCCCATGAGTAGTCGCAGTACTTACAGTGAGATACTTGACCTGATCAAAGACCTTGGTCCTCCCGAATCTGAACTCGATCCTGCATCTTCAGTACAGCACAAATTCCCTGTTAACACAGATGTCCAGAATATCGGTGACGAAATTGTCAGATTCCAACAAGAACTTCAGGACGCCACAGGGGCTCAGAAGGCCGCAGAAGTTGAAGCCAACCGCCTTCGAGAACAAGCAATGGAAACGCAAGCTCTCATCAAAACTATCGAATCTGAGAACCTCCGCCTTGCGACTCGCGTAGAAGAGCTGACTACGACTCTCAACAAGACCCAGCACGACCTAACTCGGACACAAGAAGAACATGCCCAATCTCTTGAAACCATCGCTCGTCTACAAGAGGAGGCAATTCGCCAGCCTCCCAGCCCACCTCCCTCTCCACCAAAGCCTGCTATCAGCGAGCAACAAAGCGCTACCGACACGGCTGCCATGGAAGAGTCCCACCAAGCGCAGATCAAAAGCCTTCAGACGGCGCACTCAACCGCTATTTCAACCCTCCGCTCATCGCACGCCGAGTCCATGCGCAAGATCCGCAGCCTTCTCACAGCCGCCGAGGAACGTGAAGCTAATCTTCGTGTCGATCTCACTACCTTGCGTACCTCGGTATCCAATCAAGAATCTCAGTTGCGCAAGTCCTTTAAAACAGAAGTCAAGCGTCTCGAAGCCCTCATTGCGGCCAAGGATGAAACTGCCGTTGCTGTTGACCAACGCATTGCCATGTCGGTTGACAAGCGAGAACGGGAGTGGGAGCGCCGTGTAGACCTCCTCCTAAAGGAGCGTGATCGCATGGGCAAAGCATTGATGATGTACTGGGGTGAGAAAGAGATGGGTCCCGGGCCTGGCGTTTTGGCTGAAGGGAAGGGAAACCGTCGTCGTGATGGAGATAAGGAGACGAAGCAGGGGCAGGCGTACCGGTATAAGTACACGAAGAGCCGGTCCAAGAGTGGGGAGAGGAAGGCTTAGTGTGAAACTTCGTTTGTCTGGGACAAATCGGCTCTTTGGTTTGTCCTGAGTGCGTATTAGCAATTGCATTCTGGGGTTTTAACTGCTGGTTTCGGCGTCTTAGGTTTGGAATGTACAAGGGATTTTCATTAGTCGTGTTTTTTTTCTCATTCTCTAAATCATAACCTAACTTTGGAATACAGCGATGTGAGAAGCATACTTTGGTCTGAATTGATACTTGTTCATTGTTGACGCCAAAACGTTCTGTAGACTAGAATCTTATAGTTGTGAAAGAGTCACGTGGTCTATCTAGTCTGAGGCTGGTGATATCCTTCGCCAGTCATGTGACTTGAAACCCCCCATGGCAACAGGCTACTTTTCATCTGTTTCACGAATTCCTCTCCCACGGTTTGGTGGGCTCTGGTTCACATGGTGCCTCTGGAATCCGCATTTCAAAATGGAACAGTTCACACAAAATACATTTAACACGACTGTGTTTCTTCCGCGGTCCCCGGCTGAGCAAACCTCGAATACCGAGGAAACACAACCTGCATCAATTCAGCTAGCAGAGGTGCCGCAGGAGCATCGTCTCGAGCCACCTGCTGAGGGGGTCTTCCCAAGTAAAGAAAAACTACTTGAGCATATCCGCAAACACGCCCTGTCCAAGGGCTATGCGATAGCGATTCAAAAATCCACCAAACTACAAACACGCCTCTACATCGGTTGTGATCGAGGAGGTACACAGAGGGTAATGGGTCCTGACTCTCCCAGTATCCGAAGGCGACAGAAAAGCTCCAGAAAATGTGGCTGTCCTTTCCGTCTATTTGCAAAAAAGGCAAAAGATATTGATATATGGGACTTGAAGATCAAGCACCCCTTTCATAACCATCCGGCTGATGAGGATATGGCTACTCATCCAGCTGCTCGTCGGCTTACGCCTGAACAGCGAAGGCATGTTAAGCATTTGGATATCATCGGGGTGAAGCCGAAAGATATTGTCACCTTTCTCAGACTGGAGAATCCAAGTGCTTTGTTTTTGCCGAGGGATATTTCTAATGAACTTAGTAAATTGAGAAGAGAGAAGGAGGCATTTGCTTTGAAAGGACAGATTCTGCCGGAACCATCACAGGATTTACCTGAGGATCAGACGAACGTGCTGATGTTTGATCTCTAGTTCAGCATTTTGAGCTCGACTTGTTGTTTTGTCCATTTTGATGCATCTGTGGCATATTCGTAGCTGTTCGAGATAGATGTCTCATCTCTTGCTTTCCCAGTCCATGGTGATTCCAGGGAAGTGATACAATATGCTATTTTTTTCTTGGGGGAAAATTTGTGGAAATCGATGCATTCTGAATTGGCGCTGTTACATTTGCATTTTCTTAGCCTTAGCTGAGATAAAATAAACGATGGAATCTTTGAAACGGGAAATATCCGCTAAGATGCTAGAAAGCCTGAAAGCGTAGCATCGAGTGCTGGAGAATTCTAGTCTCGTTCGTCTTCATAACCCCGGCATGAGTGCCTAATCGTACGGCGATCGCCCGTTGATCTTTCTATCAAAAATTCAAGCACAACACTAGCTTCCCAAATGGCTCCGTTTTCATCTCGATGTATCTGCAGTGTCTGGGAGAACCTGTCAGCATGAGTCGAGCTGTTGAAGGACTGCCAGACTGAACAGCAGTGGTGATCAAAGTTGACCAAAGGATGCTCTCCTCTTGCTCAATCGGTATCAAGCGCCGGATTTCCAAAAAAAATGTCTGCGACATCACCGTTGGCATTTATTGCTTTGAGCATTCAACTTAAGTTTATAGCCCACATAGATATCAAATCAAATTGTTTTTTATTACTAAAGCAAGTCTGGTATATGGTATCTAAGCATCAACATCAAGAACAAGATTACAGGCACGCTATTAACCAAAAGACCACCATCCCCCCATCATAAAGAAACCCCAGTACAACTACATAGTGTCCAACTCAGAAACTCAAGAAGAAAAAGCAACATCAAAAGTCTGACCAGCAGACAACAGCAATCAAGCCTTGGCTCAATCTAGTAAAAGCTCAAACTAGTCCGATTAGCACCCCTATAGGTCATCCCATCAATCACATTCCGTGACTGCTCAGACTTCTTAGCAGCCATCCGCATATCATCAACCGAAACACGTGGCGTAGAACTCGACTCAAGGATACAACTCAATGGCGCACTCGCTCCACCATGTGTACTGCTTCGCGGCCGGCGAGTACTGGGGTAAATAACCTCGACGTCATTCCTGCGCGGGACGGCCATCATGCGATTGGGGTCAAAAGTATGGAGGCTAGCCCAGCGAGCTGGTGGTGCAATAAATTGGGGGTGGTACTGGCTTTGGGTGTGGCGGGGAAGGGGCTGATCGAATTGGTAGGTTGTGCTGCGGACAGGATGGGGATGATGCATGCCATTTGTCTTGCGAGAGCCGCTGCGTCTGACGGGGTCGACATGGAGGGGATGGAAGGCGGAATTTTGTCTGCAGGATTGGGAGTATTTCCGGATATTTGTTTGGGATGGCATTGGTGGTGGGGTATAGTTTGGGTGGTGGGGATGGTGAATGGAGATTTGGTTTGGTGCGAAGCTTGCTGTGGCTGTTTGAGAGCGACGAACTTTGACAGGCTCGGGCTTTTGAACTACCACTTCCGGGGCGTCGGCGGAGTTCATTGTCATTGTTCGAGTGTGGCCTTCTGGTTTTGTGGTTGGTGATTTGCTGATGTCGTTGGCCAACTGTGTGACTTCGCTGGATGGAGGAGCCTCTGGATGATCACTTCTGGTTGACGGTGTCACAACTTGCTTCTCGACATCCGATGCAGCGTCTGGATCTGCCAAGGCTCGGATCTGAGGATCTGATGACAAGGGAATTGAAATCCCGAAGGTCTTTGGGAAGAAGCGCTTCAAGGAGGACAGAGATGATTTTCCCCTTCTATGATTTGTAAACTGCTTTGGGATGTTTGGTACTTTAGGCACATGGAAGTCCAAGAGAAGATTCCGTGATTCGCTGGTAGTCTGGGATGTCATGACTGTGGATGTCCGCGAGATAGGGAAGAAATCACTGTTCAGTGTTTGTGCGCCTGGAGAGGTACGCAAGGTATCATCTGGCGATACAGTCGTACCCGAAGTAATGTCACCATATTCTGAGCCAGGGTCAGTGTTGACTCGGAGCTGTGGCCGCAGACGGACAGGAGCTGCGTGTCGGATACTAGGATGACATCTGACTTTGTTGGCCAGCGGATCCACAGACCATGGCTCTCCCCCGGCTTTTCCATCGTGTTGGCGACAAAGATTCAGAATCTCGTTTCTGAGGGTTTCGTCACTATCCCAGCTATTACCAGAGAGGATGCTGCCGTTTTTAACTGACAGTTGGCGTCGGTAGATTCCAATAATTGAAACGTCGTAGGGTCGATCGCATAGTTCCCTCGCGCAATACATGGTGCACACTGTGACTCTGTGACGTCCTTGTTAGCCCAAAACCCTTGAGAGTAAGATCAGTTTGACTTACAATGATACGACAGAGACAATAACTGTAGCTCGATGAAATGCACAGCTGGCACCTACCCGCCAGAATGTAGCGTGTGTTCCTTCAGGTAGACAGTACACTTGTTGAGCGGCGACTATCAGACCAGAGACACTGGCTGCGAGCCACATCATAAGGTCCAATCTCAGAACGTAGGTGCAAACATTATGTAGAACTGTTTTCTGTTCTCCAAATCCCCCGATGTTGTTGTATTGCCATGCAACCAGGCTCTGGAGCGAGATCAATGGGATCGAAAGAATCGACTGCATTTGAATCAGTAATGGCGGGTATAGAGATAGACCAATCTAACATACCGAGACCAAAGCCAATATCAGGCTTGTAGTCATCTTTGAATCAACCGTTGCATTGCCGTAGAGATAAAGCACCATTACCATCTGAAGAATCGATTCCAGGATCAGGCAGTATATAGCCGCAAAAATAACCAATTTAGTCCATGTTCCCTCTTTGCGCGGTGCCGGCGAGAACCCGGACGCCATAGTGAAGATATCCAAGCTGCTCTGCAGCCTGACCAAGGTTGCCCAGACGGTCAAATACCAGGTCCACTGGATCGAAGATTCGTATCCGAGTTAAAAAGGCGCGAAAGTAGAGACTCGTCGGACAGCCTTGCAATCCAGGCGCGGCTTCACTGGCAGTTCATTAACAGTGAGTGACAGGTGGAGAGACTAGATGGAGGACTAAAAGGGAATTAAATGGAGTAGCATAGGCCCCATGGCGCGTCGACGCGAAAAGAGTGTGGAGGGGTGGAATGTGCCTCCCGAGGGGCCGGCATGGAAAGAATCCCAACCGCGACCACAGACTTCATTTCATTTGGAACAGGTAATCAATCTGCGGATCGACTGGAATGTCAGAGCAGGAGTCCCTCCTGTTGCCCAATCCAGTGGCAGGGTGATTTTGGAGGACACGGTGCGATGACTCCATCCCTGCAGATCGAGATTATTCGACGTCAGTTCTTGTTAAGCCCCCTGTTAAAATCTCCGAGACTTCCCAGATTCCTGTGGGAACTGTCAAATTTCCCATCAAAACTGGGCGGTGATGCTGATCGAGGGAGTTAAGGGCCGTGTACTTGGTATTGTGTACGTGGTAGGGAGCGCACCCATCCCTCGATGACGTGCGGATCAACTACATCAATTTACTCCTTTTTACTACACACCCAACAACATCACACTTTGCGACAATAAATTCGTTCACAATTTCTGTGCAATAGTTTTGCAAGTCTTAGTTGCCGTGATCTTTGTATGATTCAACCACGTGAACGGAGGGGTGCTCCTGTCGACCGCGAGGGACGTAAAGCATCCAGGAGCCTCATACTTGACCACTTCGGCCCGCACATAAACTCACCTACTGTCTCTGATGTGGTATGCCAACTTTTCTTTTTCGCGTTAATGATCTGGTACAACAAAGGTTCATTTGATTAGTCCAGTAGCAATATGGCCTGATTCAAGTGATCCGTACAGGGTGCCCATTGAATATTTTCAACTTAAGTATATATATATCTCCAAGGTTAGGTGTCAAGATGAACGGCCCCTCCACTCGAACTTTTTGCTAAAATAAATCGGGGTCCTTTCTGATTCCCTTCCAAGGATAACTTAGCTATTCTATTGACTCACTTGAACCAATGATCAGGATGACTTTGATTACAACTAAATGGATATAGGGTATGGTAGATGTTGATTTCCTGCGAATGCAAATGCCCGCCAGGTCCACGGATGCACAACCTTAGACCTAAAAGCTTCCACTAAAATATTTTTCAACTTTGGGTTCTAAAGTTCACAATCTTTATTTTCCAATTGCATATTTCCAAAGTTCCCGCCTACATCCATTGGGCATGTATGTCATCAACCGCGAAACTCGTGCTTGACCTGGCCTTGCACCTTACCAACATGAGCCATATACATATGGCCGCCCTCATCATTTGGATCCGGAGTCTCTGTGCGGTCTTTTGCAGTTGTGATATATAGGATATCCTGATTCTTACCTCCCCATGTTGGACACGTTGGATACATCGCCGGCAGTGCTATTTGTTTCAAGAGCTTGCCCTGTGGCGTGAAGACCATGATATGACTGGTTCCATAGACCGCTACCCACAAATTACCCTCCACACTGCCACACGGGTTAGCAAGGCTTGTTTATAATGATTTGTAATGGACACACGAACTCTAGAACCATTCCATCCGGTTCTCCACTCGTCCCTCGGAAGTCAACAAGAGTTCGCGGGTTTGAAATGCTCCCCGAGGCAAGATCAAAGTCAAGCGCCGTGATTTTCATACCGACAGAGTCATTCAGGTACACTACACTAGTCAGCCACTGCTACGCTACTATACGACCAAAATTAGCAGGGCAGGCGGGCCACTTACTTGTCCGATTATCCGGACTCCATTTAACGCCATTTCCACAGATTATTCCACCGGGCATCATCATGTGTAAGGCCCCATCAGGATCATACCTCCACAGACGACCCCTGGGAACCCCATAGTCCGCCGGTAGTTTTCCAGGGGGAAAGCAGTCGCTGCAAGATCATTCTCCGCTAACCAGAACCGTCCAGCTGCATCGACACCGCCATCATTAAACCGGCGTTGACTCCGCTCCGCGGATGGAATGATCTCACACGCCACCTCCAATTTCCCGGTCTCCTCGTCTAAAAAGCACACGCCTTGGTAATAGGCCGCGATGTAGCTGCGCGGTTTGTTCTGACGAAATGCCGCAATGGTCACACTGTCTGACAGTGGTAGAATACGGGCCGGTCCCGTGGCAGATCCTGTCTCGGGATCGACTGGGAGAATGTATAATTCGGCTGGGGAAGAGAGACAGTCAAACCAGTGTAAAGTGGAATCGCTAGCTCGATAAATGACGCCTTCGCCGAGGACCATACGGCCCTTGGGGGTGACATAGAAGGCTGAGCCCGTGCTGAGGGTCTCTACTGGATCACTCATTTTGGTACCTGGATTGGTGGCGCTGAGGCTGACTTTGGTCGCTTGGTGCCGCTGTTGTTTTTCCCCTTGAAAGGGACGTACTGGACGTACTGGAGGTGGAGATGAACTCCCCTCATTTGTGGGGCGACCCCTCAGAGAATGAGGCGCCCTCGGGCATCGTTGACATCCTGAGATCTTGATTCGCCACTGTTGTTGAAATTGGACCGTGGCTTTCAAGCAACTGCGCTTATTGACGTGTATCTAAAAAGGGACTCTCCCCCTGAGAGTCGGTGAAAATGATTCCGATCCGTCGTGATCCCTGAACAGAAACACCGACGACACCTGAGTCAGGATTTACCTTGATATTTGAAATTCGGGATTTCAAATTATCGAGTGTCTCATAAATATTTTGCCCATCAGTTGAATCATTTGGAAGATGTTTGGTTTCTTTGGGAGAAGTTCTAGAAAGTGGTATCCGATGTTGACGGTATTATTCGTACCCAGAACGCATTGCAAGCCACGTTGGCATTCCAAGGTTTCCGTCATCTTAGCTGCAGGTACGGAGTAAATTCCAAGGTACGGTTTGTATTGTTTTTTCTTTTCATTTTTTTAACTTTCTTGTGACCTGTTTTCTCGGCCCCGAAGGCGGACCCTGGTTCCACAAGACATCACGTTTTTTTGTTTTATACGGAGAGTCTAGCATAATTCCGACAAATGCAACTATGGACGAGAAGGGTCCATCGGAAGGATCTGGTTTTCTAATTTGAGTCATTGGCGCAGAAATGATGGCAGGGGCGGCCCGGTGGGCATCGGGAGGGTCCTTTAGTCTAGACTATTGATCCAAGCTCCGTGGCTCGGGGGATAACTAAGTACACTTGCCCAATTTGGGAACCTCGGAGATGGGCACAGGTCGGAGAGCAGGTTCTCGTTCTCAGGAGCCCTATCGGCAGATTAACGTGGAGACTGGATCGGGAAGGGTCCGTACTGTCCGAGTTTGCCTCTTGATAGAAACCCACTCCTGATCTGGAAAAGAAGAGCGAGTCCAGCCAGAACCTTGGACCTTGGGCCAGGTCAAGGCTTATTCCTATATTTCTACCATGGAACAATGGAACTGTGTGAGCTGTACCTTGAGAGGGGGAAAAAAAAACATACCCTCCCCTCGGTGAGATGGCGTGAGATAACCAGTTAGCCCCAAGATGGTAGTAGCGTTCGGTGGTAGTCCAGGACAGGAAATTGGAGCTTTGGGGCTAAAAACGAACGTTTCTAAGCGATGGCGAACGGTGCGATGATCCGGTTGGTGCCGGTTGTTCCGGTTGAAATCCTTTGTTCGACGTTTGCCAGTGATTGGTGTCCCTGGCCAACTAGCGCCCGCACTAAGTATAGCGTGCCTTCGCTTGCATCTATGCCATTTAATTTCCCACTAGCTTCACCATTTCTTTTGTTTTCGATTTGGGGCTTAGCCGATGGAATTTGCTGAAGAAAACCCCCTCCTGGGAGATTCTGGAACTTTTGTCACGGTGGGAAAAGGGTCCCGGAACTGGGAATTGGGAGGCAACTGTTGACGCTAAGAACTAGATCCTGGTGGTGGAGTCTTGCGGAGATGATGATTGGTGCAAAAAAGATCGGTTATCTCCCCCTCCCATCTGGATTGGGTATCGGCTCCCGGACCCTGAGTGTAGGGTCTCTTGGCGAATCCCATGCGGCTCTGAATGTCATGCCCATGGGTGGTTTGTTCGGCTTTTTTGTCCAACCCATTTGGTTCGTCACGCGTTACCCCATGTTGTTCTACACCAAAGCTGGTATCCGCTGTCAGAAGAGTTTTCCATGTGGGAAAAATCACAGGGCATTGGATTTTAGGCCCCTCCGGTCAGGCTACAAGGCTCCAGAGAGCACATAATTTAGCATTTTAGTTTCTTTTAACATGCCAAGCACGACATGTGGAGCCCTAGCAGAGCTAAAGATCAAAATCAGGAACCTCGAATACACCAGTGGCCAGAGGGGACTCCATACGTACATTCATTAGCCGAAACCAGTAAGCTAGCGCAAATTACACTGACCTCGGTGGCTGCAGTACCAGGTACTCCCGTAATGCTGCCTGAAAAGTGAGAGAGAGATGTTTTGCCTTTTAATGCTAGTTCTCCTGTTTCCATCAATCTAGGCTTTCAATTTTCTTTCCCACTCCCTTTCCTTGAGTGATAGCCCGAGCAGACGTTTGTCTGCGTCCTTTCGTTCGTTGAACATTGGCAGATAGCCATTTTCATTCATTTAACACCAGGCTGCTTCTTTAAGCCTTAATATCCTTCATTCGATTTTCAAAATGGTTGGAATGAAGGTTTTCGCCGCTGCATCGGCGGCGTTGTCCACTTTTGCGTCGGCTGCTTTTGCCTTGGATGTGGATCTCAAGTCCAACCTCGCAGTCTACTGGGTACGCCACTTTGTCTTAAGTTCATTGAGCATACTCTAATCATTTCTATACAGGGTCAAGGATACAATCAGGATCGTCTGAGCCATTTCTGCGAGGAGTCCTCGCCGGATGTCATCGTCTTGGGCTTCATCAATGTTTTCCCCACGGCCGTTGGAGTCTGGCCAGGCTCCAATTTTGGCAATCAGTGTGATGGTACAGTCTATGAGGGTACCGAGCTTCTCTCAGGATGCCACCAGATCTGGGAAGATATTCCCGTCTGCAAGGCTATGGGAAAGACTGTTCTGCTTTCCCTTGGTGGAGCTGGTGCCACCACTGGTGTCCTAGACGATGAAACTGCCGAGTGGTTCGCTGATTTCCTGTGGTACTCGTTCGGTCCTTACAATGCCTCTGCTGTCGCAGCCGGTTTCCCTCGTCCTTTCCAAACTGCTACTATCGATGGTTTCGATTTCGATGTCGAGTCGAATGGCGATCACGGTATGTTCATCCTATCTCGGCCCTCACAGCCCTAAGCTAACAACTATAGGATATGCTTCCATGGTAACTCGCTTCCGCGAGCACTACGACAACTACCCTGAGCAGAAATACTACATCGCAGGTGCCCCTCAGTGTGTCATCCCTGATGCGCAGCTCGGCGATGCGATCGAGAATTCCGCCTTCGACCTCATTTGGGTTCAGTTCTACAACACCCCATCCTGCTCTGCCCTGTCCTACTTCGATGCTATTCCGGGCTTCAACTTCGATGCATGGGTTAGTGCTGTTCTGAGCAGTGCCAATCCTTCTGCCAAGCTATACATTGGACTGCCTGCAGATACTGCCAGCGCTTACTACCTGACTGAGGAGGAAGTTTTTGTCCTGGTTCAGAAGTACATGCTCCTGTATCCTGATACCTTCGGTGGTATTATGTTGTGGGAGGCTACCACCGCCGATGAAAACATTGACGCCCGGGGATTGAACTATATGGAGCAGATGAAAGAGGTTCTCTACTACTTTGCTCCTACACCGACGCCTACACCGACGCCGAGTGTTACCCCTATCGCGACATCGACCCCGGTCCCCAGCTCGACCGTGTTGCCTACCTCGGTGACCCCGTCAAGCTCTGCTACTCCCTCCAGCGTTGCTACCCCGTCGAGCTCTGTGACCCCCTCCAGCGTTGCTACCCCGTCGAGCTCTGTTACCCCGTCGAGCTCTGTTACCCCGTCGAGCTCTGTTACCCCGTCGAGCTCTGTTACCCCGTCGAGCTCTGTTACCCCGTCGAGCTCTGTTACCCCGTCGAGCTCTGTTACCCCGTCGAGCTCTGTTACCCCCTCCAGCTCTGTGACCCCCTCCAGCGTCGCTACTCCCTCCAGCTCTGTGGTTCCCTCTAGCGTTGCTACCCCATCGAGCTCTGCTACTCCCACTCCCTCGGGCTCCGTGGCTCCCTCCAGCGTTGCTACTCCCTCGGGCTCTGCTACCCCGTCTAGCTCTGTGACTCCCTCCAGCATTGCTACTCCCTCGGGCTCTGCTACCCCCTCTAGCTCTGTGACTCCCTCCAGCAAGCCGATTTCTAGCCCGACTGCTTCCCCTAGCTCGATTGCTCCATCTCAATCGACCCACGCAAGCTCTCAGTCTAGCCACGCCAGCTCGTCCGTGAAGCCTTCCGGCTCTGGAAGCACATCTCTGTCTTCTTCGACCGCTGTTCCCGTGGGTCCTTCGAGCGTGGTTTCTACCTCGAAGCCCATTCGTACTCCTGTTCCCTCGCGGACTCCAATCGTTCCCACTAAGCAGTCGACATCCGCGAGTGTTTCTAGTTCGAGCGTGAAGCCTTCATCAGCTGCTTCCTCTAGTTCTGGCGTTGTTGCATCCAGTACTGGTGCTTCATCTGCTTCTTCTGGCGCGACCACATCCAGCGCTGCTTCTTCAGCTGCTTCTTCTAGCGTTGTTGCATCCAGCTCTGGTGCCTCTGGTGCCTCGGGCATTGCTACCTCTAGCATTTCTGAGTCGAGTGCCTCTTCTGGTGCTGCTACTTCCAGCACTGTTGGCTCGGGTGGTTCTGGTGCTTCAACTGCCTCCACCGCTGGTGCTTCCTCTTTCACTTCTGGCCAATCGGTCGGCACCGGCGCTCCTGGATCTATTCCTACCGTTAGCGGAACTGGTCTGACGAAGACAGCTACCATCACTGCCTCTCCTTCAGTGACCCCGGCTCCCACTTCATCCCCGGAGACTATCACAACTGTTATTGTCACTTCGTACACAGATATTTGCCCTACTGGTTTCACCACTATCACCACCACCATCACCACATATGTTTGCCCTGAAACTGCAGTCACTGCTACCGCCACTAACCCTCCATCGGGGGCTGTCACCACTACTGCTACCGTTCCTGAGGGCTGGCACACTACTGTGACTGTCTGCACCCACTGTGCTGCTACTCCCACGACTGTGACTCTGACTCTGCCTAACCCCACGACAACCGTCGCGGCTGCCACCGAGACTACCGTCGCGCCCGTTACCGATTCATGGACAGAGACGTGGACTACCACCGTCTCTTTCTGTGAGACATGCGGCGAGACTGGCTCGTCTGTCATCGTGACTGTGCCTTACACTGCCCCTGCTGCTGTTGAGACAGCTACCCCCACATGGGGCTCAGGTGCATCTGCTGGACAGGGCGAGGGATCTAGCCCTAGTGGAGCGTACACTGTCGCTACTTCCGTTGAGACACTCACTTTGACATGGGCCTCTGGTGCCCCCTCCGGTGCCCCGGCTGGACAAGGTGAGGGATCTAGCCCTAGTGGCGTGCCTCAGCCCCCCGCTAGTGGGTCCGCCAGTGTGATCCCCAGTCACCCGGCTTCCACGGCTCTGGTCACTGGAGTTGCCGCCCTTCACACCTCCAGCCAGGCTCCATCATTTGTCTTCCACCCTGCTACCACGAGCATTGTCTCCGGTGGCTCAGCAACCGCCAGTGCCACACCTCAGGGTGCCGCCCCGGCGTACAATGCCGCTGGTTCTCGCTCGGACATGGTTAATTTCTTCGGAGTGGCCTTTGCCGTTCTCCTGTCCGCTCTTCTAATGTAAGATACCATTTGGTCTTCTATGTAAGATCGTAATATCTCTACATGCCATTCCCATGCAGGAGTTTATCTTTTTTCCATGTCACATTACGATTATCCCCTTTTCTTTCTTCATCTGATCTCTGACCTCTGTGGCTATGCCCTTGTTTTGAGTGATTTATTTTACCTCTTCCTACTTTGACCATATAACATCGAGATCTCGGAATTTTCATACCATCCTGTAGCATAGAATCGTTTTACCAAGCAAAATTATCTCTTTCAAGCAAAACTATCTCTTTCAAACATCTCAATCTTTCCAACTTCTGTCGTAAGCTCCAAATGAATTGAGTGACTTGAGTAATGATTAACCCATATCTGACCTTACCATGTAACGAGCGTATTCATGAGTTGTCCACAAGAAATACAGTTCGTAAACTTTTTTGCTGATAAGGCCATAATCACGATAAGCATGAATTCTTATCGATAACGGTTTGTGGCCAGTGTGCTTATGTAAGTCACTGTGGGCGAAGTGGGTCTCTACTATCAGCCAATGGCACGTGAGAACCCAGGGCTCGAGGGCTAACCCAAGCGGAAAATCATGTGACGCACAACCCACATCCACCTCCAATATTCACACTCCTAAAAGAGTCTTTCTTCTCCGACGACCAACGACAACCCGTTCCCTTGAGCCCATTCACGACCATCAAGATGACTGTTCGCAACCAGGGTGCGTACATTCTCGCCATCGCCATTCGATCCTCGCCATCCCCAATTCTAACGAAATGTATACAGGTCTCGCCTCCTCGCGGAGCAAGTCTCGCAAGGCTCACTTCCAAGCCCCCTCCAGCGAGCGCCGCATTCGCATGTCCGCTCCTCTCTCCGCTGAGTTGCGCAAGAAGTACAACGTACGTTCACCCGCCGAATTGAATTTGAGTTGGCCGAGTTGGAGGGCTTCGAAAAAAAAGCACAAATTCGACATTTAAAGGCCCAGCTTGAAATTGAAAGGGTTTCCGAAGAAAACGTCAAATTCTAACAGGGTTATGCTCTACATACAGGTCCGCGCTGTTCCCCTCCGCGTTAACGACACCGTCACCATTGCCCGTGGTTCCCAGAAGGGCCGTGAGGGCCGTATCACCTCCGTCTACCGTCTGAAGTACGTCGTTCACGTTGAGCGTGTTGTCCGCGAGAAGACCAACGGCCAGTCCGTCCCCATCGGTCTGTCCCCCTCCAACCTGGTCGTCACCAACCTGCACATCGACAAGGACCGTGAGGCCCTCCTTGCGCGCATCGCCAAGGGTCGTGAGGCCGTCCAGAACAAGGCTTAAGGGATATCTCTTACGTATGAGGGAGGGTCTAGGTTCATATTGCAATGGTGGTATTAACGGCGCGGGTGTGTTGATATTGAAGGACTCTACATAAAAAAGGGCCCCAATCTACCATTTTTCTGGATCAACGTTTCTGAAACCAGGCGCATTGCGATGAATGCCAAATGAAAAATATTCTTTTTTCTTCCAATCATTACCTGGATTCTTCTCACGGGGCAGTTTGCTCAGTGGAGCAGGTTTCTTTGCAAGCATCGGCATTCTCAGGGTTCGGCGTGTGTGGTATCGAGGCGGCTTGGTACTGCATCACCCGTGGGGTGGTAGGAGACATGAAGGAGGTCTGCGAGAAACGAGGCACTAGAGAATCTTGGAGTATACTGTGACTTGTGTTTGAAACACATTGACAGATTCTTTCTTTGCATGCTTTTCCTGCCTCTCGTGAGACCTTCTCATGCCACCCGTCCTATTGGTCCCTTGAGAATGACCATGCGTAATCGTAGTTGTAGACCGAAATAAGCCTCACAAAACCCAGGTTATTAGCCACGCTAGGTACCACCTGTGTATCGCCTCTATGCTGCTCTGGTGCACAAGTGCCCAGGTGGAGCCTAGATCTTCTGCTGACTTTGACAGGTTTCGTTGGTGCAAGAAACCTAAGCCCGTATTCTTCGCAGTCCCGATCTCAACGACACGGGCCCCTCAGTCATGGTATCTTTAAGGTGTGCACAACAGTACCTGCCAGATACAGTAGGGAATGATGGCCTTGGAACGATCTCAATTTTGGAAGAGCCACGCTGAGGAGAGTTTTGAAATGCATCTTAGAGAGCTGTCCAGGAGAAGGTACTTTGTAATAGAGGGGATTTTGTTCCGGTATATTTGAGCATTACCTAGATCTATGGATGGCCCATTCTTAGTTCTGTCGGGAAAGAGACCTCGGAAGGACCGTGGGCCTGAGTGCGCCCCGGTCCTGGCCTGCAGAGGCCGCTAGACACTAAAATTTATACCTAGAGTTGGCCGTTGAAATTAAGGTGATTACAATAGAAATGTCTGCTCCTAACGGATGTCCAACGATCACCTTGGCGTGCCTAGGTAATGATCTGTGAACGGGCCAGGGTGCTCATGGGCGCAACATAGTTTCTACTCAGTGAGCAAAAAGCGGCAAGCCTACCTACCTTAAGTAAACCCAAGAACCTTGGAAGTTTCAAGGAGAAGGAATGTACGGAGGCCCTGGTTTTCAAGCTTGCCTGGGCAGGCGTGGGTAATAAAATAGTTCATCGGGTCAGATATCTATATTTTAAAGTACTGTACCACGGACTATAGATACCCCCCCGTCTCTCGCAATATATATTTGCCTCTCACTGGAGCTTTGGAGTTTACATTGGAGGTCAATGCCGGAGTTTTATTCAAGATTGACATGGCTCACTATGTCTAAAGCCCTGCTAGCAGAAATATCCAAAGTACCCAAAACATTGGTGTGTATGATATAGGAACTTGGATGCTGGGAATACAAATCCGCGCCCCATCTAATCCGCCGCCCCGTAGGCCGTTGATCAACAAGCAGGCTCCCCCTCCATGAAGTACCACTCACTATTAAAGTAAAGAAAAGCAATATCCATGCCTCTCCCCTCAACTTAAGTAGAATCATTGAGAAGACCACATGGACTGTCCTATCCCACATGAATTCTGGAGATCGAGAAGCTAAAAATCGCTGAAGCTAAATTTAGGAGATCCACATTCAGGCCAGGACCCGTTCCCAGCTTTCTTATTGTGTGCCCGAAAAGAAGAAAAGTTTTAAATTTCTAATGTATTCGTTATGGATCAAAGGATGAGAAGATATTTTTTTCTAAGCTGATTGGCTCTGATGAATATGTATCTCAGGCGGCGTTGTGGGCTAAACAACCTAAGGCATGGAAAAATTGAGTTTGGGCGTGTGGCTGGCGAACCAAGTGGTGCTAAACCCGAGGTGGAGCATTTTACCAATGCAACCAATCAGTGATAGTATTGACAGACTAGCGGCGACTTGAAGATCAACAATCACTAGATATTGGATCTCCAGAACTCTGGCAGATCGAGACTGGCCGGCTTAATGGATCATATACATACTATATCGAGAAAGCCTGAGATCGACAAGCGGTGTCAAAAGTGTAATGCGGTCGGGGATTGTTCTGAAGATGGTTTTTGGGGAAAGCAAGGACATTTCCTGAGATCCGTGTGTTAGACATTTGTTCTGCAAACCCTTGACGTGGTCGTTATGGCGATGGCGAGCACTTTTTTTACTGCTACCATTCTTTTTTCTTAGACTACTTCCTTCAATTTAACCAATGCCAAGAATGCTTCCCCGATTTTATATGCACCAGTCTCCTTTTGTAGCGAGAAGTTAGTGCTTCTAATGGTATGATAGTGGAAGCAAAGACGAGACGTGAGGCTTGCAGTGTGCAACCTCAATCGATCAAGAAACAAATCCGAATGGACCGTCTCAACCTCAAGCTGTGGTCTACCGGATAAAGTCATACTCCAGACATTAGGACAGAATTCTCGGGCCAGTCTCGGGGTGACCCCGATCCATGACCACGACTAGACCACGCTGACGTGGATTACAAAGGAGGCTATACCCAAACTAAGCCAGTAAAGAGCCAGCTGAATAAAGCCGAAGCAATCAACTTCGAGTCGGCTTTTTCATTTTCAACCTGTGGCTTACGCTAAAATATGGGGAGCTTTCTACTGGTCACTTCTCCACGCCATCCCCCACAGATCAAACCACCGCTCCCCAGATACATGGAGTGTCTTGCAAGCCAATCTGTTCACGTGGAGGGACGCGTCACCTCCCGATTCCTGCTCGGCCTTTCGCTCCAACCATGGCCTAGTCAGTGTGCCTTATTACTATCATTATAGAATTTCCTTTATTTTCGCGGGGTTCGAGGATTTGTGGGGAGATGTACGGGGCCCGAAGTCCGGATCTCATGTACAGTCCGACATCCCGTGGGCGCAACGGGCTTACGGTTACGGCGTAGCCAAGCTTTACAATGTGCCACTAATTTGCTTAACTGTTTCACAGGAAGCGTAGGGTGGGAGTTTGGTTAACTTTGCGTGTTCTTTGTGATGTTCAAGTCTGTTAAATTTACTTGAGCTGAGGAATGGCGTACGGAGATGGCTTTAGGTATTATGAGTATCCGAGTCCAGAGCTAAGCTTCCCAAGAACTGAGAGTCAAACATGATTGGCGCGTTGATGAGTTCCACTCCATAGTCCTGCCATGCAATTTTTAAGGACACACGATACCGTAGGACAGATCCGGTTAACTCGGCCGGGGGTCAAAGCAAATGCGCCTCGTGGTCTGTTGGGACCACCCGTTTGCCTTCTGTACGCAAGTGAGACTATGAAAGGAGATTTTAACATGGGCGTGCCTCATTTCCATTGCATCTTGCGGTTACTTTCTCATATATCCTACCTAGCCACTGCCTACTTCTATTGTTTGAAACCCTGTATCGGATCTCACGATGGAGGGTGCTGTGGGCCCAGTGGGAGCCATCAAGGCTGTACCGCCCACGACTAACCTGTCAGAGAAGCGTGCTGCCATTGCCGGGCCTTCGGGGTTCAAGGGTCTAATAGGCAACAAGAAGACCTTTTCCATCGGTTTATTTGCTTCTCTTGGGGGCCTCGTTTATGGATGTATGTTTTGAATGGAAGGAATTGACTCAATCTTGTTTCGAGACGCTCACGGATCAACAGACAATCAGGGAATGTTTGCCCAGGTACTGACCATGACATCTTTTATCAACAAGGTAAGCCGCTGAATTTTTCAACCCAGAATTACCTAGCATTGTTGACCAACCATGTTGCTCCATATAGACCCAAGGATACGCTGCCACAACCGGTACCGGACAAGGTCTCTTGACATCGGTCCTAGAACTGGGTGCCTGGGTCGGTACCCTATTCAACGGTTACCTTGCAGATGCGGCTGGTCGTCGAGCCACAGTGTGCATTGCTGTCGCAGTTTTCTGCGTAGGTGTAATCGTACAAGCTTGCGTTGAGAACAAGAACTACATTTTTGGCGGCCGTTTCGTAACCGGACTGGGCATTGGTAGCTTGAGTATGGTGGTACCACTCTACAACGCTGAGCTGGTATGGAAACTCTACCCTCATATTTCCCTGCTAGGTGAAATGTCTTTTAACTTGGTATAGGCACCGCCCGAGATCCGTGGCTCACTGGTCGCCATCCAACAATTGTCCATCACATTCGGAATCATGGTTAGCTTCTGGGTAAGTCTTTCCAATTTCTCTGTAAAAAGTCAATGTATTAATGCTCTTCAAGCTCGGTTACGGTACCAACTTCATCGGTGGCACTGGCGAGGGGCAATCTAATGCTGCCTACCTGATTCCCATCTGCATCCAAATTCTACCCGCTTTGATCTTGGCAGCTGGAATGCTCCTTTTCATGCCCCAGTCTCCGCGTCACTTGATGAATAAAGGTCGTGAAGATGAGTGTCTGACTACCTTGGCTCGTCTCCGCGGTTGTTCACAGGATGATCTCACGGTCCGTGTGGAGTTCTTGGAGATCAAGGCTCTTCACATGTTTGAAAAGGAGACATCGGCTCGGAAGTATCCTCAGTGGCAGGACGGGTCCACTAAGAGCAACTTCATGATTGCGCTTAATGATTATAAGTCCTTGATCACCAACGAATCTCTCTTCAAGAGACTATCTGTTGCTGTGAGAACCATCTGCTCGCGTGATGCATACATGTGCTAACTGACTCAGTGCTTGGTCATGACCTTTCAACAATGGAATGGTATCAATGCGATCAACTATTATGCGTAAGTATGATCCACTTCGTGATGTTAAGACCACCTCACTAAGACCGATATTATAGACCTTTCATTTTCGAAGATATGGGGTTCACTGGCAACTCTGAAGATCTCCTTGCGACTGGAGTCGTCGGCGTCGTTGAATTCCTCGCCACAATCCCTGCAGTGTTATTGGTCGACAAGGTTGGTCGTAAAAAGATTCTTATCACGGGCGCCATTGGAATGGCTGTCTGCCATTTTATCGTTGCAGGTATTATCGCAACTTATACCGGGAGATGGGACGAGAACCGTGCCGCTGGTTGGGCGGCTGTGGTCTTTGTGTGGATCTATGTCATCAACTTCGCCTACTCATGGGGTATGTGCTACTCAGATGTGATTGCGGTATATCAAGGGTTAATCGTATTTTAGGGCCCTGTGCATGGATTGTCGTGTCTGAAGTCTTCCCTCTGAGCATGCGTGCGAAGGGTGTATCCGTTGGTGGTAGTTCCAACTGGGTGGGTTGCTCCTTCTGCAAAAAATTGTATCTATCGCTAATCGATTATCGTTACAGCTTAACAACTTTGCAGTCGCTATTTCGACCTCCAAATTCATTTCCAAGACTTCCTACGGAGCCTTTATCTTCTTTGGGTTGGTGACTACTATTGGTGCTCTGTATGTGTGGTTCCTTGTTCCCGAGACCCGTGGTCGCACGTTGGAAGAGATGGACGAGGTCTTCGGAGCGACAAGCTTTGCCGCAGAGGATGAGAGTTTGAGGCAGCGCATTGAGCAGGAGATTGGACTCTTTACTCTTCTTGGCGAGGAAGAGCCCGTCAAGTCTGAGATGGTGAAGTCTGAGTATGAACACACCGAGCCTGTCTCGGAGCCCATCTCTTGAAAAAAATCAGGAAGAGGTCTCAGGAACGTAATATTGAAGACTGGCTATTCAAACCGCACAGTCTTATATAGGTTGTCAGTTAATTAATTCAATGTGTTGATGTGACTGGCTCTAGTCAAGGGCCTTTGACATGTAATTTGTTATGACAGTCTCAAGCCGACCAAGTGATCCAAATCACATTTCAAGAAGACATGAGCTGCCGAGCATTAGCGCTCCAACTGGAATTAGTAGATAGCCTCTGTACTTACGCATGCTCGGTTCCCCGCAGCGAACCGGCGGACCTCGGCTGCGGGGAACTAATGATCGACAACATCATTTATATGCTTAAAGCCCTGGCTCTTGCCTGCCTCCAAACACCCAGAATGTCTGCTCCACCTCTAAAAGGCATTCGAGTAATTGAGCTAGCGGGACTTGCGCCAGGTATCAATTCCCAGCTTATCCTGTGGACGGCCTCACCGCTAACAACCTTACCACAGGGCCCTTCGCCGGTCTCCTCTTAGCCGACTACGGCGCCTCAGTCCTCCGCATCGACAGACCCAAAGCCGCCAGCAGTGACCAACTCACCCGACACAAATCCTCAATTACCCTCGACTTCCGCGACTCAAAGTCCCGAGATGTTCTCCTCCGGCTCCTCACTTCCACCGACGTGCTAATTGACCCATTCCGCCCCGGCGTCCTCGAACGGCTCGGCCTATCCCCAACCGAAGTTCTTCTGAAACACAACCCGCGTCTCATCGTCGCCCGTATGACCGGGTTCCGACGTGATGGCAAATACAAAGACATGGCCGGCCACGACATAAACTACATCGCCGTATCAGGCGTCCTATCTATGCTAGGACGAGCTGGAGACAAGCCCTTCGCACCGGGCAACATTCTCGGCGACTTCGCCGGCGGCGGCGCAATGTGTTTCCTAGGTATCATTCTCGCCCTAATAGCCCGCACAAGCACGGGCCGTGGGCAAGTCGTCGAAGCAAACATGGTAGATGGATCAGCGTACCTAGCTACCTTCCCACGACTAGCACGTCACACACCAGCGTGGAATGAACCCCGTGGCCAGAATTTGCTTGATGGCGGATGTCCCTACTACGATACATACGAAACAAAGGATGCCGGGAAATATTTCGCCGTTGGGGCATTAGAGCCGCAATTTTATGCCGCATTGCTACGCGGGTTAGAGTTTGATGCAAAGAAGATTCCTGCGCGCGAAGATCGCGATAATTGGCCTGTCTTGCGGGACCTATTCACGCGCCGTTTCAAGGAGAAGACGCGGGCTGAATGGGAGATTGTTTTTGATGGTACGGATGCCTGTGCGACTCCTGTTTTGGAGCAGGGTGAGCTTGAGGCTGCGGGGTATGATCAACGGCCTGCTGTTCATTTGTCTAAAACGCCTGCGGTCCCATTTACGGCGGAGCAGGGCGGTTGGGTTGATGGGGGTCTTGTGCCTGGAGATGGGGGTGAGGAGACACTTCGAGTGTGGATGGGATGGGAGCCGAACAAGGATTTCCTTGTTCGGGAGGACGGCACGATCGTCTCCGTGGACGGCAGGGCCAAGTTGTGAGACATGATCCGCAGGGGAGATCCCGGGGTCTTTGACTGGGGCAATTTTGTGCATATAGTACATTCAAGTTTTAGGCTCATATAACTCTTTTTTTTTTTTAGCTTTTCTTTTTATTCAGATATGTATCGTCGCTCAATGCGGCAATGATCGTCATTCATTGGTTTCATGGCGTACGAGGGCCAATTGTACCTGAGCCCTTCTTACTCAATGCGTCACCAGGAACGTTCCTACTTTGTCTTTTTTTCTTGTTGCAATGGAATTGTGGAAGTGCTGAAACATATTGACGTCACGACTAACAAATTTCCCATTCCGGATCCACCGAGTACCACCCACGCGAGATAATTGTGGCGCAGTTTGTAATTTTCTGTTATGAGTCCTGTAAATTACAGCTCCCAGCCCTACTAGATCCCGTACTTCTGATTTAAGATGTGGAAACTTGAGTCCGAGTGAATCGAATAGTCATTCATATATACACTCGGAAATGGTGATGAACCTTTTACCATGGTGTCTGGCATGAGAAAATCTCCTTAGGCCCGATTTTCCAATAGTGCTAGGGATCCCATAGTCTTGTGGCTCCCCTTACTTCACTTCCATTGCGTCAAATCATCGCCGTTGGAGTTTCCAGTTCAAGCAAAATCCACCTAGTAACGTGTCATCTTAGACTGGATCTCATCCAAACCAAGCAGTCAAGAAGGCAGTCCCTCGAAAAGAAGGAATACCCTTTTCTATGTACAAATAATGGACCATTGGTCAAAAACGTACAGATTGCTCTGTTTTTCACACGTCAACAAATATCAATGGAACCTCATTTGAGAGATTGCGAGGCTACGTGGCCTTCCCGTTTATTGTATTCCTTTTTCCAAGCCACTCGTCAATTAATTTTGCTGCTAATATGTGGATTCTGGAGGAAAATAGTCAAATCAGCGCTCCGCAGGTGTCTGAAACTCTTGCATCATACATATGGCTTATTATCTACTGTACCAGACCTTCCATAACAACGGGGGAACCACCTACCCCAATGCCTACAATGTCATTCAAAATGTGGCGACCAATGGCGGATTGACCTGGTTCAGTGAACAGTATGCCACGATCGGCACGTGTTTTCGCAGCCTTACGGATCAAGTTACTTTAACCACTAAAGCCCCTGTACGTTCCTGGTTGGCAAGCCAAAAATACTCTTGGCCTCAATTTGAGACGTGGGTTCAGTCTGCTGCTAACATGCAGTATTCAGAGGCGGTATCTTTTCAATTCTTAGACACTATAAGGTGACTGTTCCTGACTTGACGCTGTACATCCAGGCAGCAATAACTTGGGAGGCCAATCAAAGGACAGCCCTATAAGATTTATGACTTTCACAATGGATGCAGGGTTCGTGACGCCAAGCAAATTACTACTCTTCATGCGTCAGTACCTGGGGAAACTATACCCCGCGTTATCAACAGGCCGCACTGATCAACCCGCGGACATCGGCCCTCGGCAATTTGGCTGACGTCGGTACTTAGTCCTAATATATAGAAAGCTTTAGTACTCAAGTTGAGCGGGAAATTAAGAAATTTTGACTCCGGTATGGCGCGCTCCGCAGTCCCCACCCAGATGATCATTCTCCCCATCCAGGAAGCAGCTCAGATCGATGACCTCTCCACAAGGGAAGGCCAGGTATGGTCTCAGATCCTAGATGTCCTGGAGAGCTGGGCTGGGTTTCGCCGTCTTTATTGGGGACGCCATGTTGAGGAAGGACTTGTGCACCTCCACATTGGTAGGAATACGACCAAGATAACTGAGCAAGCAACTAAAAAACCAAGATAGCTCGAGATAGTCTACACCAACACTACGCTCTCCTCGCCTCACTTGATTGGCAGCACATTATCAAAAACCTGGTTTCTCTCGGTGTTTGCAGCGCCACAGAATTGACCGTGCGTCATGCCATGTTCTCGGAATTCACGACAGACCCCAAGAGCTTGGGGCACGGGGCTCCGGTGAGCGGGACCGCTGTCTATCTAACCCCTGACCCCGCCGGATGGGACAAAACGTGGGCGCTATGGACGAGTATTGTCTCCACGGTGCCTGGATGCTTAGGGGTAACAGGTGGGTGGATGGTGGAGCCCGTCGAGGGGAACCTTTCCTATATTGTCTACGTGGGATGGGAGAGCATCGACGTCCACGACTCGTACCACCGTACCAAACACTTCCGACAGCGAGCGCCTATCCTTCGTGAGCACAACGTGGGATTTCGTGAGTATGGGCATGTCGCATTTACTCATTCACGGCCTTGTCGTCAAGCAAATCTGTAATTTGATCAGTAATCGGAAATGGGTTGATCCTTGCAACCTTAGCAATTTCCTGAAGGCTGAAAACCGGTTCTTCCGGGAGTTGAGTCAGCTTACGAGGTTGACAGGAACCGCTAGGAGAAATCCGGTTAGTAGGGCCATGCCAGCATGCGATAGCCCGGAGAATGTCATATTGCTTTTTCTCCAACCAGAAGGCCGTCTTGTGAAAGGCAGTGCTTCTGTCAGATATAATTATGGAAATAAGATGGAAGTCACGGTAGCAGTAAGGCCGAAGGTGAATGAAACCTCATTTGAAACTTCGAAAGCTGGAAACGTGTAATTTTCAATTTACCAGCCTCAAGTGGCTGAGCGTATCGTACCTCAGTAGGTACTCCACCCGCCAACTTTGGCTGCGCAAGTACTTCAAGCCCGTCGTGTTCCGTCGTATCGGCCAATCACATTACTTGATGGAACCGACCAAAGTCTCTTTTGCTTGCCCCCCTCCCCCTACTCCTCTCATCTTCCCTTTATACAAAGGTCCAGCAGGAAAGTTCTCTTGCTGCTACCATTTATTTCGTCTCGCCGACGACCGTATCCCCCTCCGGACACCTTTGAAAGACCAGGTGCCAATTGGGTACTAGACGAACTTGGCCGCGTGTGCGCCTCCCAAGCCGATCCACACCCAAACTCTTTCAACTCTCCTGCCATTACAATTTCCATTGTTTCTGGCAATTGAAAGCTTTCCAGCTAGCAAGGACGTTGGAAAGCTTGAAACCGTCAATCACCAGCCTCCGCTTCAAAACACCCCCCGAGGCCGATATTGCTGCACGTACCGCAAGTGGGCGCTGAAACCCGCAGATTGCTTGACCCGTCAGCCGCGCGCATCGGAGGCCTAGAGCACGTTTTCCTGCCTGAAGGTGGCCTGCGCAACTAATCTGTTCACCCTAAACTCCCCCCCCCTCCTCTCAGAACCCCGCCACGGGATTTTCTTACGACCGGGTGAACAGACCGAATTACCTCAAAATCCGATTACAAGTGAAAGGGTCTGCTTCATCAAGCGTCCATCCCAATATGACCGAATTCCGAGTGCCCATGCACCAGGGCCCCCCTCCCCGGAAACCTATACACCCTGCCCAACATGGCTACCCTTACCAGCCCTATGATGCCCCAAGAAATCTTGCGCCTCATTCAGCTGCGCCCTTGACCACCCACAGTCGCACTCGCACCACTTCCTCCCACGTGCTCCCCTACGGATCAGGCTCCCACCAACATCATCAACAAGCGCCCCCGACTATGCCACACCATGCCATGCCTCCTCCCACCGGCTACCCAGCTTCACGGCGGCTTTCCAGCACCACTACGTCGACTACCTCAACCGGAAACCACATGCCTCATGCAGACCCGAATATTCGACGAAGCGCTTCCAACCGCTCGGCAAGTTCGCAACTGGGGTATGTGGCTCTGATGCGGCGGCAGAAAGCGACCGTCTGGTGCGATCGGGCGCAATCAGAAGATGCTCGCATGCGCGAGGCAGCACTGCGGGACAAGAAGAGAGCGTATCTTGAAGTCCATGGCGCAGGCGCCGGTCGTTCAGGCGGCTCTAGCGGAAAGATCCGACACGGAGGCAAAGCGGGACTGGATTTCTCGCCATCGAATTTGGTGGGCGCCAAGGTTCCCGTCCGACTCAGTGCAAACGAGATCGGCGATGCCGACGACGATGCTCATAGCAGCGAGGGCGGGATCATTCACCGCAGGACTGGCAGTGGCCGTAGCTCGCTTGGAAGCAACCGGTACCCCAGCGGCTACCAGCGGCCACAAGGCACCATGGGAAGCAATAGCACCCCGCCTAATGAGAAGAGTGATCTGCCTGATGTCTCCGAGAACACCCCCGCCGAGATTCAAGAGGAGGAGAAGAGCCGATTGTCATCACTTGTCAAGGATGATGCTGCAACCACACATAGCAGCGAACAGGAAGACATGGTTGGTGATATGGAGGCTCCCAGTGCAGCCGTCGCATCAAGCCAGAAGATCCACAAGGCCGATGAGCTACGGCGACGAGGTAGTGTCGACGAGCGGACTACTTCCATGACCAATGTGCGACTCTTCGTGGCAAACCCTGATCTTAGTGATTAGGCTGCCTGTGACCTCTTTATTTGCCAATTACGCAGCGTCTCCATTAATCTGTTTGCTGATCCTTTCCCTTCTCCTCCTTTTTAATGATCTCCGTCCGTCGGAAGTGAGTTTCTATCTTTTTACTACCCTGCAACGCTGCACATAATACCTCCTCTCTTGACACTTCCTGTCAAACTGCACTCAGCAGGCCTTGATGGTTTGCTCAAGTGTTGCAACTTATGTCAATATCCCTGCCTCTCTGTTTTTTGTGGTGCTTGCAATCCCAGCTTCCCCTTGGTGGGAAATCAATGTGGGAATCATGGAAGGACTGGCTGCTTGGGCTGCTTGTCTGCTTGCACCTTTATCTTTGCATCCGGTATCCTCCCGGCTTTCATTACTCCCTATAGCTCCAATCTGATCAGAGATATTAATTGTAACTTTAATTTTCACCATGCAATTACACTTGTCGTATGTTGTGCTATCCTTTAGGGCTTCGATTCTCCAACGTATTCTACACTACAGAATGTATGTTCAAGGGTAAACCCTGGGAGTCAGGTGATTCAGGGAAGTCCAAAAGCCTCGTTTTCCATTTTTTTTTTTTTCCTTTTTCTTGAGAATGAGCATTCGTAGAATTACATACTCTCCCCAGATGGAAGGAATACCTATTATCCATGTTGAAGCACAATGTTTTACATAATATCACACGTGACGTACCTTATCGGACGCGGACGCGAGTTGATCGTAACGCGTTCGTTGTCAACTCCACTTCCCTTTCGAGAGGAGCACCACACCATTCACATTACGATTCACGCTCTTTCAAGTTTTCTTTGTGCAAGATTGTATCAGCGTGCTATTACAGATCCCGCCTAAAAGCCACATTCATTGTCAACGAGAGCATCAACTAGAAACCCAGGGTCACACGATCCGCACATGATCCACAACCCTGATGGACTCCCCGAAAATGAGCCTATCCCCATTACCGCCCCCGTCTTTTGCATCACCTGCCTCAAGTCCCCGCAAGCGATCAATTCATGAAGTGGATGGTGCTACATTTCCATCTGTCGGCCCTAAGCGAGCGTTAACGGCTTTCGGAGAGAATAACCAGGAAAACCATGACCCAACTTCGGGCCCACACAAAGATGCCACACAAATATGCGACAAGGACCTTTCTACTTCACAGTCGTCACCACAGGTGGTGATTCCTATCAAGACCTCCGATCAGTCCCCTGTTGCTCCAACCATTGAAACCACGCTTGTTCCGTCTAAACCTGTTGATGAACCAAATCAAGGGTCACCTGTAAAGTCTGACATGACCGTTGCCAAGAAGCGCAAGTTATCACCAGCTAGCAAGGAGACTAAGGAGAAGCAACGATTAGAAGAAAGAGCCAAGAAGGAAGAGGAGAAGCGCGTTAAGGAAGAGGAGAAGAAGAAGCGAGAGGCCGAGCGAGAAGAAGAAAAACGCCTCAAAGAAGAGGAGAAGAGGAAACGAGAGGCCGAGAGAGAAGAAAAGAAAAAGGCAAAGGAAGAGGAGAAGGCTGCCAAAGAGGTTGCAAAAGAAGATGAAAAGCGCCGAAAGGTAGAGGCCAAGCTTAAGAAGGAGAAGGTATGATATGCTGTAATATTATGATCTTCCTGGCACATGTCGTTAACATGAAAAACTTGGATACCAGGCGCAACCTAAGCTCAATTCATTCTTTGCCAAACCGCAAGTGCCTGCTTCCCCTGCAAAGAACATCTCCTCACCCAGGAAAGCTGCACCCGTCAACGATGCAATCACAACTTCTCAGCCACTGGAGTCTGACTACGCCAAAGCTTTTCCGGATTTCTTCTTACAGTCTCATACCATTGTTGCTCCTTTACATCGCTTCGAGCGTGACACGGACGCCTTGGCTCATGTTCGGCATACAATTGATGCTTCTCTAAATCTCCAGAACGGCACTTCTGAACACCAACCCTTCCGCCCCTCCGAAATCTTCAATCTCATTCCATATCAAAGACGTTGTGGCCGCCAAGCTCACTCCGTCAGAGAAATCTTGCAACGAATGCATACCCTTAGTGATGCGGCTGACCATCCGCATGTCGCATCGGCATCAGTTAAATCTGACTTGAGCCATATTCCCATGAAGTCGCTCAAGTTTGGCGAGGACGTTCGTCCGGCCTATCAGGGCACATTTACTCGTCCCATCCCAGAGCATTTGGCGCACAAGGTCGCTCGCAACCCGTACCGCCGCGGTCTACCGGAAACCAACTACGATTATGACTCGGAAGCCGAATGGGAAGAACCCGAAGAGGGCGAAGACTTGGATTCCGAGGAAGAGGAAGAAGCCAGCGATGAAGGCGAGGATGATATGGACGAATTCCTGGATGACGAGGATGACGCGTTGAAAGAGAACAAGCGGCGTCTGATCGTCGGCGAGCTTGAACCTATCTGCAGCGGAATACGCTGGGCAACGGATGGCGTCGACGAGGAATTCAAGGGATACCAGATGGAAGTAATCTCCGATACCGTCAAGTTCCCTATTGATCCGTTTTCCACCGCATACTGGCAGAAGCCTCGTGGGACCGACCAGGCGCCCAAGGGCCGGGTTACCCAGAAGCCGGGTGGTTCCCTCGACGTGTTCCGGGTGCAACCTGGTACTGATGCAGCCGCGGTTGGCAGTACACTCCCCCGCCGCCACCGGTTTTCAAAGCCAAGCGGCCATTCCCGCCTGAACAAATGTCAGAGTTTAAAGAAGTCGTTGAGGGCAGTGATTTGAGTAAGATCGGAGTGATTGAGATTCTTAAGAAGCGGTGCGTTTTAACCCGATATTCCTCTGATCTGCAGATCCCATACTAATCCGATGCAGGTTTCCCAAGGTCTCTAAAGACACCTTGAAGGCTACGCTGGATCAAGTTGCGGTCCGTGTGGGCCAAAAAGAGGTGGACAAGAAATGGGTCTGTCGGTGACCTCTGCATTGTGCTGTTTAACTTGCATTTACTATGGCTTGGCGTTTGGGTGATGATGTCCTGAAGCATTTCTATCATGTCTTTTTATGAGTAAGCAGAAAGGGAGACTTCCCCTCGGGGTTATTTTTGATTTGCTCCTTCCTCTCGTTTTTTCTTTCCTTCTCTTTCTTTTCTTCCGGAGACTAAATCTGCCTGCATCGGAGGTGGACGTCCCGGAGTTCTACTCTGGTCTGATCACAGATATACTGTGGCTACTTGTATGGCATGGACCAATGAAGAGATAGAATGATCAGTCTTCTTTGTTTTACTGCAGGATCAGAGTCATTCTGCATGTAGGACTTAGACTAGTGGGTATGGTTTACCGGTCTTTTCCAAGGTTCCAAGCGTTGGAGGCAAATGAAAACCCTACTCTCTTTCTCCACGACCCAGCTGAAAAAGAAAACAAAAACACTAATCTTAACACGATCTCAACTTTGTTCAAATCCCAGTTCGCCCGAAAATCCCCACCTTGGTAGAAGAAAGATACTACTGGTCACACTCCGATCCATGCGCGGACAACAGAAGCTGACTCCGCAGAACTGGCAAGGAGGGCGGCGAGCGAATCAAATCGCCAGTTGCGACTGTCCACCTCACTCCTGCATGCAGTGCCAACGCATCGTTGTCCGTGTACTCGGTACTCGTAACCAATGTACTGCACCCCTTACTGTAGTGTACACTTGCTCGTCTAGTACTGGTCTAGTAACTAGTACTCCATACTTGAACTTGAACTCCGAGACAACTCGTTCTGCAACTGACCGTTTCGAGTCGCGCTTCGTCTCGCGTTTGATTCTACACGCTTGTGATTGTATATTCTTTTCTATCTTCTAACCCCTCCTTTTTACTTCCTCCCCTTCTCCCACCTTGGTCGATTCTTATCCATCCTGGACCACTTTTCGTATCCCACCTCCGATCGGGTTCTCTCTGAACACCGCCCGGCTCTTTGCCCCGCGATAGAGCCATGCGATAAGGATCCGCTAACGGTGGCCAGGGGCATCGAGCGACAGTGCACTCCCTCTGGCGCGAGTCTGGACAAGATGGACCAAGAGGATCATTCGCCTTCTTTGCTAGCTTCACAAACCAGTGCGTCCTTTTTTTTCTACCCCCTCGCTCGTTATTCGTTGGGGTAAAGGTTTAGGGTCCTTAGTGGACGATTTACCCAACCCCCCGCTGTTTATTAGCGTTTCGGTGCCTGATTCGGTCCCAATCTAACCCCGACTTGTAGCACTGCGGATTCCCGATCTCCAGACTGATCCACCATGTGATCCGTCGCTTTGCGATGATCCCGCTTCAGTGCCGCTCCCTCCTTCTCCCCCAGCGTCGCCCTCTGCGACCATGTCCCCCTTGTTATCGCCTGTTCCCGAGGCGGAACAAAACGTGGGGCCAGGTGAGTTGGATGGCTCGGCCCGTTCCAGTCCCAGGTTGATGGCCGACATCGAATCTGAATATCCGCGCGATGACTATTATTCACCTGCGCCCGCGATGCCTGAGTCCAAGGAAGATATTCTCCAGGTATCCTTTGAGGATTTTGCCACCCGGTATCGCCAGAGCCAGCGGAAACAAACCCAGAGGAAGCGACTAGAACAGCGTCTGCGCGCGACCAAAGTATCTATCGGGGTTTTCGCGCGTATGCTTCGTATCGGAAATACTGTTCAGCGCGGCCTTGTTGAAGCTCTAAAACATGATGACAAGGCCAATTTCATTGCCTTATATCATATGTTTTATGAAATTCAGGAGTCATGTGTTCCAAACTCCCGTGAGGATCCTAATGACTCCCCGGACGACCGTGAACTACCTCCGGATGCCGATCTGGACCATTCCTCGGATTTCTTTCATCAATTAAGCCCCCAATCCCGGGTGGACTTGCTGGAGATTTTGCGACTGGTTCGCTCTGACTCACAGTTCTTGGTCGATCGTCTACGCAGTCTCACCTCAGCCCAGCTGGCTACATTTACCGCGCCAGCAACCGCATTGGATAGTGGCGACCCAGCCTTTCCTTCTTCCCGCCATCGGGCTCAGTACTCCTATAATCGATCTTCCTTCAAGGACCATGCGTATGCCTTTGAGAGAACGGATCCGCTATCCATCTTGCTTTCTAATGTTTACGCTGCGCCGTTGGAGCCCGAGACACCGGAAGCCCGATTGCGTGTGGATGTCTGGTCGTCCGTCTGTGCTCAACTAATCTCCCATGGAAGCAATAGATTTTATCCCCTGATCAACCAGATTCTTTCTTCCTGGGCCACTGCCAGTAACTGGAAGGCCCGTCCTAAATTTGAGCTTTACCTTATGGATATTTTACAAACCGGAGCCTTTCTCTTGGAACACACTGACACCTCTCCCGAGGCTTTGGATCCCTTACGAACGGATGCCGCCGAGGAGTTCTTTGCTTCTGCCATTAATGACCTATTTCGGGTGCTCGATGACCCAGATGGTGGCTTCCCTCGTGCAGTTCTGCAGTTTGCCAAGGCAGTCCTCAGGAAAATCGATAACCCTGATATTCGCAGCCGCTTCCTGGAGTACCTGTTCCTCCAATGGTTCTTCCCTAAATTCCTCTACGGCGCCTTGACTTACCCTGAGGTATGAGTTGTGATTTCTCTGGCGAGGAAGTGCTAACGATATTTCCGAATCACAGACGCACGGCTTGTTGCTCGATTTTCATATACGGAAGGATGCGCGCGACAAATTACTCAATCAAGTCGGCATGCGAGCATATTCTCAAGTTTTTGCCGTGTTGCGCTCCATGTGAGTCTTGCTTGTTGCACTGGAAATGCATATCGTCAAAATATATCGAAATGGATCTATCATACTGATTTATTTGAAGGCATCATTTCTCTGTATTGCGACCCTCGATCAAGGAGCGTGTGACCAGCATGCTTGGTAAATTCGAAAGCGTGGTCACATCCAAGACTTCGACAATTGAACTACTTCCACTCTCGTCGACCGATCCAAGCCGGCGCAACTCTTCATCGGCTTTCCTCTTGTTGTCCGCTACCGATGTGCTCACACTCTTAGACGCTCTTTTCCCACAAGCATTTTCCTCGTTCCATTCCAGCCCAGCTTCTACCGGCATCCCGTCCTGGTCTGCCAGTCTCTCTCCTACATATAAAACTAGGCTGGAGCCGTTTGCTGAACCTGGATTCTTCCGTCCGAACTGTGATACAAGCCCGCGACCCTCGTCTCAAAGTGGATCCATATTCTCCATGGAATCATCTATAGTCTCTGTCCCTGAAACTGGTCTTGGCCAGACCGCCGCTCGGATCCGCTTTGAGCTGACTGATCTGGATGAACCCAATGAGCGCGCGAGATTGGAACATCCATCTGACGAACACTGGACAAGCTTTTCCGTTTCTAACGATGGCCATAGTCTCACCTGGAGTTTACTTCCTGCCCGTGAGCCCGGATCATTGAGAGCAACTGCAGTTGAGAGTGATGATGATACTCAATCTACAAACCTAGGCCTGGAAGAAAATTATGAGGCGCTACAAACAGCAATCATCCGCCTCGTCAAGGAGAACCATTTTTACGACTCGGACGATTACGATCGGTCGTCAAAATCCACACACCCTGCCCCCATGTCGTTGAAACAACGCTTCAACCAGGCCATGGCTTCTACTACCAATATCTCTGACTTCGTTGGAGCCCACTATTGGTGGAATGCATCACGCCAGCTTCGACAAGGGCGATTGTCCGGCTCCTTGGATATTGCAGATGATTCGTGGATTCTCGGCCCAATGCACAATTCGTGCACTCGCTCCTTGAAAAAATCACGGACTGTCGTCGAGCGTTGCGAAACAGACTTTGTTTCCCTGGATCACAGTTTGCGTCGGCTGCAAACCCAGGTAAAGGATCTCATGACCACCATCTCTAAGGTACGAAACAAGATGTGGTACATGACTGATGTTAAGAATTCAATGAGATATGAGGAAGCCAGGCATGTGGCCATGGCTCTTAAGACAATGTCTGCGCTATCGTTGATTGATGCTCCTGAAGAGTCAAGATCCAGAGGAACGGCTCGATCATTGGGTGGCTCTCTATTCCAGAAACCCGAGCTACAAGTGATGAACATCATGAAAGCCCCAAGCAGCCAGGGTGGCCCCAAGAAACTATCCGATGAGCAAGTCGAACTGACGCGTAAATGGTTGTCTCACCACGGCATTGAAAACTTCTGCAAAGGTGAAGAGAGAATCCATCGATTTTGCTATGAAGTGCAGACTAGTATCAATCGTCTCGTGGGTGAAACTATGGCAGAGACACCTGTGCTGTGGGCCAGTGAACTCTTCCAGAGGGAACGGGCAAAGTACGAAAGCTACGGCACTCGCTCTTTCCCTGGATTGTCTATGCCAACTACACCACGCCCTTCAACGACGACGAGTGAAGATCCAATGCATAATACGCATCTTTATGGATCTAATTTCCCGATTCCTGACCCAGTGTCCAGGCTGCCCCAGGATATTCCATCTCTTGGTCGCAAAACGTCCATCCAAAGCTTAGTCTCAGACAAATGGCGACCACAACGGGACATGCCGTCCACCGATTACAGCTCTATTGGTGGCTCCCCGGGCCGTGCTGCTTCCACCTCGACTGGGGATACATTCAGCACCTTCTGGTCCGGTGCTCAACGCCACCCTGTGTATGCTACCAGTTCCTCGAGCATTTACTCGCGGCCCCCCTCCATGTTCAGCGAGACTGCAACTCGACAGCCTCGTCGTACTGAACGTAAAACCCAAGGGAAAACTGCATTCATGGACAACCTGCGCCAAACACTCACTAGTCTTCTGCTCAGTGACTTAGGCTCTCCAGTCTGGAGCTGCGGCAGCGAGACCGATGCTTGGTTCACAAATATCCTCGATCAGAGTCGGATTAGGACGCAAATGCGGAGAAGGGCTGCTGTACAGAAGTTTTACGCAGATTATGACGAGCGGTCACAACATCTTCGGGAGCGGCGACGGTCACTTGGGGTTCGACGGAGCAGGTCTCTCGATACCCCCAGTGTGCGCATGTGTGCCACTGCCAACCCCGACCCCTCCGCTATCAACGGGGAGTCTTCTCCGGAGGAGGACAACTCTGCTTTCTCATACAAACTAGTCTTCCACCGACTGATTGAGGTGTTCTCGCGACATGGCAACCCGTTTGTCAAACTTAATGCACTCCGAGACTTGCAGTCATTGGTTGTGGCCTCGCTAATATCATCTCAAGACGGAAATACTTCAACTGCTACCGGCCGGGAATTATCTACCGAATGTGAAAGGGGACGGAATAATGGCCCTGGGCCGCGCCAGAGGACATCGCGCCACAGCATCTCAGAGACTCAATTGCCCAAAGTGGCCCAAATGGACGCCGGACCTTCCGTCTCCTCTCCGCCAGAGTCTGTCACCTGTGGCTCACGACAATCAGCATTCTTCTCTCCGTCTGAAGATAAAATTGTGGCTACCCTCCGCGACCTCATTCTCGAAGTGAAGCCCAAGACACTGTTTCGGGATCTTCAATTCATCTCAGCGTTTGTCCCCGCGGACCAGCTAAGCAAAAGTGACCGAGGCACAGCTTTCCTGCAATTTGGCCTTGCCGCACTCAGTCTCAAGGATGAAGTTTGCCACAGTATGGTTGAAATTGCGGACCGTATCGTCTCTCAGGAGCTCATGCGCCGTCACCCTCTGCCAGGCGCAGACTTCTACCCACGCCCCGGTCATGCTATTGAAGACGCAGCGAGGATGTGGATCATCACCGCTCAAGAGGGCAACCCTGTTGCTCAGCGTGAACTCGCCATTCTCTACCTTACACATCCTGAGCTCTTACCTCGCGTCACGCTACCGCTCACTCGTCCCCGAGACACCTTCAAGGCCGAAATGATGTATATGCGTGGTAAAGACTCCAAATCAGACCCGCAGAGTATGTGTCTGGCACTGCACTGGATGCAGCTGTCTGCTAGTGGAGGTGACGTTCTCGCTCGCAACCGGCTTCGTGAGCGAGAGGAGTTTGAATCTATTGCATGATATGTCTTTCTTTTCTTCTTTCCTTCTTGGCGATCTCTTCCCTTTCTCCTCTTTATCTTATATTTTTTTCTTTCTTTTTTTTCTTCTGATTTTACTCCTATTTTGATTTATCTACACGAGGCGGGCCTTGGCTTTTGCATATGCAGATACCCCCCATTTTGGGCTTTATCTGGTGTTAGAGGAGATTATATTTGATTCTTACCGTCCCTTAAAGAGACCTTATTGGACATCTGGGTGTAGCATGGGCGTGTGATGGCGTTCCTGTATGCATTGAAAGACTGGGCGGTTTGTTGTCTTGGAATTATAGGAAACGTGAACTTTATTGAAGATTTAAGCATATAACGCGTGAATAAACCAAGAATCCGTTTCATTCACCTTACCTCGTAGAATTCCCTTACCCGGGCGTGTCTACTTGTTGATGTCATCTTGGAATTCGTAGGGAACCTGTCTCAGCGCAGCCAGTGCATTCAACGGACCTTGGAACGATACATATCCTGCTGTGCGATGGATCTCGGGGTATTGAGGAGAGATTGTATGCATAATGACGACAGATCAGTTGTTTATCCCCGCAAGTTATCTTCTCCGCAATAAAATGAGGGTGTGTGAGACTGCATGATGCAATTCAGGGTGGTCAGTCAGGGATTCCATTGGGTTAAGATAATTTCTTTATGCTTTGAACTTCTGATCTTGAAGTTAACTGGCTGGATAGATATACAACTCGGTCTATTCCTGCTGGATACTGCGCCTACTGGGTAGAATCTTGGAGATGATCTCTAATCGTCTACAAGCTGGAAACAAGAAAGTCTATTGTCAGTACAGTTATGGTGGTCAATGCAACCTCGGCGTACTGATGGGGGGAGTATATTTGTCATCAACCCAAGATCACAATGAGATGAGGCTATTTGCAACGCCGGATGTATAGGCTTATTCTAAGCCTCACTCCATATTTGATCAGCACAAATGCAAGAGGAGCGATACCTGGGCTAAGTTTCACTCGCCGCAAAGTAAAATTCTCGGTGCCCAACATTGTGACCAGCTTCATCAGTGAAGATGATGCCGAAGACGTCAGGCGCCGACGGGACCCGACGTCATCACGCCCCACGTGCCGCCCTTGCCCAACCTCGCAGCTGACTTGACTCTATTAAGAGGCTGTCGAGGCTTTCTTACCTTTTCTTATAACTCAAGGCTCTGTTTCAGATCCCACCAACCATATAACTCAGTGGCTTCGCGTACCTACATCGCACGACCTCCTTTCAGCTGAACCCTACCCGTCCATCTGACACAACGGCTGACAGCCCACTTCAACCTACCCCTCTAAAAGATCCACGTCCGCTTGAAAATCGGACGGCACTTTCATCCTTACTCCATTCAAAATGACGACCGCGCAACATATGCCTGCCAAGGCTTACAGCGCTGACAATGTGCATCACCGACCGAAAGGTGAGTTTGTTGTTCCAAGGAAGCTTGCCGCGGGGTCGTGTGAAGAAAACTTCTCTAACCACTACCGGCTTTTGCCGCGGTCATAGGAATTCTCAAGAACTCTCGATCATTTCAAAACGTTCCCATCGCTGAAATGGACAGGCCCGCTGTGCCACCGTCCATCGCCGAACCTGCCGACACCAAAGACTTGACCCTTCAGAATACACTGCAAAATGCTGGCCCGAGACGTCGGTCTTCGGCTTCCCAGACTGGCCAGGCGTCCCGCAGACAGTCCGGGGCTAGCATGGCTGATGATGACAATTCTCCCCGCTTGAAGTGGGATGAGGCGAACCTGTATTTGACGGAGCAGGAGCGCACAGCGAAGATGAAGATCGATGAGCCGAAGACACCGTATGCCCCGCACTACGACCCCGCCGAAGACGATGAGGAGATGCAGTTCGAGGATGCCAAGAATGCCTTGCTCGATGCTCAGGATATTGTGGTGGATGAGCTCGACAAGGGTAAGCCTGCGCACAGGAAGGGCGTCTCGGAGGACGAAATTCCGGATTTGGAGCTTGGCGAGCCGGAGGAGGCTCATGAGGTTGATAACTCTACCCAAGATCCGCGTGTTTATCGCCAACGGAGCATGAGCAACGAGTCCCAGAAGAGTGAAAAGCATGTTCACGTAGGTACTGGGGCTAACGGTGATGCCGTGCCCGGGGATGAGGGATCGATCACGACTGAAGAGGCAAAAGAGAAGCATCGTATCTTTGAAAACCAGCGGAAGAGACATTATGAGATGAGGAACATCAAAGATCTGCTTGCGTGAGTCCACCCCACGTACCTTATTCATACACCTCGTTCGATGTATCTGGTTCTAACTAGACATGTCTGATCCAGTCACCCCGAAGATTTGGATGAGATGGAAGAAGACGAGGATGAGGCCGAGCCTGGTCCCCCTCCCTCTGTTCCACAGATTCCCGAGCGCTTTCGCAATGGCCAATAGTCACATTTTACTCTTGAATTCGTGTACATTTATTTAATTGTCTCCCCTCTCGGTGATGCAAATGTCTTTCACGATCTTTGCTTTCTGCGTGTTCCAATCTTGAATATCCCCTAAGCGAATGATTTTTTTCTTTCTTATTTTTTCTTCTGGGTGTGGCCCCCGTCTCGTTCTGTTCAATTGGGCTGTTTCGGCTGCCCAATGATCTTTCCAGTTATTTAGAACTGTGGAGGTTCACTGATCCTATCTCTTCGGATACCCTCATTCTATATGAGGGTGCATCTGCAGTCTTGAATCTTGAACCCGATTTTTCAATTTTATATCTGGTGGTAGCCTAACTAAAGGTTCGTGGAATTAGAATGGTGGTATGAAATTGCAATTGGAGGTTGCGCCAATTGAGATCACTAGACTAATAAATCATAGATTTCTTGATCTAGAAAATATCTCTACAGAGCTAACTTTGAAACCTTCTAGATATTCTGTCCATAATTTCAAAATTACTCTGAGTCAATAATTGGAGCTATGGGGCTCATTAGACCACTCCTGGGCTAAAGATAATGAGTTAGTGGGTGGTAGTAATGAACCCCAGTCGTTGGCTGTTAGAAGTAAGATTAGGTCTATACGTATGCGATCTATAAATAAGTTAGAAGCTGCGAAAATCTACCGTTGATGTTAAGGGTAGTAGTCACGCCCAGATCTACGTACTAGGTGCATGGATCTACAGACACATCATAACTAGACTTCTATGCTATGTGTCAAAGCCCTATGAAACAGAAGTTGTAAACTACACAGAATACGAGATTTGAAAAGAAAGTTCAGGGGAAATGAATGCATGAAACAAACAAAGTTGATACATCGTGTTTAGACTGGGTCTAACAAGGCCTAGACTGGCATCGCTGATCAAATTTAGAATGCATTAAGCTATGTAACTTACTCTACATATTGTGTGCTGGCTTTTCCCTACCCAATTACACCATAAGAGAGATAACGTGGGCCTGTAATATGGCAGTTTATAGGCATCGGACTAAGTCTTGAGAGCCAAGGTGCCAATAATGTAAGTCGTGCAACCAGGATGACAGGTGGGGACATGTGTGGGCCTAAGATTGATAAGTGGTCCCGACTAATTATTGACAAGGCAGCTAAGCTAGCCCCTGCCGCATCTTTTTCTTCCCCCTGAGCTAATATTCGCTCTCCCTTTTCTTCCTCCATCTTTCATCCTTTCTTCCAAAACATCTATCTACCATGTCTGATCCGAAGCCTGCTGAACAAACCCCGGCTGCTGAGCCAGCGAAACTCGAGGAGATCGTGGGAAACACCGATAAGCCCTCGGAGACTCCCGCTGCCTCGGCGACAGAAAACATCAACACCGAGGAAGCTCCTAAGGAGGATGCGCCCGCTACAACTGAAGCCGCCAAGCCTGAAGATGAAGCTGCGCCCGCCGCTGCCACCACCGAGCCCGAGGCTAAGCCCGAGGAAAAGAAACCCGAATACCTGACCAGCATTCCCTCTCTCGGCCAGTTCTTCGAGCACCTCCCCTCTATTCTCAGCAAGACTGGCTACAGCGAGATGTGGGGTGTGCCCCTGAAGGATAGCGACGATATTCCCACGGTCAATGTGCTGATCAAGTTCCTGCGCGCCAACGAGGGCAACCTCTCCGCAGCCGAGGAGCAGCTGCGCAAGGCCCTGGAATGGCGCAAGCAGACCAACCCACTAGAGCTCATCCAGTCGGGCAAGTACAGCGCCAGCAAGTTCGGCGGTCTGGGATACCTGACAACCTACGAGCAAGATGGACGCCCGCTCGTGTTTACATGGAACATCTATGGCGCTGTCAAGGACATGAGCGCTACCTTCTCGGATTCTGACGAGTAAGTTTTACAACAACGCATTCATTCGGGATATATACGCTAACAATGAACAGATTTGTTAAGTGGCGCGCTGCCCTCATGGAGCTCGCCGTCCAGGACCTGAATATGAAGGATGCCACCACTGTCATCGACTACGATGGCGAGAAGGACCCTTACCAGATGATCCAAGTGCACGACTACATGAACGTCAAGTTTCTTCGCATGGACCCTGCTGTGCGCGCTGCGACCAAGAAGACTATCGATGTCTTCTCCACCGCTTACCCCGAGCTGCTGCGCGAGAAGTTCTTTGTCAACGTCCCGGCTATCATGGGTTGGATGTTCTCGGCCATGAAGCTCATTCTGAGCCGTAACACCACTCGCAAGTTCCATCCCATCTCTAACGGTGCCAACTTGGCTCGCGAGTTCCCTGCTTCGATCGCCAACCAGATTCCCACGGTGTATGGTGGAAAGGGCGTTGCATTGAAGGATGGGGCACGGTCGGTTCCGCTGACTGGGGACGAGCAGCCCAAAGAGGAGGCTAAGCCTGCAGAGCCTGCTACTGAGACTGCCGCCCCGGTAGCTGCTGCCCCTGTAGCTGCTGCCCCTGTAGCTGCTGCTCCTGTGGCTGCTGCTCCTGAGGCCGCGGCTCCTGAGACCGCTGCTGTCGAGACCGCTGCCAAGGCGGAGCCTGCGAAGGAAGAAGTCAAGGAGGAGGCTGCAGAGACCAAGGAAGCGTCAAAGACGACCACCGAGGGTAAAGCGGCCTCATAAATTGCCCCTAATATGGACACCAATCGATTGTGATACCCGGAGGAGCAGTGACCGACACTCTCCACTCCTGTTTTAGCCTTAGGAATTTATTATTTCCCTTTCTTCTAGACCAACAAGCCCTTGTGGCTCTAATAATACCATTTTTGTTCAATACTTTCGAAGTAAGAGTGCATAGAGCTGATGCCCACATTGGCGGTGTATCTTGGCAAAATAGAGCCGTGGGGGTACGCACTAAAACCAACCGCGCAACCATTCACTTTGTCATCGTAAGCTTCTCTCCTTCCATGGAATTCAATTGAAGATCGCGTGCCTCGTCGCATCGCATCACTAATATTTTACTTGAAATCATTTTAAGACCTGAAACACCCCAGAATGCGCCTCTTGGTTCATTGAACAAGTTCTAAGATCATTTTCACTTCCTTTACTCGCCCGACCCACTCTCATTCCTGCATCAACGAAACCCCAATCGGTTCATCGCACCAACGCTACGCGTAATATTGACCCATCATGTCTGTCTGGAACCCAGACAACATTAGGGACGTTGCTGAGTCGGCCGGTCTCACCAACCTTAGCCATGATGTGACCGAGAACCTCGCCCGCGACGTGGAATACCGAGTCGCGCAAGTCCTAGAGGAGGCACTCAAGGCCATGCGCCAAGGAAAGCGCACAATCTTGACAACTCAGGATATTTCCCTCGCTCTACGAAACCTGGATGTGGAACCCCTCTATGGATACGAATCCCTCCGTCCGTTGCGCTTCGGAGAAGCATCGCTGGGACCCGGTCAGCCGCTGTTCTATCTCGAAGACGAGGAGGTGGACTTTGAAAAATTGATTAATGCCCCATTGCCCAAAGTTCCCCGGGAGGTGTCATTCACAGGTTGGTCAAATCTAGCATTCCTTGCTCTCCGGCTTCGCTGACTTCTTTCATAGCTCATTGGCTCGCCGTGGAAGGCGTGCAGCCCTCCATCCCCCAGAATCCGACTGCCGCAGACTCTCGGAACCTCGAGCTGGTCTCGAAGGGACCGAATGCCAATTCTACATTAGCGGCGATGAGTGGGACGGGTGACGTGGCTGTGAAACCCTTGGTTAAGCATGTGCTGTCCAAAGAATTGCAGTTGTACTTTGAGAAGGTCTGCAGTGCGTTCTTGGATGAGACAAGTGAGGACTACCGGACCTCCGGATATGCCAGTCTACGGGAGGACCCTGGCCTGCATCAGCTAGTGCCATACTTTGTGCAGTTTATCGCCGAGAAGGTCACACACGGTCTGAAGGATATTTTTGTCCTGACGCAAGTTATGCACATGGCTGAGGCTCTGGTACAGAACCAATCTCTCTACGTTGACCCATATGTATGTATACTTGGACTCCTTTGATCTGATATGTCACTTGACGCTAACTGGATTCAGATTGCATCTCTAGTGCCTTCCATTTTGACTTGCCTGATAGGCCGACAGCTCGGTGGAGCTGCTGACGTGGCCGAGCAATGTGCTCTTCGGGACTTGGCTGCTTCGCTTCTCGGTCTCATTGCTAAGAAGTACTCGCACTCATCACACATGCTTAAGCCCCGCCTTGTCCGCTCGTGCCTGAAGAGCTTCCTGGATCCCTCCAAACCATTCGGTGCCCATTATGGTGCCGTAATTGGCATGCAAGCAGTAGGCGGTGCCGAGGTGATTCGCGTGCTCCTGATTCCCAATCTCAGTGAGTACTCGAAATTGCTTAGTGATGGCCTCGAGGACGCTGCTCGACGGCCCGCGGCTGAGCGGGTACTTAATGCATTGCTTGCAGTCCTGGCTTCTCTGCGGGATAGCCATGCATCTTTAGCAAACGGTCACCCCGATGTTGTCAGTGACGAGCTTCGTTCCCGTCTGATCGGCAAGGTGGGCGACCTCCTTGCAGCAAAAATTGCCGAGGCGAATGAGGTGCAGCTGGCCTATCTGCTTCTTGAATCATAAACCGGGATATCTTGCATTTTCACGTACTCTGACTGATGGGAATGGAGAGGGGCAACCATTTTATGGCGTTATGGAGGAGTTTGGAATAGTGGATTAATTTTCCAGTAGCTTTTCTGAGATGTATATCTTTAAATCAATATGGATAATATTTCCCCCTGAATACGTAATGCCCCATCTCACCATCTAGTTAGTCTACGTAGAGCCCTGTCGATCACGGGAGACCCCCAGCTTACCTAATGCGGGAAAGTCAAATTCTGAATTTAGATTTCTGCCTGAATCTACCGCCCGTGTGCCCAGACTTTGGCAGATTTTGATCATTTTGGTTCATTTCATTTTGAATTTCAGCAACACACTATTCAGGTCTCGTCCTAGACGACCTTGTGCTGCAATTTAAGTCTCATTTACTGGTGTGTAACCCTCTTGTTGTTCCAATTCCGGGACATTTCGGACGTGTTGAATACCAAGGAACTAACAGGGCTCGTTCCCTGATGTCAGACAGATTTTTGCTCCGCGCCCCACGCAGACACGGGCCCACAGACAAAATCGCGCATTTACCAACCAAACCACATCTTTTACACCGAACTTTTTTACCAGCTTGTCCATCCCCCTCCTTCTGAGGTTCGAAGAGTAAACACTTTTCTTGTGTTGACTACTGCTTTCCCCAAAGAGACAAAACTCTCTTCTCACTGTGACATTGACAATCTCCTCTTGGGCACTCGTTGGGCTTCTGAATCTTCGATTTGCCTATTCTGCCCCGCTGATGTTGACGATTGTGGCCTCGCGCGACATCGTGCAATTTTAAGCTGAATTTCCTCTCCTGCCTTCCATGAGCCCAAAGGATCTTCTGCGATTTCTCTCTAAGCCTGCTAAGTGAGTTTTTTTTTTTTTTTTTTTTCCCCCTGCATTTTCCCCTCATTACCGAGACCCAATCATATAATAGTACCTATTATGAACTCGATAAGAAAAAGCAATTGCACTTGAGCATTGGTCTTCGTGTCTTTTATTTTCCCGAGCTTCTTGATTGCATCCTTCTCTATGGAATTGTACAACAATCTCGAAACATCTACTGACTTTCAATTGTTCTCCAGGCCTCGATAACGCGACTCACACCCACAACCCCCTCAATAACTTTACCATAAAGCAGATACACTCGTCTGCTAGACCCGATACTTTGATCGGTATCGGTATCTTCAGTACGAGGGTACTCGACTGACAGTCAACATTCCTTGCACCATCTTCTTTCTCGCCTTCGCCTTCCTGCCCCCTTAGCACCCCTTTGGGTCTATAGGGTTCCTTCACTGCCTGGTCTGACCAGCTAAATTTCGTCCCAAGGGCCTTCTCTTCTCAGACGGGCATTGCCCCCTGTTCGTCTGGGTAAGTAGACAGTGCTTCTATAGCCTTTTTGTCTTCATTCCTCTGTTCGGGTGATTCTACGTCACCCGTTATCTTCTATACCCCATTCTACACAAGTCTACCAGCCTCGGCTGCATCAATTCTCCGGAGATGGTTTACGTCGGCATTCCCCAGAATTACACCCAGTCTCCGTCTTCGTTTGCTGGGACACCCGCTTTGACCATCAATTATGAGGCCACTCAGGATCTCGACTCTTCCAACGCCTTTGAAGGTATGTAAAAGCTGCTACCCCGGTATTATTCTTTGTTTTCAATCATATATTAACCTCTACGGGTAGGCCCTGAGAAACTTCTAGAAGTGTGGTTCGCCCCATCCGCCAATGCGCTCGGTACTGCAGGCCCGGAGGGCCTGAAGAAGGTGCCTGGCGAGATCTGGAAGGATATGCTCGACCTGGTCAATTGTCAGGTTCTTTCTGTGGTGTCGTCCGATGATGTTGATGCCTACCTGCTTTCTGAATCCAGCATGTTTGTCTGGCCACACAAGTTGATTCTCAAGACTTGTGGAACTACCACACTGCTGTCTGGTCTCCCTCGCATTCTTGAGATTGCTGCCTTATTTGCGGGATTCCCACGTGCCACCGCACCACCTTCTCGGGGCATCACAGTCGCTGCGACTCCCTACCGTGTTTTCTACAGCCGTAAAAACTACCTGTTCCCCGATCGTCAGCGTGGCCCTCATCGCAGCTGGCGTGATGAGGTCCGTAACATGGACAAACTGTTCCTCAACGGAAGCGCCTACATGATTGGCAAGATGAACGGCGAGCACTGGTACCTGTACCTGACTGAGCCTCACACCATGCTCACACCCCCGGCTAGCCCTACGGAGGAAAGCTTCAAAGAGACCGAGACCAAGGTTCTCAGATTCCCTCATGAGGCTCCGATCGCCAGTTGCGAGGAGGATGATGAGACTCTGGAGATATTGATGACTGATCTGCAGGAGGACAATGCAAAGCAGTTCTATCTGGACAACGCTGCCGCTGTGGCCGCCAAGAACTACCGCAACTATGACAAGGACGAGGGCATTGAGCACGTTGATGTCTTCAGCAATGGCTCTGATCTTGATGATCCTGAGGTGCAGGGTGACCGCGTTCTGCCAGCCGAGCTGACCACCGAGGGTCACGCACTGGGTGCCGTTGTCTCTGAGTCCTGTGGTCTTTCGGATATCTATCCCAAGAGCAAGTTCCCAGATGCTCGCATTGACGCGTACCTCTTCACACCCTGTGGTTTCTCAGCCAACGGTGTCGTTCCTGCTCCAGACAGCAAGGCCCCGACTCACTATTTCACTGTGCATGTGACACCGGAGCCTCACTGCTCCTATGCATCCTTCGAGGCCAATGTCCCGCACTCGCAAAACGGCAAGACCACCTCCGACATCATTCAGCAGGTTGTGAACATCTTCAAGCCAGGCCGTTTCAGCATCACCTTGTTCGAGACTAAGCCTAGTGTTGATGACATTGAAGCCGATGTCAGTGGCTTCCATGAGGTGCACTCGAAGCAACAGGCTTTGCGCCATAACCCCAAGAACGAGCATGTTGAGGGTTACCGTCGTGTAGACCGCATTGTTCACGACCTGAACGGATACGACCTTGTGTTCCGCTACTACGAGAGCAACGACTGGAAAGGGGGGGCACCCCGGATTGGTGAGAAGATGTAGATCAGCTTATCTTCTCCCGTCCGTTACTTCCCGTCGATCTGCTCTCGTAGCTATGCCATGCATGGGGACGTTGCACCGTCGGGTCTGTTTTCTTTTTTTCTGTTCGATGTTGGTTTGCTTTTTATTTGTCCTCCAATTCATTTCTTAGCTCGCGATGTCTTTTCATAGTACACAGCGTTGCATATATATGCATTAAGCGCCTCGGTCATTTTCTGTGTCTATGTTCTGCAGCGATGCTCTTTTAGTTCCTGTCACTACGCTATCTGTTCCTCACGTGTTTCAATGAATCATTACCTATGGTCCATACCTTATAGTCTCTCCGATAACCGTAAATACGCCCATCCCTGGAGATCTTGTTATGCGTGGTTTTATCTCGGCATTAAAGGCCGACTTAAGTACTATTTGCAATACACAAGTAATCCCAAGCAAGCTAGTCCGGCAGAAATCCAAGCCATTGCACTTCTCACCAGGATAGTCTAGTCTCATCCATCTTCGTAAAGCAAGTTCATCTCAATACGAGAGCTTTGCGAGCAACCCTCGCAGGCATCCAACTTACCTACCTTCGCTTCAACCCAGAGGTTGCTATGAGCCGAAGTTTCCTCATTCCATTTTGCTTGCGCGTCCATCTTGCAAAAACCCTCGCATGATGCAATGCGTCGTTAAATCGCAAAAGCCGTTCCTAACGGGTGGGGACAGCAACCTTTTCTCAATATAACAGAATATATCTCCTAGCAAGCTTCGTCAGCAAGCTTCGTCAGCAAGCTTCGTTAGCAAGCTTCGTTCCAGTCTAGGGTTATCTGCGCTTTTCATTTTGCGATGAAGCCACGCGCTGCTGAAACCCATGAATTCCTCGAGGCACTTCAAGTATTCATAACGGCGGGGTCGGTCCACTGCAGTTCCAGAAGCTGGTCGTAAATGCCTTTGGGAACAGGTTGAAGACTGGCAAGATGTTTTGATGGAGGTGCGAGAATGGGCATGTTAGCCTTGGTGTAGCCTGTGAATAAAAAGGACAAGTCGATGGCATGAATTTGAAATTCTGGAGTCATTGGAATGTTTTCTTTGCTGAGGTTGAAAGGGCGAGAGGAAGAGACTTGTATTGTGGAAGAGAGAATGTAGGGACTAATAATGAGGCCGTTGATTACCTTGGTCTCAACCCCTCTTTCATCCCTCTCATTCTGATTTCACGACTTGCCAAACCCTCACATGGATATCCTAGGTGAGACCCCCACGCTATGACTATAACTTGGTATTTCTAACAGCTTTGAACATCTAGTCGGGGGAGCAATACCCGAGCAGTTTCTCCGTTCATTGCGGGAGAACCCCGCAACCCCAGACTTGCAAATGGCTTGGAAGGCCCACCACATTACCGAGGCGAGATCGCCAACGTTGTTACACTTTTCTGATTTCCTTGGCAACCAGTAGCATCAGCAGAATTCCTCACTCTTTGACTTGGCTCTGGGGCTTTGCCATGGAGGAGTCTCAATCATTGGCGGATTCGAAACTCCGCCGGTAGCTGGCTGGCGATGAAGGTATGGCCTAATGACTCGACCAGCTATAAACGATCGGCAAACTCGGGGTGTTGATCGCCCGTTCTTGAGCATATGCATCTGGTCGTTTATTATGCTTGTCCCCCACGTATAAAAACAACGCAACGACTCATTTGCATGCTTTCTTAAACATCAGAGCTCCGAAGCCTGGTCAGAACCATTAAAGATGAGGGCTTCGTTCCTGCTCGCCCTTTCGGGATGGGCTGCTATTTCATCGGCGGCCCTCCATGTTGCGCAGAATGAGACCTATATCACGCTCGCCAACGACCGCCTTACTGCCGTTCTTCAGAAGAGTGTTGGTCAGATCGTTGATCTCTCTCTAGATGGCCAAGATCTATTGGGCCCCAAATCCGGGTCTACAGGTATCGGCCCATATCTTGATTGCTATTGCATTCCCTCGGGCTTTTACACTGCTGGAGCCACAACCCCAAGCATGGAAGTTGTCCAGGGCACAGATTCAACAGGAACAAAATATGGAGGCATGATTCTGACTGATACCTATACACCAACGGGCCAACAATTCCAACAATACTGGTTTTTGCGGGATGGTGAGACTGGTTTGCACATGTTCAGTCGATTGACCTACCACAACGAGACCACCCCTTATCTGCGCAATCTCCAAGAGTTCCGAACTTTGTTTCGTCCAAACAGTGATCTGTGGACACATCTGACATCTAGCGAGATTCAGACTGCTCCTTTGCCAAGTAAGGATGCGATTGCGAATGAAATTGTGGTCCAAGATGCGACGTGGACATTTAACAACACACCAACCGACGCGTACTACACTCAATTCTCAGACTATTTTACCAAATATACTTTCTCCAACCGTATGAATGGCCCTCTACCTCCTGACATTGAGTCTCATATTGACCAAGTCATTGTAATTAGAATGGAGAAACAACAGTGTTCACGGTATGTATGCTGATGGAAGCACGTCCACCGGGGCAACTTATGGTGCATGGCTGGTGATGAACACCAAGGTCAGTCCGATTGCCCAAAAATTTAAGCTTTAACGTTTCCTGACAAAAGTTCATAGGATACATATTATGGTGTAAGTCTGTTTTTCGTTTATAGCGATGGAATTCAAAGGCTGATATGGTCCATTCTAGGGTCCACTTCATTCCGACTTGACAGTCGATGGTATCGTTTATAACTACATCGTCTCCAATCATCATGGAGAGGGCACGCCGAACATCACGAACGGATTTGATCGAACATTCGGTCCCCAGTATTATCTTTTCAATGGTGGCAAGGACTCTTCAGCATCTCTGGAAGATCTGCGATCCGAAGCAGAGGAATTGGCAAATCCACACTGGAACGCCGCATTCTACGACTCAATCGCCAAGCATGTGGTCGGATATGCCCCTTCCAGCCAACGAGGCAGTGTGAAAGGAACCGTGAAGCTTCCCAAAGGCGCTACCCGCCCAATTGCCATTCTCACAGTTGACGGACAATATTTCCAAGATAACAGCGTAGTGCCAAGCTCCTATCAATACTGGACCGATATTAACAAAGATGGAAGCTTCAGCATTGACCGAGTCAAAGAAGGGAAATACCGGCTCACGATTTACGCGGAAGGTATCTTTGGAGACTTTATTCGGGATGGAATCATCATTCGCGCAGGAAAACAGACATCAGTCCGCGATAAATGGGAGCCAGAGTCCGCAGGAACTGAGATCTGGAGAATTGGAATCCCAGACAAGTCATCTGGAGAGTTCCGACGAGGCAGTGCGAGAGATCCTACCCATCCACTCCACCCACCTGAGTACCTTATCTATTGGGGAGCGTATGACTGGCGTGCCGACTTCCCGAATGGTATCAATTACACCATCGGAACGAGTGATCCGGCCACAGACCTAAGTACTGTGCACTGGTCAGTCTTTGGTCCCACGGCTGGAGATTCATACGTCGAGTACGACACAACCTACGACTGGGACATCCACTTCACACTTACCTCGAAACAGCTAAAAAAGCGCAAGACCGGCACCTTGACACTACAGCTCGCAGCTGTGAAGACCGCGTCGGGTAATACTGACGTGTATAGCTCGACAGAGCCATATACGAATTTATCTTTGGAGAGTTATATTAATGACCAGTCGGATCCTCTTACTATGGTTATTGGATTCAATCAGTCGAGTAGTTGTATTGTACGCTCGGCTGTGAGCTGTTATCAGGTTGGGTCGAAAATGGAGTTCCCTGCGAATTGGCTGCATGTGGGAGATAATGTTCTCCGACTGCATTTGCCTTATAATGCGACTGATACAGAGACTGCCATTCTTCCGGCAAGTGTCTATGTGCAATATGATGCAATCCGGTTGGAGCTACAGTGAAACACTGGGAAGAAATGAAAACCCGATAGTAGGGCCGCTGCCTAGATTAGGTGAAGACAAGAGTCGGCGGGGGAATGATGACTTGAAGTTTTAAAATTGATCCCAAGTTGAAAGAATTGTTTTCCTATTACGTTGAGCGGTTCTTTCTCATGCCATAAGAGATACCTTGAGCGCGACTCTGGAGCAAACATTTCCTATGGACGTATTGTAGTGAAAGAGTGGGCAAGAACGTGAAGAAATGACTCACGACAAAATCACACAGAAGACGCGCGTGTCTGGTATGTGACCCCTTCGATTTGCTTTCGTGCGAGTTTGAGATACTTTTGTTTCCCTATCATTTCTCCCTTAGGTCGATCGACTACATCTTACCTTACGATGAGGAATTTCTTCTTTTACCTTATCTAAGCAAGGCTAGGTCTCCAATCCACCGTCAACTAGCATTGCGGTGTACACGAACTTTTAAGACTGTACAATATATCTACTTGGACAAATCCCACCAGGGACTCTATAATACCACATGCAACTTTTCCCCAAATGCAAAAGATCCCGGAAAATCCCCAAACAACAAATTTCCAAGCAGGACTCAATTCCAGACCCGCCGATCTAAAGAGATTGCTTTCCTCGCGTCTCAATTGGCAAGAAGACCATTGCGATAAAAGCAGCGAGGATAAGCGCCCCAGAGACGTAGATGGGCGTGACAGGGTCAACACTGGCGTAGATGCCAATAATAGGGGCCATCAAACCAGCAATCCGGTTCAAGCAACTAGCAATACCAGTTCCGGTACCACGGTTCGGGGCCGGGAAGATCTCGGGCGTGTAAGCATAGAGAACACCGTACATGGCCATCTGGAAGAAGGATTCCAGTGAAGAACAGACGAGTTGAACATTAGGGTCCTTGGATGCCGTGAAGCAAAAGAGCAGGACACCCGTGATAACGGTCGAGCCTGCCATCGTGCCTTTCCGACCAATGTAAGGGACATCGACCAAATACCACGCAACAAGGGGACCTGGGATTCCACAGACGGCCGTGATGGCGTAGTTACGGTAGGTCGTGTAGGTGGAAGAGTTGGCGCTTAGGTATTGCGGCAAGAAGGCGTTGAATAGTGTATAGCCGAGTCCGATGCAAGTCCAACAGAACCAGATTAACACAGCTATTTGAGGTGATTAGTTTGAGACGTGATGAGTAAGTGGAATTTATGTGTCATACTCGAAATGCCAAGTCGCTTGGTTGCGAACAGCGGAGCGACTTGCTGCATGGAGAATCTTTCCAGTGACCGCTTGATGACTTCTCCATAGGGTAAAGACTGCTTCTCATTTTGCTCGGCGTCACCACCAATTTCGTTCAAGATCTCCTCGGTAAGCCAGGTGGTAGTCTTGTTCTTGTAAGCGATTCCCTGGACGGCGGCGACAGCCTCGTCTTGACGGCCACGAGATACCAAGAACTTGGGGGACTCGTAAAGGGTGAAAAGGAGAAACCGGCAAAGGAACATGGCAAAGGTAATAGCACCCAGCGACAGAACCAAGTATCTCCAACCCCAGTTGTCTGCTTTGGTACAAGTGGCAGCAGTTGCGCAAGAGAAGTTGGGGATGAAAGCCCAGGCGAGCATGCTGTGACAAAATCAGTCCTTTTATCAATGGCTATCATATTGGCTGGAACGCACCTGGAAATCAAAGTGCCAACCGACCACCAGGTAGCCAGGCCACTCAGGATGCTGGCCGAGTTTGGTGGTAGACACTCGAGGAAGACTGCAGCGTCAACCGGGAGATTTCCGCCGACACCTAGACCAAGACAGGCATACAACGCACAAACGCTGAAGAGGGTGTCAGTGCGATCATATGCATTCCGGGTTCTGAAGCAACCTACCCAATCCAATTGGGTGCACCGCCTGCAGCCAGACCAAATGCACCACAGATACACAGTGTCATGTTGAAGGCAGGGCGTCGACCAATGGCATCTGACGCAATACCCCAGAAAGAAGCACCGATGATCAGACCAACAAAGAGGGCACATGTTGCAAATCGAGAATGGCTTTCAGAAATACCAAATTCATTGGCAATCGGGGTCAGTGTCAAGGCAACTCCCTATATGAAATTAGCTATTACCTTAAACCTGGTAACTGCCTTTCATACCTGCAACCACAGGCTATATCGAAGGTTAATTAGTAATGCTCATTTTGTACAACTCAAGTAATGTTTGCTTACTTGTCAGCGATCCAGCCGAATCCACACAGGACAAACAGGCCCCATTGATAGCGACCCATGCCAATATCCTGAATCGCTCTGTTGATGACCTTTGCTTTACCTATCGACAGTCCACATATTAACTTGCATGCACGGCCAGGGTTACAGAGAAGAGCAAATTGCTGTTGCATCGACCGTATTTAAGTACTGAGCATCTTGAACTTACGGTCATAGGCGGTATTGTGACCTGATGCAGCCGTCTCTGCGAGAATTTCAGCTCGAAGGACCTCTAGAGTCAGTGTAGTATGTCCATGGCCGGCAGTGGCACCCTTTTCCTGTAAAGATGCCGCATCCTGGGTCGTGTCGGAGTCATTCGCATCGGTTTTGTTTTGCAATGGGGCACTCTCAAGAGGCACAACCACCTCTGGGAATTGTCGCCGGTCTCGGTTAGCCAGGATGTCTCTCCAATTAGTGCTTGGCATGGTGAATGGCTTTTAAGTTGCAGCGGGACAGTGGTCGGTATAGAGTCGCGTGGCAAAAATTACCGGTTGTCGCAAAGGAAATAGGAATGCTTTTCGAATAGTTGACGGGGCTGTATGCTTGCGTAGGGTATGTATATACTTCGCGTGGGCAAATTGGCGCAATGGAAATGGCGGATTTCAGGTGCACTGGATAATCGAATATGTCGCGCAATGGATAATCTGGTGAGTCGCAAGGCAAAACGATAGAATCGAGGTCGCAGATGGAATCAAGATGGCAACTATTCGGCTGCTACTTTCAGTCTCAAAAGCTTGTGTGGTCGTCGGAAGGTAGTAATTTCTTTGCTTTTTCTCGAAGCTATCCAACAGTAGGCGTGAAGAACGATTTCGAGATCTGTCAGAAGTCAAAAATAGAGAGCAATGGAGCGCCAAAAGTCGAGCCGGGTGGAAGTTGCTTTTCCCAGACGAGACCCACGATGAGCGGAATTGGGAAATGGGGTAGTGGTGCGATGGAAACAAGGCACCGGTCTTTTATTTGTATCCCGTCCACGGCCCATGTTAAAGGGCGAAAATATTTCATGCTCCACATCGGAATAGTGACTTCATATTGGTGAGTGGTTGAGGGTTTTAAAAGTGGTACCTTTATATGGTATTGGCCAACCAGGAACGCCCGCAACCGTGCGTCCTTGAGAGCCAAGCCATGGCTTCCCGGCTTTGGCCCATCTCCACCGGATCGGCCCCACCCCAATGCCCCGAGTCGGCAATAGGAAATGCCAACACGGATGCGAACCAGGGAAGTTTTCAAGTCAGACAGATGTAGTCAAGTCTGTTGACTATCAGGGTGCTCCAAAGACGCTGGGGGTAATTGATTTTACAAATGAAATTTCTTTGACGTTACTTAAGAATTTACAGTTAGTGGTTCAGAGAAATGTCTGCTGACACATGCATGAGGTTGGCTCGTTAAACCTTCCGATCTAGGATGTTTACATAATGCATTTCGGCACCTTCCGATCACCGGATAAGTTTCATAAAAACTCCCCAGTTGTAGTCCCAATCTCGCAAGCCATTTCAATAGAGTTCAAGTGGGGCCGGTGACATGTGGAGCTCGGCATGAGGCTTGCAACCGATCCACGGACATTTTCTATCCCGATTTCCAGGCAACATACCAGGAAGTCATACATAAAGCGAGAACCTCCACCATAGAATTGCGAAGCCTTCAAATTAACCACTCAAGCACAATATCCTCATTATTTCACAATATCTACTTAGCTTCTGAATGATGCTTTCCGATGAAACTACCTTGGTGGTATGTTTTTACTTCGTATATTCTTGGAAGACTATTCCTTGTTTATATGGCTGACTATTGTGTTGATTGTTTTGAACGGCGCGGTGTTACTTCTTTGTTACTGATTTGACATAATACATATACTGATCAAGACTGGGCTCGTTAACTGTCTATTCAATTGTCTACGGCAGCTCTTGCATTGCATGTATTGGAAATGACATGAATTCGTATATTTAGAGAGAAGAGAAATTCTAATGAACAATATAATCCAACAACTCCATCCTCTGATCCAACCTCACGCCTGCTCTGCCACTAATTGGTTCTCATCCTTCTCCTTCGCCTCCTTCCCCTTCTTCACACTCCTCCATCCAACTCCCCATGCGAAGACAAACTGCGCACAGGACAGTGCGGTATTCAAATAGAAAACTTGATCTATACTCTTCGAATAAGCCACCAACACTGCCGGCAGATCCTGCGCCGACACCACTTGGCGGAATCCGGTCGCCCCGGCCTGAATGACTGCTTCGGCATTTACAGAGGGGGCGTACTCGGGGATATTCGTCCTAAGGCCCTGGGAGAATATAACTTCCGCCACGGCTAGGAAGATGGAACCACCAAAGGTCTGGGCACAGGTCATCATGGCCATGGCAGTGGAGACATCATCACCTTTGACCGCGTTTTGGATGGCGATCATGGGCTGGATAGGTATTAGTATATTGAAGAAGGAGGGCGAGGAATGCAAAACTCACTACTTGGGATATGGCACCTCGACCGAATCCTACTAGTGACTCGTAGCCGGCCCAGGGGGGCACCGAGGTAGTGGGTGACAGGGTTGAGAGGAGGCCGTTACCCACTGCATCTAGAATAGCCCCGAGAACTCCCCAAGGAAGATAGTAACCTAGCTTTGAGGCTATCGATACTGATTAGCTTTATCAAAGACAAGAAAAAATGGGAGACACTCACTCAACACCCCAGACGCCACGGCCATGACCAACTGGCATAGGATGTTTGGCAACAAGTTGACACCGCTTACCCAGGCGGACTTGCCCCGAACGGACTGGAAGTAGATAGGCAGGTAGTATGAGAGAGTCATCGTAAGCCCAAAGGTCATTATCGATAGTAGACTACTGGATAAGACAATCTGGTCGCAGACTAAATGACCCGGAATCATTGCCTCGATGCCCATATGCCGTTCCCACAAGGCAAAGACCACGAAATTCGCGACTGACCCGCAGAACAGGCCAATGACTGTCGCACTATTCCATGAATAGCCATTCCCACCATACTGTAGCGCTAGAAGAAGCATGATCGAGGCCGGAGCGAACAGCACAAACCCAATTAGGTCGAATTTCTGCAGGAAGACCGAACGCAGGTTCTCGCGGGCGGGTTGTTTTGGCTTTTGGTCCGGGATGCGTGTGAAGAGGAGAAGGGCACCAACCAATGCCCCGATGGGGAGGTTCATATAGAAGCCTAAAACAGGTTCAGTAGTGCCTTTTGAGGGGATAATATCATCATATATTGCGACACTTACACCATCGCCAAGTCGAGTGAGTCGTAAATGCACCACCAACCAGAGGCCCTCCAACCAAGCCCAGTTGGCCAACTGCGAGAAATGTCAGCCCTGCGGAAACATCAATTTTTGGCGAGCACCTTACCCCCCATAATGATCCCAATCATCGCCGGTCTCTTCTTGATCGGCACTGCACCGGCCAGGATATTCAACGCCCCGTTCAGCATGCCCGATGATCCCATTCCTGCAATCGCGCGGCCGACGATGAGCATTTTGGAAGAGTTGGCTACCCCACAAATCAAGGAGCCCACTTCGAATATGCTGAAAAAAGAGAGGAATGTCCACTTCGATGAGAAGTAAGTGTAGAATTTCCCGGTCAGCGGCTGGAGAGCGGCACTAGAGAGTGAGTGATAGCTGTCGTTAGCCATTTTGCATTTTACATTTCTCTAGATTGCATTGCATTCCACCATACCTGGAGATCGTATACGCACTCCCATACCATGCAACATCATTGAGTGAGTTAAATTGATTGGTGATTTTTGGAATGGCCTGGCCACGTCAGTCCAAAATTCCATCTCTCCAGCATTTGAATGGTGGCCATACCGTCGAAACAATCGACATATCCAACAACATCAAAAACACGACAAGCGTGATACCTGCAATCACCATCACCAGTGCCCTTCCCTCCACCCATTGGGGCTCGTACTCGTCGCTTTCATTGGGGTTCTCTGCATCTATCTCATGGTCCCAGGGGGTGGGTTCGGATTTCAGAAGACGTGGCTGCCTGTCTTCGCTCATGTTGGCGGCGTGATGACGCTTGAATGGCCGTTATCCCTCCTCATATATGCTGGAAATCTTACGGGCTGAAAGTCCGTTAGAATTCCAATTGGTATTGAATCGAACGCGGTAGATCAATTGAAGGAAGTGGACTTTGAATTGTTTAAGTATGGGACGGGGAACACGGCGTTGGATGCTGCCATCCCCGAACGCCGCTCCTCCTGTGCCAACTCGCCGGTTGGACAAAGATACCGTTGGCTATAGACTGATTTTTAATTTCATGAAATTCGATTTTGTAAGGATGGTTCGAGGACGTATCTCCCCACTATTACATTTGAATATCAATTGATATAGTCTGACAGAGTATACCACCTTGTGCCAACACTTTAGTAGAATGCCTTAGATAGTACCTTCAAGTTCACAATGAACTAACCAACTATAAAGGAGTTCAAAGATTCAGTGGGAAATCAATGGAATCCTAGCTTAATCCAGAAACAAAAAATAATCATCTCAATAAACATCGACCAGCATTATATGAATCCCCCGGTCCCAACCCCTTCCGTCAACCACGCCATCTCTGACCAGTTCATAAAGCTATCTAGATCACCCATCTCCATGCTTGACAAGAAAGGTTCTCCTGAGCTTTGGTCGGCTACCACCTCCGGGAACTCTGGTAAACGTACTGCCCACTCACTCCGAAGCTTCTGCATCATCATCCCCAATTTACTGAACGGATCGCCATACGCCCCCTCACTGCGCATCCCAACCGCATCGGCCACCTGGCTCATGCGCGTGGCAATTTGCTCTGCAATGACAAGTATGTCCACCACGCCTTTCACCGCGCTCTTGTCCCATCCCGGGTAGTCTAAGGTCGAGAGGCGGAAGAGGGTTACCAAGCAGTGCGACACCTGTGTAAGATAAGGGAGCGCCAGGGACGTGTATCCAGCCGGAGGAATTGTGAAAAATAGATCAAAAAACTGTTTCACCACGTGGAGACAGGTGCAGAGGTGATCAAGTCGCTGGGGGCTGAATTCCTCGTCTGCAAGGGGCTTTACTAGGGCGACCTCATAAAGACTAAGCTCAGTGTCGTATAAATGAAAGAGAATGGGTTCTAAGACCGATCAAGTAAGTAGCTGTAAACGGAATATCTTCAATTGCCAGGGAATCTGCATACTGTTGTCAGCCAGTTGAATGGGAATCTCAGCCTTGATCGTCTCCAACCGTGACTGGAGTGCCTTGAGATGAAAGGCGGCTAGGGTTTGCGCCGCATTGAGGCCATACAAGCCCTCACTCCAGGGACCTTGAAAGATCTGGTCCGCGAGAAGTCGGGTGCGCGTGAACTGGACTAGCACCCCATCACCAGACGATTCTTCACTGTGCACTAAGATATCAAGACATTCCTTCATATGCGGGGTCCATCGCAGTGGATCCATTCGACCCAGGAACTGCGCGATTCTGTACCAGGTCTGTCAATTCGATGCTCAAGCCCTTTGCCAGATATGGCCTCTTACATCGAAGTCAGCACAAAGCAGCTCAATACTGCCCGGCGTTCATTCATCGTACGCAGAGTCGAAATCGATGCTTTCAAACCCGGCATATGGCCTACGGCATTGGAGTTCGAGACTGTCATGCTAAGATCCGGAGGCGCAGGCTTGTTGAGGCCCAGCTCGAAGATTAGCCCGATCGCCATCTGGGAATAGATACAGAGGGATGACTTTTGCGGCTGGCTGTGAAAAGTGACCCTGGTCGATAGTGAGCGAGGAAGGGAGAGAACTTCAGCAAACCCATGTCATTCAACCACCATGGGAGGTGAGAACACCATACCATGCGAGATAGACCAAAACTCCCTGCAATAGATCCAGGGACTTATCGCAGTCAACCAGCAGCCGCTTCCCCGCCAGCTCCCGGATCGTTACGCACAAGGCTGCTTGACGTGCTGTATGCTTACTTTCCACAGCCGTAATACAACGCCACAGAAATGGTGACTGTCGTTTTAGATCACGAACGGTCGTTGTGGCTGGTATGTGGATCAGAGGGAGGAACTGCAGCCGTTGAGTTCGAAAAGTATGCAGAGATTCTTCTTCACTTGCTAATGTTTCTTCGTCTTCACTATCTGATTCGACTTCAGTTTGCCCCATCCCCTGCGCCTCAGCTTGCCCGTGAACCGGCGTTGGCAGGTCCGTCCGACTGCCAGAGGAGGAGGTCAGCAGCAACATCAAGCCATTCATTTTCCGTTCCAGTTGAACCGACCTGGACAAGGTCTGGGGCTGGGTCTTGCGACGTCCCTGAGGAACGCGGCATTCCTTGTCCAAACGATGGCATCTGTGAATGATATCAGACCCGAATGCATTCCCCAACGAGTTCCAATCCCACTGCGTGGATAGTCTTCCTCCGCACGTAGTTGGTCTACTCACCTTTCACAGCGGCCGCCACCACTCCGGGGGACGCAACGACACTTGGCACGAGCACAGGTGGCACAAGCATTTCCATAAGGCAGAGGCGAACGCACGGTCGGTTTCATCCTGACCGATCACCTGCTTAGTGATCTCAGTCGAGTGGAAGAGGAAGACAAAGGGGGGGGAAGGCGTTCGACAAACTCCGCTCGAACTCCGCTCGCCCACTTAACCAATTACCCCCCGATTGCTGAAGAGCTGGTCACCCGGAATGGGGGCGACTATGTGTATGCAGCTGTCTTCAGCAGAGTAGCGTATGCGGTGTCGACCGTGGTGATGATCATACTACTTTTGCGCATTGGAAGATGGGGTCTGACTACCAAGGCATAGCGAGGGGTAAGGCTGCATTACTCTGTCTTAGCAACTGATCAGAAGTGGCCAATTCCAGCTCAATGTACACTAGGAGAGAAGCTATGACATGTGAAGAGTTCAGTAAACTTGACATCGACGATGAAAGTAAAATTCTTGGCCTTGAAGTACACGATGTTGAATGTGTACGACGTGGCTTGAAGCGCCACCCGCACAAATACGAAATTGAATTATCAGAACGAGGACTCAGGATCTAATAAAACAATGGCTCAAACCCAGACGAGCCGCCTTTCACCTAGACCTTTCACCTAGAACTTTCGCCTAGAATCCTAGATCACAATCATAACTAGAATAGTGGATTGATAAACTGAACTGTGATTGGCTGATCAAATGATGTATGAACCTGCTAGAACGGGTAGGCGGTAGACAGGGTCAATTTGACTTTGGCAATCGCAACGCGGAGTATCATCTCAAACACCGTGTGTAAGGTTTCTTAACGTCACTTCATCTCACACCATACCCGAGCGCCTCATTCAAATTTAGTCCCTCGTGCTCGGTCCGGCAGTACTCGCCTCCTTCACTTCATTTCGCAGAATCCCTCAGATCCCCTACCAAGAGCTTCAAAATGTCGTCACCACCGCCCTATCAGACACCAACTACTTCTCTCAAACGCCCCTCCATCTCATCCACCACATCCCAACCCATTGGCAAGAAGCAGCGCATGCATCCGCTCCGTCAGACCTCATTCCCAGCAAACCTCGACCCAACGGATCGTAGCTTCGGCGGCACTAGTGATGCCGGCAGTGTTACGGGAAGCTTCACAGGGAGTCTGGGCGGGACGAGTGCGGATGGAGTATTCGCCGGCGCGGCGCGTGGGAAGAAGCGCGGACGGAAGAGCAAGGCTGATAAGGAGCGGGAACGCGATGATGCGATAAGCACACGAACTGGTGACGCGGGTCGGTTTGGATCTGCGGATGCCGAGGGCTCAGTACGGGGAGGCATGGGTGGTGGGCGTGCAGCCGACGATGGGGACGATTATGATGACGATGATGATGAGGGAGAGCTATTAGGTCGTGAGGAGGGGGCTACAGACACGGAGGCCGAGAAGAAAAATCTTGCGTATGTATCGTTCTCTTCCTGATCCTACTGGATGGTGGTTTATGTGATTACTGACTTTTGCGGTCCCTACACAGTATTTTGGTCGATGCGTTCAATCCCATTCAATCCGAAAGATACGACCTGTTTAAGCGCGCAAAGCTGCGCAAAGAATCTCTTCGTCGAATTGTCAATCATGCACTCTCCCAGTCTGTCCCGGCAAGTGTGGTCACATCAGTCAATGGTTTCACCAAGGTTTTCGCGGGCGAAATGATTGAAAAGGCACGAACTGTTCAGGCCGAATGGGCCGAGGCACACGATCAGGCAGCGCGTGCCGCCTTCGATGCCGAAGAAGCCGCCGCGGAAAAAGCTGCGCAAGCCAAAGCCGAAGCTCAAGCTCAAGAAATGGCTAAGAGAGGGACCCCGACATCATCGGGGACACCTGCTCTGGGCAATGGCATCAAGAAAGAGTCCCCCGACCCATCGCAAGCCCAGGCTTCCCCGAAACCCGGCTCTAATCTCAACTCCACATCCTCGCCTGCACCTTCTCAATCCTCACAGCACCTTGGTCTGAAAACAGCACCTAGTCCGGTACCTTTGCGTCCACGACGCGAATTCCGCCCGCCACCCAACCCACACCGAGGTCAACTTTTACCCTCACACTTGCGGGAAGCACAGCGACGGTGTAAGCGTGATGGTGAAGGCGGCGGTGTCGGCTTCTCGGGAATGAGTATGGATAATCTAGGCGTCAAAGGTGCATTTACGTGGAGTTCCGGCAGCGTTGGCGGACGCAGACTGTTCCGCTAAGAGACATTTTTCACTGCATTCATTGCGCGGCGTATTTGGTGGAAGGGATCTTCATCTTACTCTTCTCTGTTCAATCTTTCAACTTTCATCTCAGCCTATAGAACGAGTCGGGTTCATCTGTCTAGCTGCAGATATTTTCCTATCCTGGGATTTGCTTCATGATTTATGGGCTAGAAAACTCGATACCATGGTGTTCTTCAGCGTTGCTTGATTCCAAGGGTATTACCTCGAATATACAATCTTATTAATTTTTATCTCGTGGCATCGCCGATCTCAATTTAGACCGAGCATTCCGTTATTCATCTGGTCCAGCTGTCGATCTAGGAGGCTAGAGATTCTTGGCGGGATGTACAGACGCCTATTTGATCAATATATGCATGGGTGAACATCTTGACACGTCGAGTTCTCCTGTACCTCATGCTCAGTCTTTCGCGTGCCACACGTGAACTGTTTAGGAACAATATTGAAATAAGCTCGACTTTCATGGATTAAAGTTTAGCAAGTAGTACAAAACAACACTGGAATTCTGCATATCAATACCTCATCGAGGCAGTGTCTTGCCGGCGCAAGGGCACTATACCCGCCACCTTTTCCCTTTCCCTGCATAACGGCCACTCGACTCCTCCATACCAAAGACGTGCTCAGGTGTCTTGACTAACCATGCGGAGTATGTGATCCCGGCTGAGCATATCCGGCTTTGCAAGCCGCGCACCGTGACGCGTGAAGGGATATGTGTGGCGCCATTAGGACTTTGAATAGACTCATCGCGTACATCCCCTCGCTCAAATGATTTGCCACCTCAGGAGTGAGCTGGGGTTCGTTTCATACCCCTTCTTTCTTGGCGGGCTTGTGCTGTACCTTTCATGGGATTTACCTGCCGCTTACCATGACCCCTCAGGGTAGGATATTCTCATCCTTGAACCGTCCTTGAGTCTATTCTTCACCACATTCACTCTTTCAGTCACTCATTCCATTCTTTTGGTCCTCGCTGCTCTGGATATCTAGGGATTCCATCTCCTTCACTGGTGATCGGATGCTAAATTTGATTCTGAGTCTATCTATCCAGCACCCTTTTTGACTCGTGGTCGTTTTTGTCTAATTCAATAAAACTCACTCTTTTATTTCTTTTACCTGGAAATCATGACAATCTTTCGTTCATCACATCTATACACTCGTTTACGGGACAAAATCCCTGCATCACTACAATGGCAACAAGGCGACCCAACAGCAAAAGGCGATCCTCGAAAAAGTGTCAAATGGATTGATGTAAGTGGTGAATACCAACTTGGCTGCTTTTAATGTGGACATAGCTTAACTATTTCCAACCAACAGGGTCTACGAGGTATAGCCTCATTCCTAGTAGTCCTTACCCATCTCGCTCGCGCATGGGATTACGACCTATTTTCCCCAAGCGATACCGAAGACGCAGCTCCCCGAATCCTCCAATGGCCCATCCTGCGCATCCCCTGGCAAGGCCGGATAGGAGTAACGGTATTCGCTTTCCTAACGGGCTACGTATGCGCCTTGAAACCACTGAAGCAATCTCGCAGCGGAGATACAGGCGCCGCATTAACCACTGTCGCTAAAAGCGCATTTCGACGACCCCCGCGCTTGATACTCCCCGCCACCATCGCATTACTGATCTCGTGGGTTGTGGCACAGTTTGGCGGTTTCGTTGTTGCCAATCGATCCGATTGTTGGTGGTGTCGGTATGCGGCGCCAGAGTTGGAAGATTCATTTTGGAAAGAGGTCGTCAGACTCGGAGGGAATTTCTTGTCTACATGGACGACAGGGTATATGGCATATGATGATCATCAATGGGCACTTTTGCCGCTGTTGTTATCGTCAATGCTGGTTTATATCTTGCTGATAGCAACGGTGTTTATGCGGTTTCGGTACCGAATGTTGGTGTATATCGGGATGATGCTTTACTTCCATCAAGATGCGGCTAAAAACACAGGCAAGTACTTATTTCCATGGCTAGGAATCGTGGGAGCCAACTAACATTCAACCTCAGAAACTTTCCAACTGCAAGCCGTCTATGGCATGCTCCTTAGCGACCTCTCGTATAACGCAACACTCAAAACCTGGATCCAAGAACACCGCTACCTCCGCAAAGCAATTACCTTCCCGCTCGCAATTCTTGGACTCCTGATAGCCTCATACCCTGGCGAACACCCGGAATGGGCAACCTGGTCCAATACAATGTTCAAAGCAGCAACATACATCTTCCCACCCGACGTGAATATTGGAAAACGCTACTCAGCCATCGGAGTCGACATGATTATTCTGGCAATTTACCTCTCCCCTACTACGAAAGATTTTCTTGCGAACCGCCTCTTGCTCTGGCTAGGTAAGCAGAGTTTCGCCGTATACCTCATCCACGGCACAATGCTGCGTGTCGTGCTGTGTTGGATGCTGTATGGTATTACTGGGCAGCCTTGGGACGGCCCTGAAGGGGCAACAGATGATATCCGGGATGATTGGTTACCGCTGAGGTCGCCGTGGGTTGTTGCTGTCAGTATACCTGCTTGGATTGGGCTTGTTTATGCGTGCGCAACAGCCTGGACAGCGTACGTGGATACGTTTTGCGCGAGGATAACGGCGAAGTTGGAGAAGGCTGTCTTTGTGGGAGATGAGGGTGAGAAGGAGGGGTTGCCTTTGCCTGCTACTTCTATTCCTATGCAGACTGCTTGAGTCATGGAATACTTCATATGTGTTCCCGACCGGTTCTATACTACCTAAATTGCTGGTTGCCATTGGAGTTCTGGTGTTAGCGTTAATATGCATGAAAGCCTTGTGAATAAGTTCAAGAAAATTGAATCAATTTCGGACCCGGGATTGTCTTTGGGAAATGTGGTATACAGCTTTCAAATACAGCATTGGAGATTTAGCTGTATAGCATCTTAGATTGAGATAAAAAATGAATTCTTAATCTGAGTCCATAATACAGAAGAATGGAAATGCCAAGTACCGCCCATAATTTACAGTTTATACATATTCAAGCAAGATCAGTTCCGTCGTTGAGCAGCCTGCTGATGTCTTCGCATAGAGCTCTTCGCACGCTCTCTCTCGTTCTCAAGCGCCTGCTGATGAGCTAAACGACGTTCTTCATTACGGCGCTGACGCTCCTCCTTTTCCCAAGCACTTTGTTCCTCCTCTTCCTTTGTCGCCCTCTTGCGCTGGTTCTCAGTAAGACGCGGTGCCGCGGCAGGGGAGCCATCAGCGTTTGTCTCCGGACCACCAGAGCCGGCGACGTTCTTGGCACCCTTGGAGATCTGTTCCCGAAGCTCCTTAAAATAATCCTTGCCACCCTTCATCCACCGGTCAATGGCGCTCATCTTGGAGGGATCGACTTCGGCCTCTAGGTACTGGGCCTGGGCCTGGCGGAGCCTTCGCTGCTGATCTTCTTGCAGACGACGAGTCAGCTGTGACAAGCTATCGTCCATTCTCTCGGTTTCACCAACCGATTGAGGGATTTCCATCTTCATCCAGCGGCGGAATGCCGAGTTGTGCACAATGTGGGCTTGGCCAACAGCCCAGATACCGGTAGCAACAAAGTACAGCTGGAGAGCACTTGGCATGAAGGCAGTGAAAGCCAGGGTAAGCATTGGGAGACCGTAGAGAAGACCCTTGCCTGCGGGTCCGCTCATGAGCTCAGTGAGACCAGCCTCACCTCCTTTCTGTTACGGCCATTGTTAAAAGTTGATATAATCGAGACTGGGCGGATGGATTGACAAACCTTGAAAGTCTTGTACAAGCAGAATGAACTGACGATAGGGAGAATCATGTATGGGTCGGCCATAGTCAAGTCAGTCAGCCACAGGACCTGCTCATTTAACAAGGCCGGCACGGGGAGACCGGTCATGCCGCGGATAACTCGGAACATTCCAAAACCCAGTGGAGCTTGGAGCATAGGAATAAAGCTCTTGTATAGGTTGACACCGTTATTGACATTGATCTGCTTGATTTCAGCTCTCGCGCGCTGGACCTCGATCTGATTATTGGCCTTCGCGGCCGCTAACATCTTCTGCCGGAGTGGATTGGTAATGGGCTTGAGGTTATGCAACTTGGCTCCATTGTCGGAGGCATCAAGCATCGGCTTCAATAGCGCCAAACGAATCAAAAGACCACAACTGACAATACTGGCCCACCAAGGCATGCCAGTCCACATGTGAATGTGCTCAAGAGTCCACTCCATCAGTGATGACACACCCCAGCCATAATCTAACCCAAGGTTCTTCAGGTATCCAATGTGCTCGGGAATGCTAGCAATATCGATCGCAGAGAGGTCCTCGACGTTCGGCAGTTCGCCGGGTGCCTGGCCCGAAAGCGCAAGGGAATCGGAAGTAGTAGAGTTGAAACGGACGGCGGGCGGGCCAGCAACAGCCGGTGTTGCCCACCGAGATGCATTAGCGGAGAGGCCTGATGTGAATTGACTCGGTGATCCGGGCAGGCGCACGCGCTGAGTGCGGAAAGTAGACATCTACAACGGCCCAGTCAATCTCTGGTGCGTATTTGTTATATTCTTGGGACGACATACCAATCGCGAAGACCGAGGCAAAGCAGTGAGTCGTTGCCGGGCAATGGCAGTGGCCATACCAGCCCCTTTAAGACCAGTGGCACCCATCATCGTGGCGGAAAACAAGTGAAAGGAGTGATTGAGAGCGGGTACAAGAGAAACCTCCTGCGACTAATGTCGGGGAGACTTTTCTGCCGGGCGGAGAACGATCAGTAAACAGCCGCCGAGTCTCGGTCAGGGCAGTAGACTATTGGCCGATGAAAGCGTAGACAGTGAACAGGCGATCATGAATAAGTTGCATTACCATCTCAAAGATCTAATAATAGGCAATAATGCAGATCCTAGAGCGCCAGACTCCGCTAAACGACATTCTATTTACATGTGCTATATCCAGGCAACGCCGAGATGCAGATATTACTCCGATCAAATATATCCCGATTTTAGGTTCCATATAGATGCAGGCCTTTTGACTCAACAATAGAACGCTCCGCCTTGCCAGTATGAGGGGGGTTTCGAGTGGGAGAGAGCCACGGGACTTTACTCGAGAGAAGCGGTGTCATTCAAACCGGAGTAGGTACGCCTCCGCTCCGAGGGAAGCTCTCGAATTTCGATTCCAGGACCCACGGCATGGGATCTGCGGTACGTTGGGAAGATCTGGAACAATCACACGGATCAGTTTTATCCAGGAAGATCTGGAGGGGTAAACTTTGGATATGTACCTTGGTGTTCGACCATCCAAGGCGGAAGGCCGCCTCATGAGCGAAGAGCTCACCGAATCCAAGCATCAGACCATTGACAAATGGGAGAAAGAGATTGATCGCTGCGCCACGAAGAATACCCCAGATAGATGGAGGCTTATAGAGGACCATAGGAGAACTCGAAGTAGACGAAGATAGTTCGTGGTTGGCCGAGTAGTTTTCCGAGTCAGAGGGGACGGTCATGGTGGAGTCGTACAGCTCGCCTCGCGAGCCTGTTGCATCAGATGCCATGATAGTTGGGGGTAAAGGGGAGATGGGGACAAGAAAGAATAACAATGGGGGGTTTGCGTCGAGATCGGTCGACAGCTCGGCACGGGATGCTCCTCGCTGCGGAGTGTGGATTATGTCAGCCAATCAGTAGATTGAAAGGCTGTCTCTGAGAACATAACCAAATAAGTATTGGCGTTTTAAGGGCGCTTAAGTAGTAAAATGCTAGGTGAACTTAAGGCCTCGCCCTTTTCACCTTTGCATAAGTTAGTGCCCATCTACATTAGGCTGTTTGTATAGATCAATGGGTGTTCAAGGGCGGAAGATCTTGTCCCGCTGACCAATTGCAAAGTGACGTACCTGCCCGCGGTGTTTAGCTGGCTACTCCAACTCAGCTTGTCCTTTGATTTCACGCGTCTCCTAATATCCAACCTACAAACTATTCTACCTCGACCCCCTATCATATTGCTATCCATCGTTCCCACAAAAGTCATTTGAGACTATTTGCCAAGCTCCAAGATGGACCGCTACCCCACAGAGCAAGATGAGATGGTGGCTCAGTTCTGTGCCATGACCGGTGTCCAGGCCTCAGATGTAAATATCAAAGCTCCCACCCTGGACCTGAACCTTTCTACAGTTACTGATCGTTGCGCTTTGATTTGACAGGCCGTAGAATATCTTGGCAACAACAACGGAGACATTGAAGCCGCCGTGGCCGACTTCTTTGCGGAGCAGGACGAGGCTCTACAGGGGATGAACCCTGCTGAAGAATCCGCTGGAACAGCTACAGGAGGGCGATCGCTAGGCGGTGCTGCTGCTCCGTCCTCTTCGGCTGCGCCTGAGCCAGCTGCTAAGCGCTCGGCGCCCAAGAAGAAGTTTGCTACATTGGGAGACTTTGCTTCAACGAGTGGGGGCGATTCTTCAGAAGACGATGGCTCAGAAGACCATGACTTCTTTGCCGGAGGCGAAAAGTCTGGCTTGGCTGTGCAGAACCCAGATGATCTTAAAAAGAAAATTTTGGAAAAGGCTCGGAGGTAAGTCTAGCGGATCTTCTGGTGATGGCGCATAACCGTCAGTGCTGATGTGCAAATGAATAGAGCTGCGCCACTGCCACACTCAGAGGAGCCTGAGTCACGCCCATCCCATTTCACTGGCACCGCCCGTACTCTTGGTGGTGATGAGGCTCCTAGCCGCGTTATCGAAGATCCTACTGCCCCCGTCCCGCAACGAGCTCAGCGTGTCCAACGAACTCTTCACTTCTGGGCCGATGGATTCTCAGTTGATGATGGTGAGCTCTACCGGTCAGATGACCCTCGAAATGCGGAGATCTTGGATGGCATTCGACAAGGCCGTGCCCCGCTGGGTATCATGAATGTGCAAGCCGGACAGGAAGTGGACGTGGAGCTTAAGCAGCATGAAGAGAACTACGTGAAACCCAAGCCCAAGTACAAACCCTTCTCTGGATCTGGTCAGCGCCTCGGCAGCCCGACTCCGGGTATTACAAGCCAATCTTCTACCCCTCCACCCGCTGCAGCTCCCACTTCTGGTGGCCAACCCCCGAAGCAAGATGTGGACGAGTCGCAACCAAGCGTTACTCTACAAATCCGGTTGGGAGATGGGACTCGTATGACTTCCCGCTTCAACACCAGTGCTACCGTTGGTGATGTCTATGCATTCGTCGCTGCCGCCACTCCGAATAGCCGCGATCGCGCATGGGTACTGATGACTACATTCCCCAACAATGAATTAAACGACTGGGAGGTGACTCTTGCCGATCTACCTGAGTTCAAGCGGGGTGGAGTTGTCGTTCAGAAATGGAAATAGAGGGGTACATTAATTTCTTGTCTAGCTTGATCTCAAAAATGAGGGTTGGCGGGGAAATAGATTTCTTCATTTATGATTACCATGGAAAAGACCACTGTCTTCCATGTAAGCCAAAAAGAAACAGAAAAATAAAGAAAATTCCATGATTTACTTAGCTTCCAAAGAGCGTCCACGGCTCTTTTAGTCAGAGCTAGATTGATAAGCATCCGAGCATCGGACCCCCCACTTGTCCTTCCTTTGAAGTCATTCTTGTTTCTATCTTAATTCGTACACAAAATGTCTCTCGACGGAGTCAAGAATATTGTCTTGGTAAGTTCTCTACATTTACCCAATGCGCTCCATCGCAAAGCCGAGCAATCATCTTTGCGCAAAGCAAAAGGAAAAAACCTTGCCCCTCGCGCCTTATCGATAACGCCGCAAGTGTGCACAAGAAGCGAAGAACACTCCAGCAGTCTCCAACGCACCAATCGCTAATGAATCCATATCGCAGGTTCTATCCGGCAAGGGAGGTGTCGGAAAATCCTCTGTGACCCTCCAACTAGCCCTTGCGCTCTCCCTTCAAGGCAAATCCGTCGGCATCCTCGATATAGACCTAACAGGCCCGTCGATCCCCCGCCTAGTCGGCCTTGAAGATGCAAAGATCACCCAATCTCCTCAAGGCTGGCTCCCAGTTCCAGTGCACAATGCGGTCGCCTCCCAAACAGACTCTACAACGCCTTCTCCCTCCCCACGTGGCTCCCTACACTGCATGTCCCTAGGCTTCCTCCTCCGAGACCGTGGCGATGCCGTAATCTGGCGCGGACCTAAGAAAACAGCAATGATTCGCCAATTCCTTTCGGATGTCTCGTGGGGCTCTACAGACTACCTGCTTATCGATACGCCACCGGGTACGAGTGATGAGCATATCGCACTTGCTGAGCAACTGCTTACCCTCTCGACGGCGGATCCGGCGCTCGCGGCACAGAATCGTTTGCCTAGGCTGGCGGGTGCAGTGTTGGTTACTACGCCACAGGCTGTTGCGACCTCAGATGTGCGCAAGGAGGCGAATTTCTGTGTAAAGACTAGCATACCTGTCCTTGGGGTTATTGAGAATATGTCGGGCTATGCGTGTCCATGTTGCGGAGAAGTAAGTAACTTATTTTCGAGTGGTGGTGGAGAGGTCATGGCGCAGCAGCTTGGGATTCCATTTTTGGGAAAAGTGCCTGTTGATGTTAAGTTTGGGGAATTGGTTGAAGGGAAGATGGAGATGAGTGATGATGAGGATGAGGTGGAGGGTGAAGATGAAGCGCGGAAGACACAGCAGGTCGAGACCACTGAGCCGGATCTTAGGCCGCTTGTTGAGAAGTATCAGGAGGGGTGGTCCTATCCTCGGTTTGAGGGATTTGCAAAGACGATAGTTGGGGGCTTGCAGCAGACCGCAGCTTAAGGGTGCAAGTTGCTTGTTGATTTTCGTTTCCAGCGATATCTGGATCTGGATCCAAGGTTATATTGCATTGATTATGGCGTTCTCAAGTTTTCATAAAGAAGGGTATTATATAGTGTCACGAGAAGACCAAAATGAAGCCCGATACAATGAGTAAAATTGGCAAAATTTCAAAGTAATAAAACAGAGAAAATATCGCTAGTAGTTGCTGATCATCGCAACAATCATCATTATCATTCATCATAACTCGTTGATGAATAGTTACAAGTAAAAATGCACTTAAGACAACGAGGAAAGAGTCTCGTCACCGTGCGACTGTTGTAGCATAGCTCTTAAACGGCTCTCAGCTGATTGCAAAGCAGGACGATTCTCTGGACCAACTATTCTTGCAGTCCAGCGTAGCCAGCCAAGTAGAGAGTTTATAAGATCGGGTGCTTGCCACTGGTTTGGGTGAGTGAAAGCAGAAGAAGTCGTAGCAGGGCTATCGAAGCCCCCAAACAGATGTCTCTCATCAGCCCGAGCATCCAAATGTACCTCCGAAACGACAGCATGGGTCGCAATATCTTGGGATCCAGACTCATGTTCAAGAGTGGTGCGCCTAGCTAGTAGGTCTCGACCAGAGTGCTTTGGCCTTGAGATGAATTCTCGAGTATTTGGGTGATTGATGAAGTCCGGGTCCTGTAAGACTGCAGTACGATTATTCGACGCTCCAGGCCGTGCAGGGGCTGGTTGTGCTGATCCTGCTGGACCAGGGTCTCCATTCCGTTCCAATGCCGAGGCAGCTTGTCGGAGGTTCTCAACATAGCGATAGAACGAGAAAGGATGTGTATCGCGACCAGGATCCATGATATTGGGATCATCGTCGAAGATCACAACGGTTTCATCACGCCCTTCATCGCTCATACTGACTTCTTCGACAGGCACCAGGCCACTTGGGGGTGCTCGGATCTCCCCAAGAGGGGCGATGTGGCTGCCATATTCATTAGCAAGACTAAGCTTGCTTCGACCACAGATGTCAGCGATGGAGTCAAGGGTCCCGCGGATATCAGGTTCGATGGCCTGCAGTATACTTTCGATACTGAAATCCTTATCTGAGGGGAGAGGCGGGCCCGGTGAGCGGGAGGGAGCCGAACTCTTTGAACCCGTGAACGGAAATAGTCGGCGTGGAGACATAGTCGATGACCTTGGAGATGCACCCTCTGCATTGCCGGAGTACGCTCTGACAAGAACAGGCTGGGTCGGTACAGGGGGTGATTGTCGATAGGCAACAGGGTTCACCGGCCTGTCTCGTCGAGACAAAGGTCGCGGACCGTGAGCTTGATGCAGGGCAGTTGATCGGTATGATCGATCTGACTCGTCTAATGCAGATTCACAGTGACGCCAATTTGCGTGATGTGAGGGACCCGCATCGCTTGTTGGCGGTGCATAGGATGGAGACAGTCGGGACCATCCTTGTCGCAAGAAAGGAGATGATGACAGCCGAGTGCTGTCCCAGTTGGTGGACAATGTTTCAGAGTCCATATTGCACCAATCTAGAGAACCAAGTCACGCTCTCAATGCAAGGCAGCGTAAACCGAGGGAAACCCCGCTCGGTAGTGGTTGTAGGTGGGGGGAAGTACAGCAAGTACAGGTCTACGATGCACTCACGAGGAGAGGTGCATGTAAGTCGCATTCGCGTTGCATATGTCTTTGCTGCGCTGGCAGTATTTGAGAAGATAGTAAGCTCAGGGAGTGCATGCTCGAAGTTGTAAACGAAAGGCAAATATGTACTTCGTATGACAGGAAGTCGCAACCCAAATAGACGCCAAGACCCGACATGGTTGGACTTCGAGCCTCCACCACTCAACAGCTTCGTCGGGTACCGCTCCCAACCTAAGATCTGCCACATCATGAATCGGTTCAAGGTAGTGTTGATTGGCTTCTTGAATTGATGTATTGTTGTCGACTAATTCTTTGATTCAGTTTGGTGACTCTGATGAGTCTGGCTCGGATTTTGACGAGGATTCGTCTTCCTTGCCCTTCCCCGAACCGTTATCCCGGACTTCATTCCTTGCCCCTGATTTCGACCCGACTACCTTCCTATCATCCTTGACAAATCGGCATCAAAGCCTTGAAGACCTTCGGCAGGAGTTGCGGAGTCTAGAGCAATTGCTCAACAAAGAGCTGTTGGATCTGGTCAACGAGAACTACCAAGACTTTCTATCTTTGGGAACTGCACTGCGCGGAGGCGAAGAGAAGGTTGAGGGAGTAAAAGTGGGCTTGCTATCTTTCCGACGAGATGTGCAGTCAATTCGCGACAAAGTGGAAGAGCGGCGCCGAGAGGTGGAGGGACTATTGAATGAGAAGCGACAGCTCCGGTCCAATGCAGACATCGGCAAGAATCTATTGGATTATGCGGATCGAGTGGAAGAATTAGAACACCGATTGATGATTGAAGACAAGTCATCTCCGCGGGAAGCTTCCCCCAATGACGAATCGGACGCGGAATCTGATCTATACGATGACGGAAGCGAACAAAGTGACGACGAAGAGCTAGAAGATGGAACCGCCCCTGTATCACTCAAGCGACTGGAGAGACACGTCCAGAAGTACGTGTTCTTGACCTCCATCGCCACGACAGTAGGCAAGGATCACCCATTCCTGCTTGCTCAGCAGCCACGTGTGTCAAAGATCAAGTCTACAGTGCTGCTAGATTTGAAGACTGCCTTGGAACAGGCCAGTCATGTCGGTGAGAAGCGGGATGCAAGAACAATGGCTGTCTTACGTCTCTACGATTTGATGGGTGAAGATGTCAGCGCTGTAGCTGCGCTGAAGAATCTCAAACTATAATATACTCATCGCGCCAATGGTTGGTTATAAGCTAGAGTTGCATAGCGTCGGAGTTCAGGTTTTAGTTTGCGAGTCTTCTATTGAACAGAAATGATACCATGATACACCTTGTCCGTTCCTAATAAAACATTGATAATTTGTACACGCCAAGCGAATATAAAACAAATGGTATTTTACACGCCCGTCAAGGCAGATGTTGGAGGAGAGTCGTCGGTTGCGAAGTCACCATTCAGGCTGAAGCCGGGGCCGTGGGTAGAGCTCAAAACCTATTGCAATCATTAGTCGGAGGCTCCACGAACCGGAAAATTGTAAGCGACTTACCACTTCGTAGACCTCCTTGCTGATACGGTCATTCAGCTTAACAGCATCCTTCTTCACCTGATCAATCGTTGTGCGCAGGTTGTCCCGTAACTGCTCAGGCGAGAATCCCAATTGCCCGATAGGAAGACGAATGACGGCGTCACGCTCACGGTAGACGGTACCTCCACGAAGCATCTCAACACGACCAGCAACATCTTCGACCACAGTACCGTTCTTCACGCTGGGCATCAGACCACGAGGACCGAGAATTCGTCCCAGTCCGGCCTTGTTCAACGCCGGCAAACTGTCAGGGTGAGCAAGACAACGTTCAAACTCAATATTGCCTGCCTTGACAGCGTCAAACACCTCAGACTCTCCAACAAGGACAGCACCCGCAGCGAGCGCCTCCGTGGCGGCCTTGGATCCGGGGGGGACAGATGACGCAGATTCGGGATTCGGTTTGGACGGCATGAGGGAATCGGATCATGTTTCGGATGACAGGTCCATCTTTTTTTGTTCGGATACGGATGTGAATCTCGTATTTTGAAAGCGTAGGCTCGCGACCGACTTCTGTTGCCCGAATAAAGCTGTTGCGGAGACAAATGTCAAAAAGCCGAACGGGGATCACGGACGATAGAATCGCGTGTGACCTAAATGTAAACTTACCGCATCGCATCACATAGCGCGAATCGCTCCATATCCTCCAAGTTCTTCTGCTGAAACTCTCGATTTCCCCGACGGTCCGTCTTGGGCTGGCTCTTTCCCTTGCCCTTACTCTTCTTCTGGTCCTTGAAGCCTCGTACCTGCTGAAGACCGAGGGAGGCCGGGGCAATTGCCCTTTGTCGGAGTGGCAGAATGCATGAGGAGAGAATTCCGCGTGCCGCGGAGGGCATGACTGCGCCAAAGGACGACATTGCTGAATGGCTTGGAGTGGGCACGACTATTGGCGCTGCAACTGTTTTCTGTCGGAAAGCTGTCGGCGTCGGATAAATGTGCGGCCGGCCGGTGATCGCTGATAGTGAGTAATGATAGTGCCCCTCCACCCAATTTCCTTTTCACCACCCATTTCTGCTCTATACTGGTGCAAAATGTCTCAATTCGAGCTGAACGTGGCCACTCGTGCCAGCCAGGCTGCCCTGCTGCCTGCAGTTCTCATCGCAACCTCAATCAACGAGGCCCGGCCGTAAGCAATCTATACATGGTCTAATTTTTCTATACTAAAACCAGTACAGAACCCCAGTCATCAACATCACTTATGAGGACTCCGCTCTCCTTAGTGAGGGTGACAAGGCTTTCATTCAATTCAAGGCTGCTGATAAGTCTGTTTTCGGTACTATCCCTGTCATCCAGGAGCTCTGTGCTCAGTTCCCTTTCCTGGTTGGCAAGGATACTAAGCTAGTGAGCTACCCCGCCGTCAATATAATGGAATTGCAGAATGCTAACATGCATACTTCAATTAGGAGAGCGAATGGATCTCTCAGTTGGAGTCCCTTGATAACCTGGATTTCAAGGCCTTGGACCCTCTCCTGCAGCGCCTCGGTATGTAATATGCATTGCGTCCACTGGAAGTTGAATTGCTAATTGAGGTCAAGATACCCACCTTCTGATGCGATCCTTCGTGTCTGGCTACTCTCTGTCTACCCCCGATATTGCCATTTGGGGTGCCCTCCGCGGAAACCGTGTCGCCGCTGCCGCTCTTAAGCGGGGTACTCTCGTCAACCTGACTCGTTGGTACAAATTCTTGGAGGAGCTGTGCCCTTGGGCAACTTCGGCTGTTGAGGCTTTGAATGCCGTCGCCCGCGAGAAGAAGCTTGCCAAGTCTAAGGAGGGTGCCAACTACGACATTGCTCTGAAGAACACCGAGAATGGTGTCGTTACTCGCTTCCCACCGGAGCCCTCGTGAGTTCATTTTAGCCACTTCCACACCTTGTATACTAATTCATATCACAGAGGATACCTCCACATTGGACACGCAAAGGTTCGAATCCCTTATAGTCTTTCTTTAGATTCCCCCAACGCTAATCAATTTTGCTCTAGGCTGCCTTGTTGAACGACTGTGTGTTTGATATCACCAAGCAATCCTCAATGAAATGTGCTAACAATTACCTGCAGACTTCGCCCATGAGAAGTACAACGGTACTCTTCTGCTCCGGTACAGTCAACACATTTGAAAATAATGTGAAAGGCCGAGAAAGCTTATGAATCCCTTAGATTCGATGACACCAACCCCTCGAATGAGAAGCAAGAGTTCCAGGATGCCATCGTGGAGGATCTTGGTTAGTTGACCCCCATGGTCATCTTATAGTAACAAGGCAAATTGCTGACTATTCACCACCAGCACTTATGGGCATCAAGCCCAACAAGGTCTCTTACACTTCCGACTACTTCGACGAATGTGAGAAAACACCCTTTATCAGTCGATAACTTACCATTTTACTAATTGACCAAAGTGTACGACTACTGTCTTACGATGATCAAGACCGGCAAGGCCTATGCAGACGACACGGACAAGGAGACCATGGCCGCCCAGCGTTGGGACGGCCTGCCTAGCCAGCGTCGTGAGCTCTCCCCCGAGGAGTCTCTAGCTCACTTCGAGGAGATGAAGAAGGGCACACCTGAAGGTCTGCGCTGGTGTATCCGTGCAAAGATTTCCTTCGAGGACAAGAACAAGGCCATGCGTGACCCTGTCATTTACCGCTGCAACCCTGCACCTCACCACCGAACAGGCGCTAAGTGGGGTATTTACCCTACTTACGACTTTGCCTGTCCTATTGTTGATTCTATGGAGGGTGTTACCCACGCTCTGCGAAGTATGTTCACACCTTGTTGCTAACAAGTCGCTAAATTTACTAACTCCATCTTAGCCATCGAGTACCGTGACCGTAACCCGCAGTATCAGTGGATGCTGGATGCTCTGAGCTTGCGTACTGTGCAAGTCTGGGACTTCGCTCGGATGAACTTCATCCGAACTTTGCTTTCCAAGAGAAAGCTCACTAAGCTCGTTGAGAGTGGAGTCGTTTGGGGATGGGACGATCCTCGCTTCCCTACCATTCGGGGAATTCGCCGACGTGGTATGACCATCCCTGCCCTTCGGGAATTCATCCTCAAGCAGGGTCCATCCAAGAACGTGACTCTGTTCGACTGGGCTTTGATCTGGGCTACTAACAAGAAGTACATTGACCCCGTCGCTCCTCGTCACACTGCGATTGAGAAGACGGACATGGTCAAGGCAACCATCACTGGTGGTCCTGCCACCCCTTACACCGAGAAGAGAGCTAAGCACGCCAAGAACCCTGCTGTCGGCGAAAAGACTGTTGCTTTCAGCTCCTCCGTTTTGCTGGAGCAGGTTGACGCCAAGTCGTTCAAACAGGACGAGGAAATCACCCTTATGAACTGGGGCAACGCCATTGTTCGGAAGATCTCCACCGATGCCACTGGCAAGGTCACTGATCTTGAACTCGAGCTTCATATGGCTGGCGATGTCAAGAAGACTGAAAAGAAGGTTACTTGGCTCGCTACTGAGGGCCAGACCCTCGTCGATATTGAGCTGGTTGACTTCGACTACTTGCTCAAGAAGGACTCCCTGGCCGAGGAAGATGTGTTGGAGGATGTTCTCAACTTCAACACTGAGTTCCGCGTGAGTGCTTTCGCCGATGGAAACATGTCTGAGGTCAAGGTTGGCGACATCATCCAATTCGACCGCAAGGGCTTCTACCGTGTTGACCGGGCCCCCGCTCCCGGTGTCCCTGCCGTCTTCTTCAACATCCCTACCGGCAAGCAAAAGTAGATGGTCCACGACGGAGAAGCAGAATGTGCCATGAATACATGAATGCGTAGATAGATATCCTATCTGCCCAAATCAAAATTGTAAATTCTTACATTTGAGTGACATCTTAATTCATCTTCACAGTAGGTATTCCATACCCGTAAGATTTCATGTGTCATCACGTGGGTGGACTTTCTGATCACGGGCACGACTTGTGCAACTTGCCCAGAACCTTGAGCTCCTTCTTTCTTCTATCGCATGGATGCGTTTCAAAGTTGCTTGGGTATTAGCGGGATTTACCATAACATGACGTCGAAGGCTGAGGGTATACCTGATTCGGATCGGCCCTATTCTTCAATAGCTTCCCCCACAAATACCGTCGTGTTTCTCTATTAATCATGTCTAGTGACTAGACCTGTGCATCTTGCTGTGGGGACTCAAATCAAAACCGCCCCGAAGCTCCGGAGTCTGGCCAATGGCGCGGAAGAGACCGGGTACGCGAAAGGGTGATCTACCCGCCATCTCCACTCTGCAACGATGTACAAGCTTCTTGTTTTGTATTTGTTCCGGTCAAATTTTTATACAGTGTTCCATGTCTTGTCAATTAAACCCTCGTGCATTTCCACAGGAGAAAGAGTAGCCAAGATTCCCACTGGCCCATTGTGTCATATTCCCATGGCTATATGAACGGCCCGCTGTTGAGAAGGTTCGTCCGGAGAGCTCTACCTATGGTCTCGTACGTCAAGGCCTGGAAAGGATTTTTGAACGTCGGTATCTACCGTACAGGGAGTACCTCTTCTAGCTTTGGCGACGTCAGCATGATTGACAGAGTAGGGAAAAAAGAAAATCTCTCGTAGCAAACCTGGAAGCTTGCTAGCCAACAAGCTGCTCCTTCTTGCCAGTTTTGAAACAATCCCTATTATTTCCGGTAGTCTGGCTCTGTTGTTTACTTCCGAATCTGTTGATGTGTCGAAGGACCGTTGTTCCCCTCATTTGTATCGTTTGTGTCAACGCTTGTTGCTGCAAAGCAATTTTGCTTCTGCCGGAAGCTGCCATTCTCCAGGTTTACATTCCATAGTACATGGTCGTCTCTCGCTTTCCATCAGGCTTGATTAACCCTTGCCACCACCACCACCACCACCACTTCTTCAGACTACCAGCATGGCAAGTCAAGGCGATGGCGAACGAGCCGATGGTCGTCGTGGCTCTCGCATCTCCAGAGCTTCTCTAAAGGAGGATTATGCTCAGCTGGACGAGTACGGAAAGCTCGTCAAGTACGTGTCGACTTTCCAGAATGCCGATGCCAACCTGGAAGATCAAGGTGATTACGAGGAGAAACGCCTCTGGTATGCCCCATGGAAGAAGCGCAAAGTCCGCGTCAAGTCAGTCGAAGAAAGTGCGGGTATGTATCCTGACGACTGGCTCATCACCGATATTCGCGAGGGTCTATCCAGTGAGGATGTGAATGTTCGCCGTCGCCGCTCTGGCTGGAATGAATTGGTTTCAGAGAAGGAGAATCCTATTGCCAAGGTTCTGTCCTACTTCCGTGGTCCCATTCTTTACGGTTCGTATTTCCCACACCCCATGACGTGAAATCTACTGATCTTGTGGAAGTCATGGAGCTGGCAGTTTTGCTAGCTGCTGGTTTGGATGACTGGGTTGACTTCGGTGTCATCATCGGCATCCTCGCTTTGAATGCTGCTGTCGGTTGGTATCAAGAGAAGCAAGCGGCTGATGTCGTTGCCAGTCTGAAGGGTGACATAGCCATGCGAGCAATCGTGATACGAGACAGCACTCAGCAGGAGATATTGGCTCGTGAACTAGTGCCTGGTGACGTGGTATGTCATTGTTCTTGCAGGAATCACTTTCAAGGCTGTATCTAAGATGCTAATGCATACTTCTCAGATCATCGTGGGTGAAGGTCAAGTCGTTCCAGCTGATGCCAAGGTTATTTGTGACTTCAATGATCCTCACGGCTGGGAGGAGTTCAACCAACTGCAAGAGCAAGGCATGCTCGGTGGCGGATCTGAGTCAGAAGATGATGAACCCAAGGAGGGTGAAGCCGAGGGCAAGGAAGTTGGGGAGGGAAACAGTGAGGGCGCCGCAGGCGAGAGCCACAAGCAGAAAACTCGTCGTCGCGGTTATCCCATTCTCGCCAGCGATCACTCTGCAATTACGGGCGAGTCTCTCGCTGTGGACCGGTACATGGGTGACATGATTTTCTACACAACTGGCTGTAAGCGTGGCAAGGCTTATGCCGTAGTACAGACCGTTGCAAAGACCTCCTTTGTGGGCCGTACGGCGACTATGGTGGCCTCTGCTAAGGGCGCAGGTCACTTTGAAATCGTCATGGACAACATTGGAACATCTCTGTTATTCCTCGTAATGACTTGGATCCTTGCTGCGTGGATTGGTGGATTCTTCCGTCATATCCCGATTGCTTCGCCCGGACAACAGACGCTGCTTCACTACACTCTATCCTTGCTCATTATTGGCGTGCCTGTAGGTCTTCCTGTCGTCACTACCACGACCATGGCTGTAGGTGCTGCCTACTTGGCCAAGAAGAAAGCAATTGTGCAGAAGCTGACCGCTATCGAATCTTTGGCTGTATGTACACCACCAGGATTGAATTGCTGAATGGATGCTAATCAGTATATAGGGTGTGGATATCCTCTGCTCGGACAAGACAGGAACTCTGACAGCCAATAAGCTCAGTATTCGTGACCCTTATGTGGCTGAAGGCGTGGATATAGACTGGATGTTTGCAGTGGCTGTGCTTGCATCTTCGCATAATATTGAATCGTTGGATCCCATCGACAAGGTTACCATTCTGTCACTCCGGCAGTATCCCAAAGCGCGAGAGATCTTACGCCGTGGCTGGACAACCGAAAAGTTCACGCCATTTGACCCGGTCTCTAAGCGCATTGTAACTGTTGCTACATGCGATGGAATTCGATATACTTGCACGAAGGGAGCCCCGAAAGCAGTGCTGGCGCTCACGAACTGCTCGCAAGAGGTTCTGGACCACTATAAGGAAAAAGCCCAGGAGTTTGCCCATCGGGGCTTCCGCTCACTCGGCGTGGCTGTTCAAAAGGAGGGTGAAGAATGGATGCTTCTAGGAATGCTGCCTATGTTCGACCCCCCTCGTGAAGATACTGCTCAGACAATTAGTGAGGCACAGAATCTAGGTATCAGTGTCAAGATGCTCACGGGCGATGCCATCGCTATTGCCAAAGAAACCTGCAAGATGCTGGCTTTGGGCACCAAGGTGTATAACTCGGACAGGTTGATTCACGGTGGTCTGAGCGGCGCTATGGCTAGTGACCTGGTAGAGAAAGCAGATGGATTTGCTGAAGTGTTCCCTGAACACAAATATCAAGTGGTGCAAATGCTCCAAGAACGAGGCCATCTGACCGCAATGACTGGCGACGGCGTGAACGACGCACCTTCACTCAAGAAAGCTGACTGTGGTATCGCTGTCGAAGGTGCGTCGGAAGCAGCACAGTCGGCATCGGATATTGTGTTCCTCGAACCCGGCCTCTCGACGATCATCGACTCTATCAAAGTCGCAAGACAGATCTTCCACCGCATGAAAGCGTATATTCAGTATCGAATTGCGCTTTGCTTGCATCTGGAAATCTACCTAGTGACGTCGATGATTATTCTGAACGAAAGTATTCGCGTGGAGCTTATCGTCTTCCTGGCTCTATTCGCCGATCTTGCGACTGTCGCTGTGGCATACGACCATGCCTCCTTTGAACTACGTCCCGTGGAATGGCAACTCCCAAAGATCTGGTTTATCTCCTCGATCCTTGGTCTGCTTCTTGCACTGGGTACCTGGGTTGTTCGCGGGAGCATGTTCCTCAAATCGGGCGGCATCATCCAAAACTGGGGTTCCGTTCAGGAAGTTCTGTTCCTCCAAGTCGCACTCACAGAAAATTGGCTCATCTTCGTGACACGCGGCATTGACACCTGGCCGTCTCTACAGCTAGTCACCGCTATCCTAGGCGTTGACATCCTCGCAACGATCTTCTGTCTGTTCGGATGGTTCACGAATGAGGACATGAAGACCGACCCTGCCGACTCATTTGTCGAAACCAAAAACGGATGGACTGATATCGTGACGGTCGTCCGCATCTGGTGCTTCTCGCTCGGCGTGGAGATTGTCATTGCACTCGTCTACTTCATCCTCAACAAGATTAAATGGCTCGACAATCTCGGTCGCCAGAAGCGCAGCAAGGGTGAAATCAAGATGGAGAACTTGCTCGGTCATCTGGCTCGCTTGAATATTGAGTACGAAGAACCTGGTAAGCCTCCAGGCCGATACCATTTGGCTACAAGTAAGGAGGAGGAAGGCATGGAGTGAAGGGCCCGGGAAGGGGCAAGGCAGTTGAGTAATGATGGGTATTCCTGGATTCCGATGGGGGTCGCTATGTTAAGGGAGAATAACCGTCCCTTAATTCCCGACTCATCGGCGTCTAGAGTAGATCCATGTGCAGTGGTTTATGTTTTATGGCTGGAAGAGGGGAGAATGGCGGAGTATGGTTTCATTCTGCTTTTTTATTTAGTATGTTGCTATCTATTTTTTACTTTTTATTTATTCTAATCAGGTGCAGAAAAAAAAAACCTTTATTGTTTAACCTTCGGGTTTTCCAATTCCCGTCCAAGTTACTCCGCACATCAAAAGGGAATTATGAACGGGTGGGTTATACTTGGCAGTAGTACATAACAATCTTAGTCGATTGCAAGTTAGGCTCGGCTCCGTGTCCGCCTTCAGTAAATGCTAAAGCACTAAAGCACTGGAGTAGATGGGTGCTGACGAACTGCTTACGCTTAGCAGACGCCACCTTGAACAGACCAGGTACTAGCGACTTTCCAAAACTAAAGGATGAAATTAGATCCCTTTCCACTCCGAACAAGCGGCATAGAGAACGATGAGCTTTGACCCTTTAATCAAACTAAAGGCTTTGTTATATTAATAGTATACCTATATCCAGATTTCACCCGTAGCTTCCATCAATGGAATCTGCAGGTTTAAGGCCCTCTGACATGATAATTTCTGGTTTGGGGTCTGACTCTCACTACCTTCGTTCGTAATGCAGCGCCCTTGAGATAGAACTAGCTAGCCTTGCGCAGACCAAGCCTCCGTCAGCTACCAATAGTTCCAACACTGGGGGCCTGAGTCGGTACCTGAACTAAATTATGAAGGATTTCCTAAACGCGTTCTTGGTCCACTTTCATTTCCAACGTTATCTATAGATCCAATGAGTGTTGACGGGACTCCCGATATTTGCTAGTGGTTGTTGACCTAAACGTGCAGGAGCGGGGTTCAGAGTAGACCAAGCCCAAACAAGGAGATACACACAAATTGAAGGATTCTACATCGTATCAGGTCGACACCTTTGCCCACGCGAAGAGCTTGGCAAAGGATGTGTATGGGAAACTAAGATTTCAATGATTGTCCGGGGTGACGTACGTTCAAATGTACTCATTTTCCGAGCTCATGAGATTGGAATATATAATTGATCAGATTATCCCCCAACCTCCTGTCGATCTTCCCATCTTGAAATATATCCAAGAGCTAGTTTCGGTAGGCGAAGATTCCTCGATGCACGAAAATGATATAATTCAAGGGCTAACGTGGAACAATGGATTTAGGTACACAATGAAGTACTTCACTACTTTGGCCCTCACCCTCGCCTCCGTGGCCACTGCCGACTGGGCCCTCTACTGCGGCGATTCCGTAAGTTCAAACCAAAACCCTCAATTTCTTGCCATGTTATTCAATGCCACTAACTCAACGGGATCAGTGCACTGATGGTACCCTCGTCGCGTCCGGCTCAGAAGCCGAATTATCATGCACAAGCCTGGGTGGTACATACGATTACTGCTACATTCTGGCGGACTCCATCTACTATGTAGATTGGTGGAAGGCAATCTTCACGGAGAACATTGACTGCATCATCTCTGGTGTTGCAGGAGGTCGCGAGAGTAAGGGGCTGTACAATGGCTCATGTACCGAGGCTGGGTCCTGGAAGAGTTACGAAGTGGTCGTTAATGCTTAGCTTTACTGATGTTTATCTTGAGTGAATTGACTTGGCTGGTAGAGCAGCAATGGATAGAATGTCAAAGACGATGAGTAATATTTAAAGACATCCATGTATGGCATCACTGGAGATAATTATGGATTGGGGGTATCAAGGAAGGTTGGGTACATAAGAAAGAGTGAAATCCAGTGGGCAGTGCATGTGATATAAATGAGTGGAAGTAATGCTCATTGTCGTTGATAGAGTTTGACCAATTTCTCTGGCGGTTTGCTTTCCTTCTGTCTTTGGGAACAAATATCCACTTGAGCCAACAAGCTTTGAGGATAGTGGGCTTGGTGTATTCGAAATTCACGCACTGAGGCGTCGGCGTCCAAGAGATGCTTAGTTGTATCCAATACGCTTGGCGCGACGGAGGTTCTTAGTCAAGCCGTGGGTGAGACCTTCAACCACGCCATTGGCCTGTTTCAGGCCATTCAAGAGACCGAAGAGATCTGAGGTGAGAGGTTTATTGCTGTTGCTGTCGTCGTCATCATCGTCATTGTTGTTGTCGTCTGACTGGTCGATAGGTGTAAGGTCGGGATCAGCAAGGTCTTCGGGGTCAATCACAGAGGGCTTGCTAGTAGTGGTCGGCTTAGGAGCAGGCTGAGTAGTAGTTGGCTTGTCGGCAGTCGGCTTGGGCGCGGGCTCAATTGTAGTCGGCTTATCAGCAGTCGGCTTGGGCGCGGGCTCAGTTGTAGTCGGCTTATCAGCAGTCGGCTTGGGCGCGGGCTCAGTCGTTGTCGGCTTAGGAGCAGCTGCGGGCTTGGTCGTGGTAGTCGGCTTGTCAGTCGGCTCTGGCTCTGGCTGCGTAGCGGAATCGGTAGGCTTCGGCTCGGTGGTTGGCTTGGTGGCACTGGTAGTCGAGGCGGTAGTGGGTTTCGGTTGATCATGCCCACTGGATGAGGAGCCAGATCCAGAGGAGGAGGAAGACGAGGACGAGGAGCCGGGTGCATTGGAAGATTGCGAGGTATTCGGTGAGTTAGTGGACGTTGGTGCAGACGCCGTGGCCGACGCCGGGTTGGACGACGACGACGAACCGGAATTCGGACCACCAAGCGCCTTGCGCACGCCATCAATGAACCCTTGGTTCGCATATGCCTGAGTCGTATCCCACATCATTACACCACCAAAGCTTTCGAACTTCTTCGAGTATTCGATCACATCGGCAAGTTTGTCGACAGGCACGTAGCCGGTGCTGGCGGCAGTCGTATCGGCTGGCACGCCCAAAATTACCTTGACGTTCTTGTTCTGCGACACGGTCTTGGCCCAGTTGTCCCATTCTTCGAAGTTATATTTTGAGCTCTTGCTGTCTGCGTTGAAGTTGTTTACGCCGCAGAAGTTGTTGTAGAACTGAACCCAGACTGCATCGATGGAGACGGGGCCGTTCAAGATATCCTTGTCGGCGGCATCGGGGTATGGGCACTGGGGGGCCGCCGTCAGGAAGTACTGTTTGCTCGTCTCCTTGTCCATCAGGGACCGCAGCTCATTGGCAAAGGGAGCCATGTTTGTGACACTGGCTTCAAAATCGAAATCGAAACCATCCATACTGGCGCTACCAAATGGGCGCAAGGCTTTAGAGCCATCTTGCTGGGGTCCAAAGGTCTCCCAAATCAGCTTTGCGCCAGTTTTGGCATCCGACTCCGACTTGAAGCCACCCTCGCTGTACGTTGCGCCACCGATGGACAGGAGAATTGTTTTGCCTTTGTCCTGGCATGTTTGGATATCCTGACTATTGGGTGTTAGTCTGGCCGGGACGCCAGCATCCACAAAATCACTTACGCAATCTTAGGACAGTTTTTCAGTTGTGTTCCGGGAAACACATCACAGTCCTGGCTGGTGACGGAGAAGTCCACCTCGGGGACACCACCGGGTCCGTTGACCATCATGTCGAATGCGATTGGGATGACCTGGTTGCTTCAATTAGTCTGCTCTCCCTTTCAATCCGGCCCTAATCTCCCATACATCAATGTTGTCATCTAAGATCCGGTTAGCCACTGACTCTCGCATCCAACTCCGGAAGATAGACTCACTCTCGCAGTAATGTGCCAACGACTGCTGCACTTCGCCTCCTTGTCCTTGCAGCGAGTTTTGGCCTTTGTACTTTGTTTAGCCAACGCCACTCTCTTTATCACTTCACTTAAACATACCCCAGTAGACGACGATATTGCTGTCCGAGTTCAAGTCAAGCTTTGCCTGCACTGCCCCCAAAGAAGCCAGCAGTACTGACCAAGGCAGATACGCTTGAGACCGACGCATCTTGTCGATTCGAAATCTAAAGAATGAAAATGAAGGAAATTAAGTATTAAGTGTCGAATTACTATGGAAATGAATGGAAGGGATATAAACCCAAAGAAAGCACTCCAGACCAAGATCACACGAGCCGTGGAGCGGCTCAACGCGTGAGCATATCTTAAATAGATATCATTGAGGTATTTTGCTATCCAGTTGCATACCTTAGACAAAAACAAACACCTCGCCCTTGTACGTCATCGGGGCTCTGCGTCCGAAGCATGGTCGGCTCTCCACGCCAGCAACCAGACTGACAAACTTCCGGACTCCACCCCAATGAGGGGCTCTGTATGCAATATTCGTGGAAATAATTGCCTTGTGTTTTTGATTCGCCTTCCAAGCCTCACTCGGAAGATGGGATGCATTCCATCTGTGTTGTCAGGGGGTTTGGTGGGTCTTCCGGAATGCATCCCGGTACAGGGCAACAATAATCGACGCTGAAATGCGATCTCGGCCAAGAAAAGGGAATCAGAAACGTAAGATGCTGGACGTGTCCACCTGGGGGACATTAAAATACTTTCTGTATCTCACATTGTGGACCTTTCGAGTGCCAGTTAATTTCCGACAAGAATCTCGAATCGTCTAGAACTCTAAGTTCTATACACAAGTACCTATCAATTTATCTTGCAAGAGAGCTTGACATATCAACAATAGCGTTATACAGATGACTCAAAGCACAGAAGGCCCAGGAATAGATCATCTATATCGAAGGCTCGCGAACCAGAAAATGGTGCACCATAGGCTCCAACCCTCCATACTGGGAATAATCAGTAGACACTGTCTCTACTAGCTTAAACCCAAGATTAAGATATAGTTTCAATGCGGCCGGCTCCGACATAACATATGTCTTCAATTTATACTGATCGGCAATTTGCAACCCACTTTCAACCAGCATCGTTCCAACACCACGCCGCCAATAAGAAGGGGTCGTGGTCAAATAGTCCAGCGCTAGCGAGGGATGTCAGCCAAGGCATTCACAACCTCCAAACCTTGTTCACCTACTTAGGAATGGACCATCTCGCGTGACCCGCTCATCAGCAGCCTCGAGGGGTGCACTTCTGTAATTCATCTCTGCCCCAGACTTGAGGCCGATGGGACGACCGTTTTTCGTGTATGCTTGAGCCAGCTTTTCAAAAACTGCTCGCTCATCAGATGTGACCTCGGCTACTTGGGCTTCTTGCCAGACATCATTTCTCGCTAGATGAGGAGGGAGTAGCCACCGCCCGTATCCAACGATTTCGCCCGAGCGGACGTCAATCACTTTTTGATGTCGTTTGGTCTCTCGTCCACTGATCAGGTTCCAAGGGACGCGGTCGATGGCTTTGGTAATTATGTCGTTAGGAAGAACATTGTCTTCCCATTGTTTTACCCAATGGGGATCTGTGAGACGGGCGCTCATCATGGCAGTGGCAAGGCCAGGGGCATCTGCCGGGAAACAGGGCTCAATAGCAAATGTCATATTTAATCAGGGTGAACAGAAGAAAGTAGAAACATGCGATGTCTATGGAATTTTGACTTCCTCTCGAGGCTCAACTCAAATCAAATAAAATCCAGGATCGAAGTTGTCAGATAATGACTGGTAAGCAGGACGCCAAGTGTCCTATACTTATCAGCCGCTAGTGGACGATTACGACGGTAGAGGATTCACTGAACATTATTTAGTGCGAAATTCGCGATTTTCTAGGCTGCCATATAACCATATAATAATAGATCGGAAAAATTATATTTGAGATCATGTGTGAGCAGGTGACCAGCAGTCATATCAGCGTATATAAACTATCTAGTCAATATTTTCCCAGATCAGTTTTCGGGCCTACCTCATCGATTGTATATATTCACTAACCAGTTCACCACACCACCATATCTTACTGGAATTCTATACAATTACTCCTAGTAATTAATACCCATCTGACGCACAAAGTAGTCTCTTAATATCTTTGAGAATCTCCTCTAAGCTTTCTAACCACTAGTAATTGTCTCGTCACTCTTTATACTAACACATCAATTTTTACGTATAGTATTATTCACCATAATCTGCTACATTCCCCTGAAGGAACTATCGAATACTGTTATATCGTTCTCTATAAGTAAGCTTTAGATGGAATTTAAGAAGTCTTTGTTTGAACAACATGTAGATAATGTTGAAGGGGTTTAAGGATGACCATAGAACATCCTCAGAGCACATATCGAAATTCCTCGTTCTGCAGATCCGTCAAGTTCTCGTCAATCGAGTGTAAATGCTGTTGACCAGGATCTGATCTAAATCTCTTGTTTCTCTTTGCATTCTCTCTACGCAAGTAGACCCAACTGATAGACGCAGTCACTACTACTCCACAAAGACAGACAAAGCTGCCTATAAATCCAGCACGATATAAGGGTCCCGGAGAGGCACCGAAGATCAGTGGCCCAATGATGTTGCCAATACAATAACCGGCAAAGGTGGATGCACTGGTGGTTGCTTTTTCTGCTGGATGTTAGCTGAACTTTGATCTTCGCAAAATGGGAGAAAGACTTACTGGTATGACCAGCAATATTGGACGCGACCAGTGAGACGGCCAGCCCACCAGAAGCAACTTGGACAGCGATCAAGAAGATTCCAGCAAACAAAAGGCCCTTATTACTGCGAGGTCCCAACCAACAGATTAAAGTCCCGGCGATGGAGATAAGAGCACATATAATTATGCAAAAGTAGCGAGTACCATTGCACTTTCGCGTCACATAGCCAACAAGCAAAATGGACAGTGCAGTGATGGCACCGATCGGACATGTCAATGCCAGTGAGTCAAAGTGACTGAATCCAAATCCATTGATAACAATCGTTCCGAAAGTACCGATTGCCCCAGAAGGTACTCCTGTCAAGAGAATGATGAGGGTGCAGCTGTACGTTTTGAAGTCTCGGAAGGTCTCGAGGAACTGAGCTTTATCGAATTGACGGCTGATTGTGCCTGCTTGGTTTCGCTCAAGTCGGCTAAGAGCAATTTGGCGTTCGCTCTCATTGAGTCCCTTTGTTGTGATGGGACTGTCTGGCAAGCAGAAAAACAAGACCACTGCCCAGGTGGTGGTGATAGCGCCAAGGACTAGGAACATAGGCTTCCATGAGACGAGGGGTCCATGAATCTGCCCAAGTCCATAGTTAATCAAAGGAGCAATAGTAGTGGCCACCCCAACACAGCAATACCAGAGTCCGGTACGCAAGGCCTGCTCATCACGAGTCCACCAGAATGTGACCAAGACCGTGAATGTGGGCGCGACAGCGGATTCGAGAAGGCCCAGCACAAGCCGATTGACCATGATGCCAGAATAGTTGGAGCAACCGGCAGTTGACATGACTACTATTCCCCATAGAAATGTCGCCCCCGAGATGACACGTGAAAGCGGGAAATGCTGCGCCAGATACATCATGGGGTATGTGCCCACCAAATAGCCAATATAGAAGATCATCGAGGCATTCGAGTACCGTCGGTTGTTCGTGATGGCTGTGCCATCTGCTTCATATCCAACGATGGTGGTCAAGCCTAGGTCATCGTTGAAATTGAATTGTGTGGCGGCACTCATGATGCCTTTGTCGTAGCTTTGCAGCATATATGTGAACATCATAAGCGGAACGATCCTGGTAGGTCAGTATAGGTACCAGTGTCGGGAGAGGCACAGTGAAGAAGTACCATAGATCGAGCTTACGGACAAGTCGTCGCTCTTCTTCTGGTGAGAAGGGATCGGCGTTCTTGTCCATTTCGTCCACCTTCTCCACCTCTTCGAGGTTGAGCTTCTCGACGCGTCTGATGGAGTCATCCATGTTCAAAGGTAAATGATTCAAATATCCAACCGGGCTGATATTGCAGAGCTGCAGCAGACAGCTCGGTATTTATATGTAGCATTCCATTATGATACAGCTCGATCACAAAAAGACTTGAGTTTCCCCGGATTTGCAATTCAAGCTAGAGACAATTGCCGAAATTGCCGAAAGGGCCGGTGGGGAGGCCCCACACACTTAAAAGATGTTTTCTCGATTCCCCGCGGCAATTCTCTCCTCTACTCCACCCTCTGTGATCCACAAGATGGACAATTCCGGTAAAAAAGCCGGTCGACGATCTCGTGTCGCATGCAAACCATGTAATCAACGCAAAATACGCTGCGATGTGACGCAGCTCGGTCCACCCTGCACAAACTGCCAGCACGAGGCGGCTGTATGCGAGATTCTTCCGCGCAAAAAGCATCGGTGGGTGGAGCTGTCTATTCATGGTCTATGATCTAATGTGTTGATTTGAGGTAGACCGCGTATGTCAAGGGCAGCAATAACTAGAACAGAAGATACACAAACAACCGTCCACTTAGGCGATAAGACGACGGACGTGGCCACAGACACAGATGGAGTTTTACCTGACGATAGTGCCTGCTCCTATATTGGTCAGTACCTCTTGTCCATACGCTGCAGATGTGGAGACTGATATTTCTCAGGGGATACGCGCGGTCCAAGGCAATCAGTGTATGAATTGTGTCACCCAGGGGTCCCACAGGAAGCCCATCAATCGTCACCCGCAAACCTTGAACCTGGCAAGATCTCAGGGACAGGCACGAATCTTCGACCACATGAGATAGAATATATCAGACACGAAGGAGGGTTTGCGACAATACCAACGGATGTCTGTGATGAGCTCATCAAATGTTATTTTCACCATGTGCATTTCTTCCAGCCGGTGATCGAAGCACCCGCATTCCTCAATGAGTATGTACAGAATGGAACACGGAATATTAGCCCTGTGCTATTTTGGAGTATGCTTCTTGCAGCCACCAATGTGAGAATGCCAAAATAAACTCTCGGAACCAGCACTAATAACCTGTTAGTACGCTGACATTAAGGTTTTGCAACGGGCGGGATTTGAAACTCGGAAATCCATGAAAAGGGCGATGTACAGAAGAGCCAAGGTGTGTCACGCTAGAATATGACAAACCAAGATAACCACTAACCCTTCTTCGAGGCTTTTTACGACGTTGATCGCAGCATAGATAAACTTGTCCTCATTCGATCAGTTCTATTGATGAGCTTCTGGTATACAGACGCTCAGGATCACACAGGGGCGTCACACTGGATTGGGATTGCCATTACGCTGGCCCAAGGAATCGGCATACATCGCTGTGGCAACTCTTCAACACGAAATAATCAACTATCGTCATCTGAGCTTCAGCGTCTCACCCGTCGTCTTTGGTGGACGTGCGTGGTCCGAGATCGGTGGGTATCCCTGGCCAAAGGCCGACCTATGCGAATCCATGATGAAGATTGTGATGCCCTCTTTCCTAGTCCTGATGATGTACTGCATGAATTGCAGCTCGTTTCAGCGGAGGCCCGGCAGAGATTCATCCCTCCAGATCTGGACTGCCTTGCTGCTATGTGGGTAAGGCTGGTCAGGACGAGCTTTGTGCTTGGCCGTATTTTACGTGCTCATTATACACTTCAAGCTCCTAAGGCAAGTGTCGAAGAGATCGATGGGTTGGCTGCAGAACTGCTCGAATGCCACCAAAGTGAGCCAACTGTGATATACGCTGCAAGCGATACTGTCCGCATTCACGAATACCACCTTCAGGTTTTTTACCAGTGTGTACAATCCTGCCGTGTTTTCATTTCCTGTCTAACATATTCCAGGGCGAGTGTGACCGTGCTCTATCGGCCATACGTTCTGAATTCACCTTCTTCATTTCCGGAAAGTTCGTCGACCACCTGGCAGAAAATTGCGCAGAATCGGGCACGAGAGGCTGCCTCGATGACAAATCAGGCCCTTGAAAAGATGATCGAGCTAGATGTTGTCAAATCGATCAAGCCCATGTTGTAAGTATGTCTTTTTGGGCCCGGGACTACATCACTGACATCGGTTATTTGTTAGCATCACATCCTTGATTCCTGCCATGCAAATCCATCTATTCGACTGCAAATCCAACAGTTCACTTCAAGCCAATCTTGCTAAAAACAGACTCAATCTCTGTCTGCTATTTCTAGAGAGTTTGCGCGATACTTATTGGAGCGCTGGTGTTATGTATCGACTCTTCGATCGTGCGCAGGCTATATTGACCAATCACAACAACCATGGAATCCAAGACTCGAATACCCCAAAAAGGACTGCTCTGCCCAATATACCCAATCAAGCTATTGGGCAACAAGATGGTAATGGTACTACGACGGAGATTATGACCGCCAACCTTGCACCGTTTATACCGAGTGGTTCTGGCGCTGGTGTCCTTGGGGCGGAAGACATTACAGGCGGATTCAATACTCATTATTCTGCAGATTTCAATGCTCTTGAGCAGTTACTAAGCCCTGGGTTTGCATTGTCAGACCATCAATCTCAGGGACTATTCACGGATTTCGCTGGGCATGGAATGGAAGGAGAGTTACCGATGAATATGTATAATATGTGAAACAACAAGGTAACCCTTGATCATCACTGTTTTATATCTCAATAAATCAGATAATTCTAGTGGTTCATAACACCAACTCCACATGAGCGCTTTCTTAAAGGCCCCTTGCATAGATATCAGTAGGGGGCATCCAAACATTTAACCGGGAGAAGTACCTCTCAATTCTCATCAAAGATCGCGCGTAGGGGATACTTCCGGCAATTCGGCAACCAGCAGCGTGGCAGCCGCCCTACGATCTGGTACCACATAGCCAGAGTCTATCTTGTATAAAGAATGTTCTGCGGGGGAACTCCGGGGTAGTGCATGTGTAACCGCAGCGCATGGTGCAGCAGGCTCGAGAGCAAGCCACATATAAGTTGGCTTTGGTAGGTCATATTCTCTATCGTTTTTGTTTGCAAGCTAACAAGGTAGTGCTTTCCGTCTCATGGCACCTTCGTACCTCCGTATACTCCTTGTAGGAGTCACAGCTGTAGCGGCTACCCTGTGTGGAGACATACCACTTCCGCTAGGACAGTCCTTAGGAGGCGTCTTCAACATATCAATCATAAGTGATGGCATTGATCGCAGCTTTCTTCTCTCTATTCCACCAAAGTACCATCCACACATTCCAACTCCCGTCATCCTGTCATATCACGGGGGGAGCCGGACAGCCGAAAGTCAGTTGCAGCTGGACCAACTGACTAATCCTGAGTTCAACACCAGGGACATCGTTGTGTATCCCCAGGGAATAGATGTAAGAGCCCAAAGACCTTCGAAATGATTCTCCAACTATCAAACACAGTCTCTCTAACCTTCGTGGCCACAGAACAAATGGCAAGGCGTCCCCGGCGTCACGACCAACGATATCAAATTCACAAGTGACATCTTGGACCAGATAACTTCGCAATATTGTATCGATACCAATCGCATCTGGACGACGGGCAAATCCGACGGTGGTGGCTTTTGCAACCTACTTGCGTGTGACCGCGAGATGTCTAGTCGTTTCGCTGGTTTTGCTCCCGTCTCCGGTGCATATTATGTCGACACATTGCCTTGTCTACCATCGACAGTCCAGATGCCTTGTAACCCATCACGAACGAATATACCACTACTAGCATTTCACGGTGGAAACGACACGACTATTTCGTATTGGGGCGGCGAACGGAAAGATGAGTGCCTGCCAAGTATTCCGCATTTTATTCAGCAATGGGCTGCACGAGATGAGCTAAGCAGTCGACGAAAGAAAACGCTTGCAGTTGCATCTGACACCGTCGTTTACTCCTTTGGTCGGGGATTGGTGGAGTTGGTATATGACTCGGTGATTGGTCATGACTGGCCCAGTACTGTTGCCAATTCCGATAACCAGGAAGCCGGTCACCATGTGGCTAGTTTCAACGCCACCCCCATCATTCTTGACTTCTTTGATCGGCATAGTTTGTGAGGGGACGGCAATACTTCGGTCAATTTGGGTGGGGCGGTTAACTCGGGAATTATCTCGGCTCAAGTAGTGATCGCAGCCAACCCGGTTCTTTTGTCAATGCAACCATTCCAGAAATCAGACATTCTTACTATAAGAGACTTGGAGTTGGATGTGAAGACTTGTATTTGCACAGTGAAAAAAAATGACACCCGCTCCAAATGGGGATGGCCATGAGCCTCGTTTCTCTCTTCCGCCTACCACGCCACTCTCAAGCAAAACCGAAATGGCCATTGGTGGGCTTAGGATCTATGTATATGGATTAGAGGAGGTCAATGCGAGTCAGTCAAGTGAGCAGACCGGGGAGGTTGCAGTTTTGTATATGGCACACAATCGAACCCGAACCTACCGGGTCATGGAGGACATGGCACATGAAATCCTTCATCGGTATCGGACAGACAAGCGACAGGGCGGGTCAGTTGGGCTGATCGCCGTGACCATGAATATGCGAAACCATGGAGATCGCGAGGTAAGTCAATTGGCCCCGTCCATGTATTTCCATATTAAATGTCCACCCAGGTCGATCCTCACGCAAACAAGACCTGGAAGAATGGCAATGAGAATCATGCGTATGTCCCGATCATCATGCTAAAAAATAAGACATGAACACTAACTTTGATAGTATGGATCTGGTATCCATGATCTCTGGATCCGCACAGGATTTCAAACTGGTGCTGGATTACCTTCCAACCTATTTAACCCAATTCACTCGATTTTACAACGTCATGTTCGGGGTTTCCCTCGGCGGACACACAGCGTGGCGCATCGCCTCATTGACCTCACCAGGCCAATTCTACGCGTACTCCATGGTCGTGGGCTGTCCGAGTTTATCAACTCTTCTTCTAGGCCGTCTGGGTATCGATCCGACAATAGGAAATAGCCCGGGGGAGCCATTCAATTATGAGAAACTTCGTCAGGCGATGAACCCGCAGCAACAAAAACGATGGCCTCGAGCTTTGGCAGAGATGGTGGTTCGAGATGATCATCAAGTCACAGATGAATTTCCCCATGTGCCGCTGCTTTTGTGTAACGGGAAGTTTGACAAGTTGGTTCCAGCGAAGTACACAGCCGCTTGGGTGGAAGAACGACAGAGGCGATCAGGTGGCAAGCAAGATATTACCTTTTTCGTACAGGATAACACGGGACATAGTTGCACCAAGGAGATGGTGGCGATGACGGCTGAGTGGTTGCGAGATATTCTCCCTTCTAGCTCTCCGCAGCCGGTCTCATAATGTGAAGCCCTTGCAAGGTTCCAATGCTTCTATTACTGATGGCTTCATGGGATATCATTTACTCTGACATAGAAATATTACACCTTTAGAATTTTCCACTGCTCAGAGGCGCTTGTGGAGCCCTAATTAGCGTCGACTCAGCAATTCATCTAGAGAAGGCACGATTTCTCGAAATCAGGAAGTCGAGTATACGCCGCCCTTCGCTTTGTCAAATCCCAATTCCTCTCTTTTTCTAACCTTTAATCCCCCTCATCCAATCTCACTCCCGCAACCTGGCCTTGAGATTCGTCTGTTTGAAATTTTACTTTGAGATGCAATGATAAACTGGAATCTGTCTATGCGGGGCGAGGTCTATGTGTCGACGTGGAGTCCCGTGAACAAATATGAATTTACAAAGTCTTCAGAGAATTTTACCCTGTAGAGTATTCGTTGACCTGTCGATGTCAACGTGGCTTCTAGTATAACACCTCGATCCCTTCATCGTGGGATACCAATGACCCGCTGAATGGCCTCCTCGTTGTCCATGGCCGAGTCAATAACACCAGCCACCTTGAGAACATCCACAACACCTTTGATGACTTCACTGTCCACACCACGAGTGCTACTGGTAAATTTGACATCCTTGAGCCACTCCGTAGCATCCTCCTCAATATAAGTGCAGCCAAGCTCACCAGTGCCCAAAAGCTTCACCACTTGAGCGGTATCGGCCTCGAATTCCTGAATTCCAAGGTCCAGAGCCTGGAACAGCTGTGCAAGACGGTCATCATTTGCAGGGTTGGGGAAAAGCGCTGTCGATGACACCATCATCCATGAGGGCCAGGGAGTAAAGATCTCGCCGATCTTCTTAAGCGGTGGGTTGGGCTTCTCCGCTGTCGGGTGGAAGTAGGGCTTGGTTGTGAAGTGCTCCCACATGAAGAATTCAGCCGTGGGGTTGGGTGCTTGCTCGGGCTTAGTCTCGTCCTGGCAAGTCACTCCGTTCCGTAGGGAACCGAAGGGTCCAAGAGGGACGGATGTCAAGGAGTCAGATTTCCATCCTTGCTGTTGGGCGAGGACGAAGGACATGATGTGAGAGCCACTGGTAATATAATGTTAGGGAGTGATTCTCGTGGCCGTATTCCCATTCTTATAGCGGCTTGCTCACCTTCCAAGACGGCTCACTCCGACTCTTGAATCCTGGAGGTCCGGCACCCCGTTGATCTCGCTGCGGTTGCGACCTGTGACAACTGCCCATCGGAGCGGATTGTCGACCCAGTGTCCGATGACCTTGTATCCACCATCTCCGGCGCTTTGTGCCTGGTGCTTGCCGGCCAACCCGGCAACCCAGCCCTCAGTCAAACCAATGCCAATGTCGATTTCATTGCCGCGCAGCGATGTGATCATATGGCCCGTTCCAGACGGGAATGGAGTAAGGGCGATCTTAAAGGGAAGAGATGCAACGGCCTTGGAGCGCAAGGCAAGGTGGAGAGGGGTCAGATAGTGCTCTGTTCAAAATAGAAGAGATTAGTACATCTGGCTCAGATAGCTATAGGCCGTTTCGGTGAACAAGAAGCTTTAAGCGTTACTCGAGGACGTACCAGGCACATAGCCGATGCGAATGGTAGACACAGTGGCCATTTTTCGAGTTTTATATCAGCAATCAACGTATTAATTGCTGTTGAGCAGGGTGGTCGCGAACAAAGAAAGCCGAACTCAATCGCGGGGCTCGCATTTCATCATTTCCCGAACCGGCGCCTGCGGGGCAGACGTGTGCAACACATCTACACAAGGTCACATCTACTGTAATGCGCTCATTCGAATTGCAAGGATATTTGCATTATAAAAGTCGTTTCATTCAAATTATTACAGATCTATGATCGCTATGGTTGGAGTGGATCCCCACTATCTACAGGAATTATATGCCGCAAAAAACAACAGTAGCAAGTCTTTAGGTCATGCGAATATCTTTCTCGCCGGCGCCCCAGCGCCCTTCTTGCTCCTGGGAGCTGCCTGCAACGCGAACGGAGTTCCGAGTGAACATCCAGTACTGCAAGCCCAGGTAGCAATCACAGACGCACTGGAACATACCGCAGAGCTTGAATGCCCAAGGGATAGTCTCCGTGCTGCAGAAAAAGAAGCTCATCTTCATCGAGTCACCGATCAACCAAGAGGCCAAGACAGAGACACGGAAGCCTTTGCAGGAGCCAGAGCGGTGGTTGGCCAAGATTTGTGGGATGGGGAGAATAGCCTCAACGGCGAGACCGATGTAGCCCAGCAGGTTGATGTAAAAGGGGGAGTCAGAGATCGGGGTGAGATGAAGCACGAACAGAGCGACGACGAAGTAGGAGAGAAACATCCAGTACCTAAAGCACAGTGGGTCAGTATTTCCAGCTAGATATGTCTAGGTTCTTTGTCGCAGGTGCTCAAAACTTACGGTTTTGTGCTCTTCCACTGCCAAAAGTCGTAGGGCCGCGTCAGGCCACCGTTGTTGCCGCTGCTAAATGGGGTGTGTTCAATGCCGTTCTTTGCTCCAGTGGCAGGCCGGTTGTCCAGTGCAACCTTGAGTAATGCCGATTGCACTACGATCATAACCATCGCTTGCGCCAGAAGGGCTTTAGAATAGTACTCTCCGAACCAGTAGAAGACCCTAATACATAGGTCAGTCAGAGTACGCGATATGTGGTGTGGAATCTCACTTCAAGATTGACGCGACTAGCATAATCAGAGGAATGTCCAATGAGAAACCCGCCGAGCTCCTCGAGCGATGGATGCTGAGAATCTGGTCGAGGTATGAGGTAAGAGGAGATGAGATGAGACTATAAGAGAATACGGTTAGCATTGGCATCCCTCTATAGCCAGAATATGAAATTGTTTCAAGCGTACAACACAGGAGCGGCATAGTCAATTGCCAGTTGAATGAGATACATGTTGCCGGTGAAGAAGTTCCGCCGTGCCCGGAAGGTATACAATTCAACTAATTGGCGTGACGGTTCGTTTGTCTCTGGGGATGGGTCGTTTCTGGAGAGGATAGGTGATTTTGTATAAACTCCAGGGGCAAACGATGACCCAAACAAGTCTTGCGACAGGAACGAGGATCGGGAACCAGGAGACCACAGACGTGGCGACGCAAGCGGCTTTTTTTCTCCCCGTTCCAGCTTATGTCAGCACGTCGATCACTGAAGTATAAACATTCATACTCACATTCAACTATCATCTCAAACAGACGATCATGATCATACTATTTTAGACACTTTGCTCGCAAATATCGCAGTGTCTGTTCCCCGTGGGACAAGTGGGTCACTTTACATGGACACGGCAGTTCCATCGTGACGGAGCCGCCAGGTCGTGGCGGAGCCGCCGAGTCGTGATGGAGCCGCCGTGTTGAGCCTGCTGGCCAAATGTATGCATGAGCCCCCTGTCTTTTTGGTGGAGATAGTCGTGAACCTTGGGGCGTGAACTGCCTAATTTAGAACAGACTGGGGTTGGGGATTTCTGCCATTGGCTGTAAAACTGATGGCAAGCCATCTGGTATGGACTAAAGGATAGTCTCGGGTGGTTTTCGATTTTTGGGTTTAAGAGAGCCAGACTTAGGGGGAAATTGAACCCAGGGTCCTTGCTATAAAGGTCAAATGAAGAGACCCGGTATGGACGGATTCATTTTTTGCACGTCATTCTTTGTTGTTGATTTCAAATGACTTGCTGGCTCAATCTGTAATCTTCTTCCTCTTCGGCTTCTAATCTCCTGCGCTATACAAGAACAAAATGAGTCGCACAAATCCTTTTCCAGCCGACTTGATTGATGAAGTCAACAGAGCACATTATGAGGCTTCGCGTGAGGACTTTGCTCGGCAAGCTACACAATCTTATGTCTTTGTCGTTGCCCATGAAAAAGTGACGCGCCTGGACGAATCAGAGTTCATTATCGAGGGTGTCTTCGACGCTCTTGACTCTGCCAATAACAAAACGATGGAAATATTCAGCGAATACTATCCTAATTACGAGCCGGCAAGCTTCTATGCCAAAGGCACCTGGCAACTTATTGGAGAGAACTCGGTGGGCTGGTATCTGTCTAGGAGTGGGACATTGTCCTTAGAAGTCCATGACCTTGAGGGAAACACTTGCCGAATTTATGCAGAAAGGCATGAGATTGAGTAGTATAAGAATAGAATATGATTTGCGTCCGTTAGCTTGTTCGGAAGGAGGCAGAAGTTGATCAACTTATTGTATTTTCACAGGCAGTGTTGCCAGGCATCCCCAGAGAGAGGAAACAGTCAACCGTCATATGCATTAATAGTGATAGACTGAATGGAATCAAATTTCAAGAACGGCTATATCAAATTCCTCGAAAATTTATATCGCATGTATGTCGTATCTAGGAACAACAGCTTATCCCTTAGAATTCAATCCGCCACGCCTTTCCAATCCCAACATTGGGGCTCTTGACAACGGCATAAGGTGCCTTTCCGCCTTGCTGTTCAAAGTACTCTAGTGATGCGGTGGAGGCGGCCTTGGCTCCGTCCTCAATGACGGTAACAGTGCTCTTGTCCTTCCACTCCTTCGGTGGGTCAACAATAATAACACGCTCCACCGTAACGCCAGCCATGCTCTTCAAGTACTCAGTAGTCTTGGGTCCCTTGAAGCCAAGGTCCTCAGACGATAAAGTCGAGTCACGGAACTGGAAGCGACGGTGAATGTGGCCGCCACGCTCATAGTCAAAGGTCTCACCGTCATCAACGTAGAGAGTACCCTCGGCTTCGCCGTTCTTGTTCAGTGTGAGAATGAGAGTATACGGATCCCATTTCATGAGGGCACTGCTGCGGCGAGGGCGGTCCCGGCGGGGAACGATGTGGCCACCCTGGATCAACAAGGGAATCTTGTCCTCGGGGGCGGGGACAGTGTGTCTCTTGCCTGCACCCTGGTAGACGGTAAAGTCGAAGTAATCATAATACTTCTCATCGTCGGCAATGTAAATGTCGGTGGTGAATGTGTTTTCGGTCACCACGGGCTTCGCGAGAAGACCAGTAGCACCTAGGTACAGCTGATCGTCGATGGCAAATCCCTCCTCATCGTCGGGGAACATGTAGTACTGAGGTCGCACGATCGGGGTACCGTTAATCGAAGCCTCGTGGAAAGCAGTGTACCAAGAAGGCAGAAGCTGATATCTCAACCGGATGGCCTGCGAAATGATAGTCCGGTGCGGCTCACTGATCAAGTAGGGCTCACGACGCCGGGTATCAATGTGAGCGTGAGCGCGGAAGAAGGGGTACCAGATTCCAGCTTGGTACCAACGCGACAGCAGCTCCTTGTCCGGGTTATGGAAGAAGCCGCCAACATCAGCACCAGCGAAGGGGAATCCAGCAATGCCGTTGGTCAAAACCATCGGCAAAGAGATGGCCAAGTGATCCCAGGTGGCCTGGTTGTCACCAGTCCACATAGCAGCCATACGCTGAGCTCCGGCGTAGTATGAGCGTGTCAGGATGAATGGTCGGCGCACCTCGCCCTTCTTGCGCTCCAGCAAGGCCTGATAAGTAGCATTGACGAGAGTGATACCGTTCACGTTGTGGATATCACGATGTTCCCAGTTTCCATGGTGAATATTATCCTTGGGCATGGTGGTTTCTGGCCCGTTGAAAACTGAGGGCTCGTTCATATCATTCCAAATGAACAGGTTAGACATTGATCCCTGGAACTTGTCGTACTTGTGGAGACTGTTCCACCACTGCACTGCAGCGGGGTTGAAGCAGTCAACCCAGTGCGAAGAGCCGGGCCAGCACCAACCGTCATACACGTCACCGTCCTTGTTCTGAACAGCAAGACCCTTACTGTTGAGCTCCTGCGAGACATAGTAGTTATCCTTGTTCTTGATGTGCGGGTCGATAAGAACGACAAGCTTTCGCTCAGACTCGTCAAGCTTCTCCTGCATACCCTTCGGGTTGGGGAAAGTAAGCGGGTCCCAGGTAAAGTATTTGCGGTCATCGGTATATTCAAGATCAAGCCAGATCACATCATAGGGGATCTGATATTTGTCGAACTTAGCATCCACTTCCTTTACATCTTCGTCAGTGACATAGTTCCAGCGGCACTGGTGATAGGCAATGGCAAAGTGCTGGGGCAGTTGGGTATAGCCAGTAAGCTCTCCATATGTCTTACTGATCTCCTGAGGCGAGGGGCCAAGGAAAATGAAGAGATCGATACGACCAGATTCGGAGAACCAATGAGTATGCGTGTTGGTCTTCGAGCTGGCGCCCAAAGAGAGCGGGTTCGATGAGGCGGTCTTTTTTACGATGTCGACCCAGGTTTCGGCAGCATTGAGCCAGAAGACACCGACTGTGGAGTTTTTGCGGTGCGCCTGCATGAAAGGAATAGCGCCATACAAGGTCATCGGGCTGTTGAGCTCGTACTCGAAGACGTCGGAGTTGTACATGCGGTATGGGTTCTCATGGTTTCCAGGACCTCCCCTAGATCATTATTAGTTTTACCCAGTCGATATGATAGTGGACATTGAAAGTACCTAGTCTCTTTGAGCGAAAGAGAATCCGCATGCTCAGGAATTCCGAATACATGGTTGTAACCGGGGAAGGTCACATCAATACCAACACTCTCGGGGCCACGAGGTTTGGAATCGGTGTTACCGCCAAAGCTCTCTTCCCACCAAGTGCTTTCATCCTCAGCGGACGGGGACTCAGACTCCCCCTCTTTCTCAACCTTAGGGCGCCAGTGCTCCATGTTCAGAAGACCTTGGTGGTTCAGATGAACATGGGTCTGGCCATCCCTCTGGAATTCCAGCTCAAATGGCGAGTGACGAATTACAGCCTCAAACTTGTCACCTGGCCCATACTGAACTTTGGTGAAACCAGCCTCAGTCTCGGGTTTCAACGCGGCGGACTTGCTTATTTCCAGACCACCAACAACAACCCACTTCTCCGTCTCATCATACCGCTTTTTGTTCACCTTGCTGTTATGTCGGACCTCGATCTCACCCTTCAGGCGCTTCTCTTCGTCGACAATCACGCGCGCGGCACCAGATTCCAGGAAAGACACGATGACAGGCAGGCGGACTTTATCGTTCGTAGTAGTAGTTTTGATCAGGACACCAGTCAATTGACCATCCTTGAACTGTACAGTGGTCGGGTCAAGCTCGTACGGAGAGCTCCATGATGTACCTTGGGCGGAGGCATCGTCGGCGAGAGCTCGGTTGCGCTTACAAAACCCGGATTGGTCGCATGTTTTGAAATTTTCATGCTTCACGGTCACTTTCAAGACAATTGTTAGACTTTACAGCCATTCCACGTAGGTATATAGCTCAAAAGGTGAACTCACCACCGGGGACAACAATGCACCCGATAAGGACCAGTAAAGAGAGGAATAGCGTCCATCGGGACGCGGGCCGGCTCCGGGCCATGCTGTAGACAGATATGCAGTCAGAGACCCTCAATCCCTGGGCAAAAATAATGTTCCGAGGTGGATGATGACCTGCATCCGCAGTGGAGTTTTTGGTGATAGGGAAGCTCCAGGCTGGCCTGACGGTGGAGAGCTGGGGTAAGACACCTAAGGCCACAAGGCAATAAGGTATTCAGGTGTCTAGGCTAACACCCCTCGTGCCCCACCATCGACCAATGGCTGGTCAAAAAAAGACTGGCAGGTATTTATTCTCGCTCTTTCCCTCCTCCTCCTTCTTGCTTCTCATCCCTTGCAGATTTCCCGATCTTCAATTCAATTCTTCAAAATGGCCGACGAGCAGACGTAAGTCATAATCCTCACCCTGAGTACTCCCACACTCTATACTCTCTAGCTTTGGTCTTTGCTTAGCTACCCCTCTTTGCCTGGCGGTGAAGCTAATCAAATTGTTACAGTTTCATTGCCATCAAGCCCGATGGTGTCCAGGTACGAAGAGCTGACTTCCTGCACCGATGAATTCAACGCACGAAGGATTCTACCGGCAATTGAGTCGCATAGACTAACAATATCTACAGCGTGGACTCATTGGCCCCATCATCTCTCGCTTCGAGAACCGTGGCTTCAAGCTCGTTGCCATGAAGCTCACCTCCCCCGGCCAGGAGCTCCTCGAGAAGCACTACGCTGACCTCGCCACCAAGCCCTTCTTCAAGGGTCTCGTTTCCTGTGAGTCGCCGAGTCTTCCGACTCAATCAATTCTAGAATTCCCCCACTAATACCCCACCAGACATGCTGAGCGGTCCCATCTGCGCCATGGTCTGGGAGGGCAAGGACGTCGTTAAGACTGGCCGTGTCATCCTCGGTGCCACCAACCCCCGTGACTCCGCCCCCGGTACCATCCGTGGTGACTACGCCATCGATGTCGGCCGCAACGTCTGCCACGGCTCCGACGCCGTTGAGTCCGCCAAGAAGGAGATTGCCCTCTGGTTCCAGCCTTCCGAGCTCAACATCTACAAGCAGGCCTCCGCCGCTTGGGTCTACGAATAAATCATTCGTCTTCCATGATGTCTAGGGTCTGACGAGTCTGTTCACGACTATCTCTGCAACATAGAATGCGATAATTGAAGACAGGCCTCTGATGGCTTTGAAAACCCAATACAATATACAAGGATCATATGATTCATCATTATATTTCTATATTAGATCACACTTGGTAATTCCTTCTCAAGTTCTCCCAATTAGCCGCTTGGCTGCTCTGGTTGTTGGATTAAGAACGACTCGCGCAAACCAAGGCGTTGCCCAAGCACTCGCCGCGATCCGAACGGGCAATAGAGCCTTTGTAATCGCATAGGCTGTCGCAAATTCGAGGATCAGCCGCACGCCTGCCCTTTCCTTCACGGTGGCCCCAGATGCCGTTGCTTCATGCTCTGTGAAAACACTGACGTCGGATTCATCGACCCAGTCATTCTTCCTTAGCCAACGCCCAAACCGTGCAACCCCTTCATCGAGAGCGTTGTTTTCCCCCGATCCTGATGCTAGGTCTGGCATCCAATTGCCGTAGTGGAATGCCGCGACCAGTCCGAACAGGGGCACGATGGCGGTGATTTCATGCAAGATGAGGAATGATGTGACGTGGGTCACCGGAGCTCCCAGTAGGGGTGTTGTAAAGGTACGAAGGAAACGAGGAAGTCGATCATTGAACTGACGTAATCGGGAGCGAGAGTCTTTCGGTATTGAGGATTTTGGGGGAGTTGAGAGATTCCGTCGCGACGGAAATCTAGCTTGCGCGACATTCCATTGAAAGCGAGAAAACGAACGTGATGCCATTGTTAGCGGCAAGTTGAACGACAATGACTCGGGAGTCTAGGCTTCAACAGGGAAACATGGTTAGCTTGGGCAATGGGGAGCACAGGCTGTATTCCGAATTCCACCATCGATGTGATTAGATCGAAGGCGATCGCGTATCGCGCTGAGTAATCTGGCTCGGGTCGATCCTTGGATTCAAACAATTTTTAACAATTTTACATAGAAAATTGAGGGTAATCTTCTCGTCGAATGGTTGATGCATGGAGGTCCAAGCGGCCATTTCATAATAAGTAACAGAAACGGAGTAACTTCAGGCTTTAAAACAGGTCTACACAATGTAGATCCCAGTTTGTGGGTTGGCCACCGGCAGGCGGAGACATCACCAATTCCCGGCTGCGGCCTGCTGGAGAACCCATGAATGGTCCGGTCCACCTCGGCCCAAGTCTTTTCTTGCTTCCTAAACCTATTCCATTGCATTCAAAACAGCCATCGCGATGGAGAAGAAACTCACAGAGAAGATCGCGGCCTTGCCGCCGGACGCAAATTACTTCTCCCTAGAATTCTTCCCGCCGAAGACTCGAATGGTGGGGTAACCCCGCGCATGAAATATTGCTGAACCAGAAATATGAGCATCTGCTAACGACAATGCTACTTTAGGGTTTGGTCAACCTGTCTGCGCGTTTGGAGCGTATGGCACAGGCCCTTCGTCCGCTATTCGTGACGGTTACTTGGGGTGCAGGCGGAAGCACAGCGGCCCGATCCCTCGAGCTGGCGGAGGTTTGCCAGCGCCAGCTGCAGTTGACTACCGTTCTGCACCTAACATGTACCAACATGAGCCGCGAGTTGGTGGATACGGCGTTGATGGAGGCAAAGGCGCTGGGTATCCGCAATATCCTGGCCCTGCGTGGAGATCCGCCCCGCAGCGAGGAATACAACATGGATGGAGAGGACGACAGCAACAAGGACTTTACATTCGCTGTGGATCTGGTCAAATACATTAAGAAGACACATGGTGACTACTTTTGCATTGGTGTCGCTGCGTACCCGGAGGGTCACCCGGCGGATTCTTTCCAGGATGTGCAAGATCCTATGCGCGATCTGCCTTACTTGATCGAGAAGACTGTTGCCGGTGCAGACTTCATTATGACACAACTGACCTATGATCTGGAAGCGTACCAGAAGTTTGAGAGTACACTTCGGAGCCACGAGTCGGGTGTCTTCAAGACCATCCCGATTATCCCAGGCCTGATGCCTATCCACAGCTACAAGATTCTCACCCGTGTGACAAAGCTCAGCCATGTCAAGGTGCCGGACGCAGTTGCTAAACGCATTGAAGCTGTTAAACATGATGATGATGCTGTCAAGCGAGCCGGTGTGGATATCGTCAGTGAGATTGTGGGAGGTATCAGAGAGCTTCCGTCCCCCGGGCCACGGGGTTTCCATTTCTATACGTTGAACTTAGAGAAGACAGTGTCGTTCATCCTGGAACAGTGTGACATGATCCCACCCTTCTCAGTGAACATGGACGATACTGCGATAGACATTGACACTACCGTGTCTATTGATGACGTCCCAACCCGTACCTTTCAGTCAAGACGCCGGTCATCTATTAACTCGCAGCCATACAACCGTGTCATTGTTGACAAGCTGTCTGGAAAAGACTCTTCCCGGAGCTCCACACATGAGGCTCTAGCTGACGGCTCGGGCATGCCTGCTCTGCCTCCTAACCGCAGCACAACCCTTCTCATCTCTGAGGGTCTCGGCGCTCTTGGTAGAGAGGCCACTTGGGATGACTTCCCCAACGGCCGATGGGGTGATGCCCGCTCGCCCGCCTTCGGTGAGATTGATGGATACGGTCCCTCTCTTCACGTCACTTCTGCCGTCGCCCGCCGTCTGTGGGGCACCCCCGTCGACCGCTCCGACCTCAACAGTCTTTTCCGGCGTCACGTCTCCGGCGAACTTCACATGGTTCCCTGGTCTGAAGGTGGTGCTGAAGAAGGTACTGGTGGCTTGAACCCGGAGACTGACCTTATTCGACCGGAGCTGCTTAAGCTCATCGATGGCCGTGGCTGGTGGACATTGGCTTCGCAGCCCGCTGTCAACGGCGTCCGCAGTGACGACTCCATCTTTGGCTGGGGTCCCCCTCGTGAGGGCTTTGTGTTCCAGAAGCCCTTCGTGGAGTTCTTCTGTTCCACCAACGACTACAAGACGATCCTCCAGCCTATTTTCGCCAAGTCCAACGAAAAGCTAGCCTGGTTCGCCATCAATCACAAGGGTCTCTATGAGTCTTCATACCCGGTCTCGTCCGGTGACGTCGATGCCGACGAGTCAAACCCGGACAGTGCTAACGCTGTCACTTGGGGTGTCTTCCGTGGCAAAGAGATCATCACCCCCACTATCATCGAAGAAGTCAGCTTCCGCGCTTGGGGTGAGGAGGCATTCCGCATTTGGGAGGAATGGCGCCGCGTCTACCCGCGCAACTCGCCTACCGAGCGCTTCCTCGATACTGCGAAGAATGATGCCTGGCTTGTTTGTGTTGTTGGACAGCAGTTTGGTGCTGGCACTCAGCCTGGCTCAAAGGAGGAAGAGGATGAGGTTAAGTGGATGTGGCGCGTGTTGGCGGGTGAGACGCAGTAGTGACCGACCTTTACTTTTACGACTGCTGGATATACCCTGCAACAAATATTTCAATTATTTGTTTTTTTTTTTCTCTTCTCCATTATGTTTCAGCTTTGTTTTATTTTCTTCTTCATTTCAATGAGAATGCACTTCTTTCTAGAAATGGGCAAAGGATTGATGGTATCATGAGATATGGGATCCTGTATAGTATTTGAGCGTGCAATTGATGGGATGACTACCCAAACTCTATGCATTTCGTTTACTTCGTGTAGGATTACTGAGTTAAGCATCTCCATCATATATTCGTTGTCTCTTCATAACTCATATATATGCACTTAGTAAAACCAAAAAGACGCCAAAATGCTTCTGGACGGAACGCGCTGGTTTATGCTGCCAATGGGAATGACGCAGACAGTTATTCTAAGCCTTTCCGGCGAAGCCATGTTTCTCGAGACCCTCTGCATCAGTGTCAGGAGTAGCAACAGAAGACTGAGAATCTTGGAACTTCTGGAGTGCATCGTCAAGACGACCATATACTCGGGGCGCGCGGCTGGGTTGATTAGACCCGGAGGGGTGCTGGTAGGCGCGAAGTCTAAATACTCATTAGCATACAGAAAGTGGCAGTTACGGTTGAAATTCCAATCAGTGCAAGTTCCAACATACCTAGGACCCTGGCCGGTTGATTCAGGTAGTGTCGAGGCGTAAGTGCGATTAAACGCCTCAACATCCTGCTCGAAAGAGCCCCGTTGAATACTTTCACGGACTCCTTGGAAGAACAGATCCATGGTGTGAAGATTGTGCATCTGAAGAAGAGCCCACGCGGCCATTTCTTTGGCAGCTAAAAGATGATTGAAGTATGCACGGTGGTGGCGTCGACAAGCGTAGCACTGGCAGCCCTCACGCAAGGAAGAAGTATCTTTCGCGTACTCGGACGACCACATATCTATACCTAAGGCCAGTGGCTCCCTCTCATCAGCGCCTTTAGGAGGAGCTGGGAAAGTGAAGTCAAGCGCGATGCCTGCATCCGAAGAATCAGCTACGAAGGGTATGGTCAGAAGGTCTGCGCCAAGCATGACCTCACGAAGGATCGCATGGGGCCCCCTGGGGTCACTGATGAGCAATCGAGGCAAATTCCCCAGCGACTCCGGGATGAAGGTAAGACAAGCAGACTCATATAATGCCAGCCCAGAAAGACGGTCACGGAACTCGTCTGCCAAATCATCCAAGTAGAGAGACTGCTGAGCATTATCAAGCGGCAAAATCGGCGCAAAGTACGCCGCCTGACACTTGTCGTTTGCCGCAACGGCGTCTCCGTATAACCGCTCTAGCGCATCCCGCGTGTACGCATGTGTCCGGTCCACCATCTTGGCCTTCCTCTTGATGCCGGGTGGTTTTCCAGTAACCACATCCGCAAGTCCAATGACAAGATCCGGTTTTAGCTTCTGCGTTGCCTCGATATATTGTTGGGCCGACAACTGGTGGAACCCATCTGAGGTGGAGACCGCAATTGAGGTCTGAGTGTTTACCGGCGGGCAGGGGATGGCGGGGAACCGACGCGGGCCTAGAACCAAAGGCAAGTCGCTGGACGCGCACATGAATTTTCGCAATGGCGACTCATTTGCTTCGACAGGGATTTTGAATACCGGGGAACGGTGTTTCTTTTCGATAACTGATTTAGGTGTATACCTCGTTAGTTGGAGGCAGAAAGAGCGCATGCGTGGGAGAGGTTGGAAAGGAGAATCCAGAGTTTGTGGGTGATGGCGCACATACAATCCTCTAGTCCAACGTATAGGCCATTGATCGCGGTCTCTTTGCGCACATTGTCGTGGGATATATGAGGCACCACGCCCCGCGACGTGACGGGCAGATAATGCGGCGTGGACAAGGTCTTACGGCCAGTGATCGCCAATGTGCCGGCGCGTGGTGCCAGGACGGGCGCGGCAGGGCCCAGAACACTGAAGGTCATATTGGATATTCCTGAAGTCTCGAAGTCCATGGCAGCTCGTTGTCATGGACTGACCATTATGGGAGGGTTGGGGTGAGTCTTATCGGCAGAAAAATACTCGCGGGAACCGCTTAGCTTCGTTTCCAGCCGCCTTGATGGAAAGCAGAGCTACGGCTCTACGGGCCTACGGGTATGAAAAATTAGCAATCGACATGTATTCAAGTTTAACAACTTGATAGACATCGCATCAGGCAAATGATAGTCCAGATTGACACAACGTGAAGAATATACTGTAGAGAATAATAATGTCAGTTTGCAGCGTTTGTTCAAATGTTGTCGCCTATCATCGCCTTCCGCTAGTTTTTCCCCAAGTCCTACCTACGCCCTTCATGCCCATCCCCTTGTCTTCAGGTCAATTTTGGAGGAATGTTAACAAATATGACCAATTTTGGAACCAGATTTCCGTGGTGCAAGGATATTCCATATCCGCGAGGCTGGGAATATTACCCACAGATCTATCAGTCCATAGTCTGCTCCACAGTGGTGATCATCAGCGATAGTATTATCAATAGAAACACACTTCAAAGCACCATTTTTCAGCTCCACGTATATCACCAGGTGGATCCTGCAAGATCTGTGCTTTTATTTACCACGAACCCACTAAGCGACCAGCCAGCCACATGAGACAGCGCATCGTGGGAATACTGCAGCTTACATTGTAGTGTCGATCATGCACGATGCCCGCAGGGGAGCCTCATGCCATACCGTACACCGTGAAAGCAGATCGTCTCGTTGCATTGGGGGATTTCCATTCCTTTCTCCGGTTCTCTAGGCAGCGAATGGCCTCAATTGATGGTCTCTGGGGCTGGAGCTGGAGCTGGAGCTGAATCAACCCAGCATGATTATCCTTGGATATTTAGCAGGTATATATAATACCACTTGGACTAATGACGGACCGAAGCGACATGGAAGCTACTGAAAAGAGGCATTGAACATTTTCTATATCGGTGTCGGTGTTAGGAATTACGAATACATTGAGCAATTCTCAAGACTAACTGATCGACAGATCGGCATCGCGCTTTCCCGACACGAAGCCCCCCTGCATAGTATGTGTTATTGTGTAACAGCGGTGAATATCTCGATTTCCACTCATGCACAGGTCAATAGTTCATGCATGGATGGCTCATTCTTTTCAGGATATTCATGATGAATAAGTCAACTTATCCATCCGGGCCAAGTGTTGAAAGATATAAAAGTCCCTACACTTCCGTACACGATGCTACTTCAAGCCTCTCTTCTCTGAAGTCTTTACCTAAACTCATTTATTTCTTCCGATATTCTTGTGGTCACTCTATCTTATCCCACCCACAAAATGAAGTCCTTCCTCGCTCTTACCGCTCTTGCCGCTTTGTGCCACTCGGCATACTGCTTTACAAAGGGAACCTATACGATCGGTTCAGCCAGTCTCGACAAGACCATGGTGTTGACCGAGGTGACTGGTCAAGAGGACCTCGAATTCAGGAAATCCAATGGACATCCAGCCCAAATTTGGGACTTCACAAAGGACAGTAATAACGCCGAATACTTCGTGGTCACAAACAACATCGGCGGATCCATCACTTGCCCCGAGTTGGATAGCCTATGCATTGTTGATGATGGTGAGGCGCCTACATCCTTCCGCCCGGAATATGTTGGGGGCCAGAATTACGAGCTTGTAGCAAGCGGGAGTGGTTATTCCCTGCAGCTCGCAGCTGGCAACAAGCTGAAGCTTGCTGAATATGAAAGTGGTCACGATCAGGAATTTGTCTTGACTCAAACTTAAAGTACGTGACCAATGACATTCAAAAACATCTCAACATTGAACTAAATGTTTAATTATTATTAGATGTCCTGACACCCATTCAGTGCTTAAGGATGGTCTGGCTGCTCAGGTCTAGAGGAAGCTTGCTATTGAGGAGGAATGCTACCGCACTGGAAAATCAAATGATGCCTGGGGTTACGACTGTAATTATGAAGATGTGATGAGTGTGGGCTCCAATAACAGTCTAAATATACTCGATATATCTACCAAATAATGCCTGGTACTCGGAAATTTTCCTTAGCTGCAGGGACAACGGTAGCCGACGTGGTATCTTGGCGGCTTTGATATACTGTATGTGTCAAAAAAAAGTCTCATCTCAGCACCACGTATTCGTAGTCTCCTGCCCGCAATGAACAAAAGAAGCAGCACACCACGCAATAAGTGACTTGGCCACCATTTTCTAGTTCTCTTTCACAACAGTAAAAACAAGCTTAATGCTGACATTCTCGAGGTGGATATGAGTTCCGATGCCAGTGCGCTCATGGTCCAGTTGGAGTTTGCCTTTCTATAACGACGAAGTTTCAGATGAAATTGAAAACATGGCCCAATTATGGTTGTCCATGGCTCCGTCCAAGCCCATATAAACATCATTAGTATACCCTCTTGTCTGAATGAGAAAGGAGACAGTATCCAGTGTGGATGAGCTTTTCATGGGAACCTGAATATCCGGTAAGCATTCATTTCAAAATTTGTTGCCAACCCACGTTGCCATCTCCATCCTTCTTTTCGAGTCCTGTCATCAAACCATAGTCTAGTGACATTGTTCTGTTCTTAGGTATGGAATATACTGAAAGTCACATTGAATCGCTGATAACGCTGTCTATTGGACCTGTTAACAGGTAAGTTCTCCATGCCTTTTTGCTGACGAGGGCGACTTAGACAACCAGTCCTGCAGATGAGCCTTCGCCCTGCTTTTCCATGGCATCGTCGTTCATGAAATCGAGCACTAGATTTTTATCGGACTCATTGTAGACGCGGAAGTCAAATTGCCATTCGAAGTCAACATTGGCTTTTAAAGTTACCGCTACCTTCATTGTCACCCTAGATCAAATATCGATTGGGCAAATATGTTCAAGCCAGCACGTCAAAGAAGGGGAAAAAGTAGCGAAAGTGAACCAGATATTCATCTCTGGTAGGTGTGATCGAGTCTATGTGGTAAGCATCCCACGCGTCAGTCAAACTTTTACCGCCCTTCAGGTCAAGTCTGGTCTTGGAAATAGGTATATTCTCCAGTGCATCTCATCTGAACAAGACGATACTGTTTTGATGTCAATTTCGCACAGCAGAGAGTCGACCACCCACATGCCAGGGCTCCCCTCCTTAAAGGGCTGGTGTTTGATCGAGTCAAATTAACAGCTGAGATTAGCATGATATTGTGTGGCGTAATACAGTGCTCGTAACCATTGATGGGGGAATCAAGCTTTTTGTTACTGGCAGTCTGAAAGTTTCCATTCAGAGTGATTGTGTGGATCCCCCTATATGATTTGTCGGTATGTGTTGTTCCATTGCCTAGCACGCTGACGTCTAGCTGCGCGTCCCAATATGTGATGACAACCTGGCCAAAAAGCATTTGCATCTTAAAATCCATAATCTCTCCTGGTGGACCCTGCCACGTCATGTCGCAATTAATGGCAAAGGTTGTCAGCGCGCTGCCGGCTTGTATGCATTTCGAACGCCAATCCAACAACCATGTGGGGGGGGGGGGGGTGAATTAGTACTACTTAGGTTCCACTTATGCCCGTGTCAATGCACCTTACCCACTTATGCCCGTGTCAATGCACCTTACCCCTAAGCATGAATATTTCAATCTTTCCAATTAATGAATATACATTCAATCTACGTATTCACCTAGATTGAACATGGAAAGATATGAATTGCATTGCACTTATACCCAAAAGTTTGGCGGTCCAGACAATCCTTCTTTTTCAACATTGAGCGAAAATCATGTGTCCCTTCGGACTTTATTTTTCAGTCTTTCTCTATCTACAGACACAATGAAGTTCTTCCTCATACCGGACGCTCTGGTCGCTTTGTGGAAGACGACTATTATACTTTGGATTAAATCATAGGATCTGAATTCGCTCGATCATTTCCCAATATAGCACATAGCTCATTCCCTTGGACCCTATAAAACTTGCCCTCAACACAGCACGTCGCTTTCCAAGATACTCTAACTCGAAGACAATCCTAGCTTCATCTCCCAACTCTAAAGGTCTGATAGATTTTGCGTTGAGATTTTTACTAGCGCCAAACCGGGAAAAGAGCCTGGGTTCCGAAACAGCTCCAAGCAGAACGGTCGTCATATCATCCACAAGTAGAACAGCGTATCCACCATGTAGTACTTGGGCCTCGTTGTATAATTCCTCAATTACCTTAAAGCGAAATGTGACAGATGAATCAGGTGTTTGGGTAAAACTTTCAATGGATAACAGGACTGGTTTCTGTAGTATGAGCAAAGGGCGCACTATTCAAAAATACTGATAGATGATTATCTTGAGATACCTACCGTTTTGTGAGAGAACATGTTAAGCATCCTCAGGTACTTGCGGGGCATTTGCTCAAAGTAGGCAGCCGGGCATGATGTTTGTGCCATACTTGAAGTCTAAATTGCCAACTGTTCAGCATGGCCGAGCTTCGGAAAGAAACAGTTCAATGATGACAATCATATAAACAAAAAATCCAAAAACATGCATACTTACAGGTTACTTCAGTCCACTTCGTTCACGGACCGGGGGACCTGGTCGACTATTTGAAAAGACAATGCCACTATTCTTCTATGACGGTTGCATAACGCTCTCGTGTCACCTATGTCATAATATATTACTTGAGTCTAGCCAGCTTTAGTCGTTAAATGGCAGCATTGGGGAGAGAAGCCAGGCGAGTGGCAAACATTTGAACGGATTTGTTTGCTAAGGAACGCGAGTTTTGGCGCCACTATACAAGCTGACTGAAGTCGATAGGCAATGTCACGCGAGTCAATCCGTATATCGTACTATCCTTCTCAAAGTCCAACACTACGCCCAAATAAAAAGAAAATTTGTGGCTAGCACTTGGGTAGTACCACTGGACCACTCAAGCAAGCTGCATTTGATCGTCAAGGTGTATGCCGACTCTGGAAGCGGGAGGCAGGTAAGGAAATTCCAACGTTGGATGTGCTCAGTCAACTACCGATCATGGCATCCAAGTATTTTCAGAAATATCGTGGGAAAACTGGGTGGTATTTGACACACAAGTACATATAAATTGTCTAGGTCACCAATATTTAGTGTGTTTTGTTCAATTTCAAATCGACGTTTCCATGTGGTGCCCAAGGTGACCATATATTCATACGATTTGGACAGGTCTCCCCGCAGCAATAAGCCCTCATTGGCACGATTCCGCAAGTGATTGAGGTGATTTTCCCTCGTATTGCTCCGCTCATAGATCCATGTGCTGTATATGGGTCATGTGACCGATTTGGCCACCGTGCTGAGACTTACACAGCTAGGCGTGAATGTGGGACGTGCCCCAACGCGACGAGATAGGTTGAAGTGTTTATTATCAGGTGGACAAGAGATAGTGAGTGTACATGAATCTCTGAATGGGCATGAAACTATATTTTAATATATTCTTCACTGCAGAGCTATTTAAAATATCAATTCCTCATTCAGAATGGCCAACCAGTCAGAGCATGCGCCGACGCGACGCGGTGCGCTCATTGTCGTTGAGGGACTCGACCGCGCCGGAAAATCGAGCCAATGTGAAATGCTACAAGAGTACCTCTCAAGTCAAGGAAAGACCGTGAAATACATTCGGTTTCCAGGTATGTGAAATGCCGTCAATCGGCGGTGATATTATTCTAAATTTGCCTAGACAGAACAACACCCATTGGACAGCTCATAAATAGCTATTTGGTGGGCTCTGCCAACCAAGACGACCATTCCATTCATCTTTTATTCTCAGCAAACCGATGGGAGATCGCCAAAAGCATTGAAGAAGAGATCACAAGCGGAACCACAGTTATCGTGGACCGCTACTCCTACTCAGGTGCCGTTTACTCTGCAGCCAAGGCCAATCCCACACTCTCTTTGGAGTGGGCATGGCAGCCCGAGATTGGCCTCCCTCGCCCGGATATTTGCCTTTTCCTCAGTATCTCCGCCGAGGAGGCTGCGAAGCGCGGTGGCTATGGGGCGGAGCGCTATGAGAATCAGACAATGCAGACACGTGTCCGGGAGCTATTCCGTACTTTGTTTGATCGACAGGAGGATATCCGTGTAATCGATGCTGGAAAGTCACTGGAAGAAGTATCACAAGAAGTCCAGAGCGCTGTCTCAGGTTGCATTTCAACCCTTCAGACGACCGGACCTTTAAGGACTCTGGGGCCGCTTGCCAACTAGGATGCCTAAATCAATCATAATAAGCCATGAAATATTCTTCGCCTATCATTCCACAAGTTCCGCATCATCCCAGTCGCTATCTTCAATCACGACTTCCAATCTGGTGGGCCGTGAGGATAATCCAGTGTGTTTCCCACTGCTAAACTCTGTATCTGACTCCAGCTCTACTTTTTCACACCAATCATCGTCCAATAAGGGGTCATTCTCGGTTATAGAGCACGTTGGCTCGATGGAGACGTCTCGCGTGCTGGTTGATTTCTTAGGGCTGGCTTGGCTGCTCGAATTTTTCGCCAATTTCTTCCGCCTGTCTTTCCTGCGCAGAATCGTTCGGGCTTCCTTCTCAGCTCGGTTTCGAAGACTCAGCTCTTGCATCAAGATTGGCCATTCCACAATTTCTTTGCATGCTGGACAATTGCCCTGTGTCGGCACAAGGGCACCCGGGACGTCACCTGCAGTGAGAAAATGGGTAGATAGACACAATAGATGACTGGTGCCTCGGCACAAACTGTGTGGACACATCACGACCTGTTGCGTGCTGGGCTCAACTTGCACTTTGCATATCTGACATTGCAGCTCATCTGAATCATCCAAAATGAACATCGACTTCTCAAGATAATTTTCGAGTGGTGTGTAGTCAATTGAAAGATTTTGAATGTGACCCACTCTTTGATTGTTATTGACGCTACCTTGCATTGAGCAATCTCCATCCAGGATGACCTTGTCCGCGGGAAAAGGCGCATCGACGCGGTCATTCCACACCCTCCAGACGCGATAGACATCTGCGCGGAAGAAACGCACACGTAGAGGCCACGTAGAGAAATAGCCCGATCGCAGTAGGGTATGTAGGTCCTCTAGATGTGCCGTCAAAGACCTCCTAGAGCGACCGGGGCGTGGTTTTGTTTTCCCAGTCTTTGGGTTCACAATGACCTTTGGCTGAGATGGATGATCATCATCATCTGAAATAATATGTCTCGTTCTGTCGGGATGTTGCCAGGCCCATCTAGTCACATGAGAGGATTAGTTTGATGTTGCATAAGAGGATATGAGTAAACTCACTCAAATTGGAGAGCTCCTACGCGGCTCATAAAACCCTCGACGACTAAGACCATCTCCCATGGTCGTAGTTGGTCGCGAGCCGTTCGCTTGGCTCCGCCTTTGGCATCCCCATTGTGCTGAGAAAGTCGCCGAATTGGGTTTGGCGTGGATCCAATGTAGAGTGAGGCGTGTCGGACGGTTGAGCGGAGAAGGTAGCAACAGTAATATCCCGGGATTGGCCGGAGTTCAGCCTGCACCTCCATAGTTGCAGATTGGTCCTTGCTTGTTTTCTTGTTCTGGGAAGAAAGTCGGGAATGTACGGCCACGTCAACTATGAGGATCACATGACAATTTGCGACCTCAAAACTGCCCAACAAGTCTAGTGTCGAGTATGCGGATTTATCATTCTCGCGGTAAGCAATATGGATGAGGCGATTTGGCCCCAATAATGCTTGGCCGATCGCGCTGATCTAGCTTTAGCTTGATGGGACGACGTGCCGCGGTACGGACAAGTCGTAATGTAGATATTGGAATTGAAGGATGTTATGGATCACAATTAGAATTTACAACGCCATTAAAATAACACTGAGAATCAGACGAGGGAAGATGACTGATTTACGCTACCAATTCAATCTATACGATTGATATAAGCAACATGGATCAAGAGGGGAGTGAGTCAATGCATAAAATTCCATGTATCACAAACGAACCCACTCGGTATTGAACTAAAAAAAAAGTGCTCGGACCTGTCGGTAAATACCTGATCCAAGAGATAATCGGACCGTATGATGTGCCCGTTTGCGGCCTCGAACATTAGTGACGGTATAATTACCACATCTTAACTCGAGAATGGCCAGCGCATTACGAGATATGACCGGTATTCTACCAGAGCTTACGCTATATTTCAAAACTTACCGTATATCCCCAATATCAGAGCCAGGAACCACGCCTAAATGGCCGGCCGGAGTCGATCGTGACCATTCTGTGACCATACGGTACTGTATTTGGTCCTATGGAGATCAATCGAGTCACTCACAAGTCCCTTTGCGATGGGTGGCCCACACAGAAGTGACCCCGATGGTACCTCTGAGCATCCGCTGCACATAATCCCATTCCTCCACTATCAAATCTATCTTTCCTTTCCTTTCTTCTCCTTCTGCGGCTTTGGACTGGCGTCCATTTGATTCTCTTACTCCCGTTCTCTTTTCCTCTTTGCCCCTTCACCTCGGCCTAATCTTAATATCGAGGTTCCGAATTCTTCCCATCTTCACACTTCCCAGGAAACTTACCTATCTCGCCCTTGTTCTTCAATCTACCTCGTCACCCTTCCAATGCGCCCATCGCGTTGCCAGTGACCTTTCTTTCGGTACACGAATCGGGCGCGCACAGGCCGGAATCCTCCCCTCATACGCCTCCATAAATTCGACAATCAGAAGAGATGGTGGCTCCGGCCTCGACCGGAGTGAGCCCGATGGCCAACCGGCCCTCGATGGGCCCCCAGCCAACCCGGTCTTCAAGCACCCACCCGTCGCATTCCCACAACGTACCCTTGAGCGCTCGAAGATCAGCACCGCTTGACCTGGCTACCGTAGAACGACGTGGCCAATCCAATGCCCCTCGCGAGCCTTCGAAGCGCATTCGCCCTCATGGCATTCCCGAGGCCCCGACATTTCGCCCAACCGAGGAGGAGTTCAAGGATCCTGTGGCGTACATCCAGAAGATTGCGCCCGAGGGGAAGAAATATGGCATCTGTAGAGTTATCCCACCGGACAACTGGCAGCCATCGTTTGCGATTGATACAGAGGTAAAGCTCTTGCGAGATCCTTGTCATCATTTTTGCTACACTTGCTTGTCTTCGACATGTGTCGAGGCCCACTTCATCTCCTCCCATTTGCTGGTTCAATCCAATTTTCAACTTGGTCGACTGACTCGCAATCCTTTCTGCAGAGATTCCATTTCAAGACCCGTCGACAAGAACTCAACTCGGTCGAAGGAGGTATGGCCCCGCGTTCGGCTGATTTTGCTGCCGGTGGAACCACTCCACAGCGCGGTTCTAACCCAGACTCTAACTCAGGAAACCGCGCCAACATGAACTATATCGATGGGCTCGCCATGTTTCACAAGCAGCACGGGACGAATTACAGCCGGTTACCCAGCGTCGACAAACGCCCTCTGGACCTCTACAAGCTGAAAAAGGCTGTTGAAACCCGGGGTGGATTTGAGCAAGTGTGCAAAACCAAGAAATGGGCGGAAATCGGTCGCGATCTTGGATATAGCGGAAAGATCATGTCTTCCCTGTCGACCTCGCTCAAAAATTCCTACCAGCGTTACCTACAGCCTTACGAGGAGTACCTCGCTCGGGCCAAGCCTGGCGTCCAGCAGCAGCTTGAGATGGAACATGGTGGTCCTTTTACCCCATCCCCCAGGAACTCTCCTATGCTCAAAAAGCCGATATTGGACGAAAATGGCACCCCTTCCAAACCGCGTGAAGAAACACCGTTAATGCGAATGGTGCCGGCTGCGAGTACTCCAATGCACAATCCCGCTGATATGCCCACCCCATCCGTCGAACCCACGCCCCCTCCGCGTCCAGCGCCCTCTGGCTTTACCCCCGTAAATGCTGGTCTAGGTGGCTTTACTGCCGTTAACCACTCTCCTGTGGTTGCCCAATCGCCTGCTGTCCAATCCCCGGGCTTTTCAGTGGTCAACAATGGGCCAGCCATTAAACACGAAGGGGAGAATGGAACAGCAACACCCAAGCATGTTATTGACCACCCCGCTCATTCGACCCCTGTTCCGAATGACCCGGCCGGGCTTCCTGTGAAGCGCGCAATCAGTCATGACAGTGGTTCCCAGGCCGACAATGGAGACGACGGAGGCAGCGGTCGGCGGAGCAAGCGCCTCAAGAAAGGTATTGTATATATTCTATGCGAAGTCTATGGTTAGTAGCTGACAGATTTTATTAGATGGTGCTCCAACCGTGGCAGGCTCACATATGTCCCTTCTCCGACCCGCACTACCCAAGCCACGCAAGGATGGTGCGCCGCGGACCGGCGAGGTAAGTTTCATATTTGAAAATGAATGTTGACTGGTGAAACTAAGCTTTGGTAGAAATGCGAGTCATGCGGGAAGTCTGATGACCGTTCAACAATTCTTATGTGCGATAGCTGCGAACTTGGATACCACACAACCTGCCTCGACCCATCTACAACAGCTCCTTCAGACTATGATTGGCACTGTCCCAAATGTCTAGTAGGAACTGGCGAGTTCGGATTTGAAGATGGAGGTGTTTATTCACTAAAGCAATTTCAAGAAAAGGCGAATGAGTTTAAGAAGCGCTATTTCGCTTCCAAAATGCCATTTGACCCTGTTCTTAACACCCATCGACGGGAAACCGAGGATGACGTGGAAGCCGAGTTCTGGAAGCTAGTGGTGGACTTACACGAGACGGTTGAGGTCGAATACGGCGCTGATATTCACTCTACTACTCACGGCAGTGGATTCCCCACCATTGAACGAAATCCTCTTGATCCTCATTCCTCTGATCCTTGGAATTTGAATGTTCTCCCTTTCTATGGTGATTCGCTCTTCCGTCACATCAAATCCGATGTGTCTGGGATGACGGTGCCTTGGGTCTATGTGGGAATGTGTTTCTCTACTTTCTGCTGGCACAACGAGGATCATTACGCCTATTCGGCCAACTATCAGCATTTTGGTGCGACCAAGACCTGGTACGGAATCCCCGGAGCCGATGCACAGGCATTTGAAGCAGCTATGCGCGAGGCAGTCCCGGAATTATTCGAGGGCCAGCCCGACCTTTTATTCCAACTCGTCACTTTGATGCCGCCGGACAAGTTACGAAAAGCCGGTGTCAACGTCTATGCGGTGGATCAGAGAGCTGGTCAGTTTGTCTTGACATTCCCACAAGCGTACCATGCTGGCTTCAACCACGGCTTCAACTTCAATGAAGCAGTGAACTTCGCTCCTGCCGATTGGGAACCTTGGGGCGCAGCGGGAGTGGAACGCCTGCAAACATTCCGCCGGCATCCGTGTTTTTCTCACGATGAACTTCTTTTCACGGCTGCTGCTCGCGATACGACTATCACAACTGCCAAGTGGCTAGCACCCGCACTGGAGCGAACTTGTCATCGAGAACTCGCCGACAGAGCATCGTTCCTGACCCGCCATCGGGACGCTATGCCTCACAATTGTGGTATTGGCACCAGCACCCCGACAGGTGAATGTCAGCTTAAGTTCGTAGTGGAAGAGGAGGATCTCCCGGAGGATGACTACCAGTGTCAGCACTGTAAGACCTACACTTACCTCACGCAGTTCCGTTGCCACAAGTCAGGCAAGAGTCTTTGCTTGTTACATGTTGAGGTTTACGACTGCTGCGGTGAGTCCCTGCCCCAGAAACTCCTGGGGCCAGGTCACACCCTGCGCTATCGTGTCAGTGATGATGAGCTCAAGGCAGTGGTCCAAAGAGTCCAGGGAAGAGCCAGAATCCCCGAGATATGGGGGGAAAAGCTTGACAAGACCCTGGAGGATGAGCCAAAGCCACAGCTGAAGGCTCTCCACCACTTGCTCAGTGAAGGTGAGAAAATCCCATACCACCTGCCTGGTCTCCAAGATCTTGCGGCCTTCGTCCAGCGTTGCGATAAATGGGTTGAAGAGGCGAACAACTACATCACCCGGAAGCAGCAAAACCGCAGAAAAAACGAAAAAGCATGGCGCAAGGCTGGCTCCAAGGCGGCGCAGCTGGACGATCGTGATCGTGAAGTCCGCAGAGTGGAGAGTATCTACGCCCTTCTGGCAGAGGCTGATAAACTTTCCTTCGACTGTCCACAGATGGCGGCTTTGGAAGAGAAGACCCGCGAGATCGAAAAATTCCGCCAGGATGTTAACGCCGCCCTGATGAACCCGCACACCCGATCGACCCAGGATATTGAGGAACTCGTCGAGTCCGGCCGAAATTTCAATGTGGAGATCCCGGAAGTCGAACATTTGGAGAAGATTTCGCAACAAATGAAATGGACGGAAGATGCCGCTCGTAAGCGGGACCAATATCTCACCCTAAAGGACTGCCAGGAGATTATTGCCACAGGACAACAACTAGGACTTTCTGACACCAACGAGCACCTGCTCCATTTCAAGGAACTCGGACGACATGGGGAAGCTTGGGAAACCAAGGCCAAAGAGTTGATGGCGGTCGAGGCTGTACACTACCAGCAGTTGGAAGCTCTGTCCGCGCAAGCCACCCGCTTCCCAGTTTCCCCTGATATTCTAGCTGCTGTTGACGCTATCTTGACCAAACAGCGCGAGGCACAGAAACGGATCCAGACTCTTTATGAAAAGAGCAAAGATCCTGATCTGAGGAATCGACCTGTTTACAAAGATGTTCGTGAACTTACCGAGTCTCTTGAGCAACTCAACAGTCGACCAAGTGGAGCCATTGACTTGGAACGGGAACAGAAGCGCCACGAGGACTGGATGAGAAAGGGCAAAAAGCTGTTCGGCAAGGCCAATGCTCCCTTACACATTCTGAAATCTCATATGGAGTACGTGGAGAAGCGGAACTCCTACTGTTTCGACTTGGAGGACAGCTATCGCCCTCCTGTGGAGCCTTCTTCCCGAGACAACACTCCGGATGGGTTGCTGGAGAATCCCAATCCCAATGTGTCCAATGTCTGGGGCCCGAAGTCTCGCAAGCGGGATGTCTTTTGCATTTGTAGGCATTCAGAAGCAGGGATGATGATTGAATGTGAAGTTTGTCACGAGTGGTGAGTCGGACTATGATTAAATCAATATTAAACCACATCACTAACATCATCTAGGTACCATGGGAAATGTTTGAAGATTGCGCGAGGCAAAGTCAAAGAGTTTGACAAATACACATGTCCGATCTGTGACTGGCGTCAGAAAATCCCTCGGGATGCAGCTCGTCCGAAATTGGAAGACCTGCTAGACTGGCAAGCCGAAATCGCTACTCTTCCTTTCCAGCCTGACGAGGAAGAAGTCTTGGACAGCATCGTGAACCAGGCTACTGCGTTCCGTGATTTCCTCCAAGGCTTCACCAACGCTGCTTGCACGACTACCGAGGAAGTGCCTACATTGATCTTCTACTTGCGGAAGATTGAAGGTGCTGAGGTTCTTCTGACATACGAGACCAACTTTTTCCGGCAGGAGATTCATAAGTGGGCGCCCGTTGCGCCGGAGCCACCACCAATTCTGGATCAGTCACTCTCGACCCGCAAGCCTCGGCCCACCAAGCAGCAAAAGATCATGGCACAACTTGGCGTTGAACGCCCCGAAGATCTTCCAGAGCATCTGCGGGTGAAGCATATGGCAGCGAAGCGCAAGTCGGTTGATATGCAGTCCCAGCCTCAGACTACTCCCCGACCCACCTCTTTGCAGCCCGCCCCGCCAACCCCAAACAGCAACCAGCCTCCTACCTCTGGGCCGACGTTGACTCCCATGTCAGACTCGGCCAATAACACATCTTATCCTTTCTCTGCCAATTATTCCCTGCCGGCCAGTGATACCACACCGGCATTCGCGCCTACATCTTCCGCATTTTTGCCTCACGTTGCCGAAGCTACTCGATCCCCCTCTTTCCTGCCTCGCTCTCCCACGCCCCAACAAGGCATTGAGCCTCCTCTTTTCAGTCCATCTCGCTTCGATCGTGATCCTCAATTTGTCAGCAGCAGCCCTCGTCCGAATATGGACGATGTGTTTGCAGATCTTACGAATCAAGACGTCGAGCCCGAGGCAGAGGCTATGGAGAACTCCCATGCCAATGAAGCCCTTGAGGCACTCAATGCTAGCAATGGCAGTAGCCGGGCACCCTCTCCCAATGATGAGTCTGCTCAAAACGGCGATGTCCATAGTGCTGGTCTCCAGGATGCCACGGCCCCGGCCAATGCCGAAAAGATTGAGGCGGAGTCTTGATTTGGTAGGGTTGCACTGTATCGCTATTTTCGAATGCGTGTCCAACTTTTCCTTTTTTAAATTTATCTTTCTTGAGTTGTGTTTTTTTTTTCCTTTCCATTCCCACTTGCCTGTCCAATGCGGGATGATTTCGGACAGGGGTGTCTTATAAGGTGAAGGGCCTGGCGTGCCCGTGGAGTTTTTTCTAGCGCTTTTCTCTTTTCTATGTTCTATCATGTTTCTGACGACCGCGGTAGTCCGCCTCTCTTCGATTTCTTTTTGCTTGCTAGTCACCGTGTAATACTAGTTGAATACAGCCATTGTCATTTTTCCCCGGCCTCTTGTTATCTTCAGATTCTATCTGCATATGCTCCCAAAGCAGCCTGACCGCCTGTATGAATGAAAAGCACATTTACGTGTTTCAAGCTATGTTGCTCCGCATAATCCCTAACCTCCTTCTCCTGCACCCAGTGCATCATTGCCCAAGCAACCTTGGCAGTATACACCGGATCCAAGATAACGCCCTCCATCTGCGCCATATTATTCAAAGCAAGGCTACTATGCGTATCCAGGATGCCGTACCCCGTTCCGACAAACCGATCTTCAAGGCACACGTCTTCTTTGCCAATGTCCCTCTCCGCATCCAACCCAATGAATGCCCCTGCGCGCCGCGCAAACGTAAGAACCCTCTCTTCATGATAAGGCCGTGGCTTCGTAGGTGAATTCAAAATTCCCATGAGCTTCCTCGGTACCGAAGATCCCCCCATCTTATCCAGCAACTTAAACCCCGCAATCAATCCTCCATGCGTACTCCCACTCCCACACGCCACAAAGATCACATCAAACCTTCCTGATCCCTTCAACTGAAGTGTCTGTTCTTGCTCTGCAATCTCTATCGCCGCACGCGCATACCCGAGTCCGCCGAGCGGATGCAGGCTCGCCCCTCCAGGAATCCAGTAGGGGATCTCGCCCCGCCGGCGCAGCATTTCCAAGACTGGATTCGCATCATCCGCTATTGGATCCCCTTCTTCAAAGACTTGCACATCGGCGCCTAAGAGCCGATTAACCTGCACATTCCCCGTGCGTAGAAATGATTCCTTGTCTGGGGCGGTGCGTAGTCCACCGCCCGTACCGCGGTGCAGTAGGACCAGAGCTTTGAGTCCTAGCTTGCGTGCTAGGGTGGCAACTTGGACAGTGTGATTACTTTGGATGGCGCCTTCTGTGACGAGAATAGTTGCAGGGCCGCAGCTGGGAACATCTTCTTCCCTCGGTGGATGATGTTCGTGGTAGCCGTATTTTGGGGCGGCGGAAAGAATATCTGGGACAATGTATTCCAGCTTGCGGTATTTGTTCCCTGAACATGCTAGGGGCGATGATTGGTCTTCGCGTTTAGCGAAGATGGATATTTGGGGATGGTTGGGGTGGTGCCCAGTTGCAGGTGTGAGTGATTTTAGCGGGTGGATGGGTGATGCATGAGAGTATAGGAGTTGATAGCGAGGTATCTGGGCGAATTGTTCAGGGAGTGGGAAGGACATTTTGATCATCGTGGCTCTGGAATCGAGAGTGATGTACGTTGAAGGTGGTTTGGTTTGAGTGCGGATAGATGTGGGGACAAGAAAAGTCGCATGCGGAGTGCGGGGAGGATCTGCATGATATTGATCCTATCTTTGTAAATACATTGGATCCTAAATAGAACGGTTTAGGACATTTGTCAAGGCGGCCCAGGATAATAAATGGACCTGCGTTGTATCTGCGAGGCGACGATAGCCATAAGGTAAATCCAGACTTAGGAGTCAGAGCTCCTAATATTTGGCTTAACTCATTTGAATAACAGAAACTTTGAGTTGTATTGCTAAAGGCATCAAAGATAGCAAATTGAGAAGCGCAGAGTACACAGCGAATCAACATCCAACCAATTGATCACTGCCATCGTTCAAATATCTTGTGGTCAACCTCAAACCATGCTCAACCTTAGGCTTTAATAGTAAGCTGCTGCATATTTGGCAAAGTTAAGCCTGCCTCCATAGCAAAGCTCTGGCTCTTCAAGCTCTCACAGGCTGAAATGAGACCATTGAGGTAGGCCTCATACTCCTCGCGTTGATCACCCGCACACTCCGAGTGTTCCAGCCCAGGTCCACGGGTGCCTGCATGGTATCCACTGATGTAGGACTACGTCTCCGAACAATCTATGTCTTGTTCGACAAGATGATACCTCGTTGGGCTGACGTAGCCAATAGACAGGTCACGTCAATGTTCTTCAATTGCTACCTATTTGCCTACTATCAGTCTGGTTGGGAGTATACGCTTGTTCAGTGGTGCAAGTCTTGGGGATGTAATAATTCACCGCAGGCTGTTACATGAAGCCCCTCAGCTCGAAATCATCTGCGTTTGCCTCGACAAACTTGGTGAATTCGTGGAGCTTATTCTTATGAGCCGATCTCAAGTAGTCGGGCTCGCGCCAGGAACCGTTGACTGGATGTAATGCTGGAATTGTCTCAATATAAACCTTGAAAAATGTCCCTAAATGCAATTCACTGAGAATTTAGCTAAATTATTCTGGTGTAGGTATTCAAAAGTTGTGGGCAGCTGTGTCTCATGGGGAAGTTAGTCTTATATATATTTCTCTTTTGATAGTAACGGGTACCCTGGTAGCAGTGGCCTAGTAGAGTAAGTAGACCCAAGTCATTTTTATCACAATGTAGAATGAACTTTTTAAGCGAGGTTATTCGCGAATCCTTCGGAAACAGGGAGGCTTCAATGCAGCTCCCAGGTGTTGATGACTTGACTGGAATCTCAGGCTGGAATGAGATGCAGGGACCAAAATTTACTCATCAGCTCTAGTCGATAATTGAGAGTTTTCGGACATAGAATTTGGTTTTTAAATTACTACTGTAAAAGGATTCTCATCAAAATATTCATAATGAGTGATGGGGGGTTGATCCAGAGTGACGTCGGTCCAGTAGCTTTCACCTTCGGCCAAGAAATCAAACCAAACAACGTCAAACCCAACCACAGCATGACTCTCCTCCAGTTCCTCCGCCAAGCACGTCAAGTGCACCTCCAATTCCTCGCAGGCACTCTCTCCGAGCTCCCAATCTACGTCCTAGGCAACCCCTCCGCCGACCTCGACTCCATTATCTCCGCAATCCTCTACTCCTACTGCGCCAACAACCGCCTCCCAACCACAACCCCACGCCCACACATCCCACTCCTCAATTTACCCAGTATCCCCGCAGGCCCAGAGCTCCACAGGCTCCGACCAGAGTTTGTTACAGCACTATGGCTCTCAACCAATTTCCCCGCCTTGAGATTAGATGAGCGATTCGAGGACTCCTCCGAATCGGCAGGGAATTTACTCCGCGACCATATCGTGACAATGGCGGATTTTGCACAGAGCTTGAAGGACCGATCCATCACGCGTAAGCTAGATGTGGACACGACACTGGTGGACTGGAATGCGCTGCCAGAACGCGTCGATGGAGAGGACGGCAAGGGTTCTTTAGGCGGTGTTCTGTCGGAGGTTATCTTCCACGCTATTGGCTGTATCGATCACCACGTCGATGAGAAGTTTATGCCCACCAAAGAAGCCCTGCCAACAGGACAACCACTGATCATTCAACCTGGACCGGGATCATGTGCTTCGTTGATCACAAACGAGATGAACCAGCGGGGCTTTTGGGCAGCTACAGCTACAGCGAATGCAGAGGAATCTTCTGCAGCGGAAATCGCGCAGGTCGCGAAGCTGGCTCTCGCTCCGATACTGATTGATACCTCGAATCTCACGGCGGAAGGCAAAGTCACCGATGTAGATGTGCAGGCTGTTGAGTTTTTGCGGCCGCAGCCGGGGGATCAATCGTGGAACATGGAGAAATTCTACGAGGAGATTCTCAGTGCGAAGCAGAATAGTCTTGATCGGTTGACGTTGCATGAGGTCTTAGATCGGGACTATAAGGAGTGGACTGAAACGACGAAGTCGTCCGATCAGAGTATCACGCTCGGGTTTTGCTCATCCGTCAAGCCCATCCGATGGGTTATTGAGAAAGCGGGTAGCCCGCAGAAATTCTTGGATGATGTCCGCTCGTTTGCTACTTCGGGAGGGAAGCAGTTGGATGTTGTGGTTGTTATGACGTCTTTCACATCTCGCGAGGGCCAGTTCTCTCGTGAGCTCTTGATCAGTGTGGTGGCTGATCATGAGCTTGTCGTTGCGGGTGTTGAGTCATTTGTTACGCAAGCCGCATCTCAGCTCGGTCTTGTGGAGTGGACGGCGTTGGATGGGGCGGTGGTCGATGTCTCCGAAGAGGAGATTCGATCTACACTAGATGAAGATAAGGGCGCCTGGAAGGCATTATGGGTCCAGAAGGATACAAAGGCGAGTAGGAAGCAGGTCGCTCCTTTACTGCGAGGTGCTATTGCCAAGATATAAACAAGCTAGCTTAGGGTATACAGATACGTTTTATGATCATAGACAGGCTGAAGAATGATGGATATATGTTAAATTGTTACTTTGAAAATAGCCGATTAGTCCGAACACCCGAACACCGTAGATCAGGCAAATATGTCAAAATGAAACAGATGTGGGATGCAATATATGTAATGCTCCAAACCGACCTTATGCAAATGCCAGTAGGAAATCGGAAAAAGGAAACGCAAAAGACAGAACAGACATGCAAAAAAACATAACAAAAACACAAAACCAGAAGTTAAACAATAACAACAAAAACACCACGGAGCACATATCTATCAAACACACTCCCACTCGCAAAATACACACCAGCGTGCCACTCGGTCAGCAAGGACCAAGCCGCGCCAGGTTCCACGTTCACCAATCTTGATCACTGTCTCCCATACACTACCCTCAGCCGCAGCGTCTCTGATAGAGTCAGAGGGATTGTCTGGGGATATCATGTGTTCGGCCTTACGGCTGAGACGCATGATCTTGCCGGATGGGGACTGGATGGCCAGCTTGGCTGGTTTGTCCCGTCCACTAGCAGAGCGGGTGGAGGAGATGGCAGAAGTAGACGCCGAGAATTCATTGGAGTTGCTGGATACGGTCGACGCACCAGCAGTGCTAGACACCATGCTCAATGCACTAGAGGGACGATTAAAGACGGAAGGAGAGGCGCGGCCGTTCATGGGGAATTCATCCTTGGACGGGAGCTGGGGAGAAGCGGGGTGCTGGCGAACGGCAAAAACAAAGGTATTGTTAACTGCTAAACGAGAGCACTGAGGCTGCATGATGTAGAGGTCATGGCGTTGAGCATGCGGTGTAGGATGACGCAGCACAAAGTCGTAGGGCGGGTTCTCGCCAGTGTGGAACATAGGGAGAGCGAGGGCCAACGGGTGAGGGATGTCTTTGCTGGAATGCATAAGGCCCTTCTTGCCAGCATACACTTTGAGCACAGCCTGTCCTTCGTCCCCTGGTAGGACAGCCTTGATAGTGATGCGCTTTTGGCCGCGGATCCAGTCCGGCTGAACAAGGGCACGCTTGCGCACAATATCACCACTCTCAAAGAAGTCACCATCCATGTCACGCGCGAACGCGGGAGCCTCCACCTCAGCAGCGCATTCGACATCCGGGGGGACCACGAGACAAATTTGCATGCATTCCAAGCCCTCAAGTTGGAGCAGACTAGTGTCATAATCCGGAAACTGAGCGCCTAGCTTGAAGTACTGTGGACATACAGTTGGGAGTGCCAAAAGGACATCCGGCGAGACCGGAGGACAAATGTGTTGTTCTTCAGGATAGAGTGGAATGTGGGTATAGCAAAGATCTAGTGGCCGTGCGAGGAAATACCAGCTTTCTGCCACGGAAGAGTTGATGGTGACGAACCGGCTTCTCTGAGGGTTGGTCGGACTCGCCAATGCACAATCCATGAAACGCCACTCTCCATCAACGAGAACTGCGTTCCACCAATGGTTGGGGCGGGAGAGGCTGTCAAGGTCCAGAGCATTGCCAGGGGTCTTCAAAAATCCATGGATAACCTCTGCGTGAAGACCAACAGCGGCACACATATCATTCACCAAAATCGCAATCTCCTGAGGGCTGCCTCGCTTAGCGTGCAAAACTCTTTTCATGTCAACCTCGATGCCATCAACGGGTTCTTCCCACGCAATTTTCTCGCTGACCCAGGTGAAAATTGCGCGGAGACGCTGTACATCACTCTTATAAGGACGACAAATGTAGCCTTGAGCAAGACTCACGGGGTTTGTTGTCGGCGGAACGCTATTAATGAACCGCGCGCTCTTGTCGACCAAGGTCAAGTTCCCAGAGTTGAAATTCGCAGGGTCAGCGATGGGCAAGCCGTCAATACTTTCGTCACCCTCTGCAGTATCATGCAATTCCTCAACAGCGTATATAACGGGATGGTCCATCATCTGACACCGTTCGGCCCGGTCAATTCTCTCATTCCGGCTGGGGGAAGACGCTCGATTGACATCACGGCGAACTTGAACCCAGTCAATGGCGCTTGTGTTAACTTCATTATCACGCGGTGTATCGCGATTTGAGTGAGAGGTGAGGAGTGGCGACACAACATCGACTACCCTGTTTCCTTTTGTGGGAGACGGAGAGCCATGGCCGACTGAAATGCTGCTCCTCGCACTGGCAGCGCCTGTCTTGGCAGACTCAAAAATCTTTTTAAAAAAGCCCTGCTTCTTACTCTTTGGGGTAGAAAGACCACCAAACACTCCACCCGCGTCGCCTACATCATTGTCATTAGACGACCATGGAATGGCCGATGATGCGCCCTGGCGAGATGTGTTGTGACTTGAGTGATAGGATACCCCTGTCATAGGTGATTCTGGTCTATCCATGTGTCCCGCATCACTGAAGCCACGAGAGCGAACTGTATCCATGGCGGTGTTCGGCCTTTGGTAGGTCCCATTCCGTCTTGCGTAGCTCCCGGCGCTAGTCGCACTAAACCCCCCAGCGGAAAACCCACTCATCAAGCTCTGGCCAGTCTTGTCTGTACTCGTCGTTTGATTGGTCCCGATGCTTTGCACTCCACTAGAGCTTGTAGTATTGGACTTGTTCGTGAAGGTTCGATTCAACCTGTCATTTCTCATATCTCTCCCGGACCTACGCTCGCTCAGGTGTGGATACTGGGCAGGGATAGAATTGTGGCGTGTGGCATGCTTTGGGGGTGGCGGAGGAGGTTGATCGTCCCCTCCTGTTTCGTCGTCCTCGGGCGGACGGTTTTGAGATTCCAGCTGTCGAAGACGGCTCTCCATCCGTTGGACATAGTTGTTTAATTGAGGCGGGCCATCCATATGATCGTGGGAATAGACGCTGTTGCGGTGCACCAGCTCACCACGAGCCTGCTGCTTATTGCCATCAAACCCGAGCGAGGTCAATGGTCGACGTCTAGTAGCTGGAGGCGTTTTGTCATTCATATCATCGTACGCATCGCCAGACCAGGGGTTGTTGAATGCCGGTGGGGGAGACGGTGAAGGTGCTTGGCGTGGCGAGGGCGAGGGAGGGTGATCTCGTGGCAAGCCCATGTCCTCCAATGAAGTCATAACATCCTCCATAGCGTCTCTCAATGGAGATGGGGTGTTACCGTTTGCATCTGATTGGGCGGACATCCCGGAACGTGTCGACATGGCTCCAGGTGAAGGAGTACGGGAAAATATCACGTAACGATCGTTCATGTTCAATGGAGTAGGAGAGCGTGAAGGCATTGGAGAATGATTTGGGGGCTTTGGGGAGCGTAGTAAGCGCTGCGGCTGTTGTGACGCGTGCATAGGCGGCTGAGGCGAGTGTGACCGAGGACGATTGACAGCGACTCGGTGTGGTGGGGGAGGGGGGAGGAGGGGGAGACTCCTCACGTTCTTGCATCTGCATCGGAGAGACTTGCTGGGGCATTGGTGAGATTGTGCGATGCGGCATCTGCGAGACCTCGTGATTCATGGGAGAATCGTCATAGTACATTGGAGAGGGTGCCCGTTGTGGCATAGTAGGTGGTGCATGGTAAGGCATTGGCGAAACAGCACGATGGGGCATCGGTGAAACTTGTCGATGCCTAGGAGACTCATCATAGTACATCGGAGAGGGCGCTCGGTGAGGCATGGTGGGTGGCGCATGATAGGGCATTGGCGAAACCTCTCGATGCCTCGGAGAGTCGTCGTAGTACATTGGAGATGCTCCTCGCATGGCAGCTGATGTATTGTACGGTGCCGGCGATACTGCACGATTAGGCATTGGTGAAACAGACCGATGGGCCATTGGGGAAGCCGCGCGAGGTGGCAAAGGAGAGGCTTCTTGACGCGATGGGGGAGCTTGATAATACACCGGAGAGCTTTCGTGGGCCATCGGGGAGACCTCTCGAACCATTGGCGAGACTTCACGGGAAGACGGACGCGAGGAAGATACGCTACCGCGAGGCATAATTGCAGACGGTGACCGTTCAGGTTCCATGGATGCGCGGGGTGAAACGCCGCGGGTGGAAGGACGGGAAGAGACAGACGAAGGACGAGATGACATAGAGCCCTGGTTCTTGACCACAGACGCATGGGTACGCAGAGGTTTGACGCTCCTGGGGACACCCCCATCTCTAGGAGGCGTCTGTGGAATAGAGCTCTTGACTGGGGTGTTTGATCTGCTGCGAGCCAGGTTTGAGGCCGGGGAGAGGGCTTCCTTATGCGCTTGGAATGGTTTCCGGAAGACGGTCTTTGCTTTCTTGGGCGCGGACGTCGGATTGTTAATTGGCGAAGATCCTGCTTGAACCATTGGGCTGGTATCACGGCTGATGGGGACAAAGTCTTCACTCATGAGCTCAACAAAGTTGGAGGGAAAGAGTCCAACCGCGCGCTTATCACGGCGCAAACGACCCATCCACCACTGGCCATCTCCCGCATTCAGACATTCGATCAGATCACCCTCCACGAAGCCCAAGTCCCGCGTGGTCTCTCCTCCCCACGAATACACTGCTCGGCACCAGCATGGAAACCGCGATGGCAACTGGGACGTGCTGGGTGCCATCGCGATCGATGGCGTATGATTCGGGCGGGCGCAAAAGGACAAATCGCTTCATACGTAGGGGCTAGTTTTGAAGAAGACTCCAGCCAGCACGGTTCAACTGGCCGACCAATGGATGGAATGTTGGGGATGTAATTGGACTCAAGCGAAGTCGGAGTTTGGGCGCGGAGGGGGCTGAAAGGTGCGAAAATCACGAGGGTCAAAGTGGATTTAGGCCAAGATCATGGCGCAAGCGATAGAAGAGGCGACTCTAAGGGTTGAGGATAATGTCTCTGAGGCAACAGTAGGGGGTGAAATTGGGGAAGAAGAGAGGGCGAAGCAGTTCAGACGGTGAGACCCGAGCTTGTTGTTTACGCGGGAGATCACCCAATTAGGTCTAGCGGCCAGGAGACTTGTCTTATCGATAAGCTTAATGCACGGTTGTCATCGGTTTCCAGGGTGTTTGCACTCCGGGCCCGTGCGCCATGGGGGTTTTTATCGTTCCTGCCTGTGTGTACTTGCTGTATAGCAATGGATCTGATAGGTTGAGCTTCTGAGGGACGCCCAATTGCATGGGTTCATGTTGCGTCTATAGATCTGAATTCATGGTTGGTACAGCCCCTCCCGACCATGATCCATGGTCGTCACCACGAACCAAAACCCTGGCAACATCCCGCCTCCCCACTCCTCCAAACATCACCCCGCTCTAGCACTAGTGATCCTACAGTTCAGCTTCTCCATTTCTTTCGGCTCGATTTACCCCTGGCCACGGAATTGATTTGGGTTTCATTATACATGAACCTTATCATATTGGTCTTGTTCATCACTTGATATGTCGCCTAGCTACAGTACCATTCAGGAATGTCAATTTGGAAGATCCCCGACAGAAATGGTATTGAAAGGTGAAACTATAATGATAGGACAAAAGGTTGGCAAAGCATCCCCATTTCTATGACGAGCAGATGTCCAGGGAGATCTGCAGATGGCCAATTGGCCCGTATGTCCTTCTGTAAGGCTGTTCACCAGCTTTTGGCGGTTCATAAATTATCGCGATCAGCTTTCCGGGACCATTTCAAGCTAAATCGAGCAGTCGCGACCAGAACATATCGAATGTGTCTCAAACTTTCCATCCAAAATTAATCCTCAAATTCGATCATTCAAGAATATTCGCCAAGTGAATTTGTTGACTGAGGCAATCTTGTGTCTCGCCGAATTAGGTCAGCTTACATTCCGAGACTGAAGGAATGACCGGCCACATCCAAACAATTTACCGAATGCAGCTAGCCGGTAGATGAAGTTGCAATTCATTACCAAATCCCATCTATTTTCAACGCTCATCAGGAGAACGGCCCCTCGTTCGATTCGGAGTTCGAATGGGATCCGCTCTCCCTCAAACTACCGGAAGCGGATACTTGTTTAGACATATTTTCGCCATCGCAACAGCACGATTCGACGAACACATCATTAAATACATACAATGTACGTTCTGAAAAGATTCCAACGTCCGAAACTCAGGGCCGTGGCGTTTATGAGCGATGTAAATATGTTTTCAGACACCAAAGAGCTTGTTTCGGGCCGGTCCATCAGCATACCACAATCTCGAGAGAGCATTCAATGTGATTATGTTAAAAGAACATGTTGCCCGAGTAATAGAAGCATGTAGATCACACTCACCAGTCGATTGAATTGGGCAATTGCTTGCCAATCTCTTGATAGCCTCCACCTTCTATACCGTTTCACTCCCTACTGAGACTGGGTGAACATCCCAAGATGGCACCCTTAAAGACCTTGCTGGCCTTGGCTGGCTCAGGGTTGACGCAATTGGCTTTCGCTAAGTTGGTTCAATTTGATCTCGATCTTACTTGGGAAAAAGGCGCTCCGGATGGCAATGTTCGGGAAATGGTTTTCATGAACGGTCAATTTCCCGGTCCTGAATTACGACTAGACCAAGGTGACGATGTTGAGGTATGAGCTCGCGACCTTTTTCATTCTCAGTATCGCATAATGACAGTGAGCAGGTCACCGTTCACAACCACCTACCATTCAATACCTCCCTTCATTTCCATGGAATTGAACAACTCAATACCCCATGGTCAGATGGCGTTCCAGGGTTAACCCAGAAGCCCATTGAGCCGGGTCGCAATTGGACATATCGGTGGAAGGCCACCCAGTATGGAACCTATTGGTACCATTCCCATGCCCTTGGGGAGATGATGAATGGTCTCTATGGCCCGATCTGGATCAAGTAAGCTCCGTCGAGAGTGTATAGCAATGACTCGTGATACTAACTAGTGCCAGTCCGGCACCTGAAACGCCGCAGCCTTTCCATCTCATCTCAAGTAACCCGGCCGACATCGAAGCCATGCAACGGGCAGAGAAGGATCCACAGTTGATCATGTTGTCTGATTGGGATCATTTGACCTTTGACCAATATCAGAAGCTGCAGGTGGATAGTCATATGGAAGTCTTGTAAGTGAGTCTTCGCCCCTCAATACAGCCACCACTAACTGTAATAGTTGTATGGACAGTGTTCTCATCAACGGCCGTGGCGCAGTTTACTGCCCCGGAGGTGAGAACATCTCTAATGTTGAGCTCAGTTATATAAAAACTGCTATGGACCACACGCCTTTGACAGATAAAGGGTTCGTTCCGGATTCTTGGACTGGCATGAATTGAAGATACTAATGCGATTTCTTCAAACTCCAGGTGCTTACCGAACATCTACAAGGTGCAGGGTGATTTCCCCCCGTATGACGAGACGAAGATCCCTCAGGGCGTCAACTGGGGATGCCAACCCACGACCGGAAATCACGAGATTATTGAGGTAGATGGCAATGCTGGTTGGGTGAGCTTGAAATTCATCAGTGCTGCCGCTTTGAAGGCTCTCATTTTCTCTATTGATGAACACCCGATGTACATCTACGAAGTAGACGGCAGCTATGTGGAGCCTATGCTTGTCGAGGCCTCTAGTATCTACACCGGCGAACGATACGCAGCGATGATCAAGCTTGATAAGCCTTGGAAAGACTATACCATTCGAGTCCCAGATACCCAGGGTGACCAGATCATTTCTGGTTTCGCTACCATGCGCTACAAGAGCTCCACGAACCGTGACCCGTCGCGCCCCTATGTCAACTACGGTGGAACTAATACATCTGCTTCCGTTGTGTATATGGACAACAGGGCAATCCACCCATACCCTGCCGTTACTATCCCCGACAAAGCCGATCAGCTTGTTAATCTGACCCTTGGTCGCTCAGGCTCGTCCTACACATTCACTATCTCTGGTGGCCACCTGTGGAACGAGATGGCTAACTTGGATAACCCGATTCTCTACGACCTCGAAGGCAAGAATAACTTGGCACCTGAGCTTATCATCGAAACCAAGAATGGCACCTGGGTCGACATTCTTCTGCAGCTCGGTCATTTCCCTCACACAGCCGACGTAACCGGTGCGCATGTCATACATAAGCATTCTAACAAAGCTTTCATTCTTGGTGTCGGCCCCGGATTCTTCAACTGGGCCAACACCGAGGAAGCAATTGCTGAGCATCCTGAGTATTTTCAGCTGCAGAATCCTTCCATGCGAGACACTTTTGTTACTCAAGGCAACCGCGGCTCAACATGGATGATTATACGTTACCAGGTGATTAATCCAGGGCCCTTCATTTTCCACTGTCACCTTGAGACACACATGGCGAATGGCATGGCCGTCGCTCTGCTCGATGGCGTGGATGCCTGGCCTCAGGTACCCGCGGGTGAGGACCAAAGTCCTAACCCGATTCCGGCCTCCATTCCAGTCTCTGCTCCAAGCAGCAGCCCCAGTTCCCAACCGATTTCTCCTTATTTCGAACCATCTTCTACACCTCTCGTTGAGCCATCCACTTTCAGCTCACAGCCATTTCCATCGAGTATTTGGCCGTTCACACCCTATGCTCAAACCCATACTCCCAACCCTGGGCTGTACACACCCAGCGCTCAGTCGCCTGCACCCTCTTCCCAGACTACCCCTAATTATCAATCCTACACCTCTAGTGCCCAGTCTCCTGCACCCCAGTCTGAGACTTCGGATCCATATCTTGAGCCTCCGTCGGAGACTTCGGATCTATATCTTGAGCTCCCGTCGGAGACTTCGGATCTGTATCTTGAGCCCCCGTCGGCCACTTGGCTTTCAAGACACAAAAAGGATCGCCGTGCTATTGAAAAATTGCGCCAATCTGAAGGCGAGGACGCTGAAAAGAGACGCAAAGCCTATCCTCATGAAGTTACCTTGATTGAGGAAAAGAAAATTCACAAAAAGTTAGCGGGAAAGCCTCAGTGAGCTTGAAGTGGCCGAAGGGGTACGTACTCAAAACGCAACTCGTTTCGGTTTGTGAATTTTGGAGTTAATGCTGTTCTTTAATCAACCTCATGTATTAATTTCGGACACAAAAACATTTGCATGGCTATATCCATCTTAATCTGATAATTCAAAATGTTGATAAACGCAATTCTAGTTCTGATCTTACTGTAAAGGTTCCGGATAGCGAGAAGATTATATTATTTCATTTCAAACAAAGTTCCTTTTTTTAACACAATTAGACAGCCCCGACTCCTATGCGTGCGAGAGACTCGACCGTCCGAGCGTTATACCGGAGTACCAAAACGTGAACATGTCTCTAAATCCCCAAGCTGCCCCCATTTTGGTTATATTTTGTTTGCAACCTCTTTCTGTGGCGTTCTCGGTCCGCGGCACGTGTGACCCACTTGGATCTGCGATCTGTCGATCGATTTCCCATATTGCCATGGTATCATCTGAGCGTTCGTGTCTTTATTGTCATTGTCATGAGATGCAGCTCTCCATACTACATACCAGCGTTCTCGCCAGCCGCTGGAAGGGATATTTTATGAGCAGCTCCGGCGGTTGCGTTCCCTGAATTCGGCACCTCTGAGCCCAGCTTAGCTCCGTCAAAACCTTCCATAAAATGAATTATTGCCTCAGGAATCCTGAAGCCTGCTGTCACCTACAATGATTATTAATTCAGAATTCGATAGCAAATCCTCAACCACGCAGATAGTCATGACGTATTATATATCCCTTGCTCATTGTCATTATACCCACTTACTCGATTCGCATGAGATCTTCAGCCATTTTACTATTTTTGCACAATGTTACATTCCGAGCCCGATCGATCGACGCGCCACGGCTTGCCGAGACATGTTCTAAGACTCATCCAAGCCACGCCCTGGAATGGTAACTTGCAAGACTTTATGCCTAAATTCGTAGTACCTGGAGATGCCCTGAAGCTTGAGATGCCCCTGTTCGGGTGGACTGAATGCCCTGAGACAGCCCAGAGGAAAAGGCAGTTTTACTTGATGTCCCTTTCGCTATTCCAAGGTTTTTCATAAGGTTCAATCCCTTCAACACCGCAATGTGCCTAGGGCAAACTCATCACGTGACCTACATATCCCGAGGCCGGGTGCAACATTCCGAAAACGGCGATTGCAACTATAGGGCCTTTTTGGTCTACATGAGTCTTTTCCAGTGCCTAATCCTGGGATTAGGTCATATGTCATGGGCGAATTACCTAAAGTCCCCCATTTTAGCTTCACACCAGAAAAGAAATTTACAGTCATGTCCGCAAACAGCATGTGGATAGCCTCATCACCGCGAGGTTCCAAGTACTATGGGTTGTTGTGCCGCAAGAAAAAGTTCAGCATCCTATCTTAGAACCAAGGAACTGAGTAATAGACTGTTTTATAACGTCAATGATCATACTCTATAGATAATATGGGAGAATACATCTCGAGGTTCGCACCAACTATCAATATTATTTGGACCACAGCTCTGAAGTGACGTCCCATTCATAGCTTAGCCAGACCCCTTTCCCATTCGACCGGATGCTACCGAGGCAGGCCACGCAGACGGTTTGGTGGGGTCGATCTCCTTGATAGAACACGTCTTGTCCCTTTTGGGATGACATTCCCAAGGAAAAACAGGGAATTAAAAAGAAAATCCAAAATTTATTCGAAGGCAACAAACGCTTCCATGATGAATGATGCCTTCCGATCCAGACCTGCCCCACATAGTAGGTTGCAGCCGTAGTAGATGTATAAAATATCATGTTCATGAATTCGCGCCTGCTTGTAAACTCTTTTCCATCTGTTTCCTTCCCAGTAAAGTTTTGCATTCCCTGGCCAGTGTTGGGGATAGAGTATGCAGGGCCCCAGTCGTGTGTATCTCTTCGGAGATCAAACTGCTGATTTCGACTCGGGTCTTCGTCGCCTTCTGCAAGCCAAGAATGACTCGCTCCTGACTGCCTTCTTCCAGAAATGCTATCATGCATTGCGAATTGAGATAAGCAAGCTGCCGCCATCCGAGCGGCAGATGTTCCCCCGTTTCACGAGCATTGTCGATCTTCTGGCAAGATACCGTGAGCATGGTCCCAATGCTGCATTGGAAAGCACATTGACGACCATCTATCAGCTGGGATGTTTTGTTCAGTAAGGCTCGATAAATCCCCATTGACAGAATCTGATGGCTGACGGTAAAAAATTAGCTACTATGGAGACCTTGGAAATGCTTATCCTTCTGGATCCGAGAGTTTCATTGTCGGTCTTTGCACAGGCGAGCTAGCTTCCGCAGCCGTGAGCTCATCCAAGACTGTTGGAGAGCTCATGGCGGCGGGTGTCCAGACCGTTGTTCTGGCCCTTCGACTTGGAATGTGCGTTTTCAAAGTCAAGGACTTGGTGGAGACGAACAATTCAGCATCGCCAAGTTGGTCTGTGTTGGTATCGGGAATTCGGGAGCAAGAGGCTCTAGAACTAATTGAGAAATTCGGCAACATCAATGTGAGTAATGTAGGAAATAAGAGAAGAGAAAAAAGACTGACCCATAACAGGCTGTTCCCCGGGCTTCCCAGCCATATGTTAGCGCTGTTAGCCTAAACGGCGTGACAATCAGTGGTCCCCCAACTACTTTGGATCGATTCATTGAAAAGTCACTTTCCAAAGCTCAAAAGCCTCTGAGAGCTCCTATTCACGGTCCATATCATGCCGCTCATCTGTATGACGAGAGGGATATCGACCGGATCATGGAATCTTGGCCAAAAGACGAGTTCTCAAGCTACGTCCCGCAAATTCCCATCATCTCAAGCGAGACAGGGCAAGCTATCGAAGCTCAAGATTTTGAAGAGCTGTTAAGATTCTCCCTTGGAGAAATTCTTCTGAAACAGCTATGCTGGGATAAGGTCGTTGATGCATGCTCCTCGACTCTACAAATGACCGATGAAAAATGCACTTTACTACCAGTCTCTACTACCGCAACGCAAAGTCTCCACACCGCGCTGAAGAAATCTGGAATTTTGGATATTGAGCTCGACAATGCCATCGGTGATGTAAAGACGGACTCAAAGGGTGGTAATCATAGTGGTCGCTCAGAGCAATCCAAGATTGCCATCATTGGTCTCTCTGGACGTTTCCCCGAGGCCCCTGACACCGAAGCTTTGTGGGATCTCCTATACAAAGGACTCGATGTTCATCGCGAAGTCCCTGCTGACCGTTGGGACGTCAAAGCTCATGTGGATATGGATGGGAATCGGCGAAACACCAGCAAAGTTCAATACGGATGTTGGATCAACGAGCCGGGTCTTTTTGATCCTCGATTCTTCAACATGTCCCCTCGTGAGGCATTACAGGCAGACCCCGCCCAGCGATTGGCTCTGCTCACTGCGTACGAAGCCTTCGAGATGGCCGGTTTCATCCCGGACAGCACCCCATCTACACAGAAGAACCGAGTTGGTGTGTTCTATGGCATGACCAGTGACGATTACCGCGAGATCAACAGTGGCCAAGACATTGATACTTACTTCATTCCTGGTGGTAACCGTGCCTTTACCCCAGGTCGCATCAACTACTACTTCAAATTCAGCGGTCCTAGTGTCAGTGTCGATACAGCGTGTTCCTCCAGTCTTGCTGCGATTCATGTCGCGTGCAACTCACTCTGGAAGAATGATTGTGACTCTGCCGTGGCAGGTGGTGTCAACGTCCTGACCAACCCTGACAACCACGCTGGACTTGACCGAGGTCATTTCCTCTCGCGAGGCGGAAACTGCAACACCTTCGACGATGGCGCCGATGGCTACTGTCGAGCTGACGGTATAGGTTCTGTTGTTTTAAAGAGACTTGAAGATGCTCAAGCAGACAACGATCCCATCTATGGTATCATCAACGGCGCATACACGAACCACTCCGCCGAGTCTGTTTCCATTACTCGTCCTCTTGCCGGAGCACAGGCTTTCATCTTTGACAAACTTCTCAACGAAGCTAATGTCAGCCCCAAAGACATTAGCTACATTGAGATGCACGGAACCGGCACTCAGGCCGGCGATGCCGTGGAGATGCAATCAGTTCTCGAAGTTTTCGCTCCCGATTATCGTCGTGGTCCATCTCAATCCCTCCACCTTGGCTCCGCAAAGTCGAACATTGGTCATGGAGAATCCGCCTCTGGTGTCTCTGCCCTGATCAAGGTATTGGTCATGATGCAGAAGAACATGATTCCTCCCCACTGTGGAATCAAGACTAAGATCAACCACAACTTTCCCACGGATCTTAAGCAACGGAATGTTCACATTGCTATGGAGCCTACTCCATGGAATCGCCCTGCTGGTGGAAAGCGATCCACCTTTGTCAACAACTTCTCCGCCGCCGGTGGAAACACTGCATTGTTAGTGGAAGATGCTCCTATCCAAGAGCGCACTGGCAGCGACCCGCGATCTGTGCACACAGTGACCATCTCGGCGAGATCACAGTCTGCCCTTAAGAACAACGCCGCTGCTCTGGTTCAATACATTGACACTAACAAGAATCTGTTCAATGTAAATGAGGCCAAGCTTCTTGGCGATCTTGCTTATACCACCACTGCCCGGCGCATTCACCATACATTCCGGGCCAGTGCTACCGGTTCTACCTTGGATGAAATCCGAGCTGGTTTGAACGCAAGTGCAAACCGTGAGAGTATTACCCCTGTCCCTGCTACTGCACCTGGAGCCGGTTTCATTTACACTGGCCAAGGAGCTCAGTACAGCGGTATGGGAAGCCAGCTGTTTGAGAACAACTCTCAATTCCGAACCCATATTGAACATTTGGATCGCATTGTACAGAGTTTCGATTTCCCATCCATCGTGCCTTTGGTGAATGGAAGCGTTCCTGTGGAGGAGCTCAGTCCTATCGTGACTCAACTAGGAACTACTTGCATTCAGATGGCTCTGACTAAGTTCTGGATATCTCTTGGTGTCACGCCGGCATTTGTTCTTGGACATAGCTTGGGCGAGTATGCCGCATTAAACGCTGCTGGTATTCTGAGCACCAGTGATACTATCTACCTCGCTGGTCGACGGGCCCAGCTTCTCACTGAGAAATGTCAAATGGGCACTCACGCCATGTTGGCTGTCAAGTCCTCAGTGGCCCAGGTAAAGCAGTACCTGGAAGGTGATCTCGCTGAAGTTGCTTGCATCAACGCACCCAGTGAGACTGTCATCAGTGGCGCTAGCGAGAAGATTGATCAGTTTGCCGAAAAGCTAGCCAACGAAGGATTTAAGGCTACAAAGCTTAAGGTACCCTTTGCTTTCCACTCGGCTCAGGTTGACCCCATTCTTGAAAGCCTCGAGAGGATTGCTAAGGGAGTTACTTTTAATGAGCCCAAGATTCCTTTTGTGTCTGCTCTTCTTGGGGATGTCATCAAGGAGGCTAACCCTGAGGTCCTTGGCCCCACCTATCTTACTCGCCACTGCCGTGAATCTGTCAACTTCCTTGCTGCTCTGGAGGCTGTCCGCCACGAGAAGTTAATGAGCGACAAGACTCTTTGGGTTGAGATTGGATCTCACCCAGTGTGCTCTGGAATGGTGAAGTCTACCTTTGGTCCCCAGGTCCTCACAGTCGCATCCCTCCGTCGCCAGGAGGATGCATGGAAGGTTCTTTCGACAAGCCTTTCGGCTCTTTACATGGCTGGAGTGGACATTCGCTGGAAGGAATACCACCAGGACTTCAGCTCCATGCATGAGGTCCTCAACCTTCCTGCCTACAAGTGGGATCTGAAGAACTATTGGATTCCATACACCAACAACTTCTGTCTCCTGAAGGGTGCCCCTGCAACCTCCACTGCTGAAACTACCCCTGTTACCACCTTCCTGACAACTTCTGCCCAAAAGATTCTGGAGACCAATGGGGACAGCAACACGGCAACAGTGACCATCGAAAACGATATTGCTTATCCCGAGTTGAACCGTGTCATTCAGGGTCACAAGGTCAATGGTGCTGCTCTCTGTCCATCTTCGCTCTATGCGGATATTGCTCAGACATTGGGCGAGTTTCTGGTTGAAAAGTATAAGCCTGAATGGAAAGAGCGTGGCTTCGATGTATGTGAGGTCGTTGTGCCAAAGCCCCTCATTGCCAAGGGTGGCAAGCAGCTTTTCCGTGTTTCAGCAACAACCAACTGGGCCGAGGAGAAGGCCCAGGTCAAGGTCTGGTCTGTTACTCCTGAGGGTAAGAAGATTCTTGACCACGCTACTTGCACCATCAAGTTCTTCGACACCCATGCGGCTGCAGAAGAATGGAAGCGTCATACCTACCTCATCAAGCGAAGCATTCAACATCTTCAGGAAAGTACCGAGTCTGGTGGGGCTCATCGCATGAAGCGTGGAATGGTTTACAAGCTTTTCAGCGCCCTTGTGGATTACGACGAGAACTATAAGTCGATCCAAGAAGTTATTCTAGATAGTGAGCAGCACGAAGCCACTGCGCTAGTCAAGTTTGCTGCTCCTCCAGGAGACTTCCACCGCAATCCATTCTGGATTGACAGCATCGGTCATCTCTCTGGCTTTATCATGAATGCCAGCGATGGTATCGATTCGAAGAACCAGGTGTTCGTCAACCATGGATGGGACTCCATGCGTTGCTTGAAGAAATTTGACCCCAGCGTCACATACCGTACTTATGTTCGGATGCAGCCTTGGAAAGACTCGATCTACGCTGGTGATGTATACCTCTTTGAGGGAGACAACATTGTTGCCGTCTATGGTGGCGTCAAGTTCCAGGCGCTGTCGCGGAAAATTCTGGACATGGCCCTTCCTCCTGCTGGCTCTAAGCCTGCTCCTGCTGCGGCTAAGACCAGACCCGCACCTATTGACACCAAGAAAGCTCGCGTGCCTCCTGTCAAGAAAGCTTCATCTTCTCCCAAATCTGCTGGTTCTGGTATTGCGGTGAAGGCTCTGAATATCCTGGCAGAGGAAGTTGGTCTTTCTGCTTCTGATATGACAGACGACCTGAACTTTGCAGACTATGGAGTTGACTCTTTGCTCTCCTTAACAGTGACTGGACGTTACCGAGAGGAAATGAGCCTCGACCTGGATTCCAATGTCTTCATCGATCAGCCTACGATCAAGGACTTCAAGCAGCTCTTGGCCTCAATGAACCCCGAGAGCAGCAGTGATGGATCCGGCAGTGATAACGACATGTCATCCGCAGCATCTTCAACTGACCTCTCGACTCCCAACTCCAGCGGTCTTCCCACGCCTGCTAACGAAAAGACCATGGTGCTCGAGACTGAGCAACATGACAGTATGAAGCAAATCTGTGAAATCCTCGCTGAAGAGATTGGTGTCCAACCTGACGAACTGCAAGGAGATGTCAACCTTGCAGAAATGGGTCTGGACTCATTGATGTCGCTCACTGTCTTGGGCAAGATCCGCGAAACTCTGGACCTCGAGCTGTCGGGAGAGTTTTTCATTGAGAACCAAACTATCAATGAGGTTGAAGTGGCTCTTGACTTGAAGCCAAAGGCGGCTCCTGCCCCTGAGCCGATTCAACTTCCCAAGCAGATCCAGGAAGAGGCACCCAAGGCCCTTTCTAGCACTGCAATTCAGCATCCCCCCGCAACCTCCATCCTTCTCCAAGGAAACCCCAAGACAGCCACGCAGAAGCTCTTCCTTTTCCCAGATGGCTCTGGATCCGCTACATCCTACGCCACAATCCCAGGTATCTCTCCAGACGTCGCCGTGTACGGACTTAACTGCCCCTACATGCGGACCCCGGAGAAGCTGAAGTTCAGTCTGGACGAGCTGACATATCCTTACGTTGCCGAAATTCGTCGCCGCCAGCCAAAGGGTCCGTACAATTTCGGTGGTTGGTCCGCAGGTGGTATCTGCGCCTACGACGCAGCCCGCCATCTGATCTTCGACCAAGGCGAGCAAGTCGATCGTCTCCTCCTTCTGGATTCTCCATTCCCCATTGGCCTCGAGAAGCTTCCACGTCGTCTGTACCGCTTCTTCGACACCATCGGCCTTTTCGGCGAGGGCAAAGCTCCCCCGCCTAGCTGGCTACTTCCCCACTTCCTGGCCTTTATTGACTCCCTTGATGCATACAAGGCTGCGCCTTTCCCCTTCAACGACGAGAATCTCGCCAAAAAGATTCCCAAGACTTTCATGGTCTGGGCTAAGGATGGTGTTTGTAACAAGCCTAACGATCCTCGCCCTGCACCTGCCGAGGATGGCAGCCCTGACCCCAGAGAGATGTTATGGCTACTGAACAACCGGACTGATCTTGGTCCCAATGGATGGGATACACTTGTTGGCCCGAAGAATGTCGGTGGTATTACTGTGATGGAGGGCGCCAATCATTTCACCATGACTCGTGGTGAAAAGTCCAAGGAGCTGGCAGCGTTCATCGCTGGAGCTATGCAGTCTTCGACTTAAAGCGATGGCTTTTTACGTTTCTTCCTGTCATTTCCTTCTACTTTTGTCCTTCATTTTTTTCTTCTGTTTCTTATGTATTTTTAATTTTGACAAGATTGCCGGAGTTTTTGCTTCATTCTTTCTTTGATTCTGTGAGCATTTTTCGTGTCTATTACTACCATTGTATACATGATTTGGTGATACAGGCCAATAATATTATAATTTCTTATAATAATTTTTTTTGAAAAAAGTACGATTAAGTTTAGACTTCTGGTAGACCATTTGGGCTCAAGGATGAATTGATCTGCGCTTTACTTGCTTGAAATCTGAGTTGTACTTGGGCGGGACAATTGAAATGTAACGAGACTAAAAATGCTCTGGCCAGGCTGACCAGCAGCGTCATAGGTAGAGCAAGGGAACGTTGCAAATTTGAATGGAAGGATCTAGAACAGTTTGATGGAGTCTTCAAAGCTGTGTGCGTCATAGACTACTTCAATAAGTAGGTAGTTTGATCTGTATGATTTGATTGAAACCTATCATAGATATTGAATCTTAAAAATAACTCTGTTAGTTTCGAGGGAGACCCGTTGTTACGGCAAAACCTCCGAACTGAAACGCAAGCCACTGCCTCGACCAGCGAGGCCACCATTGCCATTGCCGTTTCCATTTCCATTGTTCACCCCAGGGCTCGTTGGGCGACTTGATGCGGCCCATTTTGGACTTCGTGGTTGTGTGCTGGTCGAGCGGGTAGAAGGTCGATTTTTGCGGATCTCTCGCAGCTCTTCCTCCTTCCTGCGCAGGAGGTCATTACGAGAGGCAAGCATAAGCTCAAGTTCTTCAATTCGGGAGATGTGGGTGGCCGAGTCACTCGCATTGACGATTCCGCGTAGTTGAACGGAGTTGTTATCGGCCTTAAGTTTGAGAGACTCATTCTCGGCTTGGAGTTGACGCAATTCATTCCCAGCCTGAGCAGCAGCGTTAGATGCGTTTTGGTATTGCTCTCGAGTGTACTCCGCTTGATTCTTTTCATAGTCGGCCTTGCGTTCCAGGCTTATGGCGTCCTTTTTCAGGAGGCGGATCTCTTCGCGGGCTGCCTCGAGCTCCGCCAGTGAGCCGCCACCATTCTTGAGTTCTTGGCGAGCCTCTTCAAGTTCCTTCTTCAGTTGGCTTCGTTCCTCCTTCAACTTGGTGACGTCTTCTTTTGATTTCTCTGTTCGTTGTTCCATGGACTTCTTGGATGCTTCCAACTTGTCACGTTCTTGCCGGACCTTGTGGAGCTCGTTCTTTCGATTCTCATACCGATATTGGAGACTACTCAATGATCTATCCTTGTCCTGGTATCGGGACTGCCACTGATTCAACTCGTGCTTTAACTGCTCTTTTTCGACGGTGTGGTTACTTTTCATTTGAACAAGATTTGCTTCCAAATGATGAAGTTCGTCTTCCAGGCTTTGACTGGGATCCTTTGTTGACTGAGTGCTAGTACCTGGAAGGTCGACTCTGGCGCGTTTAGAGGTGTTGTCCTCTTTATCATCGTCAGGCTGAATAAGGGTTAGTGTGATATAACAAAGATGGTTTAATGCATTGACTCACTAACGAACGCTTCTGAGCCGCCACTTGGGACTCGTCAGACGATGATGTCTGATCCGATTCTTCGGAAGGCGCAAAGTTAAGGGACTCAACCATTGGCAGTTGCCAAGAAGCGAAACTGTGCAGTAAATAGTTGACGATTTCTTCCGCGTCTTCCTGCACATTGAGGGCATCATGTTGGAGATCACCTGCTTCACCGTGGAGCCGAGCAGTGTATTGCAAAAGCAGTCGCAATCGCTCAGACTCGGTCGTGTCTGGGAGGCACCGCTCAACATGTTCACAAGTGTTAGAAATGAAGAGCCAAATAACGGGAAGAAGACCGCCGTTGCGAGTATATGTTCTACGAATATACTCCACGGCCGGACTGCTGGGATTGAATGCCGTGTCGAAAACAAGGATTGCACATGGGGCTCTGAACATATCTCGCACATTGCCATTGGAGTGAACCCCAAAGCTGAGAGGGCCTTTCGCCAGAGATACCTCCAAATTACCACCCAACTCTTCCCGAGGCCGAGTGTACGTAAAACCCTTGCCTCGAAGATAGCGCTCAATAATGGTTTGCTTCTGATCGTTTTGGACAGCGATGATGATATGAAGCTCATGAGTGCTTGCAAGTTCAATCAAGTACCCGAGTAGAAGGAATTTAGAGCTGGAATACTCTGCCCATTTGGCCTGCGACTCCAGACCGCTATCTCCCGCTGCCAGGTGTTCAGGGATATTCAAGTCAGGATGAGTGGTTACATTGTTCAGTCGAGCTATAATTTCGTAAACTTTTGACTGCAACGAATCTCGCTGCAAACGCGTAAATTAGCCATAATCCGTGATGGATTCAAGCTAAACTTACATCAGAGGATGGAGTCCGAGAATTGTGACGAGAAAGAGTCAGATATTCCTGCATTGTTGAAGCTCCATCTGAAATCACGCGCTCGTAGTCGTCCTTTATTCTTGAATCCATGGGCAGTGTCAAGGCAAATTCGGCCGGACCAAGACGGACAGCGCCCGGCTGGGTCACTTCAACATCGCCCACTGTCAATGCACTAGGCTGAATGGTCTGAATTCCAGTCCCATCATGGGCGAGATGGGTTGAGTGCAGTAAAGAATCCGCATGAGCATGATGGACGGCAGTGTGAGAGTGTGCCATGTTCTCTTCCTCTGCCCGAACGCTCAAAGGAATTGCCGTTTCAGGAAAAGACGGAGGCACTGCAGCTTCTATATCTCCGACAGAAGATGGTGTATCACTTGCAGGAACAGAGGATATGGGATTTCCCAGGTGGAACCTTTTGTCTTCCATACTGGCACGTGGATGCCTCACAGGATATCGGAAACCCTGGAACAGGCGCTTTGAAGAAAAGTACCAGATTGAATAAGGGAATAGTCCCGAAATTTTTTTTCCTGGGGAAAGGAGGCAACAGGAACTGTTTAGAGAAAAAGAAGGCTCGAGAACAGGTCGAGAGCAAAAAAGGGGTGGTGATGGAGATCAAAGAAAGAACAAGAGCAAGTTAATGATCAAAATGCTCTCAACAAGTCAAATATTGACAGGTAACAGTGTTGATCAAATCAAAAAGACAAGTATTGACAGTCTTCGACCTTGATTTGCGTGCAGATCAGTATGCCAGCTCCGAGTTTCAAATTGGCATCTATGCTCTGCTGGCGCAGCTGGTGTTCTTTATTTGAAGAACTTTGAAGAAACCTGGAGCTTTGCACAAGATTGGCACTTCAAATTGAGTGCAGAATTTGACCCAAGACGGTAGGGTTGACTGCCACCTGGGCTTGAAGTTAGGGGATGGTGCGCAAGGTGTTGCGATTGCAATTGATTTCGAGGCACATTGGACGATATGAGGGATAAAGGTTGTCAGAAAAGAAAAGGAACATACTAGTAAATACCGGTCATATATGTATGTATTTTTGGATAGTCACTTTCAGCTGCAGGATTGGCCCAACCGCGGTGAAGCACCCGAACTGGAGGTATAGAGGAGTGAATGGCCCGGCTCGAGGTGGAGATGGCGGACAGTGTCACGTGATGGGGGATTATCGGTTGGTGATCTAGCTTATTCGGGACTAGCGTGTTCTTTGCCTACTCTACACGCTCGTCGGTTCGTTCACTATGGTTCGATTCACTTCAAATGAAAATGCACAGAGAATCGAACTCTCTCAGAAAAGTGAAGCCCACTGGCCATTTTTTGGGAAGGATTCTCATTTTTGATATTAAGCAAATCTCCATTGAATATGCAACATCCGCTTATCGATCTCCCATGTCCACATCCTTGAACCCTGCTATTATTGAAAACCAAATCTCTATCTCTATGAATGACCAAACCCCCCGTTAAACTTCGTTTTGCCTCTCGTCCCGTTTCCAGGCTTCAAAGTCAAATCCGAGCGCCTCAACTGTTTTGATATTACTACACTGCTCTCCTTTCTGAACGAAGGCTCGCCGAATCTCAGGGAACAAGGCCCGCATCCACCGCTCTCGTTCTCCCCAGTATACTCCCAATTTTCCTTTCCCGTTGTCCTCGATCCCCGGACGCGGTTTGGCACTAGCTGCCCAGTTGTATAGATGATTTAGGTAGTCTGCGTCCGCAGGGAAGGGCATGACGTGAAAGGCCTTCCCATCTCCTTTTTGTGCGACTTCGGAGTCTTCCGATGCCTTCATATCTCCCCTTTCTGGAAGCAGAAGCCGCCCCGACCATACACGAGAAAACAAAGATGCTTGATTCTCTGCTATGACAAAGGGGATGACTCGCTGTGAAAGAACAGGAAAGACAAGAGTAGGGTGGTCGATATAAAATAGATGCTGGTAAATATTCCTCGCACGCCATCCATGCGTCACAACAGGCGGCCCAAGCGATGAAAGGAATGGGAAAGAGTAGAAATATCCAGTGCAAAAGACGATAGCATCGACTTGCGTCTCAATATGACCATCTGCGAAACGAATGCTTCGGTCATGTTCGGCAGGGGCCAAGAATTCGACAATCTCGGGACGAATGATTTTATCCGAAGGAGACATAGCAGCCATATACGACTCGGACTTCTGGGAGACAATCACCTTGCCTTTGCTGACTTCATTGATCTGAGCTCCAATATCGAGCCCTGAGGCAGAACTTCCAACTACCACCACCTTCTTCCCTCGAAACGATTCAGGAGAGTCATAGAGCTTGGAGTGAGTAATAGCACCGATATAGGCCTTATCCCAAACTTCAATTCCTGGAACATCTGGAAGGTACGGGACATTGAAGTGACCGCTTGCCACAACCACAGCGTCGTAGGTGGACGTGGTTTCTACGCCAGTTTGAAGATTGGTTGTGGTCAAGGCCCAAGTACTCAACCTTGGGTTCTCAAGCTTCACATCTTTGACTTGAGTCTCAAATTGAATGTAGCTCTTCGTGTCCTTGGCATATTCTTCCAGATATTGCTTAACGGTACGGTGCTTAGGGAAGAGCTGGGCATCCTCGGGAAAAGGCTGGTCCGAGTATCGCATTAATTCCTTTGGGATATTGGTCTCCAGCTTGTCATATATCGGTGACACAAAAATGGGCTCGCTCGACCCCTCAGGTTGATTGATCCATATTGGCTTTTCAACCGGTTCATGCGGATTCAAATGGGGCACAGAGGTGGAAATACCAATTTTGGAAGAAATGGGAGTATAATTCCAGACGCCACCGACGGAGCTTCTTTGCTCAAACACATCAATATGTTCAAAGTACTTCTCTGCCCGAAGGTATCTGTTCTGTCGGTGAGCAACGTGGTCGAACCAATTAGAAAACAAGCATGATGGGGGTTCCTGACTTCACCGCAGCGAGACCAGAGGGCCCTGCCCCTATGACAGCCACCCGTCGAATGGGATGTGGGAATGCCATATCCTTATGATCCAATTTGCTTGTCGGGCGAGGGGTTATGCTGGAGAAGCCGACCGGTTAGCACTCGCGCCATAGTGGAGCGGTGGAGCTTATCGGGGGCATGGGAAGGTCATGATTAGCAGATATAGTTGAAGATTGCCATTGTTCCAAGATTTGATGAGATACCAAGTCAAAGATTCGCCTTGGTTTAGGGCAGTCATTTAAGCTTGAAGCCGAGCTTGAGAAATACTTGAACAGGCAAATATAACTATAGTCTATAGTTTATGCCTATGAAGTAGTTAGTTACGATCTTGATGCCATATTCCTTAGGTATAATACCAGTATTGGCGAAACATTAAAACACATTGAAACACTTATCAATAGCCGTTTCATTACGCTTGTATTACCAAACTGCAACCCGCAATTTCCAGTTCTTTGTTGCACCCGCGTTTTTTAAACGCTCACCTCTCAGCCTTTCGCTCCCTTTGATCTGATCCTCCCCATAGTATGTTGATGGTCGCAGACTGCTGAGGTCAGTCGGGGATTTGTGGACACAATGATGGATATAGCCGACCAGCCTCCGGCACCGAATGCGCCGCAGCTCGCCAAGATCCCGATCGCGCAGCTGTCGCCTACTCTTGAGCAGTCTCAAGAGAAATGCATCGAAGCAACTGTGACCCTCGTCTGGCCGTATTCATCTTCGACTAAGTCCCTTAGCCTCTTACTCGCCGAACCTGATTTCCGCCTACGACGTTTACATGGACAAGTCAAAGTAATATTTCATGGGCGCGTTGCGGAACAGGTTGCCGCGTCCCATATCGGTATTGGTGACAATATTTGTCTTGCATTGAAAGGTTCGAATTTCGTTGCGAATGATACGGCAACTCAAACTGCTGGGAAATATGTAGCGTGGGATGTGCATTTCGACCATGGCCTGTCCCTAGAGGTAATTTTGACCTTCAACCAGATCCAGCTCCGATGCTAATAACGTGAGACATAGATCAACCGACCGTCAGAAGAAGCTTCAAAAATATCCATTGAATACCATGATCCGACACCACACGAACACGAACAAGCTCCGCCCACGACGCCTCGCATCGTTTCAACGGATCCCGTGGTACTAGAGCAAAGATCCTGGGAATCGCCAGCTTTTCTACGATCCGGTTCAAATCCCTTTGGTAGTGTGCCTCGTACCTCTCTCGAGTTATCTGTAGAGGAAGATGGCTTTGTTCCTGGCAAGGGAAGAAAGCGGCCAAGATATAGCTTGAAACGCGACGACTGGCATATTGTGGATGAACCTATGAGCCCTCAGGAGGAATCCGCAGTGGATTGGTGGGAGAAAGATTCCTGGGAGAAAACCTTGGGAGGAAACGCGAATATTGAACAGGAAATGGATGACAATGCAGATGCAGAGCCTCGGAATAAAAGTATCATCCCTGACGAAGACCAAAGCAACGGGGAAAATGCCTCTCGGGAGCAGTCTCCTATCTTTATCAAGCCTTCTCTTGATATTTCTGGTGGCCTTTTCGGCAGGCGGCCACCGCAATCCAGCGAGTCTTCTCATGGACTGACGGAACCTACTTTCCAGCAGCGCCTAATGTCAGCCTCGCAACTCCCTACAGATACGCCACAACTCCGACCGGTACCTTCGCCTGGTCTCCCAATACCATCACCTATTGTCTCAAATCCAAACACTTCACACGGTTACTTTTCAGACTTCCACACCCTCTCCCAAACGCAAAGTGCAAATTCTGTGTCCTTAGAAGCTGATGCCAGTGTTACTGCCTCCGAATCTCTACGCTTCTCTCATATCTCACCGGTCTCTCCTCCAAGAGCAGCGCCGATATCTGCTGAAGATATAGCGAGCACGCACGAAAATGATGGATCTGTTTTCACGCCAGCTGGCCTGGTAACTCATCAGTCCCCATCGGCCTTACTTGTAGAAAACATGCCAATTGGATCGGTATTGGATCAAACAGAATTGTTCAATTCGTCTGAATACATCAATGACTCCGATATTATTGAGTCAAACGTCGACATTGAACACGTTGACGAGCCGCTTCTATCGGTTGTGACAGATCGCGTGGCAACTGAACCAACTGGATACGATCAGATTGACGGCGCAGTGGGAAATCAAGAGGATCATATTATGGAAAACGAGGAAAAGCCTGGATCTGAGGCAAAGTCTGAAGTTGGAGCCATCGAGGACAGCAATGAAAATGTCCAGACTGGCTCAGCATTTTCATCACATGCGCTCGAGGCGACTGCCACCGACACAGCTATACAAGCAGCAGCGTTGAACGAGGCTGAAAGTGACGAGGGCGACAAATTTTCGGACGCATCTCAGATTGGGCAAGATCATCACACGCGCCGTGCTAGTTTTAGCGACCAAGAGAGTCCTCAAGTTGAAGATGAAGCTTTCTCTTATGACGAGGAAGACAAAGAGTCAGAATTTGAAATGGAAGATCAATACGCCGAAGCCCAATCAGAGGCAAGTAGCGACGAGGAGTCCGAAGCAGCGGATCTGCCACAGCATTCTCCTGCCCAGCATGAAGTGATTGTGTTAGATAGCGATAGTGAGGATGACCTCACCTCCGATCAAGCGGCTAATCCGCAGTCTGTGCACCAAGAACGCAGAACGTATCGTGATTCATCACCGCAATCTGAAAATGAAGGGTGGGATATGGTCGAGCAAGAGGAGGAATCCCCGTCAGAAGCCGAATATTCCGAGGATGAAGAGGCAGAGGCTCTGGGTCAGGATGACAGAATTCACGACAGTGATAAAGAAGACGAATCATCTGTGGATGTGTTGGCACGAGACCATTATTCGCAGAAGCATTCAACTCGAGAGTCTTCAATACATGAGGTAGAAGACAAAGGCGACGCTTCTGATATCAGTTCAGAGGGGGCTTCACCAAGGGATTATCATTATGACAATGTTATAAACCCCGACGCAAGAACAGAATCGGTCATCGGACTAGGCTCTGGCGACGATAAACTTAGCGAGGCCGGTGAAAATTCTTTCCCCCGTGAAGACTCAGCACCTGCTAGTCGAATCGAGAAGGTCTGGGCTGGCGCAAAGTCAAGCGCAAAGGCACCACATGGATCAGATGGGGCACATGATGAGCATTCCGATGATTTAGCGCCTCTGGGTACGGAAGTTCAGGTCGGCAATGAAGTAGCAGAAACCACTCCAGTAGAATCTGCCTGGCCACAACTTTTGACCCCGGATCCTACCCAAGAATTTGGCGGTTCACAAGCTATTGTGAACAAGGAGAAGGAGGAAATGGTGCATGTTTCTCCCACATTTGACACTCGGGAATCCCCCTTGGGGCTGAATGTCTCTGCTTCATTGGCACCGGACACTGGCCCGGATACTACGGATCGCCCAGCTGAGAACACTCTGGATGCATCACTTCTAGACCAGGAATTCCCACCTGAAGTTGTATCTGATGAAAAACTCGCAGGCGGTCCACTCATTGTCTTACCAACCACCGAGACTGTTCAGCCTGAAGAACGGCCGGTCGCTACCCAGGAGGACATACTGGAAGCCCCGGCCGTTGTCATCAGTCAACTTCCAGCTCCCGATCGTCATGCCCATGGGCTACGCAGCAAGCTGTCTTACTTCGCCCCTCTTGCAACTCTTATTGACCATTTCAGTGCTTTGGTGGACACCATCTCAATTGTTCATGAAGTATCCCCAATTGCCAAGGCAACCTCTGGTCCAAAAGACTATTTCCTGACCGTCCAACTTACCGATCCGTCTATGGCTGGAACCGTCCTCCAAGCCCAGATATTCCGGCGTTACAAGTCTGCAATGCCGACAATGGCTGAAGGGAACGCCGTTCTGCTCCGAAACCTCAAAGTCCGCAGTTTCGATCACTCGATAATGCTGGTCAGTGTTGAATCCAGCTCATGGGCTGTATTCGATGGTTCCGGACCGGAAGCACAAGTAAATGGCCCTCCCGTTGAATATGGTTCGGAGGAGCGAGCTTATGCATCTGGCTTGCGGAAGTGGTACAGCGAGTTTGGCGCCAGCATGGTTGCCGACCACCAGCTCCAAGCGTCAATCTTCGAAGACAGCGTGGATAGAGAAGGTAGTGCTTTGATTAGCGAGTCCGGAAGTATAGAATCAGTGACTCGCGGAGACCCTACCTCTTCTACTCGAGGCTCAAAGCGCTCGCGTAAGAGCCACCGGCGGGTTACTATTCACGAACTCCGAGATGGTCGACGCTACACCGAGGTTGGGTCTCCCAGCAGCAAAGAAAGCATTCACGAATTGCGTGATGGCACACTTTATGCGAATTTGTAAAACAAAAGCATTGATCTTGTTTTATACCTGGTCAGTCTTGTGAAGATCTGCTGCCTGGATAACTATAAATGCACATATGCTATAGAATATTCGTGTTCATCTCTTCTTAGTACTCTCATCTTCAGTCTATACATAAGTGACATGCCGTATATACAAGAACTAAACTATACAACTCACATCTTGGAAGACTTCTCTTCGTGATGGAAATAGTCCTTGCTAATCGCCGCCTGGATCAACTGATTCGCAATCGCCGTTGGCGGCGGCAGCTTCAAACCACCTTTATACTCCGGTCCAGGGCCGGAACTCAAATCGCTCGTTCCAATTCGCAGCGCCTCCTCTACCTCCTCAACGTCAAACCACTTCGCATCTTCGAGCTCCGGATCATGCTCCAGATTAATCTTCTCGTGAGCCGGATCGGACACTTGCGCAATAGCACCAATCATCAAGTTCGCGGGGTACGGCCACGGCTGTGAAGAATGGATGACAACCCGTGAAAGCGTCACACCAGCCTCCTCCCACACTTCACGGCGCACGGCATCCTCAATGGATTCTGCCGGCTCGATAAATCCCGCCAGAGTTGAATACCAGTTGGGCGGGAAGCGCTTAGATCGACCGAGTAGAACACGCTTGCCATCGGCGGAGACGACGGCCACAATGATGGTCGGGTCTGTGCGGGGAAAGCACAGGTTCGAAAGCGTGGTACGGGTCGTGCAGGCGGGGCGCTCTATGGATTGGCCTGTAGCGGCGCGGGCAGCGTCCGTAGGTGGGCAGGTGCGCTTAGTTCCTGCATTCACGGAGAGAGTGGGGTTGCCACAGGTGCCGCAGAAGGTGTTGCGGTTGTTCCAGTCGGTCAAAGCGCGGGCCTGAGCATAGATAGCGGCTGGTTTATACATTGTTAGTTAGAGAGTAGACCTTTAGCGGGGTTATCAGTAGCCGCGACTTAGCCGACGTACCTTCGTCCGGAGTAAAGGTTGTAACAATTCTAGTCTGGAAGAACGAAAGGCCTTTCGATTCCATTGCACTGATGACATCCTTGGCGGCAGTCTGCTGCGCCTCGGATCCCTTAGGCGTGACATCTAGGGCGAAGCACGGGGATCCGGAGTAGATCTTGTGTGCAAAGGCATTCTCTTCCTTGCGGCTCTCGTCCAGACCAAGGAAGATAAGGCTTGGGTAAGTCTTCCGCGAGTCAAAGGTCTTGATCATGTCTTCTTCGGATTCGTCAAAGAAATCCTGTGGGATAAGCTTGCGCAGTTCCTCATACTTGGCATAGTACAACTCAGCTGGGGAGCGAGTGAGGGGGGCAAGGTTGTTCAGCAGGACGAACTGCGTAGACGGGTGCTTCAGGGCCGATGAGAGGAATGGGTGATCACCGCGCAGAAACGATAGTCTGTTGATTGGGGAGCCTATAAGTGATGTTTAGCATTGCAATGTTCATTCGATATCGTCAATCTTGCGTCTCTCATCCCCTCGGCAATTCCATACTGGAGAAATAGTTTGCGGTTTCCCGGCCGAAGCGTCGCGATAGCATGGATTCCGCAAGCGTGTGGGCTGGGACCGGAATTTGAGAGGGCACGCTCATGTTGAAGATGATCTATATGCAGCAATGTATAGGTACGTTTGTATGTACACGAGAACGAATCGAACAAATGATCGGAGGAATGCGACTGCGATAGCATTAATCAGCGTAGACGTTCTATGGTGTATTGGGATGACTCAGGATTCGTCGGACTTCCACCGATCAGTGAGCGTGAGGGGTGTATTATTTGTAATACATGGTAATAGCAATACTCCGAAGCGGGGAACCGCGGACTCCCCACACACGTGACCCTGATGATGAATTTCCCATTTTCTGCTTCTTTATCTCAAGCAAATTCCGTATTGAAGCAGTCATAGCTGTGTTTATTGCAACTGGACTGCATAATGGGGCACCTTGTCACTCTAGCAACATGGTATGCATTGAACATTGGCTTGGAAGAGCTTCATTTACTGACTTGATAGCTCTCTAAATCAATGGGCCCTGGACTTTGAGGGCAATGCGGCCCGCATTATCGAGAGTATTCGACAGGCAAAGGCAGCTGGTGCGGCTCTACGTGTTGGTCCAGAGCTTGAGATTACCGGTAAATGACCAAATACCTTCGTACTGCAAGATATGAGGGCAGACATTGACACAGCTCCCTAGGGTACGGCGTGCTGGATGGATTCCTTGAAGGGGACACCTTCTTGCATTCTTGGGAAATGTTAGCTCGTATCATCGAACACCCGGACTGTCAGGATATTGTGGTGGATGTGGGTATGCCTGTGCGCCATCGCAATGTGCGCTACAACTGCCGGTGAGATTCTCCGCGGCTCTTTTCATGCTTTGGGACCATTGGCTAATGTATGCATCGTCCCCATGTAGTGTCATCTTCTACAACAAAAAGATTATCCTAATCCGGCCGAAGATGTGGCTCGCCAACGGTTTGTTCGTCCCCGCGCTATCGATCGACCTCCCATACTTATATGTTCTTCTCCGATATAGATGGCAACTACAGAGAGCACAGACACTTCATTCCGTGGCAGCGTCCTCAAGAGGTTGAGGATTATTACCTAGAGCAGATTGTAGGAAATATCACTGGTCAATACAAGGTCCCGTTCGGTGATGCCGTCATCAGCACGAGAGACACTTGTTTTGGCCTGGAGACTTGCGAGGAATTGTTCACTCCTAATGGGTATGCTGAAAATTCCATGTGCTGTCTGATGGTATCGGCTGACATTGCGACTAAGACCTCATATTCCTTATGGACTGGCTGGTATGTTGTCACACTTGATAGGAAAATCAACATACACTTGCTAACAAATCTAGGTGTGGAAATTATCTCCAACTCCTCTGGCAGCCACCATGAATTGAAAAAGCTTGACACTCGCGTGAACCTCATCACACAAGCTACAAAATTGGTACATGAAATGAGATTACATATTCCAAGTCTCCCTACTAACGCATCATAGAGCGGTGGTATCTACCTGTATGCTAATCAACAAGGCTGTGACGGCGATCGCCTATACTACGACGGCTGTGCGATGATTGTCGTAAATGGTGATGTCGTGGCGCAAGGATCCCAATTCTCCTTGAACGACGTGGAAGTTGTCACAGCGACCGTCGACATCGAAGATGTCAGAACCTACCGCTCAACCGTGAGCCGTGGAATGCAGGCGAGCAAGCAGTCACCTTTTGTTCGTCTCGACATTGATGTCCGTCTTTCCCGCCGTACTGAGGATGCGGACCCCAGCCTCACTGTTTCCGCGCCATTCAAGCCTCATTTCCATGTTCCAGAAGAGGAGATCGCTCTCGGCCCAGCTTGTTGGCTTTGGGACTACCTGCGGCGATGCGGCGCCGCGGGATTCTTTATCCCTCTCAGCGGTGGTATCGACAGCTGTGCCACGTCAGTGATTGTCCATTCGATGTGCCGTGAGGTTCTGAAAGCAGTCAGACAAGGCAATGAGCAGGTCATCAAGGATGTCCGTCGACTCTGTGCTAAGCCCACCGACTCCGACTGGCTCCCGACGACCAGCCAAGAAATCTGCCGAGCCATCTTCCACACCAGTTACATGGGGACACAGAACTCGGGTCATGAGACGCGGGACCGGGCTAAACGACTGGCCGCAGATATTGGCTCCTACCATATTGACTTCAACTTTGATACTGTGATAACAGCTCTTATGGCTCTTTTCACCACCGTCACCAACTTCCAGCCACGATTCAAGGTGCATGGAGGTAGTTCGGCCGAAAACGCCGCCTTGCAGAATGTCCAGGCTCGATTAAGAATGGTCCTTTCTTATTTGTTTGCTTCGTTATTGCCGACTGTCCGCCAGCGACCTGGTGGTGGCAGCCTCTTGGTTCTTGCATCATCAAATGTGGACGAGTGCCTGCGGGGCTACTTAACCAAGTACGATGCTAGCTCAGCCGATCTCAACCCTATTGGGTCTATTAGCAAAGTCGACCTCAAGAAGTTTATCGGATGGGCAGGTATTAACTTTGATCTCCCAATTCTTGAAGAGTTCATCCACGCAACGCCTACGGCTGAATTGGAGCCTCGGACAGCGACTTATGTGCAATCTGATGAAGCTGACATGGGTGTGACTTACGCCGAGCTTGGTACTTTTGGTAAGTCATCACAAGGGAACCTATCTGTTGTATTTGACTACTAACAACTCGGTGTAAAGGCTACCTTCGAAAGGTGTCCAAGTTAGGCCCCTGGTCAATGTATGAGAAGCTCTTGGTAAGTCTCGGCTTCTCAGCTTTGCCTTCTAATAGTAGTCCCACTGACCATTCATCTAGCATCTGTGGGGTAATGAATACAGTCCGCGCGAAATCTACGAGAAAACACGCCATTTCTTCTACAACTACTCTATTAACCGACACAAAATGACTGTCTTAACACCTAGCTATCACGCAGAGCAGTACTCTCCCGACGACAACCGGCATGATCTTCGCCAGTTCCTATGTAAGTTTTCCAGCCTTTTGGTAGCATTTCATGGTAGACTAATGGTTTCTTCTCAGATCCTTCCTTCACATGGGCGTACAAAAAGATGGAGGACAGTGTCAAATTCTGGGAATCTAGGGGATGGACTACCGGCAAGACTGCGAAGAAGAACGTCAAAGCGGACTGACGAGATTGGAATTAAATGGGAATTTGTTGTCAATTTTTCTTTTTATGATATCAACGTGCTTACGATCGACTAGAGTTGGTGTACTCAATACGAAAAATGCAGTTCAAACATTAATTTGATCCGAAAAGAAAAGAAATAAATTGAGTGAATGTGCAAGTGATGGCGAACACCAGGCCATGGACAGAGAGAAAGTCACAAGAAATAGATGTAAAAAATCGCTGAAGAGAAGCTTAAAGTATCATGGGTCATATAAGTTGCCATTTGGGCAGAAAGGGGGAGAAAGAAAAGAAATCATTCATCATGCTGGCCAGTGAACAAATCAGTCTTTCCAGAACCAGCCATTTTTGGGTTGCATATTTTGTTCAGGCTGCTCCTCGCCAGCCTCCAACTTCGGGCGCGACATCTCAACAAATGACTCGCTCTCTTCACGGCCATCTTCATAGCGTTTGGTCTGTACCTTTTTGGTCTCGATCGAACCATCAGGGAGACGTTTACGCTCCGTGCGAGTCATGGTGGAAATAACACGGGGCTCCGCAGCCGATTCAACCTGCTTTGTGTCCGCCGCAGGTGTAGATGCCGTATCCTCGGTTTCAGGAACGGACTTACGGTGTCCACCCGAGACAAGATCCAGCCAGCTTTCCGTATCATCGTTACCCTGGTCGGGATCGGGCATCATTCCTCGTTGGAACTTCTCAAATTTATCCTGCTGATGCCGTCGTTCCTCGAGCAGGGCACGGAATAATGGGCTTGCCTGAGAGAACTCGCGTTCGCGATCCTGGATATCCTGCAAGAAACGCTCGTATAATGCCAGTTCACTCTCCGCTTGAGCTTCTTCACGCGCCGCCAAATCATTCTCACGTAATGAACGATCATTCTCACTGTGACCAGTAAACGTAATACCAGACCAGGGATGACCGTCTGTACCTGAAATGTATTTCCACCGATCGCCCAAGCTACCACGCTTGACCAACCCATGTAGCCATTCTGTTCCATTCTCTGGCCTTGTCTTGCTGGGCGCTAGGGAATCGCGCTCAAGCATAGACTTACCATTCTCTAAACGGAGCAAATCCTCGAATGCCTCACGCCATTGCGGTTCCGCGGGATCGCGGTCTGATTCCGAATCCGAATCAGGTCGGAGAGAGGACATGATGGCGGAAAACACACCCTGATCACCTTGCGCGCGGTATTGGGCCTGGCGTTCGAGATGGAGAGGGGAGTAGGGGCTCAGCATTATGTAAGTGAGTGGCCAGGTGGGCAAGTTGCTGTCGTCAAACATGTCGGAAAATGGGAAGTTGATGTGTGGGTGGAATAGGAAGGATGCGAAGGGGAGATAGTGATCTTCGAAGCGCTTGAAGAATGAGTCGAGGCCGAAGAAATCGGAAGGCCCGTCGTTACGGGATGGAAAATGCGCTGATCTGCTGACTTCTTCAGATGAATATGATGATTGTTGGGGAAATCGAGACAGTTGCTGGTTGTTGTTCTTGTAGTTTGGTGGTTTCTCTTCTCCGTCTGGTGTGTTGGGGTCGGGGTTTTGATTTGGGGTAGAGTCGCGCTCCACTGTGTGGTTCACGTTCGAATTCGAGTTCGAGTTCGAGTTCGCGCCGTTCCGGTGGCGATATGCCATGTTTTTGTATGATTTATCATCTGTGAAGATGGTCCAGCTGTCTGATTGGGGAGATCCGACTGAGGACGGAAGGCCAGTGATCGACTGTAACACAGAAGAGACTTGTTCATCGGCGAAGCGCCGAAATGTGACAAACGGATTTGTCTCGGACTCGCCATCCCAGTCCTTATTGTGGGGCATGTTGGACTTGTCCCGTTTGTTGTCTGAATCACGATCCGAAGGCATGATGGAAAGTTGATAAGAGAAGATCTTGTCAAAAGATGTTGATGAAGCTGTTGGGGAGCCCCACCTCGCCACGTGAGTCCCACTTTGTCAGCCTTTCCACCGCGCACTGCATTCTAGTCGTTCTTTGCAACACATGATTCTTCGAGTAGTTTATGCCTCCCAATTATGTAGCATGTCTTTGTCTGGTTATTTTTGATCCAAGGTCACAATCAATCTCCGGTTTCCCTTCTACAAGAGCCTCGCGCGCCCAGACTCAGATTGCTCCATATGACGGAAGAGACCCACTGAACTTAGTGGGTCAAAAGCGCCTCGATTTACCAGAGAGATACTAACTACATTGAGCCATTTGAACGGGCCAGACTAGACTACAGTATCGCCATGTCCTAGAAACGACGAGAGCGTCCACTCTAATGTCTCACAATCAGATCACGTGCTAGATATGTTGCTTCAAACTCAATCTCGATCATGTTTAGCCATAGGCCCTGGGAATGCTCATTCAGGATTAAAGCTAGAAGTCTGAAGAAAATACAAGATGGTTTCTCATATGAATAAACCATTCACATACCATTCCCTCCATTCGCCTTTTTGGCTTATCTTATAAGCGCGCACGTCCCGCAATGTCCTGCCACGCTTCATCAAACCCCGTTGAGCGGATCCACATCGCAGCATTTCCAGCAGTAGAATCAACAGCTGTGAAGATGAAACGATCAGCAAAAGAGTATGTACGACATTGGAACGTCGCGAATATGAACCTACCCATATTCCCAATCTTGAGCCACATATCTCCAGATATCGGCATAGTGCCATTCTTCTGATACGGCTCGCATACGTTCTTTCCGTGCGCTACAGCCCGCACAAGCTTGGATAGATGTCCGTCGTCGGATGGGTGTGCCACACTGTGGGAGATAACGGCCTGCCAGTCTTTCTGTGCTGGGTATTGTGCGACCTCGTCTATGAGGAGGTCCGGAGAGTTGCGAGAGACGTATGTCAAAAGGTCCAAGCGGCCCTTCCACTCAAGTAGACGGCATTTTGATTTCTGGTCGAGGAATGGGAGATTCATGAGCGTGGAGAAGAAGATGGAGGAGTTGAGACAGTGAATGAAGAAAAAGTCGATCTTGACCTCCTTGTCACGGCGTTGCGCGGTGCTCGTATAGTACACTGGCCAGAGTCATTGTTTTAGCGTCGGTACATGACAGCCTTGCTTGGGACTGAACCCGAAAATTAGACCGGTGTAGAAACTCACCAACTGTGTTTATCATATCTGCCAATCCCTCAGGTATCTGCTCCGCCGACACCGTATACTGAGCAGCATACTGCAGCATCTCCTGCGGTGCACGGTGTAAAACCCCGTCCCTAAACTTGTTAGTGTCTGAGAACTGGACAGAGCTTTTCAAAGTTTGATCTTCGCGGATCTCATTGAGCAGCTGCAGGAGTGACTTCTGCCCGGGCTTCCCAACTTCCCCGGCTAGTCTCTCGGCCGGAAGGAAGTAGTCACGGCCCATCCAGTCATCATGGACTGCTGCTTGGGCTAAAGCCTGGGCCACAATGGCAGGCTGATTGAACTCTAGGCCGAAGCCGAGATGAATGAGCGGGTGTACCAGTCCTGGTTTAAGTGAGTTTGTGACTTGTGCGGTTTTTACGAAAGGTGATCATACCTCCGAAAAGTCGGCTCAACATCGTTTCAGCGCGGTCGTCTCCGGCAAATAGGAAGTCCTTCAGGACTTGACTGACTCCCTTGGTGTCAATAGCATTCTGAAAATAAGCCAGGAAATTCGAGTACTGCTGCTCCTTTCCTAGATAGCCTTGGAAGTTGGTGCTATCATGCATAGCTTGGATAGTATCCTTGTTAATGGGAAGTGCTGGTCGTTGATAGCGCTTGTTCCTCTCGTAACTGGCCAGAATCTCCTCGGGGGATGCGCCGAGTGCATAGAGAGTGAGAATTCCATGGACGATATGATCTGTAGTATCCTGTTAGGTATGGAATGCCAACTCTTCAGCCAAGCCTCCATATATTGGAATAAACATACTATGGAATCCTTCGTCATTGAAGAAGACATGATGGCTCTCCATATCTTCTTGTAAGATCTTGCTGGCAACGCGAGCCGCATCTTCGCGAATACCAGAGCTGTAGACACCCACATCCTCGACGGGATTCAGATGAACATTTGTTGCAGTCGCCATGACGAAAGTATTGCTGTTCAAGGCTGGGTGGGAATTAAATGATCTGATGTGTGGAGAGGCTCTCAGGACCGCGGCTAATCGCGGTTGTAGTCTGAAGGATTGAAGAGAAGTGGAGAAAGGCAATAAAGGTCTTGTCAGTGCTCTGCTTTGCTGAGCCCAAAGCTTTGAGGTTATCCCTTTGACGCTGTGAGTTTTCTTGATAATCATGCGGGGCACCATGGCCCTTTTAACTTTAATTTAAACGCGACAACATGACAACCTGGCAATAACTAGCAATTGTAGGGACATTGCCTGGATCTCGTGTACGACGTGGGGAGGAAGCAAAGCCCGGGCGGACCTATCAGGATGAAACTATTAGGAAAGGGAAGTGGAGAGCTCGGCGTTCGGGCGTTCCGGTATGACGAAGCAACGTCATGCTTAGTTGTGGGCGAACTACCATGAGGACTAGACCCGGCTTGCTGACTGAATCTGTGGACTCGTATTGCTTCACATGAACTATCGCAATTGGAAACTCATTTTGATTTGCAATATTTAGGCTAGACGCATACTTCTCACTAGTCATTTACGCAAAAAAAAAAAAAAAAAAAAAAAAAAAAACCTATCTACCCTTTATTGCAGCGCGGTCTCTCGCTCCTTTTTGCGCCGTTGCCGTTCCCGTTCCATCTTCTTGAATAGCGGATGATGTCCAGCCTTGTCCTTCAGCTGCTTATTCTTGCTCTTATTGTATTCGATGTAGGCCATATCATCACCGCCAGCCAAACCGCTAAGGGTCGCAGCGCTACGTTTGGCATTAGCTTTCTTGCCTCCGGCGCGTTTGCCGCCTGTGCGCATGGAGAATAGATCATCATTCACCTGTTCCACGTCGGCTGAAGACTCATTCTGCAGCATGACTTCCTGCAGAAGCTCGCGGCGTTCTGCGGGTGTTGCATAGGAGAGCCCTTCATATTCGTCAATTCCTTGAAGGTGAGTGATGACCTTGAAGGCGTAGCCCTGGTCGACAAGGAAAGCTTGGCGCTTGGCCGAGTAAACCATCTCATTGGTGTCTTTAGAGACAAGCGAGTAGAAGAATGCATTAAAGCCCTCATCGTTACGACGCTTGGCACGAAGAATGCGGCCCAGTCGTTGAGCCTCCTGACGACGTGAGCCGTAGTGGGATGAGATTTGAATCAGGCAGGTGGCCTCGGGTAGATCAAGGGAAGTATCACCAATCTTGGACAAGAAGATGGTGTTGACTTGCTCGTTGTGCTGGAAGTTCTCCAGGATACGCATTCGCTCGTTCTGCGGGGTTCCACCGTAGATGTAAGCCTTGTTCAGCTTGAGTGCATATCGCTCGAGCGCATAAACGTTGTCAGAGAAAACAATGATCTTATCTCCTCGTTTTTCGTGGAAGTCAATCAAAAATTGACACGCTTGGAACTTGCGTGGATTCATGATGTAGAGCAAGGCCTGCTTCCTAGAACTCTCCCGTAGGTACTCTGAATAGAATTCAGTTGTCATGGGACACCAGACTTCGGCACACTGGACCTTTGCGATATGACCTTGTGCAGCAAGTTCCATCCAGTTCGCTTCATAGAGCTTGGGACCAATCAGGAAGTTCAAATCCTTGATCTTGTCATCTTCACGCAACAAGGTCGCAGTAAGACCAAGCTTGCTCTGTGCGGCGATCGCAGATGTAACCTTTCGGAACATTGAGGCAGGCACAACGTGAACCTCGTCCAGAATCATCATACCCCACTCTCGAGATTGGAGCCAGTCCATCATCTTCTGAGCATCATAGGAACGTGCCCGGGTTTGCGATACCATGGAGTAAGTCGAGACGATAATCCCGGTGGACCGTTTGAATTTCTCTTTATGATCAGATGTGAAGATAGCGATATCGCCGGGGTCAATAGTGGTCCATCTTAAGAACTCGTTTCGCCACTGGACCACGGACATGGAACTTGTGCAAAGAACAATGGTGCCTTTTTTGATAGTCGCCGCAGCAGTGATGCCCACCAAGGTCTTGCCCGCGCCACAGGGAAGAACGATGATTCCACTCTTTGCACGTCCGTTACCGAACATCTTACTGAGACTCTTCTCCTGATATGAACGAATTCGAGCGGCAGGTTTCAAATCCATGTCGAGGTTAGGGTTGACAGTATCACCTTGGAAATCATACTCTTCCAAGGCAGGACATCCAATTGCTTGGCAGCGGGCTTTGACCACTTCAACTCCGGCAGGAGGGATTTCGAAACTATATGTGGTAGCCTCATCGACGTCACCAACATCATCGATCCCGTAATCTACTGCCGCCTCTTCATTTTCATCCCGAGGCGGTACAGCAGCGGAGTTCTGCTGAGTACCAGTCTCTCTTACACCAGCCGCATCCTTCGTTCCAGGAATAACGAGACCTCCCATCTTCGGAGCTGCGCGCTCGATGATTCCCTCGGTACTCTCGATTCTTTGTGGACCGATCACCTCGTCTTTCAACAGTCGTTGCAGCATCTCAGGATCAGTTGTTTCCACGTAGTATCGATTGTGTCGCAGAACCATCTTGATTTTGCCGTATGACTTCGTAAACTCAATAATAAAATTTCGGATACTCTCCGGTAGCGGAGTTTTCGAAAGACGATCCAAGAACTCAACAATATCCTGGGGCTTTAGACCGACCGACACGGCTGCATAAAGACTGTGACCCGTCAGGCGGTATTCGTGAAGGTGGGTGGGACGTGAGAGCGGTTCGGCGATGGTGGTAAGGAAGTCCTGTGCCTGGGGCGCCAGCGGGGAGAAACTCTCGAGGGTGATCGTGCCTTTCACCGGCTCAATCCATAGAGGTCGGTTATAGTGGTCAAGCTTAAGGGGAAGATAAGAAAGATCCTTGTAACCAAATCTGGGGTCGGTCTTGTTGAGCGATCTCTTGCTGAACGACTCCAGAGAGAATTTGCTAACAACCTCTTTAACCGCCAAATTTTAGCATCTGAGTCACTATGTGAGCAGATTACCACACTCTACCTTTCAGGTTGTTCCGCTCCGGTACTTCATCATCCCCATCGTCCGAGTATTCATCGCTGCTGGAGAGTTCGGCATCGGGAACGGGCGTAGGTCGCTTGGAGGAACCGCTAGACCGACCATCTGGACTGAAAGTTAGCCATCGGTTTCCTTGTCCGACTTTTGGAACACCTACTGTCAGTCGCTTTTCTCTTGGGAGGCATCGCGTGGATTTGTTATGTATGGACTGGTCGAGGAAGACGCAGCGCAGCTGAGTACGAAGAGGGTAGGTCGGGACTCGATGAGGCGAACAACGCCTTGTAAAAAATGGTTCAAGCCTGCATGCCACGAGCAGATTTGGGTCGCAGGAAACAGGCGGCGTCTGCCGACTGGATAGAGCGACCAAGACCGGGACAAAAGATATGTGTTGCTGTAAATGTAGAGTTGCTTCAGTCAAAGGTCGGGTGAAGAAGTTTAGAAGGAGAACGGTGAATGAAAGGTTGTTAAAGGAAGGTTAGGATTAAAAGTCCAGTTAACTTACACTCACTGCCTTGCGCCTTGAGACGATAAGCCGCTGCTGCCTGAGGCGAAAGTCATTGCTCCGATTGGTCAGCGGGCCGGAGCCGCCTTGAACTGACGTAGCACAATTCACCTTCACTCTTCCGCAGTTGGTGACTTTTTGCAATCATGAACACGGTGAGTCTATTTTGCTGCTACAATGGCCTATCTTATATTCTAATCAATCTTTCAGATCAGATCCACTTGGTAAGCAGGCATTGCCCCTCCTGGCATGGAAAACACCAGGCATAAGAGATAAGGCTAGCTGGCTGATCCCCGACTATTTATTTCCCAACAGGATTGGCTGGGGCACTCTCTGCGTCGGTCAGTATTCAATTCAGCCCATGGGAATATGATGGATCTACTGTTTCCTGGCCAAGTCAAGCTTCTTTTCGATCCACCGCTAACTGAAATTCCCTCTTCTAGCTGGCGGCGGTGCTTACTACTTTGCTAAACAGTCCATCAACGCCGACCGACAAGCCCGGTTTGAGACCGAAATGAAGCGCAAGGCCCAGAACAAGGCTATGGAAGATGAACACCGACGACAGGCTGCCTTGGCCGGACCAGCCTCCATGCCGACCCCAAGTGACGACGCTAGCTTGAAGCGCGCGAATATGTCTCGATTCCAAAATGCTGCAGACGACGTTGCCTCGCCCAGTGCCGAAGCTTCGCACGATCCGGCTGCGACCCGTCATGAACCCATGACTGAAAATGACCGGGTATTGGAGAAGGGGAAATATGAGGCGGCAGAGCCGTTCCGACCTCCACGTGGCAACCGTTTCAGTTAAGGTCATTCAGCGGTGTCCATTGTATTTTATCTTTGGTCTGTACACTATCGCATATAAAGATTGGCCGATTTGAGATTCTGGCTTAACAAAATACATGGACTGGTTCTATTGATGTGATTTTCAAGACTTATTCTGGGGCCGGGTAACTAGGTTAGCGTGACAGCGGGAAAAATATCCACTACAGAATTCGGCTTAATATTATCGAGTATATATTTACTTGCCTATTTGCACCGGGCTACCCGGGGCCTGGTTTTTCAATTGATGTGCTTAAGGCTATTCAGGTGGGTACCCACCTGAATAGGCGGCTTTTCTTCCCCAGGATCGAAAGTGATGTCAATGTATATCCTGACTCGAATGCGGTGTATGCGTATGCGTTGGGAGAAGCTCTTGCAATTGCTAGTGTGCGTGCCCACGGGCCATAACTAGTGGCTTATTTACCTTGAGCCGAGAGTCGATCGAAGCGTTATCTTGCATGTTGACTGAATTAAGCGAGGGTATACCCCTACATGTGTTCTTGAATTCTATGGTATCAGATACATACATATGTATCTAGGTAGCAAAGTGGAGCCGAGTCGGACACATTTATTCTACATGGACCTCTGAGAAGGATATGAATACTGTAGATATAGTTCATTTCGTTGGATCTATGGTGGTTGGTACCACTAGGCACAAAGCCCTAGTCGCATTCTCATGTCTCCTTTACGAGAGAAAGTTACATGGTCCCACGCTCCTCGGTATCGATAAAAATCATTCAGAAAAGCCCCAACGCCAGGTCCTCAACGCCCTAAAATCATGCTTCGTTTGACAGGTTCCATGTCAGCGCCGGCGCCGAGAGCCAGAACCTATACAGAAAGTGGTAGGAAGATAAAACGAGTGTAGCGACACGTCTCATGCGTGTCGTAGATGAAAGGATTGTTTAGCGAGCGTGGAAGCAGAGAGGCGGGTGTGGTCTGAGGCGTTGTTAGTCCGCCGCTCGTAAACATGATGTCGCGGTACTCACTTGTTGTTGACAGGTGAGCTGGAGTTGCGCTGGCGCGAGCTCTCGAGGGCAGGCGGAACAAAGGGAAGGGCCACACCCGAGATGATGCAGGTCATGGCCACTGCGCGAGCCGCGCGACTATCTGGGCGGGGGCGGTGCGCAGAAAAGTGACGGATAGAAGGACGGACGAGCTGTGAAGCGACGACTGCGGCCATGGTGATTAATGGAGTAGTGGGATGATACGATCAGAAAAATGAATTCAGTGTAAAGAGCCGAGAAGGTCAGAAAGTTTACTTCAAGAGGAAAGGTGTCTTCAATTCAGAGCTATAATATTAAGTACCTTGGGTACACAGCGCGTATTTATAGGAGAGCAGGTCTGCCCATGAGAGCAAGTGACCCGTGTGGGGGGCAGGCTGCGGGGAGTTTTGCGCTAAGGTATGGGCTGATTCTCAATGGAAAGATTGTTCCGTGATCAGACGCAATGACGATCACGTCTTCTCGGCCTGTCGGCAGCCACAACGCAATGATTATTGCCTCACGCCATCGCGGGGTCCAAAAACACCAGCCCAACATCGGCCGAGTATGTGGGGCGACTTGGGTTTGCCCCTCCTTGAAGAGTCATAGAGGGGTTGTGGAGGCTGTTTTAGGCTTCACCGCGTTGGAATGGAATGACGCGGAAAAGAAGGCATCCGAGTAGAAGTTTTGGAACAGACACCCGAGCCTGCGTGCCGGTGGATAAATGTAAATCATGTCAAATCTTATCATTTAGCACGATCTACGGGGCACCCGGATATTGAACCAAGAGGAATTGCCGACACGTAGCACCCCGCAGAATTAACAATGTAGATCTGAAGAAAACGACGAATAAAGCATACAGTACTGTACTAGGAGCAACCAATCACAAATGAATGCGGATCAACTCGTGGAAGTGTCCAAAAAGCGTAATTGTGTACATAATCAATCGAGGTCACGTGTGATACGCTATCCAGCGCCGAAGCTTGAGGAAGCACTTGATTGAAACACCTCAAGGTTCAGACCCGCCAACCTGGATGATCCTGCAATCATGGCATCCCATACTCTCGCTATCGCAAAGGCCTCCTTTACAGCTGGCCTCTTGCGTCCAGATCCCACATCGGTTCCTAAAGATGAGATCGCGACATTTCACTCACTCCTCGACCGCGCCCTGTCGCATTGCTCCCCAGCAAACATCCAGGTCTGAGCTGTTGCAACCTTGTCCCTGTCCCACTCCCCAGAGTTACTAAATCCCTCCGCCCCACACAGACCTGCAAAGCCTGGCTACTCCACTATGTTGCTTCTTCAGCGAACCGCCTAGCGGGGCTGGGCAAGTACCTGGTCGTGCTGGCGGGCTCCTTAGATGTCCCCCAAGGCGCTCGGCCCAAACCGTCTCCGAAGCGTCGACGGCTCCACATACTTTATCTGCTCAATGATCTGTTCCACCACAGCAAGTACCACATGGATACCACGGCAACTTTCTCTACGGTCAGCGGGTCCTTGCAGCCACACATGGTGGATCTTCTCGGCCACACGGCCGCCTACGAAAGGCAGAAGAATCCCCGGCACTATCGACGACTTGAGGATCTGCTGGACATCTGGTCCGAGCACGGATATTTCAGTTCCGACCTTATCCATAGATTGCGGGAGGTCATGAAGCATTCGGCCTCGACCGGAGCAGCCCCGCTATCGAATGGTCTCGAAACTGAGGGTGCCGACCCTGCCAAGAAACTGCCCGGGAAAGAGGCACCGTTTATCATGCCATCGACTCATGGGGATCACTCCACGCCCTACTATGATCTGCCGGCAGGCAACTGGCTTCCTCACATAATCCCCAATTCCACCATTCCTCTTCACCCAGAGAGCATCAAACCATTACAATTCCTGGCTGGTCCTGCGGATGAAGGTCTTGTCAGTGCTCTCAAAGGGTTTTTGAAAGACGTGGATCAGATCTATGGCAAGGACGACCTTGTCCTGGACGACGAAAATGTTGACATAGACGAGTTGGGTCAAAGAGTTACTCGAGATGAGATAACAGGGGATATTCTGGACGGCGAAACCTACTACGGCTGGTCCCGTGAATTTTGCCAGCAAATGAAAAAGAAAAAATCCGACTCTCCCAGCCGTAGCCAAGGACAAGCTCTGCAAGGCCTGAAACGTCGCTATAGCGATAGCTCTATGAGCGACCGGAGCAGACGATCAGAATCCCGACCCCGAAGTCGATCTCGGCCCGGCCAAGAAGGTCGCCAAACCGAGTCTCGGCCACGGTCCAGAAGCCGTTCTCCACGGCGATCACGTAGCCGGGACAGTTCATACTCACCCCGGGAACCATCCCCACCCCGATTCCCTCCTCCCCACCAACCCTCACACGCCCATCCACCTCCCCATAATTCCCTTCCTCCTGCTCCGTCTCACCCCTATGGTCATCAATATGGTTTCTCTGCCCCACCTCCACCTCCACCTCCTTACTCAGGAGGTTGGTCACCTGCCCCACCCCCACAAATGCCGGCCATGCCCTTCCCCCCACCCGGCCCCGGTATGAATCACCCAGCCTTCCCTCCTACTTTTTATCCTCCTCAACAGATGAACATGTCCCCTGGTCAACCCCTTCCTCCAGGGCAATACCATTTTCCTCCTCCCCACTCTGGTGGCCAACAAGGTGACTCTTGGGGACCATCAGCAGGACGAGGCTGGCGGTAGGATTGATCTATGTATTTTTACTCCTCAGAACACGATATCCAACATGTGCTCTTGAATCATTTCCCTGTCACTCCAGTCGGTCGACCTTATTGGACACTGCTGCGTAGTGCCCTCCATTCAAAATCTATGATCGAACATTACTCAAGGTTAGGGCTCGGGATCAAAATTTCGATATTATCATTGCCATTGAATGCAGCCCGTCACTTATTGGTGGATACTAAAGAGGCTTGAGTCTCGTCTAAAAGGATAAAATAATAAAAAGAAGTGCAAAGAATTCACAAAAAATTGACCAATACCGAAAGCAATACGCCAAGGTTATCTCAAATGACATGAAGAGCGCCAATGCCTCCACCTTTCCCCCCAATGCTAAACCGACCCCAATGTACTCCGATACATCCCACCACAATCCCAGGCCAACTTCCTCACGACATGATATCATAGATCAATTCCGACTGAGACTCGTCGGCGACATTGTAACCGAAAGATTGGTAGTACTTCTCTTTGACAGACTTAAAAGGCTTGCATCTGTTGATAGAGGCAGTCTTTATGAACAAGAATATGTTAGTCCTCAGCAAATAGATGGGGAAGAGAGTATGAGCATGATGAAACGTACATCTATTCTGTCTGAGCAACACATAGGCGAGTATCCATGTCCCTGGCAAGTAGCCGGATCGGTGTCCTCGTTCATATTTTTGCCTAGGTTCCAGGTTAATACTCGTTAAATATTGCTTGAATCCATGTATAGAACCTTCATAGATCAAGGAAAGGTGCACAGAAAAGATGAGAATAACGTACATTGGAATGAGACCTTTGAGCTAACTTGAACCCCTCCGATGAATGGAACAAGGTCACCCAATGACCTGAAAATACCCTGTGTCTCCTCTTGGAAGGACTGACAGCATGCCTTGTACTGTTGCTGGGGGCACTGGTACGCGCCCACGGGGGTCCGCACTGGAGACGCCAACGCGGAGTGTGAGTATGAGGCGGATGCTGAGGGCTTAAATGTCGGTGACGGTGTCAAGGCTTCTGCTGGTGTATCTTGTCCGAGTGGGATGGCAGTAGTGATGGAGCACAGGGTTGCGAAAATGGTCAAAAGCGGTGTCAGGTGCATGATGTCGGTGAACTGCGTGGATTCTCTTCTTGGTCGCTATTTATCTTCCGCTTGATCGAGGTAGTTGATAGACAAGGGTAATTAAATGGGCTGTGTTGTCTGGTTGAAGATTCGGAAAAGACAGTTTTCGTTGGATAGACTGGACTGGTGAAATAGTAGGGATTATTTTCGAAAGAGCTGGCGTCGAATCGAATCAAATCAAGGAGTGTGAATAGTTGGGACGGCGCAATCAGTAGTTGAAATGAATGACAGGAGCTGGGCGTAATTAAGTCGAAAAAGGCGTCATCCGGACACAAGTTGAAGGTGGTTGTCGACAAAACCGTGAAGCTGCGGGCCAGTCGAGGGGAGGATGGTAAGGTAAGACTTATTTCCCCTGTGTTGACGTGCCTGGGTTAGTTGGGAGGGCTCGATGTACGTATCCCTCGAGTCATTTGATTTGAGATTACAGGATCGAGCTAATTACTTCTGACTTTTCCCTCTCGTCCCTTTTCTGTTTTATTTTTCTTTCCCTTGGTCTCCCTTGTTTACTATTAGCCTGGTTTTCCATATCCCGGAATGCCAGGGGTTACAGAGTCCCAAATGAGGCCAGCAACGAAAGGAAATTTCGGTACAGATAGCCTGTTTAGATCATTTGGAATGCTTGTGTCTAGTTCTAAGTTTTTATTGGCCTTGGTGAGTGTTCTATTGTCCGGTATGTTGCTATAGTGACTGCCTCAATGGCTGCGGGTCATGTGGGCGCCATCAATTGATATAGCGTACTTAGACAAGCACCAGCAACCGATTCTTTTTGCCTTTTGTGTGACAGTAATAGCGGATCTATAGTACAGAGGTTTTGACCTGCAAAAGGAAAGCAGGTACCTAAATGAGAACACGAGTGTGCTGTGCAGCATCGAAGCTACGCAAGGGATAGCGCCCCTGCAACGAAAGAATGCAAGAACCGTATCGGGACAACTCTGTTATCAAGGGATGGCTTTTTTTCAATGCAATCTCGATCTTGTCGGGCAAAATTGTAGCCTGGATAATTTATGACTCAACATGAAACTTTAGTGATCACGCAGCCCCGAAAGGGTGTCAACAGCCCTCCGAAGTTAGGGCTACAATTAGGTAAGACTAAGAGATTCACGTAACGTAACCGGTAAGCGAGCTGCGCATGTAAGCCAGCTGCGCAGCTGGAACACCATAGTAAATGCGAAAAATTACAACTCAGTATCTCGACAACGAATATATGAAATAATTTTTCCTTGAGATACAATGATTTTCATGCCATGTTAAGCCAATTAAGGGTATTTAAGAATTATCATACCTTATATAGGTAGTAAATACCAAAGATGTATAGATTGCGGATTGTAATTAACGTAATTTTTGAAATCATGATAATGGAGCTTTTGAATTCCCTTGAAATCAATACATTATGTCGAGTTGTCTTCTTGAAGACAGCCTATACATAATCAAATAAAAAAGGCTCGTGGGTGATGAGATATGAAGTTGTAATTTATCGCATTTACTATGGTGTTCCAGCTGCGCAGCTGGCTTACATGCGCAGCTCGCTTACCGGTTACGTTAGACAAGATTGATATTTCCCACGGTTCGGAACACGGAAAATTGAAGCACATATTAATTGATTTACTTGACGATTTAAAAATCAGAAACCTAAGTCCCTCATTCACATTCTGTTTTACCATTTTCCATGCGTCCCTCAAGGGCAGCGTGGAACCTTGATCTCCAGATATATAATGCAACTTTCCCGCTTTTGGATCCCTTACAACACTTACATACCAATAGAACATCGATCACTGCATAGGCAATTGGAATTTTTCCATCAATAGCAATCAATGAAGCCCTGCGATATATTGAACTGATATGTATTGATTAATCGGCCCACCAAGGTAGATTACTTGAAAAATTCTACAAAATATATAATCTATCAAACTATTCAAATTATATGTAAAAACAGCTACGAAACGCGCAGTCCCAAATCACAGAAAAGCAACATCCAGGTATTCAATATCTAATTATACAAATCATCAGACAGAAAAAGAAAAAAAAAACCATCATAGAATACACTGGTCGTAACAACTGATTTTCCCACTCGAGACTGTTGTTGCGCATCTTCGAGGGTTGTGGCGTGGGGTTCATCACACAGCACACACCAAAAAAAAAAAAAAAAGAAAAGAAACCGACAAAACCCAGAACAACCGGGAAACCCAAAATAAGACTCGCTCGCTCGCTGATCAAAGGGACGCATGTTGTACAAGCCACCCCCTCGCAGAAGGGATGGCAGAAGAAAAGCAGACTTAATAACAGGGCGCACAACCCCAGTGGACATGTAATGGTATGTGAAACATCGTTTGTGATCTGCTCTTAGACTTGGATCGTGAGACGAAACGCCCAAACAGTCACCAGTTCAGGATGGATGGGTAGAACGAATGAAGTCGGGGTGGGAGAAGGAGAGTAGAAAGTTGGGAGAAGGGCAGAGGGTGTAGACATATATATCTCACCTGTTTTTGTGGATTTTTGTGATAATATGCGTGGGTAAAAGGGGTCGGAATCGATGGTCTGCAGTAGCCCAGTGTATTCAACACAAGCGTAGCCTTCTAGACTCGCGCTCAGGAAGAATAAGAGTTGTCCCTACGGGGATGGATCGGTAGACACTGGGTAGACTCATCGGAATCCAGAAATGCTGTATCAAACAGGTGAAAAGTGGAAAGGGCAAAGGGAATATAGCGAATGGGTATGTGAAACAGGGAACCATTCTACAGTGGCGCGACTCAGATCGGGAAACACATAAAACTTGCAAGGCTGGAAATGCTGCATCGCTGGGAAAGCACAAAATGCAGGCACTTTGCCGCTTTAAAAACTCCTCGGGAACTCCGTGGAAACTCCGCCTCCAGAAGAACATCGAAGTACGCCGCATCACAGCTTATTCGATGGTTTAGAGACCAGGCCTCTATAAGAAGCGAGAGGCGTCGATTAGTTTGAGTCCATGATATCGAAATGTGACGAGATTTGGAAAACATACTTAGGAGTGAGCTATAGCTCTAATAGCCAGATGTGGCCTGGTCCATCGCATTAGACTTCATCATATCGGCGGAAGAACCAGCGGACGTTGGCGGAGGGCCGTTGGCCTGGCTAGCCAAGACACCGTTGGATGAATTGTCGCTGTTGCCAGAGCTTTGACTACTACGGCTGCTCGTTCCGTTTCCGCGAGAGTTGCCAGGACCGTCGAGATCAACAAAAGTCGACATCTGGCGTTGAGTATAGTGCAGCATAGTACGGTTATAGTCCTCAAGCGAGTTGCGAGGATCCATAGACTGGGCCTCAGGAAAATGGGTAGGAGGGCCAGCTCCAGAGTCCTGGTAAAACTCAGGCTGCTGCATCTGAGATCCTTCAGTCATGGTGGAAAGTGTCTGTCGGTGCGACTGTTAGTAGACAGTCCCGAATGAATGAGTTGTCGCGGGTGTGAGGGAGGTAAATAGACCGCGAGTAGGAGACGTATGCGGTGAGGCGGGAACGGTTGACCATGGATTAAAGGGTTGAGAGGCGGGACAATCAGGGAAGTGGGGGCCGACCAAGCAGCTTACCTTTGTAAAACGGAATCAGGGTTGACTAGACAGATTAAAAGGGTACGGAACCAGAGTTGGAAAATTGTAAAAAATAAAAGTCGTTAAGGTAGAAATCTCGTGGGTAGCGCCGCTCTGACGGGGCCTTGCAGAAAATCAAAAAGTGTCTATGGGGCCGGAGGTATAGGGTTTAGGGTATGTGCGAGAAAGGCTACCCAGAGGAAGGTACTTCGAGGTAAATATAAGGAAAGACCACGAGAAGAGGAGAAAGGGGTGTGTGGGGTAAGGGGATGCAATGAAATCACAATCGACCTCATTACTCGATGGCAAGCCCAGCGCATGGCTGATAGGTCCACCACACGAGCCTATCACCCCAAGAAAAAAAAAAAAAAGCTCGAGGACGTTCCGTCGGCTAGACCGTACAAGTGACATCATTGGCTGAAGAGAGGGGGTGGAAGGTCTTCGCGATGTTGTCTGGGCGACATCATACGAACGGTACCTCTCCACCGGTGGGTGTAGGAAATACATAGCCGCTATCAGCGCGGTCTATGTTTGGCCGAAGGGTCTTTCATTATGAACACACCCGTTTCCACATCGAGACAACGAGTGGTGCACATGGGGAACCAGTGGCATCACTTGATCCACCAGAGAGTGGTCTCCCTATGAGGTCACTGAGGAATGTGCCTATGAATGGACCGATATTGTGAGATCAGAGGAAAGTAGAAGATTGGGCCGGGGCCCTGCAGATCTGCAACTTGACGTTTACCTGACGAATCATACAGGATGTTTGAGCGTTCAGGCTCGTCAGGCCCATTTGGTGTTCTGGTACTACGCCGGGATAGGTGTATGCGCAATGTGGGAACGCGAGGTGGGCATCCCCGGTGGAGCCGTGGCTTCACGCTAATCCGGGGGCTTTATCAACAGTTGCGAGGTTGTATCTGTGAACCATCATGCCGATCCAGCAATACTATGCTCCTTTTCTCCTTCGGGTGTCTACGTTCGTTCTGCCATCCACATTACAGTACCTGCCGAAGCCGTTCGTTTCAATTTCGGCGGGCACCGACCTGAGGCTCGAGAGTGGAGTCAAGCCATGCCGTCATGGCTTGGTCGATCCGACTGTATCGATTCGGCCACCAGAAATTTATGATGCATGCAGGAACAATAAGAGTTTTTGCTTTTCCTTAACAATAGCTTCGGATGATCCATATGAATGCAGACAGAAAGGAGAGCAGATCGGGAAATTAAGATCGAACATGGGAGTGTTCCAGTGGAAAGGATGTGACGACATCAAAGTGGAGAAATTCATTTTTCGGTTTTTCATTCAGTGCCTTAGGCACGCGCACCTGACGTCAACTCATACATACTGTAGGACATGTTGTTCTTGTATATACGGATCAACTACATTGCATTACGGAAAATGTGATCTTCAATACAATGGGGAAATAGGAATTCGAGGAAGCTACTGTACAATCCGTACATCATTAACGATGTTTTGATTTGCTTGATTGCCCGATATGGCCGTGGCGACTGATGGTATATCTGATCCACTGAAGCTTCGATCATGAGCACTCACTAATTTGGAGATTTATGTCGGGGAAGCAATAGACGCGACCAGTGATAGGGGTTGCGTGCAGAAGACCCAGGGTACGGCGCTTCAATAATTCGCCATCCTAGCGGGGGAGGCGAAAGACAGGGCTTGCATGATCGGTACCGACGAGGAGTCCTTTTTCGTCTCTCCACTTTGATCCCTGAGATTCCCGACATGAGGGTTTCATTTCATTGAGACCCGGAAACCATTTCTGGGTGGGCCAGATAAGATGACACCGTAGAATAGCACATGCTCATTATCAGACCTTCAAGGGGCCGTACTGGCTCACGACCTGCTCACGTTGGACATTGGCAGCATATCGACGTCAGCGGTACACTAAAATGAAATATCCATTGGAGACGAGAGTTTGTGAAGCATCTGACGCAAGAGTAAGCTGGCATATTAGCGCATGGATCGGCACTACAGTAGAATGGTCACTTTGGGGGCTGGACTGCTTAGTAGATGCCTGCAGGGTGCCAATGACCTATGAGGCAATGATGCTCAAAGCGCCCAACCACCTACTTACAGTATACCCGTATGCAGACAACACAACGCTTTTGTGAAGCCGATCCCCACCACAGTCAACAAACGGATGTTGTACAGCACACGCTATGCACTGTAGATCGCACGGCATTGTAAGGTAGCTGGCCAAAAAAAAAAAAAAAAAAATTCATGATCATTCATCCTTATGGTCCTGAAACTTGCCCTATACAGGTAATATGGAACAGATATGACTCGAAAAGCGTACATTGCTGTAAATAGGACACTATTGATATCCACATCGCATAGCGCGGTGTACCGCTCGGAGTCGAATGGTTCGATTTCCAGATAAGTAGCCGGGTTTCTGTATGGGGTTGAATGGGTGTTGAGGCTCCCTACTGTAGGACACCTGGAGGCGAAAATGACGAGCCAGAGGGACGCTAATAGGGCCCAAATGATATCACGCCCCGCATCGTCCACTTCGCTGTAAATTTTGACTCGAGGTAAACTCGAGGTTACAGTCCAGTGCAAAACGATATGACCTCACCGCGGTCGATCCCAACGTTGGGACAAAAAAACAAGTCAGCCATGTGGCACGGCGGTTAGGTCATCGCTGCTGACTGCAGACGCCGACTCTCCTCTTGCATCATCGCCTGTCTCACTGAGGTCTCATCATTGGGAAACTCGCGTCGACACAGAATTGATTGCTTTCTTCGGGGTTACCACGCAGCCTCTGTACCTTGCAGAAGGTCTGTCTGGTCCAGAACCATAGAAACCTGTTTTGAACGGTGAACCTGACTACAGCGTTAAGGGTACTGTAAGTGGGCCTCACGAGCACAAAGCGTTGGTCAAGCATTCAGGTAGATTGATCCCTTTCTCTTTCTCATTCTTCCACTGACGACAGATGAGTCGCCGCTGATCGGGACACCATTGACCGAGCAAAGCACAATGACACCAATTTGATGCCAGAAACCGGTCTCCCAGTTCTGTCGTGACGACAACAGCAACGCTTACTCCGCCTCGATTTTACCATGACGATGGTTATGACATGGCCTCGCCGCCCAGGCCTGTCATGGATGGACGCAACAAGAACCGGCTCGAGTGATCAGAGCAGGTGTCCCCGGAACTACACGGAAAATCCTTCGTCTCATTTCTCATCTAGTCACGACCCGGAGTTAGTGAGCGAACACGAACCAGCAGAGGACATTCGTACAAATTCTCCGGCGAAGACCAGCAACCAGATCCCGACCCCAACCATCCGCCCAGAAAGCCCCTTAAACCTGCTGCTTGCTACACACATCCACCGTCACCTGCGCGTCATGAGTAGCCAATGAGAAAGCATCGGGGACAGACCGAATAACATGTGGAGCGATACAGTACTTAAGGAAAAGATCCATTTCACCGGGCGTACATAATATGTTCTGGTCCAAAGGGGAAATGATTTTAGAGGCTATATCAAGGGACATGGGAATAAACTAGGCCAACACGCTGTAATCTCTGAAGCCTGAGTTTGAGGAGAAAAGTCGACCAAACATAATAGTAGTAATGCATCATATTATTCAATTCATGCTCATACTCATCACACGTAACCTATATGAATATAATGTTAGCAAATATTTGACTTGACCGTACAAAACCATATACAATACTGCGCATTGTACAATCCTTCAAAATGAAAGAATTTGACACAGGTAAGAGAAGAAACATACCCTTTCTTGCGCCCTGGAAGAAGAAGCGCACAACAAAGACTTGCAGAGCGGCCATCGACACCATCATCAGCGATTCAATTACGCTGAAATTGAAGATGCGGCGCTCGGTGCTGCGGACGGTGCTGAAGTTCCGGTTCTCACGTGTGCGGAAGTACTTCTGGTTCCGGGAGATTGTGGACAATTGAGCGGAGAGCTTGTAAATGGATTCCTCCAGGCTGGTGGTTTGTTCGGGGCTGGCACCCTGGCGGGAGGGGAGCTGGGCGCGCTGCTCGTTCTCAACCTAGATTAAGAATAGTAGTTCAGTAGATGTTTTGAGATCATTTGTTGATAATGTCGGAGTAAGAGTGAAGTGTTGATTATGTGCGGGTTTCCCTTGAGACAGGGGCAACGTACGGCAATCTCGAAATCAACCATCTTCTCGGCGAATGTTGACATTTCATTGTTAAAGCAGAACTTGTATTCGCCGATGCTCTGCGCCGTGAATACGAAGTCGCCTTGTCGTTGCTTTTCTTCGGCAGCGACGATCTTGTCGCCTGGTGCCAGGATAGAGTAATCGACATCGAACGAGCCACCGGATTGGACCTTTACCGGAATTCAATATTAGTATTCACTTGAAGAGATACCCAGAGAATGCTTTGTCGTAGTGCGTCAGATCTAGGAACGTTGACTGACCGCGAAGTAGAAGGCCACCTTGGCGTTGGCCTGTTCGACCTCAGTGTAGAAGCATGCCTTCTCATTAGCCTCGAGACGGTAAGTCAGAGCAGTGGCAGAGACAGACGAGGCCAAAGAGGCCAGGCCAGCGAGGAGTGCGAGCCGCATGTCGAAAAGCTAGCGATGTGAATTGGGGATGCGCGTCAGGAGGTCAAGGATCTCGAGGTTCAATTGTTCTGGCCAGGTGGTTGTTTGCAGTGTTTGCACACAAACAAATTACTGTTTCCACACAGACTGGAACTATAGAGCGGAACACTATAATCAACGGAAAAGGATAATTCTTCGATTGAATACACATCGCCCAATACCCAACTCGATTGGCAAATCCCCGAAAGGCCCACGTTTGAAGTGGTACTTTTGCAGCCCAGAATCATCGCTTCGTGCCATTTGTATCGTCTCTACTCCAACTATGGGACTATGGAACGGAGCGAACAAGGGAAAGAAAAGAAAAGAAAGTTAGAAAGGAAATGACAAAAAGAAGAAAATCAATGACACTCAGGCTGTTGCTGCTCATGTACCGTATAGCAGCATCTTGCCCTCAAACCCCCCCCCTTAGCGCCCCGTAGAAATTCAATACTTTATCGAATGAAAAAGCTCTCGCTCTTACCCCAGAATCCACGGCTCTTGCTAGCGTGGTCTAGACCGAGAAGATCTTCGGGACCAGCGATGTCCGAGAGAATGTCATCTAAATAGTAAAGGATAGTTCGTCAGCTCCTAAAGGTTCCAATTGATTGCTGCGGATAGACTTACCATCCTCAATGTACTTAGCATTCGGGAAGGAGTTGCGAGGAACAACAGAAAACTTGATCTTTTCGAAGGGTTTTCCCTTAATACCCGTCCGCTTAGAGAGTCGTTCCTTAGTCTGCTTGAAGATCTCGCCCTGTCCGAATGTTAGTACAAAATTCACTTGACACTAAGAATGAATGGCATATCTCACAGGCTTGACGACGAATCTGAAAGGAACCCCGTGAGGGCGATTAGGTTCTCGGTCAAAGTTGTAGGCATTGATAAGTCGGTCGTCGCTTTCCATGCTCAACTCTTCGGCAGGAACCCGCTCTGCGTACAGTGTGGAGTATTCATTGATGGAAGCTACATTGAAGTCCTCGCGAAGCTCCTTGTAAAACTTTCCGCCGTGGGCCTCAAAGATCCTCATGTTCTGGAAAGCTTCGTCATCGAGCTTTGTCTTCTGCTGAAGAGCGGAAAGAAGCTCGGCGACGGTTCCATTGCGAGCCACTAGAATCTCAACGGTCTCTTCCTTGGTGATTCCTTCTGTAAGCATTGTCACCTTGAAGCACTTCTTACTTTCATAGTCGCTGAGACTCATGTCCAGGACCTCGTAGTATAAGGCATCCGACCGGTGCATGGTGTAGCCATATGTACCATATTGACCGTTGAGGATTTGAGCCAGGGTTGAAGTGATGGATCGCTTGAGAAAAGCCTTGGCTTTGCCCGTGCTCGCCATCACTGGCGCAAACCGCAAATGGGTTGGATCTACGTTCAAATGCTCGCCCACCTTCTTCGAAAATTGATCGTAGGTCATCTTCCGGCTGAGAGTCAGGGTAAAGTCTTCAGTCTCGGAGGCCATAATAGGAGCAAAGGTGACATCCATGCGGTTCAGAAGATAATCGTAGAACTGTCTGGCATCGGTGTAAAGCGCCGAGGCTGGGAGCTCCGACTCCTTAACTGCCCGCTGGAAAGTAATGATATCACCGTCCTGGATCTCAGATTGCTGGAATGTCTGCTTGGGTTTCATCACGTCGATCATGTTGTGCTTGATCTCTTCGAAGAGCATGAACTCGGTACCCACGGGCCAATTCATCTTCCCGAGAATTATGGGTCCCAGATCACCAACTTTTTGACTCTTGGAAACATAAACAGGACCAACGCCGCTCAGAGTTTGAGTGACCGCGTCGAAGTTCTTCAAGAAGATCAGAGCCGAGTCATTGCTGTCAGGCCAAGGCTGGCCGTCGGGAGAAACCTCCATCCACAGTCGGAAAGTGTTACCCTTGGTACCATATTTCGAATAGGCGTCCTCAACGGTCATGTCGGGGTCAGTGATAACCTGGTCAGGCCGAGCAGTCTTGTTCTGACGGTTGACAATCACCCAGAAGCGGATGCTATCGACGTTGAGACCACGTTCCTCTGCCATTTCCTTCGCAAATTCGCCCACTTTCTTCGCTCGAAGAACACGGTGCTGGGTGGGTTGCGACGGATCTTCAGCTGGAAGATCGGGACTGAACAAATCAAACCCGTGGTGAGACTGGAAGGATTTCTCAGTCAGAACGCCAATATTCATGTACAGGTGGGCCTCTTCTCTTTCCTTCTTGCGACGAAGAGCCTCTGCACGATCTTCAGCCAGACGGGTCTCTGTGGTCTGGTCAGTATAAAATAATAATGGTTTAGCGCTTGGGAGACATACCAATATGGGATGGAACATCCTCTTTGGTGATCGGACACAGAACGTCGTCCACTCGGGTCTTTCGGATGTAAACCAACATGTAAGCGTTCATAGAGCGCTTGGTTGAAAGTGCTCGGGTGTATGGCTGTCGAACGCCAGTGGCTCCATTCGCCAGTTCATACTCGCCACCATAGTTTTCCTCCAAAACTTCCTTCTCAGTGACCCGATTCACTCGGTCATCGTCAAAGCGGTACCAGTGTCCATCTTTAGTGGGCTTCAGAAACGCGTAGTAGTGTCCGGCGTCCAAGCCACCACTGTGCACCAAGACTCCATGCAGCTCATAGGTCCAAGGCTCGGATTTGTCGGCATTTTCTGAGAGATAGGGAGCAGCATCGAATTCCAAGGGAAAGACGTGTCGGTCGTTCACTTTCATCATAGTAAGAAGATTCAGATCGTACTCGAACCGTTTAAGGTGGAGGTGCAAGACCGGTGGGAAGCTTTCAAAGATCACACCCTTCTTTGCATCTTGCAAGCCGTAAGGAGGGCCTGCATCATACTTGTTCTCACCCTCGAGTGTTTCAACCTGAATGTAGTCACGGAAACTGTCATCCAACGTCTTATTACCTCGAACATTCAACTGAATATCCCAGAAGTCCTCCACACGAGAAGATTCATAGTCGACGTTAATGCACGATATATAGGTCTTCGTCTTACCCACGAACATGTCAGGTAAAGCCTTCTCCGCAACTGTACCCTTCATCTTCTCTTCTAACCGCTCCATGAGCTTTCGTGAGAGTTCCTGGACATCCTGCTGCTCAAAAGCCTGTCTGGAGTCCCAACCAAAAGACACAGTCAGTTCAGTTGTGGAAACTGCGGATTCATTGGTTTGCAAGTTGTAAAAGAGTCTTTGGAGAGTCCATGCGCTGTTTTCGCGAGTGGATTCCTCTTCGGTAGGAATTTGGTACACAGCCTGTTGATGTTAACAATTGATCTCGATTGAACAGGAAAGGATTCATCTGATACCTTGCGGAAAGCATTGGTAAAATACAGCGATTGCAAAAGCGAGTTTAGATAGCAGGTGGCACCCTGGTTTCGGAGTCCAACCATATCAGTCTCTTTCTTGGAATCGTAACTGAGACAAGTTAGTCATTGATATACAATGCGCAGTTTTGGGGAGCTGCAGCGCTTACTTCTGAAAGCTATGCCAGAGAACACCGGTGGGATCCTTGACAACGCGAACATATGCTGTGATGTTGGCCTCATCATCCTGTACCAGTGGCACGCCTTTGCCTTCCCACGCTTCGTTGAATAGAGTTCGGATATCGTAAAATCGGGTGAAACCCCAGTCTCCCTCATCAGCGGTGAATCGATGGGTCGCAACTGTATTCCCGTTAGCTGAATGCTTCGATCTGTAGTTTTGGAAAATATTTACCGTGGGAGACATAGATCGAGGGATCCTTCACGTTTGACAAGACCAGTGCGAATTGCACACAGGCATACCAGTTCTGGGGTGGTTCCCCTTCCCAGGCGTGCTCAAGGTAGAACGAGGCATGTTCGGAGTGATTTCCATACGGGAAAAAGAGGATCCGCCTAATTCTCAAGTCAATGCTTGCGTTTGAAGAGTTTCGTTCCATGATATCGCCTACCAAGGAGACCCGCCGCAGTTAAAGATTGGCCCGTGCAGCTTGCGTTCCGACTTCCTCCAGTCTTTGATATGCCATGTGTGGTGAATCTCGTCTTCGGCCTCAAGGTCAGCGGGTTTAGGCAGGACTCGTGCCATCATAGCCGCATCTAAAAGATTGAATATGCCTCAGTCAGCTAACTTTTCCCGAACGTAACAAAATACTGCAAAGCCGGTTCTTTCATGTTGAAGCTCCGGCTCGTTGGTGACTCTGATCGGTCGCATCCTTGTGAGCCCGTTCCACCTGGTCGGCCGTGCCATGCTTGTTGTGATCGGGTTCCGCGGCGGAAGAGGGGGAAACAGAGCAAAGAAACCTACGGTCAGCGGCAGAAGGCGCAGGCTCAGGCTCATCGGAGCCTGAGCGAGAGACGACGACAACATCAGTCTTCTCATTGGGGTACTGTTCGTAGTCGTCGACGAGCATGTCGTTCTCCGCAAGCTGGGGCCTAACGGTTAGATCTGCAATGACGACACACGCGAGGGGTACGGTCGGATACTCACGTTTTCCATGGCGAAAGCGCCCTCCCGTCCAGCCGGAAGGCACTTGTCGGAATGGAGAGAAAGTTGACTGGAGAGACGAGGGTGGGGGGAAGGAGAGAGGGTGAGAAATGCGGACTCTGGGGAGGAAGTTGTCGGGAGGAATTTCTTGCTGAAGCAGATTGGAGAGAGCTAGCGGTGGCGGAGCCCTCGTAGGCTCGGCAGTGATTAACAGGGACAAGCTAAGGGAAGCAGGTGTTTAGAAGAAGATCAAAAGAATAAAGAAAAGTCAACGAATATTAAGAAAGATCGAAGGGATTATTGTCTTTGATTTATGATTTGATGTTTCTTTCTTCCAAGGATCAGTAACTGCATTATCTTGCTTTGGGTTTCCAGGCCCTAACACGCACTGTCGAGGTCGATATAGAGTGAAAATGATACATTCTTATCGGGTAGAAATTTTGCACATATGGCATGATAGAAGAAATATACAGTTTTTTCTAATCTATTCCTATTGCTTCAAAGTCCCTTCTCACTATCGTGTCCTTCCCCACCATCTGATGACGCTGGTCAATGTTTGTCTTGTTCTTCATATGATGAAATAGTTCGGCTATAGCAACATCGAACAAGACCCTCCGCATAGAAAACAAGACAACCACGCCATAAAACGCAGATTTCCACGCAATTATCTTGAGATTATCAATTAAACAAGGAAAAGATAGAGAAGAAGGAGGAAGAGTGAAACCACTTCACATAGGGAACCAAGGCGGTGGAGATGATCATGTCACCGGCTCACCGCCCGAGCACATGCAAAGACCCCAAGAGCTTCGAAGAGACGTCTGTTTTAGGCTTCGAATAAACTGCCTCGACTGCATGGAGCACAATGCAGTTACGTCTAAGAGGCTGGCAGCCTCTTCGATGTGCTCCCAGACGCCTTCATTCTTCAGCCCAACCGCCACCATGGCGACCTGCCTCCGCAGTGGATGAGTGAGTGACTCCGCACTTGGAAAGTTCTTGCATGATCCACCCCAAAACTGACTGCGACTGTCGTGATATCTAGATGGGTGGAGCGCCCCATCCGCCCCATCAGTCTCCGTCAGTTGACCTTCTTCGGCCGTACCTTAACAGAGCCCCGACTGATCAGCTCGGCAAACTATGTGCGGACTGAGCTACCCACCCGGTACGTTTGGGCCAATTCAACCCTAAGCTCGGGATGACCTGTATACAGCTAACTGACGGCTCCGGAACAGTCTAGCACACCGACTGCGAGACATCCAGCAGCTGCCGTACGTGGTAGTTTCCAACCCCCACCTATCCCTCGTTTACGAGTTATACTACAAGGCCTTTGAACGATTTCGAGTTATTCCTGAGGTTCGCAGCTTGGACGATAATGATCGGTTCTGCGATGTACTCAAAGAGATGCTCAAGGAGCACCTAGTGGTGATCCCCAACTTGGCGACCGGCGTCCTGGAATGTCGCGAGCTATTTCCACCTGATGAGATGGATCGATTTATGAACACCCTGCTGCGAGCGGTATGCAAATGAATTCCAAGTCCAAGTTGATCGACCGGAACGATCAATACTGACGCTTTGTTTTCTGGATCTAGAGGATCTCTCGTCGCGTTATTGCAGAGCAGCACCTGGCTTTGACTGACACATTTAACTCCCCATGGCATTTCCCCGACTCGCACGAACGCACAGATATGAACGCAGACTTTGTAGGCGAAGTCTTTCTAAAATGCAACGCAAAAGAGGTAATTGAGCGTTGCGGGAGGGTGGCACAGGACCTGATGCGACAAACAACTCAGTCTCCTCAGATCCCCACCATCAATGTCCAGGGTCATTTGAACGCCACTTTCCCATACATTCTGAGCCACTTGGAATACATTGTTGGTGAGCTGCTGCGCAACTCGGTGCAGGCTGTGATCGAGAAGTACCACGATTCTTCAGCGCCGCCGCCACCAATTCAGGTACTTATATGCGAAACCCCTCAACACGTCATCATGCGCATCTCAGATCAGGGCGGTGGCATTCCACGTGAGATCCTACCCTATTTGTGGTCTTTCAGCAAGGGACCCCGGACTCAGACGCGGCTAGAGAACCTGGGGCGGGTCCCCGCGATGGCTGCCACAATGCAGGAGTTAAAAGTGGGCGGGCGCAAGACAGAACCAATAGGCTATCATGAGGGCTCCTTGGATTCTCTGACCTCACGACCACCAAACCTACGATTGGGTATGGGCCTGCCGATGAGTCGGGTCTACGCTGAATATTGGGCGGGCAGTTTGGAATTGCATAGTTTGGAAGGCTACGGAGTGGACGCCTTCCTACAGATCTCGAAGCTAGGAAACAAAAACGAGCAAGTGACGACACGTGCAGCTATAGACGCTGTGTGAAGGGAAGAACCCTGTTTTTTTATCATCATTTCCAATACGCTTGTACTATGTGCCTTGTTCTGCTCTCTGGTACAACGTACTGCTACACTTAGTCCACTCAAATGTTTGCGGGTGTACTAGGGACTACACCTTGTCTATTATCCTCCGTGGTAAATAGGCATTGAAGCGGCATCCCACTTGGTATCTCCGGTGTACATGTGTACACCAGGCACGAAGTAAATGGATGACGTCATCCAAGACATCAGCCCTACTGGATAACCTTGTGTGGACCAAGCCGCCATGCTTTTCTGAAACAAGGTTGCAAATCTGACCCCCCTCTGACGTCTGAACTGCCGATCATGAAACGCCTCAATTCGCCCACGGATGACAATGCTCCCATTTATATCTTCGTCCTCCTCTTCATCATCGTCCTACTCAGCTTCCTTGCAACCGCCGATTTCAAAAGTTCTGGCCGATCCGACCCCGAAGAACAGTAAATATCCAATATCCATATACATCCGAAATCATCATGGCAAGCGCCTGTTCAATGCTCTGTGTGATCATTATCACTATTTTTAGTAAGTGAAATTGGTTCCAGATGATTTGGGAAGCTCTGCACTATCGCTGCCTCCGAGTAGTATACTGCGGGGAGCTTACTCCGCACTGTTTGCGGAGGTCAATACCTACAAGATTTCGATACTAACCGACCCCAGTCCCTCCCCTCGGTGTCTTCCTCACCGCAGGTTGTGGTGTTGACTTCTGGATTAATGTCCTCCTTACGATTCTGGGGTGAGTAACAGATCCCGCGCGCTTACAGCCCATCACTGCGAGGCCCTCCATCCCGAACGCACCTTCTAATTCGTGACACAGATACTTCCCTGGTCATATCCACGCCTTCTACCTAGAATACGTCTATTATCATCGTCGCAAGCAAGATCCCATGACCCGCGCGACTCAACGGCCGGCGCCCGGTGTCTATTCGGATCGCGTCCAAAATGGTGGCCACTCGAACCGGAATTATGGCACGGTCTAAGGATTTGAGCCTCATCGATACACCTGGTTGTATTACTTGCGAGCGATTCCGTTATGAGCGATAGTGCGGTTTTCTTCTTGGCTGTGGCATGTGGACTCGAGTCTTCCATGCCGAATATTCTTTGAGCCTATCGAGTACCCTAATAGCGAATTAATCTTATTATTTATATTTTATCCATTAGATTGTTGACTGCGTCGTGATCGTTCTTGTTCTCACAAGGGTAGATATACAGTATTCTGTTCTTTTGATAGCATAGGAACCCGAAGAAATAAGAAAATACGAATATCTAGATATTGCCAGGGACATGTAAAAAACATTATCAAAGAAGACCTAAATAAATGAAAATCCCATAACTCATACTCTTAAACAGCCCCAGCCTGACCCTCAGCCTTCTTTGCCTTTAAAGCCGGGAAATCAAAAACCTCACTCTTCACAACAGTCCCCTCTGTCCGAGGGAAAGCCCCAGATCCAGGGCTCCACCACAAAGCTCCAACCCACGGCTGCACGTTCCATCCAACAGCCAAAGTAACATTCTGGCGCTCAGCCAGCAAGCCCGTAATATCATTGATCTGATATTTAGCCTTCTGCCCTCTGAGTCTCAGAACGCCCGGCGCAGGCTCCTCCTTCGCGTTTGCCTTGGCCTTCTTGCTAGCTGCGGCCTTCGAGCTGCTGCGCTTATTGCTCTTCTTCACGGAACCAGGCGAGATTTTCGCTACGATCGGGGCGGGGAGAGCATCAAGCGCCTTCTCCTTGAGCTTGTCCCAGGTGTATTGGGAGGTTTGGGCAGGGATGATAGCATCCCAGATGACAGCCTCAGAGTCACGGAGGAGAGAGTTGGGGTCGTTGGATGAAGAGTAGGTTGCGTAAACATAGACGAAGACTTGCTTGGTGTTCCAGTTGAAGAGGGGGGTTAGGTCTGCATCGAGGTCGAAGCGGATCTGAGCATATTCGGAGCGTTTGGTCGAATAATAATGTGGGCGACCTTTGACACTGTGTTTTGGGTACAATATTAGCTGGAGGTGATCACGGACCAGAGTCACAATTCCATGCTCGAGCTCAAGTAACAGCCGCCTTTTGATAGTATTTTATGCCCCTTTATCAATCTAGATCTCTGGGTAGAGTAAGTAACTTACACCTGGACATTCTTCAAGTCCACCGACGTCGTCGTGGCGGTCGTGGGGAATAGGAGAGTCGAGAGCGCAGCTACAGCAGCAACTACACAAGCGACGGTGGTGAAGAAGCCGAAGACGGCCTGCGCACGGTTGAGAGAGGAATGCATGGTTGCGACAGAGTCGTGCAAGTAGGAAAGCCGGGGCGCGGATGAAGCCAGCTGGGCGTGTTTGGGGCTTATCGCGATAACCGATAAGCTCCCCAAGTATGTCTCGAGTCACTGAACCCCGACTTTGCTGGTTTTGTCATTCACAACGCCTGCTGACGGTGAAAAGGAATTCCTTGGAAGCTCCCATATACTCTGGCAAGGTTTTTGGAGTTTGATTTGTACCCACAGGAACAATGGGCGACCATGTCCTCTTCTTCTACGGTAATAACCCCGGTCCCAGTAGCTGCATGTCTATTGGCAATCAGAACATATCATGGACTAACAGACAATAGGAACTTTAATGGCTCCTCAGATACTGCACCGTGTAATACATGGCCGCGCAGATCCAGAGCCATGGCAAAAGGCGCTTCTGACCTTTCAACCTGCCGTGTTGCACGGCTACCGGCGCCATCGGGTGCGAGGTGCAGACTACCCGGGCATTATTCGGGCATCTGAATCATCACCATCCACAAAACAAACAAATTTAGAACCAGAAAATGGAGCCGAGGAAAGCCATTGGGCGCGAACATCAGTTCTTGGGACCCTTGTCTCTGGCTTAACAGACGGAGACGTTCATCGTCTAGATATCTACGAGGGAAGCGAGTATGCCCACGAGAAGGTCAAGGTGCGGACGTTGAAAGAGGCGCTGCATCAGGACCATGGCCATGAGCACGGTAATTCAGGTGCTGCGGGGAATCTTCGAGATGTTCTTGATGCTGCTGGGGCGGAGTTTGCGGATGAGAAGGAGGAGGTAGATGCTGTGACTTATGTGTGGACTGATGGTGCGGAGAGGCTGGAGAGTGCGGAGTGGGATTTTGAGACATTCAAGAGGGATAAGATGGCTTGGTGGTTTGATGATGATGATCAGTGGTAGGTTGACTTTGCTTAGAGGATTGTATCTATATTTCATGTTTAGAATGTGACGGGAATAGAATGGTTAGAAACATGGAGTGCATTGTAATTCTGAAGCTGTGCAGGTGCCTCATACCCCATGTCGTTCAAGTCTCGCCCGATTCCATTCAATGCCTATATGTCTTACATCAGATAGGTATGTATGCATCATAGGACTGGAACTCGAAAATGAATATATTATAGATGCAATGTGAAATAATAAGAAGAAACTGACATGCCCGAATGAAATCCTGAGGCAGCATGTATATTCAATTTCAGCCATCCCCGCCTGAGGTGTGTATGCGTGGACTTGTTTCAGTCCACAGCCTTCCAAAGCTGATGGTTAAAGGAGGCAATATGTGGAGCGAGGTGAGGTCAATTGGGAGGAAAAGAACACATTTGGAGAAATATGTATGCTGCCCACTAGATATAGGGTTGAGATCTGATTTTACAGATGATTTTTCCTTTGGTAAAAGTCATATTATGTTCATGGCACAGTGAGCGTTGATCTCGATGGATTTTGTGTTCATAATGTGCGGTCTTGCTAACAATGCTGATGTAAAAATTGAGAATGCAATAGTAAATGCTACCTAAAGATATCAATTAATCCCAATGATAGATATTTGAACCATGACGCCGACAATACATAGGTTCATAGAGTACATATTGTCTCAACCCTTTCGCTTGCCTTGGGGGCTCTTCTTGGGTCGCTCGGGCTCGCCGGGTGGAGGGGTTGCCTTGACCTGGATTTCAACACTGAGATGGTCCTCGCCTGTTCCCTTGACATGGTCTTCCTGGACTGGCTTGAGATTCTCAGACCGGCCAGGAGTTGCTGGCCGTCGCTCTTCTAATCTGTCCTCATCATCTTCCTGGGAAGGAAGGGGAGGTCCTAACAAAAAGGAAACACGTGGCTGATCAGCCATGACCGAGGTGCTCTCATGTTTCTTCTGTTCTTCGTACATGTCATCCAAGAACTTGCGGAGCCGGTGCCGAAGCATACCAGATCCGAGCGGAGGCCAATCAACATGCGCATCCATGTCACGCTGCATCACTCTCGTGATGAAGGTGTCAGGGTCCTGCACGAATTTTTCAATGTATGCAAGCAGATAAAGCCCGCAGTCAGAGAAGTTCGGCTGAAGTGGGATCTGTCGAGCGCGCATGCCCTTGATCTCCTTTGGGTCAATTTCAACGCCACGTTTCGATAAGGCTTCCTGACAAATGTATTCACGTAACAATCTAATGGTAGGTGAACGAGGAAGATCAAGGGAATCGAAAGTGATGATAGTTGTTTGACGCGGGTGCAATTTCAGGTCAGGTCGGCCTTTCTTTTTGCTATTGAGACCAAACTGATTGACAGAAGTAGTGGGATTTGTTTGATCCCACCACCTACCTGGAAGTTCCTTTGGGGGCGGCGAGGTTATGTTCTCTGCACCGTCAGGCCAAGAACCAGGCGAAGAAACGTCTTGTTTTTGTTCCTCGGATCCTTGCGTTGAGCTATCCACCTCTTCAGTGGCTGCTGGTTTTCCCTCCTTCTCTGTGCGAGGTTGATCGAATTGTGCGCCGAAAGTAGTATTTGTTGTTGCCGAGACCAGCTCAGGCTCCGGAGACTCTGAAATCTCATGCACCTCACTTTCAGGCTGAGTCGAGATTTCTTTATCGCTCGCGGGAGCAGAGGACTGGTCCGCAGGGCTAGCGCAAGGAAGATCAAGACTTGGCAAATTGCAAATGATCGCAAAATACCAGTGCAGATCTTGGTTGACGGGGACGATAACATAGTCATAGCTGAAGAGATCGATGTTGCGAGTCCATTTCTCCACGGCACTGTAGTTAATTGAACGCCCGTTTTTGAGTGTCGGGAAAAAATAAGAATTGAAGAGGTAGATCCCTTCCGCGACATCGGGGTTTGTACGTTGGAGGTGATCTTCCAAGAAGCGCAAATAGAAACCGACTAAATTATCATTCAAAAATTCTCCCTCGCGCAGGCGGTCTCGATCCTCAACGTTTACTTCTGCACGCCTTTTTCCAACACGGGGATAGACCATTGGCTTCTTCCACTTCTCTCGATTCTCGTCTTTTGCCCGAATGGGTCTTGAATGGCTAGGATGACTGTCGGCACTGTCATCGGCATCTCGCCGCAACCGTCGTGTTGATCGTGTCTCTCGCTCAAGTGAAGCTTGGGTTTCATGAAAAGTTTTGACGGGAATCTCGACACCAGAGGCCGATTCTGTCTTCCCGTCACCCTCTGGAGCTCGCGTTGCCGTGATACCATTCCCTGTTCTCGCAATGGAAGAGGAAGAAAGATCCTGTTTGACTCGCTTGCTACCAGGCTCATCGACCGAGCCCTGCAGGTTGGACGAAATTTTCTGACGTGCAGGACAATTTGCGGAAGGTTGTGAAGTCGAGTCGTGCTCCGGTAGAGGTCTTTTGGAATGTTGGTGATTTTGAGCTTCGAATTTGTGGGTTTGAAAAGCCTTGTCCATGAAATCCCTGCTTCAACAGTTAGTCGACTTGAGACCAAAAAAGACAATTGTAGTAATACATACGACTCCTTTGCGTGAATTGCGATTTCCTTATCACGCAAGACGTGTAGAAGCTGATGTTTCATTTGGCTGTTCCAAAACTCAATGTCGACCCTTTCACCCAGATGGGGGGAGGCGCCTTTCGACAAGAACAGCCTCACTTTTCGACTAGGGTCCTTTCCATGGAAAATTTTGACCACTTTGCGTAGTTCAATTGAGACCGGCAGCCCCATGCCAGGCATTTTGCCTTCAATTTCAATTCTCTCGTGATTGAGATCAGCTGTCCTCCTCCCGTTGACACCACTTTTTGTGGCATCATGGCCGAACAGTAAATAGATTATGTCAAGTCGTTCTGAGATGTTGTGCTTTCGTTTAGCCTTCTTGTTTGATCCTTCAAACTTGGTAGGCACAATGTCGGTGGGGGAACTTCGGTCAGGAGATACAAAATGTTCTTTGGTTGGGAGTCGAGCGCGAGTCTGTCTCTCATCGATGTCCTTTGGGATAGGCTGGGTTGTGACCTCGCCCTGGAGTTCATCTGAGCTCTCGGAGACAGAGCGTAGTTTGAGCTCATTCCTTTTGGTTGAAAGAGACTGAGTGGGTTTTGTTTGACCAGTAGCAGCGGAATCAAGAGCAGACGGGGCCAGCCCTTTCCTTCCTGATTTCGCCTTGGGAGACTCCATAATGGCTGCTATGGGGCGTCGTTGTTGAATATCATGCGCTGTATATCTCTCGTCGGGAGCTTGTGTGGAAGCTGAAACCTGGCGATTCTGTTGTCGACGAGCGCGGGGACTCTTATTAGAAACCCTAATACTGTTCTCCACTTCGCGGTATTCGCTTTGTCGATAAGGGTGCGCATGATTCTTTGATTTGGTGGAAAATTGGCTGGATTCGGGCGACAGACGAGAAAGTGAATTTGTTGGAGAGACGGGATCACTCACTCCCTCATTTTGAAAATATCCACTAATCCCATCGTGACGTTGCCTCTTGGTTGGCCGGCTAGATGGCTCAAATGCATCTTCCAAGCGGAGAGAGCCCTGATGAGGGACGTGTTTCCTTACCTTCCCCTGTGCACGTACTGGTCCACTCTCGCGTGAGTTGCGAGATATTCCATCCTGCGGTCGAAACGCCACATTTGACTATCATCCCACATAATCAGCCTCGAATAATTTCTCAACCCAAAATCAGCCAAAAGTTGGCGTGACCTACGCCAGGTGTTTTCTTTTTGTTCTGCATAGATGCACCGGGTTTAATCTTGACAGCGTTTTTATCCCTATAACAAGAGTGCGGTTTGATCAGTGCAAGATCTCCAGAAAAAATCGGATACCTAAACGAGTCCGTCTGATAGACATACTTGATTCTTGCACCTGAACCCAACAAGCGAGCCTCGGCCTGTCGATCCTCCTCCTGGGCTCCATTTCGCTTCGAACCCTGATTTAACATCGGCGGTGTGTCGCCCAACCTGCATATGATAAGACATATCAGCACGTGCCTGCCACTGGGACGAGATGTGTGGTTACTGGGCGGTAGAGTCTAGAATAGACTGGAGAGGTGAAGACCGCAATCGTCCACGAGGGGTTGCAGGTCTGTCCGTTGTGATAGAAGCAGTTTTGTCATAACTTTGAGTCGTCTGTCCAAAAAAGATAAGTCCCGTGGTATTTAAAAAGTAGCTGCAAAAAAACATAGAACTGGGACAAAACGCAAGTGGGGAGTGTGTTGGAAGGAAGGATTCAAATTTCTTGAATGCTTAGCCCTGATAGACATGGTGGAACAAAACAACAAGTGAAGAAATACTGAGCGGGGAAACACATAATAAAGCTGGAAGCCACACACCTGCGCACTAGCATCAATATCTTGATCCCGGGCCAAGTGCGGCGAGAAACGGATATGGCGCGGGCCGTGATGATTTTCCTCAAGATCGGAGCCGAGGGAGAACTGGTGCCGGGCAGAGTCTATACGGCGCCGAGGCCCAGCAGGGGTCGGGGAGGGAAAACAGCGCGTGGACGTTGGATTGCTGCAGTGCGAGGGCCGTCGGTGCTGCAGTCGGCGATCAGCGGGCTGCTGGCGACGCGGTGACAAGTTGGCGATGAAGTCGGCAAAGCTCGCGAAGGAAGGCATACAGATACGCAGCACCCTATTGTAGGACCAAGCACGGCATCGGTCCCATTCTCGGTGATCTTTATAGCTTTTTCCTTTCTTTCCGGTCACTTTTTCTACTTGTTAAAAGATTCGTGCTTGTGGTTATCGTCTATCGCCGGGCGGTCACGGCTACACAACGGTTTGTCAGGCAGAACTTTTAGATCGATTGCGAACTAATCGCCGCTCATGTCCCTAGGCAGCTGGCCACCTGAAACACCAGCACATACTGAGCACCTAAGTAGGCCCTCATCCACGACGAGGTATATGATTGATATCTCAGACTACTGCACCTACGATGTAATAATCGTGGATTTGTAGCCAAACATTGTACATGGCCCCGAGACTGCTTACCGAATACGTTACGTCGTTCACTCAGTAGCTAAATTTCATTGCAATGATGATTGTTGGGTTGATATAGAGATATAAGGTACACGTAGATATATTCATATAGCTCATGTCAGACACCCCAATGGACTGTAGTTGCTTTGAAGCAGCAACTAAATGAACATACTACCTACGGTTAGATAGACTTATAGAACGGACATCCTGGCCACGCCATCTGCAGTTTTCAGCTGCACTTTTCGCATCAGGGAGAAGAAATTGAACCATCACGCATGATCGAAGGCAGATAGAAGAAAAAAAAAAGAAAAAGGGACACAAACAAGACATAAATGAGTTTCACTCAAAGACATAGAAATCAAATCAAACCGCTGAGTTCGCCTCGATGCCCCGCCGTCCCCCAGACCCAAACGCGTCCCAATGAGTAAGTGCATAAAAGATTGTTTTTTGGTTTTTTGGTCGGCTGTACTATACAGGGCTCAAGGCCGCAATCCAGAGGGGCAGTTATGAGGCCTTCTCTGAATCATCATGGCCGGCACGCCGCCGCTCAGAGCCCAAGTGAGTTCCGGGGTTAGCGGAAGTGGCTTTTTCGTGACGAGCTTGATCAATGGCGGAGCGCTGGGCGATGCTATCATCGTGACTCTTCCAGATGATGTTGGTGTCGAGCGGGAAGGCGAGCAGACGCTTGATAGTTTCTCTGTCAAATAATAATTAGTTTCATGGCGACTAATAATATAATTTCCAGACGTACCTGATCTTGATGTTCCGCCCCCCATCAATCCGTGTCCATACACTCAACACATCCTCACCACCTCGCACGCTCAGCACGGCACCGCAGACTTCATCCCCAGCCTCGGCAAACTGGTCACCCACCATCGCCAGCAATAGATCTTCCCAGTACCGGTCTGCCACACCTTTCTTCAGTCGCACAATCCACTTGCCGCCGCGCTTATTCGCCTCATCTTCCCAGACAGGCCGAATGCCCTTCTTGAAGATATGGTAGTCCGATACTGTCGGCAGCAGCGACGGCCGCTTGAGATGCGAGTATACAGCCCAGAAGCTCTCTACCGACGATATCGACGCCAGCGGCACCGTCGACTTCTCATAGTCCGAGTACTTGGGTGTGGGCGGGCGGTACCAAACGATCCAAGTCGACTTGAGCGGGTGCTCCCCAGGCCCGGGCATAGAAGCCTGGGCCAGTGTTTTGGCTCGCATAGCCTCCTCCTGCTCTGCGGAAGCATCGCGCTTCTCGCCGGGGGTCTTCACATCTGACTTGGGAGTGCCAAACGAGGCGAATGCACCCGAGCCTAGGCCGAAGGCGGATGAGGCATTGGTGGAGGGGGAAGAGACCCCTGTCGACATTGGGGATACTGCGTTAAAGGGATTGGAACGGCCGTGGGAGCTGTCTGGGCCGAAACGTTTGGATGAGCGGGGCATCTCGACGCGGGCACCGTCCTTGCCGTCGGTTCCGGACATGGACAAAGACAGTTTGGAGGAGCTAATGATAAAAGACACAAAGGAGGTTAGTTATTGGCGGCTCATGAGCATGGTTCAAGAGATATATTGTCCCGCTTACTTTGCTCGACGAGTCCACAGGTTGGCATTATCCATCGCGGCGGGTAAGACTGCCCGAGACACGAGCGGTCATCCGGGAGAAGAGAAGAGCTCGGAGAAGACGACAGGGCACCACAAGAACACAGTTTCTCACAAGTGCGATTAGTGACGTAGACAATAACAGGGTCCTAGATTGGGCGAGAAAAAAAGCAAAGTGGGTGGGATGGCGGCGGAGGATGCGGAGGGAGGTGGCGGGCGGGCGGAGGGTATCTGAAAGCGCAGGGAACTTGACGGCAAGACAAAGACAAAGAAGTTGAGAAGTGGGATATCGTAGGGGAAGTGGAGGGAGCGTTTCGGGGAAGATTCAGAGATAGAGCGGGATATGGTTGGAATTGGGATTGCAAATGGAAGAGTTGGAGACTCGAACGCAGAAGCTCCATCAGAACCAATCAGAAGTGACTTCGGCTGCCGCCCGCACCGTCTATTTTCCCGAACCACCTTTTTAACGGCCACTTTTTTCCTCTTCCTTCTCTTTTTCTTTTCTTCACGCAAGACCACCAACTCAAATCAATGCCCGGAATCTTCATTCTCTACTGCCCGGTCATTTCCGATGAGTGAGTCAAGAGTAAAATGTCGCATCTAAAACCATCATCACGAGGGCTCTTCGGAGCATCCCAGGATTTGTTGATGACCTGATTGACGAGACATTCTCTTTGAATTAGCCCTAGGGTACGTTTTCCATAGAAATCCAAATGATATATCCCTAAATGAAGAAACTCCTTGAGCTCTCTGGTAATCCGAAGTCCCAACCGCCCTTGATGTCTACCAGGCGATTTCGCCGGGGGCTGGTCGGGCGTGAGGTTATTTGGCAAAGTCTGATCACCCCGGGCTTCTTGTTGTTGACAACGTGATGTTTTTGCTGGTCATACACTGATCCGAATACACTAGAAGCATCCATTGGTCTTAACTTGTATCAAGTTGGTTTTTCTCATATACACACGTAGTATGTTTTGGCAAATGCTCTCTCGACCGCGCGAGACGTGCACATTGGCAGCCCATTCTTCTACGAACACGTCTTATTAAAAAAGGATGTGGATGATAGAAATATTTTAAGGTGGGCAATAAATAACAAAAGCAAGCCCAAAATAGTATTTCCCGAATGAATTCCCTGTAAATGCGTCAGCCCCCCCCACACGCCAGATGCCCGATAGAATAAAAGCAAAATATCATCTGGGAGGTCCCGCTTCGTCAGATGTCGCCCGCGCCCTCTTGGGATCACGATCACTCGACGCCTCCGCCTTCCGCTTCTCCCGATCTTTCTGGCTTTGCGCTTGCGCCTCGACACGGCGAGCTTCCTTGCGAAGCGCCTTGGACTCGAACTCGTGCCAATCCCCTTCCATGAACTCCAACCTAGAAACAAGTTAGTTGGCGAAGACTAAGCATGATTGAATATTTGTTTAGTTTGAACTTACTCAGTGGCCTGCTGAGGAGCTGGTTCCTCGGTCAGGAAGTAGGGATGTTGCAATACCTGCTCCGCACTAGGTCGTTTGGCAGGGTCGTACTGGAACACAGACGAGATCAAATCCATCGCGGCAGGAGTCAATATGTCTCGATATGTGTCCTCGAAAGTCCGCTTCTTACGCTCCTGCGGGCGCATCATCTGGAACCATGGCATTTCCACAAAGTCCGCCCACTCAGCCCGAGTTGGAGTACCTAAATAATTGTAGATCTTGTCAAGTTGGCTGATTTCACCCCCGTCGCCGGGGAAAACAGCCTTCTTGGTGAACATCTCCATGCAGACACATGCAGCACTCCACACATCAACAGCAGGGCCGTACCGTGTCTCACCAAGAAGAAGCTCGGGAGGCCGGTACCAGATCGTAATCACGCGATTGGTATAATCCATTTTGTGGCTCTTCGAAAAGAAGCGGGCCAGGCCAAAGTCAGCAAACTTCAACAAACCAGTGTTGCTGATCAGGATGTTAGCAGCCTTGATGTCTCGATGCAACACACCGCGGTGGTGGAGGAAGTTCAACCCTGCAAACATTTGCTTGGCCAAATCCTTCTTGTGCGCTAGGTTGAGTGAAAATTCCGGGTGATTGATAAGACCTGTCAAATCATGCGAGAGATATTCAAAGACCATGAAGCACTCATTTTTCTCAACCATGACTTCCAAAAGACTGACCACGTTGTGACTTCGAAGGTGCTGAAGAAGCTTGATTTCTCGCACGGCTGTGACGGGGAAACCATCTTTTTCGCCCTCCATTCGGATCTTCTTCAAAGCAACTTCACGTTTAGTAAAAACGTGAATTCCTTTGAAGACTTTGCCGTATGTACCTGCACCAATCACAGATTCGTTGCCTGGTTTCCGGTAGTACACTGAGTCGACAGAGGCATAGTGTTCCGGCAAAGATGGGCGTTCTTTATACCGGGTTAGGGTCACCATCCGCTTGGGTGGCTCTCTTGGAGGCTCAGGCGACGCATCCCTACGGCGATCTGGTCGGAAGTCGGGGCGCCGGTCGCCCCTTCGTCGGTCCCGACGCTGATCGAACCGGCGGTCGTCACGATGGTCTCTTGGGTCACGGAAATCTCGCGAGTCGCGGGTATTCCTACGGTCCCGATCCCGTCCACGATCCCGTTCACGGCGATCACCGCGGGGTTCTGGCTTAAATTTCGGTAAAGGTCCGTTGGTTAAGCGATTACGAGGGGATGGTGCATCGGCAGCAGGCGCTCGAGGAGGTGCCTCACGGACTTGCATTCGATGTGCCAGATCTGGCACCGGTTTCGGAGCAGTAGTAGGAGTGGTTTTCGCCTTGAATGCGAAACTGAACTTTCCACCCTTGTCTGCTGGCGTTGAAGCTTTTTGATCACGGTTTGGGAGTGACATATTCCGGGCATCCACTTGACCATCTCCACTCTCTGACACCGGCGGATCTCGGTAGTCATCACGTTGGATATCCCTATTATTTGCGAGGCGGTGATTTTTATCATTCTCGGGGGCGCTGGGTGATTGAGGATCATTGACCGATGATGGGCGAGTAGGCGTCTGGGGACCATGAGAATGCAGTGGCCGAGGACTCTGGTGCCCACCACGGCCACGCGAGGTCCACTGGAAGTTATTGAAACTACCTCTGCCACCGCGATGACCTGGTCCATTATTGTACTGGTGAGGGCCAGAACCAGAGTACCGGCGATCAGGGCCCTGGTTTGCGTGGTTTCCGCGGTAGCCAGAATGACCTCCGCGATAACTACCATAAGACTGAGAGTGGTTGTTTGGTGGACCATCGAATGATTGGTGCATTTGATTGGACTGCCCTGGAGGAGCATTTTGAGAGTAGTAATTATCTGGTCGATAAGGTGAGGAAGGTCTACTTACGACCAATGCAGATTAGTAAGAGCTTGGCAGGAGAGAAGTGACAAGTGATAAAACATTGAGGTGCAACTCACCTAGGAGCGGGATAAGAAGTTTGGTTATTCCAGCCAGCTCGTCCTCCAGATTGTGGAGAAACGGGCGGGGGAGATCCATGATACGAACTAGCCGAAGTAAACTGAGGCGAGGCTGAATATTGCTGAGACTCAATATGCGGCCGAGACCGATGGCGTTGTTTGTTGGGAACATCTGATTGCCGCATCTCATGCTTTAAAGGCGCGCCACGCTGACTGTCATCGAAGCTCGGAATTGGATGGGGTGATGGAGAGCGTCCCAAGTCATCGCCGGCAGACCTGCTTGGTAAGATTGTACTCATTCCCTCATCACCTGGCACATGTTGTGGATGTGGAGATCTTCTCGAACCGGCGGAATGTCGAGATACAGAGCGAGATAGGTAGCGAGAACCTCTGTCGCTATAACCGTCACCACTTGGCGGCCTAGAGCGACGGTCTGGTGACGGAGGATATCCTCGGCCACGCACAGGTGACCTGGATCGGTCCCGGTCTAATCGTGGAATATCGGATCGGCGGCGGTCTTTTCCACGACGATCACCTCGGCCCCGACGAGGAGATCTTCTAGGGCCACCACGCCCTGGAAACCGCCCTCCTCGATTCTTATAAGAGGGGCTGCGATCACGCCGGTCTCCGGGTTTGGTAAATGAAGAGCGGCGTGGGGGAAATTGACCATGTTGGCCACGGGGAGAAGGGCTGCGGGTTCTTTTGCGTTTGGATGGGGGCCCAGATGGGGAGTCATCACGTCGGAAACCTAGGCCTCCGCCGTTCATTGTTCCTGGTGGGTGATTCTTCCAGTCGCCAGATGAAGAAGGCCGATTCTGGGGCGGTCGTCGAGTATCTTGGAACTTTGGGGAAGGGCCAGGGGAGCCACGCGGTGGGGATCGATCGAAGGCAGAGTCACCTGGGTCGAAAGATGAATCTGGGCCGAAGCGGGACATGCGTGTAGACGTAGGTGGCGAGCGAGCAGGATAGTCAAAATGGCGTTCTTTGGGCCTTGATGAACGACCTCGATCACGATGGCGATTTCTACCCCGATCACGATGAGACCCTCGACCTCTACGAGTGTCCCTAAAGTGTGCGTCGCGATCTGGGTCGGCACTCCACTGGTCTCTCAACACCGGACTCCTACGGGACCCAGCCATGAAAACGTCGCCAGCAGCATCTGGCTTTGGCTCTGAGGGATAAATGTTGCGAACCGATCGATGTTGGGGAAGTTGGCAATGTCCGCAAGAAGTCGAAAGGCGCGAGTGGAGCCGGTTTGTTCGTGACCGCGTCGCTCAGGCGGAAGTTCTGATTTGGGGGGAAGAGGATCCCGGATCATTAGTTTTTCCGGCAACAGTGAGGTTGATGAGCAAGGGGATAAAATCGGGCTTTCGAGGTGATGCAGATTGCATCCCCGACTGAATGCAACGAGAATATTGCATCACATTCCCATGGTATGTCTACTTTGTTCTTGTTCACACTGAACCAAGTCAATGCGAAAAGGCGAATGTTGGTGCGGATGTGTGGCCACCCGTGCGGCTCTACAACTGGATCCGTAGCATGCACCGTGCATTAGTCGGGCTGGTCCAGTCCAGTCTGTGTTTTCTGCAACTTTTCTGTTCCTGTATCCCTGAAATCTGTAACTCGAGAAATATAGCCCTTTTCCTGTGTTGTTTCCAAGTAGAGGGTTCAAGATCGTGGCTATGGTCAGTTCTATCGAAGCTCGGTTCGATTTGACGTGCCTTTTTCACTTCTGACGTGTTTTTGCCTCGAGGCAGGATCACACTGAAAATCAAGCGGATCATTCTATCTACGTTCTGCATAAAGCCACATTGGCCACGAGTCGAGTAGTGCTGAGCAGGCTGGTTCAAGGCCGGTTCAGTCAGCCGTTGGTAAGATTCGTCCTTTTGCTCTTGATCCGGTGTTGCTGTAGAGTCCAATCAAGACAGTAGTCACTCAAAACAGTAGCATATTGCCTGTGATATTGTAGGCTGTTTCACCTCTGGCACCATCACCCCCATTATGAGTCGTTAGATTTGAGCGGCAGTCTGACCAGCCACTGGGACGTCATGTTGTTGGTCTCAAATAAGGACAAGAAATCCAACATACGCTGCAGCGTCGCACCGGTCGTGGTTTACAGCAGATAGACAAAAAAGTATATCTACCCGAAAAACATACCCCATCTGGTTATAGCAGATCGGATGTATTTGACAAGGGAACCCCGTCCCCTAGTCCCATCAACAATTGCTTCCAAACATTCTCAAACATCAAATTCCCGGGAAAGCCAGCTATGTGTGCACCGCAGGGTTGAGTTTCAGGAAGACTAGCAGAGCAACCCTGGGATATGGGGAGCATGGAAATTGGCGGAGGTGAGGAGCACTGGGCACCCCGCACCAGAGTTGCGAGCAAGCGAAGTCAGTCGAGTACTTTTGACAACAACATGAGCAGTCCACCGAGTGGTTGTGAAGAAAGAACATCTAGCAGGCCAGTCCGCGGTCACTCCCTTCCTAACCTCGCTGTGTCTCATATAAGAACGAAAATGAAATCCGACTGTTGGCCTAATATTTTGGAGGGTGGGGGAATTATATGTTATCAAGGCTTCTGATGGTTGACTGTGTTGCTGAATCCATTGCTTTGGTCCTGGTTCTCACCCTGGGACCGTGGGACCGTGCGGGATGAGTTGACATCGTGCGGCTTAATACTCCGATTGCACCAAGTAGATAGAGAAGAGTGTGGAATTAAACGAATATTCATCAGGCCATAAGGACAGTATTCTGAGGTAATTCACTCAGAACTTCAATCAAGGCAAGCCGATGGGGGGAAGTGGGACATGAAAGTGGTGTTGATGTCACGTCAGGCTGAGGTTGCGGGAGGGACTTTGATCATGTGTCATGTGATCTATCACGTGGATTGGATATTGTGTAATGCCACTTAAATGTACATTGTAGGCGCAAGTGTCCACGGGGGATCAGGTATCGCTGAAGCAACAAAAATAAGAAGACAGATAGAGAAAGAGACTCAAAGTCCGTTCATATAACTCACCCAGGCGGAACTGTTATGGGGAAATCAAATTGTTAAAACCCTGATGATCCGCAGTTCATTCTTGTGGCTAAATACACAATGCTAAAAACTATTGAACCCCCCCCCATCTGAGTGATCTTTTCACCTGCATGAATCTTTGTTGTCACTTCCTTGCCGTCCTTCTTGCCAGATGACAAGATTCCTTTGTCCTCCGAGAACATCAGAATCTCATCGTGTCAATTACCATGATCATCATTTGAGATCGTCAATGGGCACTAATCTTCAGTTCTCCTCAGTCTCACCTCCGTCTGTATTTCTTACCTGCCGAACTAGTCGGTTCGATTGACGTCTTCGCCATCCGGTAAGTGCGGAGTAGTACCGTCAGAGTCATTCATAACAACGTCATTGTCAGTTGTTGGCTGGGTCTCATCGGAGGGAGTAGTCTGTGCACCTCGCAAACGAGTTGGATACCCGTTTTGCATGTCAAAAGGTAAGGGGTCAAGGCGACCAATGAAACGCGCGGGCGGTATGTAGGGGATAATAGCTGCACCAGTACCTCGCTGCACTCTGATCAAGACGGGGCCACTGGCTCTCGGAGGGCCTCCATGCAACAGCCGTTGCTGAGTGAGATAGCTATCCATAGGAACTACTTCGTCGGGAGGAATACCAGCGACGAGCTGCTGCCGGATCAGGTATGCCTGAAGACTATCGCTCTCGGTGTAAAGCTGGACTAGTCTGGATGGAAGGCGAGATCCACGGTTATCGAGCCCCGCTACTGCAAGTTGAGTATCCTGATCCTCGATGGCTTGGAGCATAACATCAAAGTCATTGTCAGCTGTCTGGGTCGTTCTATTTAAGCGTGTAGGGCGTTGGGTTGCAGCTTGAGAGTCAGTAAGCCGGGCTAAGGACTGACCCGAAAACGAAGGGCCCGGATGCAAAGGGACCTGAGCAAATGGACTTCGGTGATCCCAATAACCTTGGTGTCTGAAAATAGCAACACCAGCTTGGTCACGGTGCTCAGTCAAAGCTCGTGAGTTAGTCAACTGTTCGCGAATTTCAACACTCACAGGGTCATTCAGGTCGAGGAAAGGACCCTGTGTATGATTCTGCGGGTTTAGAATGCAAGGCTGCGTATTACGAGCTTGAATGACCCGGGTAATCACTGCTCGCAGGGCATCAGCCTGGCGTTGGGCGTCCATTGCTTGACCAGGATTGACGACACGGCTTAGGCCATGGACGGACTCAATATTGGTATCAAAATTGGCATTGGCTTGAGTTCCATGATTTGGATTTACATGGTGCGCAGCAAGCGACTGGTTTCTCGCCGATATCTGATAATAAGCCTGGTAGGCGGCGGCCAGAGTACTCGTGCGAGGATTGGTAGTAGCAACTGAAGCAACACGTTGATCGTTGATTCTCAGACTGGCGGGTGCAGTAGGAAAGGCCGAGCTTGCTACAGTGTTCATCTGAACTGGGTGCAGGTTCTGAACAGCCTGCAAATTTGTATTGGCGTCGGCATTCCCACTGTTTGGACCACTCGTGGAATTTACAATAGTGCTCACATTTGGTACAAAATTATTCACTGCCTGGGAGGCCTGATCAAGGCCTGTACCCAAATTCCCTTGGTTGACTGAATGGTCAGTCTGAGAATTGTGGCTCTGGAAGTTGGCAGTGCGACCATTCGAGATTCCATCCATAGTGGTCCCACTGGGGTCAATTCGACGGCCTGGTAGGATGAACTGATCAGGACTGGTGCTCTGAGTACCAACTCCGGTCATGACGCTTCCATGTTGCAGATTATTTGAGGAGACGGAGGCAGAGGCAGATGAAGATGCCCCTTGCGTAGAAGCGAGGGTGGTGACGTTAGCTTGGGGAATTGCAATTTGAGAAGTTGCAGCAGAAGGATTGGTGGGCTGAACAAGAATATTGTGAGAAGTGGCATTGAAATTTATGGCCGTGGGGAAGACAGAGGCTACAGTCGACGTGTACTGAGTGGCAATAGCCTGGGCATCATTAGCATGGAGAGTTGGAGTCGAGGTGTTGACATTTTGTCCATTGACGACATGAACACTGGGACTCTGAGGAGAAGCATTTGGAACCTCGATGTCCTCAGCCTCTGACGTCTCGAGATGCTCCCTTTCAGCATCGAACGCATCCATGTTAATATTGTGAAACTGTAACTCATATGGCTCGTCAGTACCAAGATCTAAAATGTTATGCTCAAATATCTGCGACCTTCGGTAGAGTTCGCGTTGACACAATAGCCTATGGGGTACAATGTGCTGGAAAAATCGTTGTCTCGGCTTTCAATACGGCTGTGAATGATCTCAAGTATTGATATGTGACTAACCTTTGATCTGGAACTGTTTCAAATGTCTGCGGAAATGGAAACGACGGGATGATTTCTCTAGCTGCCTCTACAGAAGCCACAAATAAACAATGGGATGTCTCTGTTGTATCAACAACAATTCACAGATGGGTTAGAGATAATTTTCCTAGAAGAATTGTGTGTTGGTGGCCACTTTGGGCTGGACCCTTTCAGAAGTAGGGACGAATTTAACGGTTGCTCACAGAAGCGGGTACGAGATCAGCCAGCTTGTGGCAAAGGAAATATCCATTGAACGAGGGTAGAAGTAGAGAGGTCAAGAGGAGAGGATTAGACGCGTCCAAAACATCAATAAGAAGCCCAGTGGATTTGAACGCTAGTCTAGAAGCGGATATCATTCACTACAGGAGGCCATTTACTTGTCCACAGCCACGAGGACAAAACAGTGCATGAAGCGTTCGGCCTCTCCTAGGTCCTTATAATCCATCATTTACATTTTTTTCCTTGCCTGAGTCATAATGATCAACCTGAAGAGCTGACCTGCTTGTGAAAGACACATTCTTACAAGAGTTACCCCGGAAGTCATTACGGACATGTCTCCCGAGCTCGTCCCTTAGTCCTATGTATCAGAAAGAAGATATATAGGTCTAGCATCTACAATACATGACGTTTTCCGAGTAATTGTACTTTGGCAAGTGTAGATCTTAGCTGCAGTTCTAAAATCCATGGGCATCTTCATATATCTCTCCGAATGGTGCACTTACTTCTCAATCTGCTTGTGGGTCTTCCCCGCGTCAAATATTCGAGGGCCCCATGTTTGGATGCATTACCTTGCCACACCCTATTGTAAGGTCGTATCTCTCCGAAAGTTGGTCCATCAAAATGACGGTGTGAAGCCATAATCGCTTAAATCGTGAATTGGACAGAAAAGGTGGGTGGCGTGGTGAGAAGAACTCCTGATGATCTAAGCTGGACCACAAAGAAAAGAGGTTGGTTTAGTGAGGCGAGCCCCAGGCTCCATATTTACTAGACGGCCAATTCATTGCTCTGTCATATCCTCAAATGTAACCAAAGCAGTAGGTGGCGGCCAGTTACTTACTCATAATTCTATATTGCAGTGACGGAAGCCTTTGTTCGGAGAAAAGGCGCCTGGAAATAGCACAGGAATCTTTGCCAAGTAGTGAGTTCACCTTCATCGTCTACAATTGTCTAGTGAGGGCACAAAGTATAAGCATCTGAGTGTCCTCTGGTAATCATCGTGGGTAATGGAGGTTTACTTCAAATTAACATTCCAAGCAGCCTTAGCATCCGACTTGTACGGTTTAGTTCTTAGCTTGATGTGCGCGAAGTTATATACATTATCGATGATGTTAGCCTAGTTTCCCAATGCTTCACCCAAACATACCTACTAGGTACCTTGATATCGCTGTACAGATGTTTACTTCTCGGGATGGTTAATATCTTGGGAAATATCTACCTACACTATGATCTCCATGATGGAAGAATAGATTGAGTCGTACATAGCATTCCATATATGAACAGGGTACACAAATGGATACAAAAAACCTGGCTATACAGCCTGATTATCAAAGATTTTGAGTACATGAATGAAAACGTCAAGTGTTGAAACAGCCTGGCCAACGGCGCCAAAAGGGGTTGAGTCTCCAATAGCAAACCCCCAATAGATGAAAAAACCACAAAGCCCATCATCTGGGCGGGAAAATGTTGAAACATCATGAAGTCGAAGAGAGATTTTCATCCTTGAAGTGGAACGTAAAACCCAGCAACATAAAGTAATCATGATCTTAAACCCTGGAATGGGTCTAGACGAGTGCCAAGTGGGCAAGGTGTTGAAAAGCAGCCTGGATATGTGGGATCCAGTGATGCTGCCGGTGGTATATGCAAGAACCAAAATAACGTGGAGAAGAAGAGGAAAGGAAGAAGAAAAACAGAACCAAATTCCCGCTAGAGCCTCATGCTCAAAATATAAGAAAAGCCAGCATTAAATAAACCTGTTGAAAGGTCACACCCCAAACTCCAAGATCGTAACTAGGAATCCAAACTTTTATAAAGCCGGAAGCATATGGCACAGATAAAGAGTAGGGGAAATTTATCGTCGATTCAGGAGCGTCAAGAACTCCTCTCTGGTTTTAGCACTTGACCGCATGCATCCTAGCATGCAGCTTGTGGTGGTAGTGCTGCCAACCTTCTGCACGCCACGCATAACCATGCAAAGGTGGGAGGATTCCATGACAACACCAACACCACGAGGCTTCAGCACTTCTGAAATAGCCAAAGCCACTTGTTTGGTCAAGCGCTCTTGAACCTGGAGTCTGCGGGAGAACATCTCAGCCAGGCGGGCCAATTTCGAAAGTCCCAGGACACGGCGATCCGGGATGTAGCCGATATGCATCTGCCCCACATCGTCAGCACTACTATTCGCCACGCACATATGCAAGTAATAAGTAATCGTACCTTTCCAGTAAAGGGGACCATGTGGTGTTCACACAGGGAGAACACATCAATGTCCTTGACAATGACTAGTTCATCATGATCTTCGTGGAAAACAGCCCCATTGACTAGGTCCCGCACATTCTCCTCGTATCCTTTGGTAAAGTATAGCATAGCTTTGGCGTAGCGCTCGGGGGTCTCGCGAAGGCCTTCGCGTTCGGGATCTTCCCCAACGCACTCCAAAATTGTCCGTACGGCACCTGCAAGCTTCTTCACACGTTCTTCATTTTCTTCCGGGGTCGACTCCAACCGCTGCCGAGTTCCAGGGCCTATGAAGCAAAGTACATTTAGCAATAAGTAGGGCATTGCAGATTGAAACACTTACAGGGCCAGCTAAGCCCATCGAAATCAATCGGGGGGTTCAATGTGTAGGGGCTGGCGGGGCGGGATGCCGTCGCCGGCGGGGTCAATGGCCCGGCCGCATCCCGGGGATCGCGGGGAGGGTCATTCAAGGTCGGTCTTCCACTGAGTGGCTGTTAGAAGATCCGGAAAATGGATTTGTATTGAAAAGACTGGACTGGACACATACCGGATGGCCAGAGTACCGTGGGTAGCCCCCTCTTCGCGGGCAGTAGCATCATCAGGTGGGGCAGGCTGAACATCCTCAACATCAAACCCCAATCCCGCAGGAACTCGGGGGGCAAAGGAGGAGCGGATAGATGTATTGAGGCTCTCGCGCTCACGGGCATCACGCGTTCGGTTTCCAGACCCAGAGCTTGAGGATGATTGCAAGGGAGAGCTGCCGTTCAACATGTGGGACGGAATAGCAGACGGCTTAGACGGGGGCGATCCTGAACCCATTGTGAATGAAATTGGGTTTTGACAGGGATTGTGTGGTGAGATAGCGATATTGGTAGGTAGTCACTTGGGCCAAAGTCGATTCTTAGGGAAGAAAAAAATTGACTTTGAACATCCCAGTATCAGGTCAGCATCGGCATGGATGACTCTACTTTTTTTTTGGGGCAACAGCCATCCGAGAGCACGCTAAGCCGCTTTCACAGAATAGCCCCTCATTTTCCTGTACACCGCCTTGGGAGCTCACCAATCAACAGCTCCATATGCTTGTCCGCGGAAGACCGTTAAACTAGGCTCGGAGTCCGATAACGATAATGCGACTTAGGACGCCAAATAGAACGATTAAGCACCTATTCTGGGGATGCAAAAAATAGCATGTAATATGTTTACACAACTAGAGCCTGGAGGCACAGAGATAGAAAGCTAAAACCCTATATTTGACTGTGGGCAACTAATATTTTTTTGGCGAGCCGTACCTAGTAGTAACTAGTCTAGGAGGGGTATAGGGTCGGAATTCAAATACGTGATAAAGGATCAGCTGTGATTATCTGCATGACCCCACCCTGTTATACATCAGGAGCGACCTCGGAGAATTATTTTGCGAGAAGCGGAGTTTCCTTATTTTTACATCGGAGATTACAAGCAATTTAGTGTCGGTGTTTTTCAATTGCTCCTTATTACATGATCCTATGTTTCGCCGGTAACAGGGTAAAAGCATTTGGTAAATAACTCAAGAAAGAAGACGAGCGAACCAACTATAATCATGCCTCCAGTTCTTCAGTTGGTACATCTTCCAAGTCCTTGCCCACAATGGCGTCAGCCACCTTCCACACCTGGAGGAGGTTGTCTTCGGCCGCTGAGCACAGCACCCACGGGTCGCTGAGGTTCCAGCTGAAGTCGGAGAGACGGTTGGTATGACCACCATGCATGAACAGACTAAAATGAGAAGAAAAACCATATTAGTTAAGCGGAATCGAATGCGAAAACAATCATATGGAACATACAGCTCGGGAGGACCGTCCTGCGCGTCCTCAGGGGTCTGTTCCTCGCCGGCACGGCTGAGATCCCAGAACATAATCTTACGGTCGTAGCTGGAGCTGGCCAGAACAGACTCCTCAAAGGGATGCCACGAGATCGACTGCACAGAATCCGTGTGACCTTCCAAGGAATGCAGCTTGGTTTTGAGGTTTCGGAGATCCCACAAACCAATGGTCTTGTCTGCAGACCCGGTGGCCAGGATCGTCTCTGCCGCCGGGTTGAAGGAGATGGAATTAATAGCATCGCGGTGCTGGCCCTCCGCCGATGCGGCTGCGCGGGTAGAGTCAGCAGAGCGAATATCAAGGATCTGGAGAGTAATATCATCGGAAACAGTTCCAATGAGAGATGAGTGGAGAGGGTGGTGCTGAACGTCGTTCACAATGGAAGAGTGGTGGGTGTAGGTGCGGGTCGGCCGGACGGCCTTGTTGCCCTTGGTGTAAGTTGTAAGGTCCCTACGTAGTTGTGGTAAGTGCCCCATCCCGACATCCATGAGAGGTTATTGACATACCAGAGCCGGACGGTCTTGTCCTCACTACCAGTAGCAAGGTGGCCGGCTTCATGTGGGTTCCAGCTTAGTCCAAAACCCTCTGCTTCATGTCCCAAGAGCTCCATTTGAGGGTTCACAGTGCCAGTGGGCTGGCTGGGGTGCTTTGAACGGTCCCAGATCATTACTCGACCATCGGTACACATGGTCGCAATAATATTGGGGTTCTGGGGTTGGTACCGAGCCTTGTTAACCTCCCCTTTGTGGTCGATCTTCTGAGCAATGTTGAATTTGATTTCCATCTGGGGCTTCTTGGGCCCACCACCATAGCCACCAATCTCCCCCCGCTCCTCATCATAATCTTCTGGGTTCGGAGCATTGGGATTGGGAAGTTGGATGTGGGCGATTTGAAGGTAGTTCTGCGCATCACCGGCTGTGTGGGTGCCGATGAGCAGGCGATGGGTTGAATAGGGCTTATCGGGAACTCTGGACCACGTATCAGCTTTGAGCCGGACTTGGATTAAAGGGAAGCTTTAGAAGACTCACTCTTGCTTGTCTGGAAGCCACTGGGTTGTGAGGGTGGGCCATTCCAAAGCTGTACTCAAGATCATATCATACAGGAATGGCGCGTTCTTCTTCCATGTCTTGTATTCTGAGTGAATAGTCGAGTTAGCCATGCTTGGATTCCATAGGCGCGAGTTGACAGCAGGATTGGTGTAGACGATTGATAAGTAGAATAGCGCATACCTTCATTGATGATCTTCTCATTGTTGTGCTCGCTTTCCTTCTCCTGTTGCTCCTCCACAGCTTCTGTGCACAGTTAGATTGGATTTGCAGGTAATATCCCAGTCTGACAAACTTACGGTTCTCATCCTCATAGGGGTCCATTGTGGCGAACAATTCTATGCTTCAGAGGGTAATGCGACCAAGCAACTGTTTGGGATGATGAGGTTTCAAAAAAAAAGAAGTTTAAGCAGAGAAGCAGAGAAGGGCGATTGCAAACGCGAACCCGCGTTAATGGGCAGCGGCAGGCGCTAGTCCCAAAGTGGGAGGGGTCTCTTGGCAATGACTCGAGCTTGCTTAACGCCCAACTTCTGCAACTTTCCACTTTTCGTGTCTCCCATTGCTTAAATCTCCACTGTGTTTCGCTTCTGCGGGATCTCTGGCGTTGACCTTGGTTTTTACTTTCTCATTAGTTACGAGATTACGGATTTACATATTGAATGATTCCCCGCTGATCAATACTCCGATTTCTGTGACGCATCCACATCCTTCCACCCCAACTCTTACGGCAACCCACCCCGCGCCGCTTGATTCTCATCAATTCCTTCTCCGTCTTTTTTTCCTTTTTCCCCCTCTACCAGACACCACAAGCCACTATGGGTGTTCCGAAGTTCTTCCGCTGGCTCAGTGAGCGGTATCCCGCCATCTCCATGCTGATCAAGGAGAGCCGTATCCCCGAATTTGACAGCTTATACCTGGACATGAACGGTATTATTCACAACTGTACACACAGCGACAGTGACTCCCCGACATTCCGTATGTCGGAGGAACAAATGTTTATTGCCATCTTCAATTATATCGAGCACCTGTTTGGAAAGATCAAGCCACAGAAGCTGTTCTTCATGGCTGTTGACGGTGTCGCACCTCGAGCTAAAATGAATCAGCAACGTGCGCGCCGCTTCCGAACCGCGCTGGATGCTGAAAATGCGAAGGAGAAGGCACTCGCGCAAGGAATGGAAATGCCGAAAGAAGACCCATTCGACAGTAATTGCATTACACCCGGTACCGGCTTCATGGCAAGGCTGACGCAACAACTGAAATATTTTATCAACAAAAAGATTTCAGAGGATTCAGATTGGCAAGGCGTGGAGATTGTGCTCTCGGGCCATGAGGTCCCTGGAGAAGGTGAGCACAAGATCATGGAATACATTCGTCAAGCGAAAGCGCAGCCGGGCTACCATCCAAACGTGCGGCACTGTCTATATGGCCTGGATGCGGATTTGATCATGTTGGGTCTTCTCAGCCATGACCCCCACTTCTGTCTTCTCCGAGAGGAGGTGACATTTGGCCGCCAGACTCAGAAGAAGCCTAAGGAACTCGAGCATCAGAATTTCTATCTTTTGCATCTTAGCATGGTTCGGGAGTACCTGGAATTGGAGTTTCAAGAATTAGAGAAAGATGGGGCTCTGGACTTCCCATTTGATATGGAGCGAGTTATTGATGATTTCATTCTCATGGCATTTTTCGTTGGAAATGATTTCTTGCCCAATCTGCCAAATCTGCACATCAACGAGGGTGCATTGGCGCTCATGTTCAAGATCTACAAGGAAGTCTTACCCAAGATGGGTGGCTACATCAACGAGGCAGGTACCATCAATGTGGAGCGGCTCGGCAAACTCATCGATGCGATGAGCGTATTCGAGCATCGGTTCTTCGAGGCTGAAAACTCCGATGCGCAATGGATCAAATCAAAAAAGAATGATGGTTCGCTCGAACTGGAGAGGAAGCCCAAGGAATTGACGATCACCTCGTCCCAGAAAGACATTCTCAAGAAGGTAAAGCAGTACGTCTTGAACCGATCTGGCAAGGGAACTGAAGCGAAACCTTTGGATTTCCCATCCACCCTACCGGCCCGCGATCGAAGCTTTATCGAAAAGCTTGCAGACCAACTTCGAGTTCCATGGTCCACCACGGAAAATGAGCACGGTGATCGATTCATGAGACTTCAGCTACCTGAGCCCGAGCACGATGACAGCGATGAGGAGGACAATGAAGATGAGGAGGCCACTCTGGCCATCCAGCGTATCATTCGGAAGTATGAGAAGGCCAAAATCCAAGATATGACCCCTGAGGAGGCGCAAGAGGCGGCAGAGAAGAAGTATGATGAAAAGTTCTATGAGTGGAGAGATAATTATTATCGCTCCAAGTTTGGATGGGGACTTGACAATGAAGAAGAGTTGAAAAAGCTTGCAGAGAACTATGTGCAAGGTCTACAATGGGTTCTGTTCTATTACTATCGGGGTATCGCATCGTGGTCCTGGTTCTTCCGGTATCACTATGCCCCCATGATCTCTGGTTAGTTTTATGGATTCTGCTTTTATTTGGTCCTTTCTTATTGACGGGGAGAACAGATGTGACGAAGGGACTAGGCGTGGATATGAATTTCCGACTGGGTCAGCCCTTCCGGCCTTTCGAGCAGTTGATGGGCGTGCTGCCAGATCGCAGTAAGAAGATCGTGCCCACTGCCTACTGGGAGCTTATGACTTCCTCGGAATCACCTATTATCGATTTTTACCCTCGTGATTTCGATCTTGACATGAATGGGAAAAAGATGGAGTGGGAAGCTGTGGTCAAAATTCCTTTTATTGACGAGAAACGGCTCCTGGACGCAATGAAAACACGAGACCAGCTCCTGAGCCCCGATGAGAAAGCTCGCAACGGCTTCGGAGCTAGTTTGAAATTCACCTTCTCGCCTGATGTCAACTTCATATATCCTTCTTCCATGCCTGGCGTCTTCCCCGATGTTCCCAACTGCCGCTGTATCGAGAATACATTTGAGTTGCCCACTATGGATGGATTGATCCCATACCACGGACTAATGGACGGCGTGCAACTGGGTGATGCTGCCCTAGCCGGTTTCCCAAGCCTGAAGACGCTACCGCGCGTCGGACAATTGGGCTTCCATGGAGTCTGTGTTTTCCAACAAGAAAGTCGCAACGAAAGCCAAGTCATCACCCTTCTCGACCCCTCAAGTCGGACCAACATTGAATTAGCTAAGAAAAAGCTTGGGCAACGAGTCCATGTTGGGTACCCTTTCTTACAAGAAGCCCTGGTCGTTCGTGTATCAGACGAGCTGTTTGACTACATCCTCCCACCGGGTGAGCAGCACGCGGTCCAGATCCCGCACACTCCTCAACAGATTGAGCAGTGGAAGAAGAAAGCCGACAAGATTGAGAGCACCTACAGCAAGCGGCTCGGTATCATTATTGGAGGTGTCGAGTCTTTAGTCCACATTCAACTGTTAAAGGGTATGATCAAGACCGATGATGGTGCCACCATTAAGGAGTTCGCGGATATCCCCGGACAGGAAACCGACTACGCCCTGCAAGTGGTTGTTGACAACGTTGTCAACCCTGACCAGCGTTTCATTGAGCGGAAGGCTCTGCCAATCGAAGAAGAGTTCCCGGCGAACTCTCGTTGCTTTTTCTTAGGTGACTTTAACTACGGCCGACCTGTTCATGTGACTGGCCACTCTGATGGAAAGGTGAATGGTTTGGTTGCAGCAGTGAAAGGCAAAGAGCCAGAATTTGGAAGACAACGTGTTGCGGAGGCTGAGCGATCGTGCCCCTACATGCCTTCCTACGCTATTGCACGAAGCCTCCGTCTCAATCCCCTGGTACTTGCCAAGATCACTTCCTCCTTCTCTGTGGACGTAGAGGGCCAGCGTGTCAATCTGGGTCTCAACCTTAAGTTCGAAGCTCGCAAACAGAAGGTTCTTGGATACTCTCGCCGTGGTCAATCTGGCTGGGAATTTAGCCAGAAAGCAGTCAACCTGCTCCAGCAGTATATGATCACCTTCCCCGAGTTCATCGCTGGAATCCAGCGCAATCCTCAGAACGACCGCTATTCGCCTACCGATTTCTACCCGGAGGAAATTGCCCTTGTGAAGATCAAGGAGATTCGCGATTGGTTGAAAGCGATCGAGGCTAAAGACTTTGCTAGAGTTCCTCTTGAGGCGGAGCAACTTGACTCCGATATTGTCCTTCTCATCCAAAAGGATGCCGACGAACTAACTCAATCGCTCCCTGAGATGCAACCCAAGAAGGTTCGCGGTGTCCCAAGAGGCGCCCTGCTTCGGCCCGAGGACGTCGAGCATCGTCTTGGCAGCCAAACTTTCAAGCTCGGTGATCGGGTCGTGTACGCCCAGAATTCCGGAAAGGTCCCAATTGCCACCCGGGGTACGGTGGTTGGTCTTACCAGGACCCCGCTGACCATTCTCCTTGATGTGGTCTTTGATGTCTCTTTTATGAGCGGCACAGATCTTGGCAAGCGCTGCTCTCCATTCCGTGGCCAGACAGTCCCTGCGTCTTCTGTCCTGAATCTGTCCTACCGGCAATTGGTCACCAGCTCTCGCGCCGCAACAAGTCAGCAAACCCCACAGGAACCCACCCCTCTGACGGTTGCCGGATATGGTGCGCCCTTGGGCCCTAACGGACAGGGGCAACTAAAGAATGCACCCGCTCCTGCGCCCCTGAGGGGTTCCTTTAAGGGTGCTGTTTCTGGAAACAATGCTCCTCGTGGACGTGGTGGTCTCGGCAATGGCCAGCCCACTACGCTGCCCTTCCGGCCTCATGTCAATGGGGGTCCCCCGCGTGGCCCGCGTGGCCGAGGCGCTCCCACCAACGGCAACCGCGGAGGTAGAGGCGGTAGAGCTGGCTATGTCTCCGTTGAAAACGGTGATCCTAGCGAAGGCATCGTCCAAAACAATCCCAATTTCCGGCCGCAGAGCTACAACCAAGTTCCGCCACCCCCGGGAGTGGATCAACGACGCGGTCGTGGACGTGGCCGGGGCAATGGATTCCGCGGCCGTGGCCGTGGAGGAGGCCCTGCTGCTGTGACCGAACAGTAATCTGAGCTACTTTGCTCCCATGTGCGATAATTATGTTACCATATGTATTGTCTATGTATGTACAAAGTTTGGCTGGAAATTTTCTACATTAATGTGGGAATAGAGGCGAACTTTAAGAAGGAATTGAACCTCCGAGTGTAAAGAGTATTATTAACAGTATACTTCCATGATTACAATAATATACAGTACAATTCAGGTGCTTATGCTTATGGATGAAGACATCGTATTTTTCAGTCTATCGCCTCTTAGACAACGAAAGAAGCATTAACCTCGCAATAAAACTAAATTCCAACGTCTCTCTTCCGAAACAGCACTGGCGTACTAGCATTCGGCAAGATATGTTCTCCGACACAGATATTGGGTGGTCTCTGCTGATCCCTTCCGTCCTCGTACTTAAACTCATAATCTATCAGAATCTTACTGAAAATCGCTTTGATCGTACATCCTGCAAAGAACCGACCTGGACAAGCCTGCCGACCAGCCCCAAAGTGCATACTGGAGGCGCCGATACTTACAAAGCTTGTCGAAGTTGATGGAACCAGCGAGAGTGTGTGCCTGCTCTCTTTTGGCTTTTCTGTTTCGCTGGACTCGAAGAATTTCTCGTCTGTGACGGATCCTTTGCCTGTAGAGGTTGAGAGAGCATGCTGATCTTTCGAATCCCGGCACCAGCGAAATCCGTCGAACAAATGTGGCTTGGTGACGAAGGCAGGATCTTTGCTTATTGGCCCTGCGGGGAAACAGATATGAGTTCCTTCGGGGAGGAACAAGCCATCTGATAGGGTTAAAGGCTCTTTCACGATGCGGTGGAAAGATACTAAAAGAAGATTAGATCAACAGTTGAATCTTGACAAGTGAGGAATGGTATGTGAAACCAGCTACTATTAGACAAGACACAACAAGACCAAAGACTTGGATATGTAATACTCACATTCCCCTGGCGGTCCGAACCGTTGTGATTCTCTCAAAAAACTATCCAGCCGCCGTTGATTATCAAACGACATCTTCGTCGCATTCTCCCATCCAGACATCAAGGTCTCCCTAATCTCCTCCCGTAGCGGAGCAAGATATTCCGGCATCAGTATCAGGTCATACAGTGCGTGACACATCGCCATGGAACTCGTATGCACAACTGCGAGACTCATGAGCAAGAGCATATGATGCGCCAACAGCTCCGGATCCAGATCCTGCTCGTCCTCTGCCATGTCCATCATCCACTGCAAAAAGTCATCGGGAGCTACATAGCCCGGATCATTTTCTGCTGTGGCTTTTTCGCGTGTGATGCGCCGCTCAATGATCATGGGGATAAAGAGGTCCTTCACGAAGCGGAGCTGGCGTTTCATTTGGCGAACAGAGGGGAGGAAGGTGGCTACTATGGGTCGGAGGAAATTCGGGAATGGACGTAGGAGGAAGACAGTCACTCCCACATTGACAGAGTATTGGCTTGCTGTGGTGAGCCATTGTTCGTTGCGGCGGAGTGAGTCGCCTGCTAGAACGCGGGATGTGGCGCGGGTGATAAGGTTCACGAATACTTTGTGGGGGTCTATGGGTGTCCAGTGGTCTTTTTGGAAAAGAAAATAATTAGCATGCGGCGCAAGCTTGATAGGCCCTTGGCGATATATCACCGGTTGGTTGGCTTTACCTTGGCATTCTGGGATGGCAGCATCGAAGGCATAGCGAAGTTCATCTATTACCCATGGGACCACTCGTGCTGTATATGTCAGCAACTGGAGAAATCGTATTGGTTACTTTGAAGGGGATACATACCGAGGTTTGGAGTCAACCGTTTTCGAACTGTCATGGAGGGAAGATAACTGTTGATTATGATATTGGTATAGTCTCCCAGGGCGTTCTGAAGTATAACATGTTAGCCCTGAAGTGAAACATCAGGCTCAGCTGGCAGAAGCACATACCTCGTACTGAGCATCCAGAGAGCTGATCACCGCTGGTGGAAGATGTCGAAGCTCAGCCAGGTATTTGACTGGCAAAACGACGAGTTCGCCATCACCCGTGAGTAAACGGAATGGGCCACCTTTGTACTAGCGTTCGCACTTATGTTAGGTATCCCAATGTCATAAGCTGAAGATGTCAGGGACTTACTTCTTTGTACCCCCGATAAATTATCGATGAAGCCCTTGGATAGAAAATGAATCTGTTGAAAATATCAGGTAAGTAGCCACGGTATCGAACCACGGGGATGTGCTTGAGGCGAGGGTCGGTCTTCCTGCGCAGCAGGAAATACAACAAAAGCCCAAAGAAGGGCCATACAACGTAGCCAGCCATGTGGGTGAGTGAGTTCTAGAATTTTTGAATTTGGAAGTCTTGGGGATGATCCATGGATATGCTGGAAGGAGATTAGGGAAGAGGGATTTGGTGGACGGGAAGGTTACACAGAAGCTAAACGGATAATATAAGCCTGGAAGGTATCAGTCGGAAGATTTGGTGCCTGTCGCTGCCCATTCTACATGCAAATGGTTCTTTATACTGGTTTGATTGCGCCCTTGCCAGCTAGAGAGGGCATCTGCATATTTGACGACAGTCAGTATCTCGGTACTGCTTTCATATGCAATATGAAAGGATAGAATGCAGCCCATTACTAAATCATAGCACGCACTCGGTACCAGAATGCGTTTGCTGTTTCCCCTTGACCAAAAATTATGTTTTCGACGTACGCCACAGCTCGTCAACATGCCCACAAGTTACTTCGATTGCGAGATGACTTAGATTTTACGGCTGAACTATATAGCTTTTGGCGATGTTTGTTAAGCTAAACTTTTCAGCATAAACCTGAATGTAAATACTAGCGCCTGTCAGCACTGCGCTCGCGCTGGACTAGAGGGGAACACCTGGGCAGCTATGTCTTGCACCTAGGTAAAGGACTAGGTAAGTATAATTTCTGAGGACCAGAACTGTGCCATGCAGTATAATGAAGGTGTGAGGGAAGCTTCCCGCCTGCCGAATAGCGCTAGCAGCCTTGGAGATAGGGACGACCATGGAGATATAGCTAACTGTGGTTTCGCAAGAAATTGACCCCACACGCACATGTTATTTATGGATCATTAGAATTTCACCTTACATTGCCCAAGTGGAAACAGATGCACTCACCTGGTGTGCAATTAACCTTGGGGGTTTGGAAAGGCACTGGCAGGAAATTTTGTTACAAGGGGCCCAGGCAAGTGGTGTGGGTTGATTTTTGGTAGTCATGTTCCCGAGGTCTTCAAATATATACTTTCTCCAGCCTCTCGTCTATGGTCTAGGCGGCATTAGGATTTACCCATTAGGCAAAGGTTAAAACCTGGCATCGATTACATAGCTCTCAATCTTCTAATACTGGAAGAATTTAGTATTATTCATCTAAATGATCTTGCACTATTAAAATGTATTGTAACTACTAAGAAGGTTACGCACAGATAAGCCTAAATACTAAGGCAGTTTCAGTGCTTATTACTCACTCCACAGTGGTTTAGCTTCATAGTGTTAAATACGGACATGTATCAACAAGTCAGGTTGTGTAGTGTAATGGCTATCACTCCAGATTCTGATTCTGGCGATCCCGGTTCGATCCCGGGCACGACCTATTTTTGTGTATGATACACAGTTTGTATTTTTGGTGAATGCACATATGTTCCTGAGGTTATTTAGTTAATTAACCCTACCAATGACACGAAGATGTTGAGTATAATTGCTTCTAGCTATAGAATTACTTCCTTTGACTTTGGTCTTGAATGACCACATTTAGAAGACTGATAGGACAAAATGTAGGTAGGGATCCTACTAGGACCAATTATTCCAAGGAACCGAGAGTACTTACGGAGCATATTGCCGTTGAATTCCGCCCAGACTTAGTGTTCCATGCTAACCCTGTGCTTATCTAACACTGAATCGGCCCTAGCCGAGGTGGATATAAAACAGGTGGATCCTCCCACTGCACAAAACATTTTGAAGGAATGAAATGCTATCAAAACCAACAAAAACAAGGTCGTGCCCGGGATCGAACCGGGATCGCCAGAATCAGAATCTGGAGTGATAGCCATTACACTACACAACCTGAATTGCGATAAAATGATTTAAAGTCTATCAAGACCCCATCAGAAACCCCACAAGGGACCATCTGGGCATAAGAGTGATGTCGGCCCGATAGCTCAGTAGCATCAAATTAAGAACTGCACCGCTAGATATAGAAACTTCGGAGTATCTTCTCAATGTTATATATATATGACTTATTTCGCTATAAATATATGCTTGTTATTACGATCTATATGAAAAGAACTCCCGTAGTATGCACATAACATAAATGCATAATGCCTGTAGCATAAGATCAGATCTAGACTAGCATATTCGCTTCAAAAGATTATCTCGGGCACGCACTAAAATAGAATCGCGGGGTAGAACCTACGAGTTCCCCAGCGATTATATTTCAATCAACCCAGACCTATAGTACCACACATTATCTTTGTAGTATTCTTACACCACCACTCTTATCTATATCATAACCCTAGAGTAGCACTCCGGTTCTAATATGCTATGCTTTTACGTCTCCTTTCCAGGTACGTGCTACTGTCCCCTACTAGTACAGGACCAGTTGTCCACGATTTTTCTATCTTAGAAACGGTAATACCTAATGCTGCTGCGGCAAGGAATATTGGGCTCTCTATTTCCTTGGCTGTTCCTGTCTCCACTGACTCTTTCTTTTTGCTGGGTGAAGGCAGTATTTGGCAATGTGGTTCGTGACGGCTCGGCAATTGTAACAAAACACATTACCAGGTCCTTCGTCACGCTTTCTTTTTTCTCCAACCTGCCTGTTGCTGGTAGTGGGGAACCTTGCTGAGCGACTTCTTCCTCTCTGATATTGGGTATCGTGCTTCTGATACTGGTTTTCGCGTTCTGTACTGCTTGACAGGTTACCTCTGCGGTGGTGACTGTTAATACCTGTTCTGTTTCCCCTTGTGTTCTTAGTGATCATGCGCGATTCCAAGCGTTGAAGGTGCTGTACTGCTGCCTCATATGTCTTGCCTTCCACAGGGTACATTCTCAGTTTTTGCTGTAGCTCGAGTGATACTGGATGCGTGAGCTTATTGATCTTCCATATTTCTGAGAGTTCATGCGGGAGTGTTGCATGGATGGCGGATAGGTCTCCGCTATATTCTCTAACAGATTAGCCATCTTTCTGTTCAGTCATGAACCAGGCACCGACTATTTCTTCATGATGTGTCTCGGGGTCCGCGATAAAGTTATGACGCCAGTCGCTAGACTCTTTCCACGTGGGCTCATGATCTTTCTTTTCTTTCTCCATTTGATTTCTTCTGAGAGTGTTTCTTGCTTCTCTTTTTCTTGCTCCAGTTACGAGTCTTTTTTCTGATCTGATGCTGCAGATATTATACAGTAATATAAGACTGATAGTGCAAGAATATTGCAAGATTGATGAGTGGTACTGTAGGTCTGGGTGGTTGTGATATAATCGCTGGAGAACTTCTATTTAAGTGCGTGTCTTAGAAAATCTTCTTAAGCGAGTATGCTACTCTGGATCTGATATTATGCTGCAGGTATTATGCAGTTGTGTTACGTTCATACTACGGCCTTGCTCCGGGTCTTTGGCGGTTGTTCTCATACGAGCTTTTGGTAAAACTGATGTTATACTATAGGAGTTCTTTTTCATGTGGGACGTAATACTTGTAGTATTGAAAACCCCGCTTTTTTAAAACTAGGGTTGATGAAATAACGTGCGTATAGAAATAATAAGGGATATGCTGCTAGTATGATAGCCAAGGAGAACATTAAAGACTCCATCTAAGCTAAAGGGACCAAAGGTAAGATACCATGACTAAGTATTGCTCGATATGGCTTACTCAAGCCTATCTGTGAGCTGCCAATAAGTATACTGAAGCGTATCGAATAGAGTTCTTCTTCAAGAAACGACCATGACAAATATGGCTCTATAAATGGGAAATCACAACAGCCCATCATACTTACATAGTAAGTATAATTTATTGAAAAACTTATGCCAAACTGCATCAGGCTTAAATGTTTGACATGCCACCTTCGTTAGTTGCTCTATAAAAAGTCGTCTCAAATGGAGAAAGTAGCTCTAATCAAACAATCTTCAGTGGGTGAGAGGCTTGAATGAAACACTTTTCGGGAAGCAAAGATGTAATTTTCTCAAAAATTCCGTCAGGGGACTATTCCGTGACACATGCTATATAACACTGTCGGCCCGGGCCATGACATGTAGTATATCAAGCTATCTGAGACTGTATAGCTCTTTGGAGCACTGGACATGGATTCTAGCTAGCGATAATGCAAACGAAAGCGCTCTATTCTGGTAAAAGCCACTTGTAAGTCAAATTTGCCGATAGAACAATAGTCTGCGAATGCATCATCCTTATTTTATGCCGAGCAAAAAGCCTACTACCTAATCGCTTAAATTGATCTCTCCAGCCGCCTGTTAGTCTGAAGGTAATGTGCGGTGGAATAGAAAAGTTGGACTTGTGTGATGGTAAAGAAAATCTCCCAAAAACACTGGGTAAATTTGGAATTTATATATCTAGCGCCAAACAACAGAAATTCCTAATTAAATGATAGGATGCTGTAGATGATAGCCTCATACCAAGTTGTTAGATCGGTGGTCAATGTAGATAGCTTGGTAAGCTTGTTACAAAGCCATGGTGATCTTGTGGAAAGAAATTGACGGGGTGTGAACCGACTTTGGTAACCCATGGAACTTGTGCCTAGAGAATGCGCTAAATTTCAAGGTTAGGCTAAATAAAAAGAAAATCAGAAAAGAAAAGTATTATCAGAGGTAATCATAACCTTGCTATATTATGAATTCAGTCTCAAAATTACCTAATTAGGAAAGGGAGCTCACATATAATCTACTGGTGGTAGCAGGACTGGGCTTCAATCATGGCTGTAGGATAATGGAGATTAACTATTGATTAGTATTTCATACAAGGTTGTGTAGTGTAATGGCTATCACTCCAGATTCTGATTCTGGCGATCCCGGTTCGATCCCGGGCACGACCTTTTTCTTTTGACGGTCTTATTTCTTTTTTGTGATCTTTTATTAGCAACATTGATTGTACTTCCTTGGGAACGTGTCTCTTTAACTAATAACGTTAATGAAAACTTGGAGCACTATATGGTCTCCACTCACCATTAACTGTGTATAATTCCTGAGGACTACTGGGCAGACAGCAATATAATAACAAACCTTCTAAGCCCCGATCCCAAATTCATGCAAAATGTTTTATGAGCTCGTCCGCCTAGGTGCGTATGTAAATTTATCG